CACTGCCAATCTTGATCATGGAATTAGACACGACCTATTTGGACGAGATTGCTCTTTTTGATCAGCGGTGCTGCGCTTAGCCTCTGCTGCTCTTGGGCCACTGCCAATCTCAAATCTCAGTGATTGAAATGGATATATGGCGATAATACGAGGAGTTTAATAATAAATGTTGAAAAATCATGTATGAGGTAGTAAGACCTGGAGAGTCTATAGAGATCCTGCAGAAGAGTCACATATAAAGCACTACAGCGCAATAACTTACTTTCCTTCACTATATCCCCGATATCCTATGCTGGTTGATCTGATATCAAATCTGAGCAGAACCCCATACCTCCTCTCTTCAAGACATTGTACTAGTGGAGCTATAGGGCAGGACTTATTGAACTGATAGCTGTAAAGTACCATATACTGATGGCTGCGCTAGGAGATTTGCCTTTTTATCACCCATAAATACGACCATACGGAGTAATTGGATGGGATTCCTCTTATTTGAACAGCGTGATGATCGTAGCCATAACTGATTTCAGTCAGTGCAAATGTTAATGGTKGAAGTGGATATATGGCATATCATATGCTAGTTGAAATGATATCACAGCTTAAGTCTATACCTCCACTCTACAAGGTTTCGCACTAGTGGATCCACAGGGCAGGGCTCATTGAGCTGATAGCTGTAAATTACTATATCGATAATAAACTGTCTGGGTAAGCAACAATCTTAGTAGAATAAGGCAGCTTCTATTCTGTATCTAGTAGTACTGCTATACAGTGAATCTACTCAATAGTTATTAATCAATGTCCTCACTAACTAACGTAATTCCCAACCGAGTCGGACACCCTAGCAAGCCGGACACATCTGTATTCCATATAAAATGGTATACATCAAGGCTTTGATATCTCAACAACCAAGCATCTACAGGGTCTAAGTTAGGTAGGAGGTATTAGTATAGTCATACAGAGTTATACTTATGAGATATAGCCTCCTAGTATATATGAGTACTCAGGTAACATAAATTACATCTGTATTTTTGGTGATTTTAACTTCTTAGACATTAAAAGAGAGGAATGGTACTTTAGGGCCTTATGAAAAAGTATTTATATACTTTAATCTATACAGAGTCTAAATACCTTGCTTACATTATAGCATATATAGACATGGTTGAGATATCACAGCCTTGAAGAGTGCTATTCTATATGGAATACAGTGATGTCCGGCTCGCTAGGGTGTCATCGCGACTCGGTTTGGAATTACGTTAACTATGCTTATGCTAAGGAAGCTTATTAATCTAGTAAGAAGGACATTGAACATGTTGTATAGAATACATTACAGCTACTACCTCTGACCCTCACAGGCTGTACGTAAGATGGACTCTAGTATAGCTATCTCCTAAGACTAGTTAATCTGTTCTTTAGCTGGTGTATCTTGACAGCTCTTAATGCAGGCTGCCATCTGTCGCAGGATACAAGCCTAGTATAGTTTGTAAGTTAAGATGGAGACACCTAGGGCCTCTTTAATGGCTCATTACAACTTTATTAAGCAAAGTAAGTTCCCTCCTTCTGGAAGAAGTCTAACCTGAGGGAAAGGCACTGGGAATTTTTCAGATCAGGTGGAACCTTCTCCCACAAGAGTCATAACTCCCCTTCACAGAGAGTCATCTTGTATCAAAAGGGCCTCTTTGTCATAGTGCTGATTTGTGATTCCAATACATTACTTCAATGACTCTACGTTATGATGAAGTGATGGTCATTTCTATTTATTATGTCATGAGTCTCATGACCCTCCTTTCCATATCCTCATTGGCTTTGTCATTGCAATTAAGCCTATGCTTGCAAGCATCATGAACCTACTCTCACCAGCCAGGAAATTAAAGGCTAACATTTGCAGCTTTCCCTCATTACACTTTCCATCAGTCTAGATTCCTTAGGGGAGCCAAATATCGTCTTAGACTTGAGAACTTCGACATTTTCTAGCAGCAGCTTCACCCTGCGTCAAACCCATTCTCCTATGGCCATGATAGTGGTGTTTGATGGCACTCAGAGTCCATGGCATTTATATCCACGTTTCCAGTCTCAAGCAGCAGCTGCACCACTGCTTTATGCCTGTGCCTTACTGCCTACAACAGTGGTGCCTGATAATACTTATCTTTAGAGTCCACCTTCACCTTTGATTTACGCCTCAACCGCTCCATAATCAAAGATAACCGTTCTCTTCTTCGTATGACAGCGGTGCCTAATGATACCTATAGACCCCAGAGTCCACATCCACCTCCCCAGCCTCAATCAGGCGAGACATGATTTATGGAACACAAAAGAAAGTTACTATATGCGCAAAAAAAACCCTAATGGGCGGCTTTAGATGTTATGAGTACATGACTCAGTATAGTATGTGAAAGCTCCTGTAACTCTCTATAAAGCTAGTGTCAAAATAGTCTTTAGCAAGTCTAGCCACATCTGGCATACCATATTGCTTGCTCTTCAACGGTGGTGAGCCCATTGTGTAGGAGCATAGAGTAAAAGAGCGGTTACATTATTATTTGTTCCGCCAGCTGCCAAGCCCTCTGGGACGAATTCCAGAAAGGCAAGACATGTATGTGCAGCCCTACTGTGCACTTTCTCTTTGGTGAGACGGGAAATTTGCTCTTGTTGATGGAGATATTCTTGAAGAGCTCGCGCTTGTGACCCTGGTTGCGCTCTAGGTGCGATCAGAAACAGTGATACTTTTCTTGACCACAGCGGGATACCTATCTGAGAGACAGTGTTAAATTGCTGCCATGGTCTAGCTATACGTGACGAAGAGACTTCCACTGTCCGTTTGGTACATTATTCCCAAATCCATACGCCTTGGTGTGGCCTGACGTCACTGGTAAGGAGATTAACCGTCATGCTCACACCACAGGAGAGGGTCATGGCCCCATCTTCTTGACGTTCCTTGAGTGTGGGACGTCTGATTCTGCTTTCGACTTGGATTGACACGTTGACTGGGAATCCCAGGAACAATTGGGCAGTATGAGGGGGATTGGCACACGTACATGCTCAGGTTCAACATGACGGCGACGTGGACGTCAGGAACTCAATCATGATCAGGCACCCAGACCACAACATGGACACGAGCTTCGACTCAAAACTGGGTCCGGTCCTCTTCGGGAATATGAGCACGATCACGCAGAGAAACACCAGCATGGAAAACGCGACAGAGGATGAATAATGGAGATGATCCACGACGCTGAAACTAGACCGCCATGGACGCCTTGCCGCGCACCTCCCCTTTCTGCTGATGACAACGTCAACCCAGCCCCGGCAGACATTTATCAGTTCGTGGACCAGCTGATTGGTGCGCTAACTTCCGCTGTTAATGCTGTAGTACCCCGGCACTGCCTGTCTGAGAACCACCACCCAGGCTCTAAATGCCACGCCCTGCTCCAAGAGAATTAAGGCATCCGACACGCCATCTTTCAGGATGGTGGGGGCAATAGATTGGGAGCCGCAGCATAATTTTAGACCTTTTATGTAAAGCAAGGGGACTACTAGGGCTGTCATTTCTCACGACTTCCCTTGTGTATAGCAATTTATGGAAAAGTAAAGTTCAATAAAGTAGGGCTGCGCTTCATTGTAGTCATTCAGGTAAGTGTTTTGATATCACTTGATCCAGTCCGCAGTTTGTAGATCCTTAACCATTGCAATAAGCTGCTAGAAATGAGCCACAAAGCTAGGCTGTGCTCTGCTGGCATGCTAGTTTCGTCCAAACCAACCCTGCTCACTGTGTCTTTATCATGTCCAGCCATGAATTAACAGTTGTCTTGTATCTACTGTCATATATATTTGACTAGTGTAGTTCACTTTTGTATTATATACACTGGCCTAAGGTTTTATATGAAAACACTCAGCTAGTTTAAGTGTTCTTGCTCTATAATTTAAGGCCTCTAAAATAATACCTAACTTATTATCAAAACCCAGCTTACAGTGTGATACTTAGTGCTTTCTAAAATAAATGCACTACTACTAATAAAACCAGCCTCTGCATTTGCATTTATAGAACAGGGAAAACCTGATGGTAATCTTACTTTATATACAGGGAAAAAACCTGTTCTGAGGCCAAGCATATAACTCCATTAAAATTCACCTGACATTAACATCACCCTGCTCCCCTTACTTGGGTAGTGCCTCTCCACCACCAGTCGCACCACCAGCGCTGCCTGCCCAGGGGATAGGGTACATATTGACTATTCTAATCATATATGTGAGTACTTAAGGCTACTTTTGTAAGTAGGTTTTACTGCAAGGCTACTCACCTGTCTTAACTAGGAGTAGGGAGGAAATTGAAACCTGAAAAAAAAGAAAATTCAGCAACTTAAGAATCTCCCTACATTCCAACCCTCATAGTGAGGGTAAAGTGGACCTTACTGGGTAAATGGAAGCTGAGATTTGATAGAAATAATAATTGATGGGCTTTGTGGAAGATCTGAGGGGCAATCTGCAATGTTATTTATTAGTCCTCACCACTCTTAAATGTGGAGTGAACACCTGCCTCCATACTGGATGTATGATAGTTACAAGCCTAATCCTCCCTATGCTTAATGCTCATCACTGTTACATCATGCTTGAATTATATCCTTGTACACAGTTTGCCTTATGAGTCTGTCAGCATCCCTGTAATTATATTCACCTTGTATCTTATTTCCGCATGCAGTAGTGATGCATGAATCTAGATCCCTATCCATCCACTCTCAGGCAACTTCTACGTCCCATCATGATATCATCCTCCTGGACCGGCTTTTCCGGAGATGAAATAAATGGGTGAGTTGCACTATTTTGTCTAGGTCCTAGCTGAGAGAGTGGTAGGGAGAGGGGTTGGAGGGGGGAAGAGATGAAGTGTTGAACTTATATAAATCCAAGCTCAGCTATCTAACCGGCTCTCGCGGATGTTGCTCCAGCATTTGACCCTGTAGTCAAAGTAAGAAAACATAGAATCTGGAGAATCTTTGGTCTGTAGTAGCGAGGGTCAGTCAACCAACAACCCATTCACGCTTTTGTAGGTCATCCCAGGTGCCTCCCACCAAATAGCCCTCATCAGGGAGGCTTGACACGCCTATGGTAAACGACTTGACCCTTCCCAGGCTATTATATCGCGCATAATGCACTTCCTTCTCTGCTCTCTTTAGCGACACCGATACACACGGGTGTGTTGTACCGGGACGACCATGATTATATTCCTTCACGATAATCCCATGCGTTTCGCCAGGCTTAAAATCGATCGGCATCTTCGTTCCCAAATACAAGACTTCTCCCTCGCCCCCGAAAGAAATGTGGCAGTCAGTAAGCCACTGCTCCCAGACCTGTTGAATATCGTCGTCATTGATGCGGCGGAGATCAAATACCATGCGGGATGGAAATATCCAAGAACGATACTCTGTGACATGCAGCCCCCAGGGGGTGATGTATCCCACTCCACCTGTAAGATAGCGAATTTCTTCCGTAAACCGACACACCTTGATCGCCCATCGGCCGCCGTCAAATTCAAAGCGTGGCTCATCATGAAACAGCACGTCTGAAGGGAACTCACGCAGCATACTGTACAACATCCACATGCGACTATCAGTCCCCTTCACCTTGAGGATCTTCTTCACATCCAGATTCAGGACACCCGCTAGCACGATCACGCGATCGCCGTCCTTGCTGGAGGCTCGTGTTGCCACATTATACCAGTTCCAAGAGAGCAGCTTAAATTGGGAAATGCTTGCGTCGCCGTCAACGAAGATGTCGAAGTAGGGACCTGTCACGACGTTGACGAAACGATCGAATTTGGATGCATACTCGATAGAGCCTTGGAAATACTGGTACCAAACGCCGGCAGCGTACCGGGCAATTTTCTCCTGGAAGATGGGAAGCTTTCCTTCACTAAGCTTGGCAAAGAGCTCGTCGGCGATGGTGGAAATGTTGACTGCTTTGTCAGACAGAATCACGTATAGTCGGCTTTTGGCTGCCAATCCTTCTTGAAGTGTCCATAGCCGGCGGATCCAGCCTGAGCAGTACAGCACCCGAAGAACAAGTTCCAAATTGCTTGCAGAGCGCGAGTCGACCTGCTTTATCTCCGAATCCAGAAGCATAGTTCGGTAAGCTGTAATCAGTTAGGTTAGTCCTACTCATGTATAAAGGTCCAGAATCTATTCTCAGCGCACTTACCACCGACATAAACGTCGCGGATGCGTTGAATTGCCAAACTGCGAACCTCGCGTTCATGTGGGATGCACAGCGTATCGATCCACACCAAGACTGAATTGTCTCCACGCCGTTTGCCTGCGAAATGCGCAAAGCGGGCAGCAGCAGTGTTCAGCGGCCTAAATGGCCCGATGCCATGCTGGGGGACATATTCTTTGTCAGTGAGAAGGAGCCTTGCCCGCTCGTAAAGAAGATCCAACTGGCACGTCGGCAGAGAGTTAGCATGCGGGTTTCCCAACCCATCAGCCCATACATGGGAGACGGCCACGTATCGCTTGCTGATTCGCTTTTTCACGATATTAATCTCATAGCCCTGGTTGTCGAGCTCATCCTCGCCACGAGGTGTGATCTGCACAAGAGGTATCCCGCCATCCAGGAGAACTTCATGTAACTTCTCTACGTTTGCGTGGAGATGCTCACACGTACAATCTTCCTGCAGGTGGCGAGTGACATAGAGGCTCTCATCGACGTTGTCTGCGACACATTCTGTCTTCTTACAACGCTCATGCGTCCTCTTGTTCCAGGCGGGCTTCGTCCGTAGAAGCTGAAGCAAATACGCCGGGGTGTCCAGTTCAACGCCAATCTTGCGACACTTCTCTGCGTCCAGCGGGCACCATCCACCCCTTACCATCTGCTCGGCCTCTCTGTCTCTGGGAAATAACCAGAGCTTGACGGTGCCCGGATCGGTCTGTGGGCCATCACGCTTCTCCGCGACATTCCAGAGAGCTTGACAGGCCAGCCGAATAGCAAAGCACATGTCAGCCCGTATGTAGCGGTCATATCTTTGGAGGTGCTCCCAGACTCGCCTGACGATCCCGAAAGACCGCGCGCTTAGTCCGTCGTTCTGCCACTTCTCGGTACTACCCACGTATCGTTCCAGATGCTTTGTCGTAATGTACTGCTGTTGGCCTTCATCGTCATTCTCACTTTCGCGGAGGAGAAAGTCGCACTGGTTTAGCTGGTCGCCGAAAACGTAGTGGAGCATGCCGAAATAGAGCCAGCACTCAATTGTAGGTTGGAACTCCTGAGGAATTTGGCCTTCAGGGAACTTCTGTGTCCCCGGCTCTGACTCCCAGCCATGGCGCGTGGGATACTCATCCCAGTCGCCTCCGTCGTATAGCGGACCGTGATACTCAATCCGAATAGGCTTTGAAGGCTCGTCAGGAGAGAAGAGATGGTCTGCCATGGCGATTGTGTATCTCGGTTAAACGAGAGAAGAGAAAACCATATTCGACCCCGCCTCAGCTGAGATTGCGCGCCGATTATAGTTAGCTGAAACACAAGTCACATGGCAATGACCGTCTGACAACCGGGGGAGGCCTAGTCCCTCTACTCCCTAGTATGTGAAGCGCCACACTGCCGCTCCCTTTTCCCGCCCCTGATTGGTCACACCAGCTCGTCCGCGCCCCATATCTTGTTAGGCAGTAGTGGTTAGGCCTCGCTACGGGTCCTGTTTGGGTCAAATATCAGGACCCATACCCACGGGTTGGGTTTGGATACTCGATTGCGACTTTAAATGAGTGTTGTGGGATCATAGTCACAAACGGGGAAAGGGGTGAGGATTGTTTCTACGGTTGTACTGCAATAGGTGAGCTTGCGGGTACCTGCCAATAGCCACTCTCCTTCACTTGGCGGCCCGGCCCCCATTCTTGGCTTTTTCTGGAGGCCAAATGGGCGCTCGTGGGGGCTGACTCTGGGAACATAAATACATCGTGGCGACTGCCGCTGCGTGGTCTGGTCTTGACTATCTCTCCTCAAAGTACAGTGAACATCTTGATTGCAGAAGAGGTGCAGAAGCGAATAAGGCGCTCTGAGGCAAAGGAAAATCATGGATATCTGCTTCTGTAATCGGATTGTAGCTATGATTATGCGGCTTATTGTGCTGACCCCTCTAGCTGACCGAATGTATGGTATTATGGTTCGCACTGACCCGCCACTTGGACTCGTAACATATGCAAGTTGCCAAATATGTAACAATTAATTAAACCAGTGGAGACTCAAGACAAGGAGGCTTAGTACTCAGCCTCATGTCTGAGTGCCAACAGCTCATTTTCAGGCATATTTCCTTCACATTTCACACTTTGTTGTGTGTGCTGGTTTACTTCCCGTCCCACAATGGCAGTGTTTCCATTCAACCTGAGATGCTCCGCACTCATTGTGATAGTGGCAGCACTCCTCGTTGCAATGGCCTTTGTTGGCCATCCACCGAAACGTTGAAGAACCGGCGATCCAAACACCAACCGGCATTTCGCGTATGAAGATCTTCAAGAACCCGCTCACTTCTCCATTTATTTTCGTTGTATCGGTCTCGCGGGGGCGAGAACGTTGGCTCGAGTTGTGGGCCAATCCTCATATCATGGGCGTGGAGACGGCTAAAGCCATGGTAAGCAATTTGGCTTGTACCATGGAGAAGCTGGTTACTGGCATGCACATGGCCCTGCCGGGATGGATGAACGAGGTTAACTCGTTGGTCCCTGGTCTCATTCTCATTAATTAATTACATATGTGTTGCTACAGAGCGCAACATGAGTGGGTGAGCTCGGATATGGATCTGTTTGCTTTCATTTAAGTTATATCATGTCTCATTTCATGATATCCGTATAAGTGGTATTGACAAAACGTCGTAGACGCCTTGCTCTTTAAGACGGCTGCTACGTCGATTTGAGTCCAAGTCTAATCTAGCAGTGCACTGTTCGAGGGCACTTAAAAGGCACGTCTTCGGTGGGATCCGTCGTAGCGAAAAAAAAAAAAAAAAAGAATTTCCTGAATTCGCTAGAGGACGAGACACTACGACTTATGTTAAGTGTTATTCGCCACATGCCCTACTTTGCACCGCCTTAGGATTCGGATCTATCACCGATTGTTCTGGAATTTTGGGGCGCCAAAGCAAGACTATCTGCAATCACTCCTTTGCTAGGACGAAAGATGATAGCAACTGGTGACGGAGGACTTTGGGCGCTTTGACGGAAACAGGTGGTTTCCTGTGTTCAAAGAAGCTGACGCATTAGACATCACTAGCGAATAAACTTTCAAAGTATTTAGCAATTGGAACACCCTGAGAGTTCGGAAAGAGCCCATCATGAAATTGACCCGGTGGGCGAAAAAAGTCTCCCCTCCCCTCGATGTATCGGAGCAGCATCAAAAAGTCGGGTGGAAACGCGGACCCTTCCTTTAACTCCTTCGGAATGCTCGATGGATTTTTCACCCCTTGCACAGCGTCCTCGAATGGTATAACATTCAGCCTCACCGGCTTACCGGAGTGGCTTCGGAGGAGATCCGCAACCTCAGAAAAGCTGATGTGGTCACCACGGAAGCCGAAGACTTGATTCTCTGAGGCCTCCGGATGACACAGAGACGATACCACAAATGCGGCCACATCATGGCGGGAGACGAAATCCAGACGCGCATCAGGATCACCGACAACATGGATTACGTACTCATCCGGATCGGTCCGCAGCCAGGGACACAGCGTTGTCTCAGTAGGAGGATCATACAGTTCACCGCACCCTATCACTGTATATGTCATCTTGCCTGACTTGACCGCCGGATGCTGCATAGCCTCCCGAAGGAGCGGTATTTTCTCGGCCCATAACTACGCAGTTCTGATTAGTAGCCTCCCTTAACTGTGACGCACGTTCATTTTAGAGCAGAGGAGAGCATAGCGCTCAGAGGACATACAGGGTGGAGGAATGGTCCGTGCCCGGGCAACACAGGAATGTGGTGCATGCCAAACTCGCTTGGGTAAAAGCGCTTGACCCCGGCCATGGCCGCGGCGTTTTGAATACACTGCTGCCGTCGAAGGATAGTCCCACCCAGCGCATTCAGCACCACATCTATTCCATCTAAGACTTTTGCTATCTCTTCTTCGGTGGCAGTTGCAAGATCTAGTTTCCTGACCATAATTGCTCTTCGGTCTCCGAAGTACTTCAGTTCGGATTTAGGTGATATAATGCAGAGAATATCGAAAGACCTCTCCTTGCAAGCCATTAATGCATGCAGGATGGCGTTTCCTATATTACCATTCGCGCCGAATAGTGCAACCTTTCTGAACTCCATTGTAAAAGGTTTGCGTGGAATGATATGGATGGTAGGAAGACTGCAGGGTTAAGGCAGGAGTTTCTCATCGAAGCACTGGGGTTTTAAAGACGGCTTCCCCTAGCCATTACCATGAAGTCGTCATACATTAGCTAATCTATCACCAGGTATTATGACATGCCTTAGATCACAACTGCGTAGCCATGTTCGAGGCGATTTTTGCAATGCTCAGGTCTTCTGTACTTGTGTATTCGAGACTTAAAACAACGGCTCACGTAGTATGAGCCCTACTAGGACGGAGCAGTTCTGGGTCTTACTGATCTGGGCCGCCAACCTTATTTGCGCCACATCTAGCGCATTAGGAACGTTCCCATACCCTGCTCTTCGGGAAGCCACTAGTAAGTAGCTGCCCTAGATGCTCCATTGATGGACTCGGCCCACCCGGAACCATCCAGGTCGTAGTGTCATGTTTTGCGTACTCGCGGCGGGGTGGCTTTGCGGGTTCTGTATCCACGACCCATAAGTCATTGCGGCAATCTACACCTAACAAATCATCCCTAGCCTCAGGAAATGACTCCAATTTAGGTGTAGAAATATGAACAACATTGCGTCATGACTCATGAATACTATGAAGACGCTTCAATAGCGGTATTATTCCGACTGCGGAGCTCTGTGGCTCTCTAGCTAGACCTAGACACTTCAGTGTTAATTAATTAGAGTTCTAACTCTCTAATGTGCATATATGACCCAGAGAACCAGATACAGATCTAGTTCCATCCGCCACACAAATCAAAGGAATTTCACATGATCACTACGGAGCGTTAGGACACAAAAATGTTACGTCATATATGGCACTTAATCAGACAACCGCCGGTGGGAGGTCGAAGTCCAACTAAATACATACAGCAAAATCCTCCAATCATAGATGTATGACTTTCCTGACGTCAAACCTATTCTTTGTATCCATTGACTTACTCCAAGGAAGCACATACCTCCGTTGATTGCTCAGGACCCTTATTCGGCCCTCTTTGAAATCGGTGGTATAGTGCGTATGTCCAAATACCCAGACCTTGACACCGTTTGTTGTTTGCGAGAAGATATCAGCTCCAAAAGCAGACTTCCAAGGGCTATGCGCGTTCTGTGGACAGGATGTCCTCCTAAGGGAAGGGGCATGGTGCGTCACAACTAATATAGACTGTTTTTGACTCTGCCTTTCTGCTGTTTCATTCTGCCGCTGTACTGACTGTATCTCGTCAAGTAACCAGGCAAGGTCCGAGTCATGCGATGCGTTATGATCTTCGACCGTCCAGCCTTCAATCTTTCGGAAATCTTTGATCTTCGACCGGACGATGTCCCTTGATTCATGAGGAACTTTGGACCAGAGTGTACACCCTAGAATAGTGACACGGGACCCTGGAATATTATACCGTCTCCGATGGAGGATGACTAGCCGACCATTCAACGCAGGTTCTCGTTCGAGTTGTTTAGCCTTTTCGAGTCCCACTGTAAAAGTTCCATTATAGAATTCATGGTTCCCCAGAACGAGAAATACATGCTCAAATCGGTCCGTCTGTTTTTGTAAAAAATCATGATAGTTGTCGTAGTCCACCAAGCATCCTATATCACCCGCAAGAATAAGATATTTAGCGCAAAGAGGGATTTCATAAGATATGTACTGTTGATTAATCTCGAGATGAAGGTCAGATAGAACTTGAAAGGAGACAGACGGCCTATTAAAGAGTGACCATAATTTCTCTAACATTATGTCACGCCACAACGCTCAACTTCTTGGAGGAGTGACTGGTCTTCAAAAAGAAGGGGGAAAGGAACTCCATGGGTACCCTACGACCGTACGATGCCAAGACTGCACCGTTGGGGATTATAGAACCGGAGTTCGGAGTCTGGAGGCCTTCTCCCTCTTCTAGCCGCGGCAATGCCCCTGTTCTTTTCGAAATGCAATTATTTTATTTATCTGGCAGAAACTAACAGAGGCCAAAAAAAAAAAAAAAAAATAAAAAAAGAGGAAGTTACCCAGCTCAGTTGGGCCTTCAAGATGGCGACGTAGCAGCGTATATAATAAGAGAAATAGCGTTGAACTACTATAATGTTCCCTGTCCCCTGAGCATCGCCAACATTCTTGCACGCTCTCAGTCTGACTATCGGCACTTCACTGCACCGGCAAATTGTATTATATCAAGAGATTGCCTACAACTACAGCCGTCAGTTCCTGGATTTATTCGGTCGGGATGGAATTGGGCATCTGCCGGCGCCATATCTTCCGGCGTTCTTCACTGGGATTTGCAGGAGATTCTTTGAGCCAAACGACTGTATGGCTAAAATTGACGCCGAGTATCTGGTGGACGGGAATGGACCGGGAGGATGTGATCAACCCAAGGGACGTAGTGACCGAGGCCTATGCACGCCTGCCGGACCTAAAGCTGCAGTGCAGCTGGACGACGCCGTCCGAAGGGTCAAGGAAAGCACTTACATGGGGTTGACCGACAAGCTCGTTGACGCCGTCTCACTCCCCATATTCATGGTTGTAGATGCGTGGAGAACATGGAATCGATCGTCGAGGCGGCCGAGGAGATGGATTGGGAGAAGCGCAAGGCAATCGTCTTTGCCTTCCTGAGCGCCATTTTCTTTTCCGTCCCCTTCGTCGGTCAGCTCGTGAGTGGGCTGGCATCGCTTGTCACAATTGGGCGCATTGTCGCGCTGATGGGAACGGTCAGTAACGTGGCGTTGGATATCTACAAGGTGGTCGATGACGAGGAGAATGCGCCCCTGGCCGTCTTCAACCTCATTCTTGCTCCCTTGGCACTCTTTTGGACATTGCGCGAGTGACTCGCGCAGCCAATTTCCGCCGCGCGATGCCCGGCAAGGAGTTGACCAAGCTGGGCGATAAACTGGCAGCCCGCATGGACATGATCAGTCGGACTAAGGACAGATGTCCCATCTGATGCATCCTTGTTCAGGATGCTCTACAATCGAGCGCATACGAAATTCAAAATGTAATACTATTAGTCATAGGTACATTCAATTTATATGTCATGACATGCAGCACCCAGAACGCAGCCAACCAAAGACCGCTCCATGACGCCACGTAAATGAAGAAGCATGTGCTCAATTGATCAATAAATATGATAAAGATCGCAATTGGACTATTAGATTTATCATTTTGAAGCCAACGGCGTCAATGGAAAAAGATGCCAAACCAGTGACATCATCGACGAGACCAAAAGTAGACTAAATATTAAGCATAATCATGGCAATCAGCCGCGCATGATTATTATTGCTCGGCACTAGATATGCAGCAAGGACAGACTGGACTAAAATAAGAACACAGACATCATCAGATTCAAGTTCCTGGCGATCATTATCATTATGGTAACAAGTCATGGAGGGCTTGGCGTGGCTGCCGGAAACAGGGAAAGTACAGAGTAACCATGACGCAATTGATACTGAACATTCCCTGCCCCAGACGCCAATGTCACTCTACGACATCGTCATTGCATCAAAAGTTATAAATACCATTGACTACTTCAGATCTGAACAATCTCTTGATTAAGTTTACCCACGAATCTCAATTCTTCATTTAACCCATCTCCTACTCCATACTCTCTCAATCACAATATGTTGACCCGAGGTCCCCGATTCGCAACAGGCTGTGCCCGGCAGCAGCTCTGGGGCCAAACAAGGGCATCTCTTCGCAATCAACGCCGTCGCTACGCTACCTCAACTCAGTCCACCCCGAATGGCACCAACGCTGCCTTGGTTGGGGGTCTCGCTGGTGGAGCGGTGACATTTCTCGCAGGCTACACCTGGTACAACTTCTCCGGAGCCAAGAAGCTTGTTCAGACCGCGAACCAAACACAAAAATACTACGACGAAGCAAAGAAGACAGTCGCTCAGAAGACTCCTGATCCCGACCAGGCCTTTGGTTGGCTGAGAGATACGGCGAAAAATTACGCATCGTGGATCCCCGGGGCCAAGCCCTATGTTGACCAGGCGTTTGACGATCTCGAGGAGATCAAGCGCAAGCATGGAAAGGAATTCAATGAGATCGTCAGTGATGCGTACAAAGACTTGCGCGAAGCCACAAAGAAAGGCGGTCTTGATGTGAACACCGCTGTTAAGATTCGGGACATTTTAGAAAAGCACTTCAAGCGTCTGTATGAACTGGCTGGCGAGTCTGCTGGTGACATTCTTGACAACCATCCCGAAATCAAGGAGAAGGTCGGCGGCAGCTTGGATCAGCTCAAGGAGATGGGCAATGCCTATGGTCCGCAGGCGAAAGAGGAGGTAGACAGAACGTGGCAGCAAGTGAAGGATATCATCTCGAGCGGTGTTAATCCCGAGACCGTCCAGAAGATTCAAAGCCTGGCCCAAGAGAAGAGGGAGAAGCTCCAGAAGTTCGGTGATGAGGCATGGCAGCGAGGTATGGAAGAGGTCAAGCCATACCTTGATCGAAACCCCAAAGTTAAAGAACTTGTTGAGAAAAACAGTGATGCATTGAGAAAGGGCAACTTTGGGGAACTCTGGGGTCTAATCAAGGAAAGCTCGTCCTCTGGCAATCTAGGGAACCTTGAAGGGTACATCAACAAGACCGTTGATCAAGCCAAGAAGAGTGGTTTCAACCTTGACAGTCTGGCAGAAAAGTTTCCAGGAGGTTCAAACATTCTCTCTCAGCTGCAGTCACTCCAGAATATTGCGCAGAAGAAGGGTCCAGAGGCGGAGAAGATTCTCAAGGATACCCTCAATGACATCCAGGGCGTCTTATCCGAGAGAACGAAGCAGGCCGAGAGCCTTGCTGAAGAGGCTAAGAAAGAGAGCAAATAATTGGGGTGCTACAGACTACTTCCTGAATCTTCCCTTGTACATATATGCATAAGTTGGGATTTCTGCTTTTTCCAAGTCTCCAAGGATTCGGAGAGTATGTATTTTAGCAATGACTTATTAGACGGAATTGACGGACCGACATCCGATAACTATATTCTTATGCTGAGTACATATGTAGATTACAGCAAGGACTGTCTAGAGCGTTATATGAGTCAAGATATTCATTCTACTTATTTCTACATTGGAGTACCTCTTAGCACCTCTACCTAACAGGCACACCGAAGACCTCTGACTGCTATATGACATCATACTGGGTAACTGGACCTTTAGCCAATCAGAGGCGCAATGCTGTTGCCAGTGCCGCGGTCACCGCAGTCAATTACCGCTACAAGATATGATTGGTCCAATCCCCTTCGGTTCTTCAGCGGCCCGTCTGATCCAAGAACCAAAGCCAATCAACGCCCTGACTGCCAGGGTCGAAGCCGCCGAGCCGAGGAGGGAATGTTGTTGTGCGGGGAAGCAGGGTGCACCGCCTCCTGGCATCTGATGGCGCTTGTGCAGCAGCGTACACCGATTAACGGGAGTGCGCAAACCTCTGTGTGTCCCTGCGTGGGGTCGATACTGGTTCCATGTAACAGTGATTGTTCTACCCTCAAATGGTTCCAGACCCAAGCAATATCCCTCTAGGGTTTCTGGGAAATCTGTCGAGGGAACAGGAGAGATGCTTGCAGCAACTCTGGTCCCTGGTTCTCTACCTTGAGGATGCCGCCTCTGTCAAAGACCTTGAACAGCTCTTCCGGGTCAACAGTGCCGGACGGAATAGACCAACTTCAATTTCGTCATTTGCGCGTCGAAATTCGCTGCTTGCCCGGGCGGATTCCACCCTATCGCGCAGGAGCAGCACAGCGTCCTTTCCAGCACCTTCCAGTCCACTAGTCCAGAGCCTTCGCAGTATCGGAATGACCGCATCTGAGATCCGATCTGTCGCAAAGTCCTTGACTTATCTTAGCCCAGACGATGTTCGCTGGGGCATACTCACGGCAAGCAAACATGAATATCCGGATCGATGGATGCTTCGATACCTGCGTTTCTGCAAGTGGAATGTCAGCAAGGCTTTTATTCTGCTCCTGAACGCTTTGCAGTGGCGCATAAAGGACATGCATGTAGATGACCGTCTACTGCCAGAGGGTGAACTTTGTGCGCTGCACCAGTCGCAGGCACCCTCGAATGCTGCCGAAGCACAACTATCGAGCGGCTTTCTTCGTCAGCTGCGGATGGGGAAATGTTATGTCCATGGCGTCGATCGACTAAGCCGACCCTTGTGCGTTATACGAGTGCAATTGCATCGACCCGAGGATCAGTCGGAAGAGGTGATGAATCGATACATCACACATATTTTGGAGTCGGTCCGACTTCTCATCGCGCCTCCTGTGGAGACAGCAGTATGTACCACTCACATAGGTGGATTCATGTCGCTGACATACCTGTTGTAGACTGTCATTTTTGACCTGACTGGGTTTTCTCTCGCAAATATGGTGGGTTTTGCCGGCATGGTGGGAAGGATTACCTACTGATATTGCATTTACAGGAGTACGCTCCTGTAAAGTTTATCATCCGATGTTTTGAATTATATTACCCCGAATCGTTGGGTGTTTTGCTAATCCACAATGCTCCGCGTATTTTTGCAGGTGTGCTTGGCCCTGTTTCGGTCGTTTACCTCTGTCGCTCACCAACTAACTGAGTCTACGCAGGAATATGGAAGATCATTAAAGGCTGGATCGACCCTGACATGGTGACGAAAATACACTTCACCAAGTCGGTCGAAGATCTCGCACAGTTCATTCATCCCAGTCAGATTGTGAGCGAGCTGGGGGGTGATGAGGACTGGGAGTATGAATATACCGAGCCTGAAATGGATGAAAATGACTTGATGGAGGACGACGAAACGCGCAATGCATTACTGACTGAGCGACAACGTATCAGCGAAGCATTTCTTTCCCTTACAACCCAGTGGATCGAGGCGACGAGACTCGACTCCCCTGAAGAGACTGCGATCGTCCAGTCGCGCCGTTTCAGAGTGATGGAGCAACTTCGCCTTAATTACTGGAAATTGGACCCTTTTGTCCGGGCGCGTAACTTCCTTGATCGAACAGGCGTCATTCAGGAGGGTGGGAGAATCAGACACTATCCAGAGCCTAAACCCGAGGTCCAGATCGAGACAGCCAAGGTGCTGGAGGTGGCCCATGTTGATCGGGCGCGGGTGAAGCTCATTAATGTCTAATAATTTTACCCTGGCGACATGACGATGATACCCGAGGCATTCCTCGTTTTGCGTTTCTTACACGTGATGAAGGCAGACTATGTTTAATTTAGTAGTATCAGATTGTTGCTATCCTGATTCTGTAGCAGATACAACTAGTAGTCCCGAGCGGAGACGTCGGACAGCTGGCGCTCAGCGTGTCTCTTGGCCTGCTCCCGGTCGATAAAGTCAAGACCCTTGGTCTCAAATTCACGGTCAATGAAAGCGCCGGCAAATCCAGCGAGGATCTCCTTGGCCTCCGCGTGGCTAGCAGGCTGACCTATATCCAGATCAGCATACCTGTACCAGACTAATCCATCTTTCCTATTATGAGACATGGTGGAGCGACAGGGCAGAACGAACCGTTTTCACGAACGTGGTTCTCATAAGCCTTAGCAGCCTCATAGGAGGCAGCGGCAGCAATCAGCTCATGGCTGAGCTTGGCCTTGTGCTCATCGCTTCCGGAGTAGGACTGATATTGGTCGTAGGCCTGAGCCTGGTCACTGTCGTTGCCTAGAAGAGTATACAAGGTTAGTGAAAAGCGATCGCAACATGGATAGAAAGGGAGCCCTACTGAACCAGCCCATGATGTCAAAGTTGTAGGGATTAGGAATGAAGAAGTGGAAATATCAGTTTCAAAGGTTGTGTTGATGGAGATATTAAAGACAAACGGGGGAGGAAAGGAGAGGGGCTGGATAATGGTTTATATAGGCCAATCTTCAGGTTACGGCGGGGTAAAGGAAGGCCCCCTCCTAATGTGCTGATGACTACTTTACCTAGGATAATTGTCTCATAGGTATACGGTGTGGTACTATCGAGACTTAGCTGTTAAGTGTAAGCTTTCCAGGCGGGGCTCTCCACCACGAGCTGCCCAATAGCATCGTGGAGTGCTCATGGTAAATGGTGACTATTGGTCTTAGCATTGGTCTAATCAAAATGGCCTTATTTTTAGCAGATGCGAAACTGTAGCACCTCCTTTATGGATCCGGGCTACAGCCAATGGAGCCCTTCCGGCGATGTCACTATGATGCATCCTGCCAGGTACTGAGTTGTTCTCATCACTTACCGTGCTGGCCTTGAACTTTACTTATCCATTCCTCAAGCTCTATATTCAACGATCAGTAGCTATATAAGTCCAAGACGAGAAATGTATATCTCTATATAATTGTATTGGTTGCTGGAGCTAACTCTATGAAACTCACAGCAGATAGGCTCAGCCATCTTAATTGTCCAGACCCGGACATTGCTCGCTGGTCTGTGCCGTGATGTCGGAGTAGGGGTAGGGATCGGTCCAAATCAAGTCGAACCTGAAACTGTTCAGACACAACGTCATCAATTCTTGTATCAAGGAAGACTGACCGGTCATCAGGATATGTTGGGGCATTATCATCGCCCAACTGGTTGACGATGTCCGTCAACGCGCCGTGTTCCCAGCAAATCAGAATATTGCCCGAGCCGGTGTAACCCTCGACCACATCTCTGACACACTTCGGATCATCGCGATCACAAGATGTGTCCACGGTCAGTCCCAGGTCTTCAGCGAGAGGCTCTACTGTCTCGTAAGGACGAGCGCGTTTGCCATCTGGATTGACAAGTTAGCCGGAGGTCTTTCCAGAAAGATCTAACCATCATACCACTCTTGGGCGTTTGAGCCATAATATATCCAATATTGTAGCTTGAAGCGCGGCCAAAGACGGTGCGAAGGCATTGAGCACGCTCAAGACCCTGAGCGCTTAATCCGTTACCTCCATCGCTGGGCTTCTCACCATGACGGATGAGGTAGACGGTAGGCTTGGCTGCTGAGACAGCGACGCTGATGAGGCCCAAGGCCAGAATGGTTTTGGCATGCATGGCGATAGAGTTGAATGACAGAAGCAAGTGAGGAGTTTTGGTTCGGATCGGTCCGCCTTTATACCTGCTCGGAGTCCCATCTTACAGATGCGATGTAACCTCGTTGCACACATTCCGGTCCAAATCGGCGTCGACAGCCCAGGAAATGGTTGGCAATTATTGATTGAGAGAGATGTATCTAGCAAAGGAGGAATTGGGGGCGGCGATAATGTGATTGGTTCATCATGCACACGTGCCGCAATGGCTTGATGATCGGCTTTCTCATGTCTCGGCTCTTATGCATCGTTCGCTCGTATTCCGCTCCCGTACGTCGATCCAACGCCAAGACGGTTAGAAGATGATGCGTGACTACTCATGCTTATGCATATTACTGTTACGTTGCGACTGCATCTTACCAGTGGAAGCGAGAGCGGGATGTCGGCCCCAGTCCGTATCCGATTCTGGCTCACAACCCAATTCGGCTGAGACAGTAATGTGAGATTCAACAAAACGAAAGCAGGAATTTCTTGCAAGAACCACACAGCAAAGCCCAAGGCGAATATAAGCATCATACCCCAATTATTCTTCCTACGAGAGACACTGGGAGTAATAAGCATTCAATACCTTGCACGTGGCGCCCGACACACAGGCAGTAGGACCAGTCCAGCCGCTGCCACCACACTGTCCATACAGGGTCTGAGTTGCTCCACTAGTGGTGGTCGTTGTGGTTGTCCTGGTGGTGGTTGTCGACGTCGAAGGAGAAGGGTTGCTGCCTCCTGTCGTCATGCCCACCGGAGTGTCATCGGTCGCAGTCTTGCCGTAGCAGACACAGGTCTCCCAATCTGAGGTGGCTTGACCAGGACAAGCCACCGGCTCAAAGTTGACTACCACGTTGTCGCCGAAAACTTCGCTCTGGGCCATGATATCAAAGTGGTAGCTATATCCATAGTTGTTTGTGGCGCCGACCTGAGGACACCATTGCTGATTGCCATTATAGGGACAGAGATTGGTGACCATGACGATGATACTCTCCCCAGCGGCCCCTCCGGTGCCACAGCCGCTGCAGGGAGCGTTGCCAGTTGATGTCAGGTTATAGCACCTGCCGCATCCTGCACCGCACCATGAGGCGCCAGCAGTATCGAAGAGGGCCTGAGAGCCGGCAGCCGTGTAAACACCGTTACTGATGCCGAGCTATAGATCAAACGTCAGCGCAGTCTCTCAAACAGCTGAGAGAGCCCTCACCTGCCAAGAGTATGCACCGGATGATGTTCCACAGCCACAAGCTCCTTCCTGCCCGTCATAGTATCGCTGCCTCGCTGGTTAGTCATGGTTGGGATAGCATAAAGCAAGGCCATACCGTAGTTGTGGCCAGATAAGCTGAAGCCGAGGCGACGATCCCTAGGCATGCAAGTACTGTCTCTACCTTCATGGTTAATCCAAGAAATATGATTCTGATGAAAGGAAGAGCACACAGCAACTGGGAAGAGATTTATGTCTCCAGGTCAGTTCACGGCACAAATCTCGACAGCATATTTGACGTCCAGTGTTCGGCCCGCCGATCCGGCATTGCAGTTTGCAGAAGGCTGGTGCGCAAGCAACCAGAAGACAGTACACCTTGCTCGCAAGTGTTTAGCCTTAATTAGAAAATAACCTGCTCGGCAGTTGCCAGGATCCAGTCATATTTGCCGGTTTCCATTGACTGAGAGTAAGAAGCTTTGGTGGCTACGTGCCCGTGTTTCAGGTAAATAGACCCTCCGCACTTGAATAACCGTCGCAGCGGGGCCAGGGCATCACGGGTCCAGACATCGCGGCATTTTCGACAGTGGTATACGCTACTAAAAGGGGCATTTTATTAGTCGTGTAATAACCGGTCCGGGGGTCGTCTGAGCTGTTCTGCCACTTTTCTGCAGAAACCTTCCAATAACCGATGGCAAGAAAGTGGGTTAGGCAGCAGACTCCTCAGAGCTGGGGATCCGTCGAGGAAACGCGATATACCTGACCAATTTAACCTACTTGCAGAAAGCATCACAATCCAAAAGATGACTAGGTGGTTCTGTCTGTTAAGGACATACTTCTCCATTATTTGCCATGTTCCCAACAAGATATTAGCTTAGTAAACAAAAGTGCCCATCTCCCAGTGATCATGCTATTTTATCCACCCGAACCGTTACAGGTTAAGTTTGGCAAGCCTATGGGCGTTGTACCTTGCATGGAGTCAATTAAGAGAGATCCACATAGGGTACGCTAGGAAATGTGTCTGGTGCTTATGAAAGGAGATAACGGGGCTAAGTCGGTCACCATGACATTTACCACCCATACGTCATGTACACTTCATGACTCTCCTAGATAGACATGCAATGTGTCAATTGTGCTATTGTCGATTGGTGTCTTGGAAAATAAATACATGACATCCGTCTCGCCTCATTAATCCATGAGACCTTGCCGATTACACCTGTGCATAAAAAAGATTCAACATTGGTGTACAAATTGCATGAGCATGTTTGAATTACGAATTTGCCTGTTGCAAACAACATCCTCGATATCCGATCCGACAAGGAAGATGCCCAGCTTAAGGTATCCCTGGAGCAAAGCATCCGTACTGTTTGCCATGACGCGGGGAGGGTGCACTGCCCGATCTCCTGCTCTGGGACGAGAGGGGATTACGGTACTTTGAAGAGGTCGCCTACACTCCGTCATACTACGTGACCAACGAGGAATTGGACTGCCGGAGAGACATAAGTGTCAGATCACAGAGCATTCCGTCTGGGTGAATGCTGGTCGAACTAGGCAGTGGGTCAGCATGATACTGTTCGAATAGCCTAGACGATGCGTCCTGATCCCATCTCCAGTAACCTCCGCAAGATCCGAATCATATCGATGCCCTTGATGAACTTGGTCGAGATGTGGACTATTTCGCCGTGGACCTCTCCTATCCTGAAACTCCAACGGACACTCAGTCTGGTGTCTCCGGAGCGATTCCGCCATGTGCGGTGTTTTGGTCTATTGGGACCGACGATGGGCGCGAAGGGCTGAAACGACACGAAATTAAGTCCCGTCCAAAGACTGCTCTCGCTTGGATCTACCACGGAAGCTTGCAGGGAGCGGAGACTTCTGCTTTTTTGTCCAGCTTTTGTTCGGGATGCGCAGACAACAAAAAGCGTCTTTCCCACCTACAAAAATGCTTGGATATTGACAGCTGTAGCCGTCATTCGCCAGTCCTGCGCAATCCAGTTCCCTGGTAATGGCAGCATCATGACAGCACCGCGGGAAAATCACCTGGTCCGACTGTACATCCAGGTTAAGGCCGATAAACAGCTCGAGCAAATGGCACAGGACCACTCAGAGGATACGCCCAGAGCGCTCATTGAGGCCGCCCAAAGGTGGATCAGTCCGTACAAGTTGCCCTACAAGCATTGCGATTGGTGGTCCATATACCCGGTATGACCACGCATTACCCATCATGACCATACTCACTGACAGTTGAAGGTTGGACAACGAATGGTCAAGAAATACAGAATCAAGGATAGGTAAGGAATCCTTAGACGTTGCCAGTCAGCTTGCTCACAAATGTAGGAATTTCCTTGCGGGTGATGCCGCCCACACCCACTCTCCCAAAGCCGGTCAAGGCATGAATGTGTCGATGCAAGATACCTATAATCTCGTCTGGAAGCTCGGGTCAGTCATCACCGGAGTGGAGATCCCATCATCCTCGACACATACGACCCCGAACGGCGGCCAGTGGCCGCAGACCTCATCGACAGGAGCCTAGGTTGCTTGGTGCTTTGTCGGCCAGATCAACACGTGGGGTGGATAGGAAGTCTAGACGAGGTGGCAGGCGTAGGCAACTACTTCTCGGAATTTTCACGGCAGTAGACTATAGAAGACTAATTACAAATGATATCCTGTTGGAACCCTACCACTTGTACTCATATACATGGGTAGCTTCCATGAAGAACGCTAATATACAGGCATCGGAACTGCATCCAAGTCATAGTGCCAGCTGTCGATGGACGCCTGGTCATAGACACAGTCCATGGTCTTTCCGTTGTTCTTCCAGAGAGGGCGCAAGGGCCACGCGCAGAGCTGCTGGTTCTCGCCTTCATACTCACCCTGAAGCACTGTCGCATTCAGAGTCACCGGCGTCACTCCCTTTTCGACCCATTCGATCATGACAGCCAGGTTGGTCTGGGGCCACGGACCATTGGGCATGGCATTGTTGGTCGAGCAGTGGCCGGCACCGGGCACAGTGTATAGCCGGTACCATTCATTCAGAGCATCGGCACCAGCTTTGTAGGACAGATTGCCGTACATGGTGCTCCTGACCGACTCCCAGTAGCGGACCGACGAAGCAGTGGGGATGCTGAAGTCAGCGTCGCCATGGTAGTGGATCACCTTGCCGCCAGCGTGGTGGAATGGTGTCAGATCAGGCCAGGTAGTCTGCAGGGTGCTGTAGTACTCCTGTAAGCTCGAGATCATCCAGTCTTTCAACGTGTCGTAGGTTACCCCGTCCAGGCTGTCCAGGGTGGTGCCGTTCTTGTTAATAAGCAGTGCAATGTGTTCGCCGCCAAGTTGGTCGATGGACAGCTCCCACTTGCCAGTGGTGGCGTTGTACTGCGTCTGAGCATCGTCAAAGGCGGCACTAGGCTGATAGGAGAAGTACACCCGACGGCCCTGAGAGTCATGCAGTCCGTTGATGATGGTTTTGGCGACCTCGACTGCCTTGGCCGAGACGGTGCCATTCTGGGCCGGTGCGGTGGCAGAAGCGGCGCAGGAGTACTTCTTCCCAATGACAGTTTTCAGGTCAAATAGCAGCAGGCAGAGATCGGTTCTGGCGACCACACCATCAGTCCTGCCATCCAAGGGATCGCATGCGACGATAGTCTCGTTCACAATCTTCTCCAGCTCGCAGGGCGGGGGATAGTAGTCGAGAGTCTTCTCAACAATATTCGAGAAGAGATGCTGAGTCTGCTGGAACGACCAGCGAAACGCAGGAGCCCCAATGACTGCCCCATCCCATTCATTACCGTAGCGCTGCACTTGGCTCCAGCCCTCGCGGCCACCCTCGGAGCATCCATGGTAGTAGGCGTAGAGCTTCTGGCTGTTGGCCATGCCGTACACGTTGCGTGTGAAGGCCTTGCCAATCAAGCTAAGTTCCCGGTGAGCCTTGTAGCCGAACATGTACAGCGTCTCATAGTTCAGCGTGCCGTTGGCAAGCAGCATAGCCTTATCCGCATTGACCGAGAAGCCCCCAAAGCCACCGTCCGTGAGTCCAGACGCCGCACCGTAGATGATACCCTCTGGAAGCATGCGTGTCCCGGAATTGATGGCATAACCACCGCCTCCGGTAGACAACCACCGGTTCTTAAAGCTGCTAGGAGCTGGTAGCCAGATTTGAAGTAGGACTCGGTCGCCGCTGATGCCATCGTGCGAGTAGGCCAGGGTGACATTGCAGTAATCTATGGTCGCGGTAGGGTAGTCATTACTACTGACCGTGCTATTAGTCACCACGCTGGCCGTGACAGAGTTCAAATCAATTGTGATGCCCTGAACAAATTCGGAGGAGGGCAACGCATTTTGAAGATAAGAAACAGTGCAGAGCTCCTCGAGCGTTGAGGGAGTCGCTGCATGGGCCACAGCGGCAAGGCCCACGGTGAAGGGGACCCAGGCAGAGGGACGCATTGAATTTTCTCTAATTGCTTGCAACAGAGAAGGATGATGCGGGATGAGTACAGATGGAATGACGAGGAAATACTTCTCATCTTTATAGTAACAATTCACACTTCTACTCTCGTCCCTTTTCCCCGCTTCCTCCAAGTCCGGGGTCAAACGCAATCATTGAACTGCTCTCCCAAATCTTCATCGATATTAATTTGTGGGGTAGCTCAGTTAGCCAGTTAAGCAGGATGATCTTCAGCTTCTCTGGACAAATAGTATTTGATGCTCCAGAAAGAGCTTCGGAGAATTTGCCCTAGTCAGCACATGAAAGAATGTCATCTCCACAGCCCACCCCACAGTCCCACAGCCCCGAGGTCAACCCGGAGATTATCACCACATGCAGGCCTAGACGCCGAACACCTATTCTTATCTGGCAAAATCTTCTCCCTGAACGCGTGTCTGACGGCTGTAGGACTATTGCTGAGCAGTATCGATGAACTGCATGTTGTGAAGCGAAAGGAATTGCATAGTGACCAAGTACCTGCATCTCTAGTTGCGAACCCTCTATACCCATCGCAGCTCCTCTACTAAGCGAAGCAGTCGGCCATGTCCGCTGCATCTAAGCCTTTCTTCTACTGTGGCGTTTGTGGCGACCAGGGATGCTCAAACTTGGCCTTAGACAGTCCCTCAAGAAGTCAAGCTTGGACAGAAGGGACAGCCGAGACAGACCAAGAAGCAAGATCAATTAATGACACGCTTACAGATTTGTGAGTAGAGCTGAATCTTCTTAAAGCGCGGGGAGTGGTCAGTAGACAAGCTTATCATATCATTGACGAGTCGGAGGGCTGTATGTCTCATGTTATTGAGATGATTCAATTATTAAAAGCAACTATCCCACACAATAGACTAGTCAATTTGAACCCCAGCCGTCTGCAGGAACTCACAGAAATGCACCGTGTCCATGAGCACCTCCAATCACACTGACTTCAAAATCTACATTTCCCTGACCTCGTCGTGAACAGGCAGCTTCTCATCCGCCAAATCCTCGACCCTTTCCACTCCCGCCAGCCCCAGGCGCTCATTGATACGCAGCATCCGAAGCCGGTCCGATTCGGCGATGCTATCCTCGGAACCGCCAAAGTAGACATCAAGCTCTTCCAGAGTCTTGTCCTTGGTCTCAGGAGCAAATGTCCAGATGAACAGACCGCCCAAGGCGCTGAAGATTGCAAAGAAGATGTATGTACCGTACTTCATCGATTTGAGCATGTCCTTGGTAGTCAGACCGATGATGAAGTTGAACATCCAGTTGGTCGAGGCCACGATGGACACGCCCCGAGATCGCATACTGTTGGGGAAAATCTCCTGCGTGAGAACCCACGCCACGGGACCTAGAAGGGTCAGTGATTGAGACGACCATACCGGAAAGAAGACGCACCCCAGGAGTAAGCAAAGTTTACAGCGAATAACCAGATAAAGGCAATGGCAACCCAGCCTTGAGCCTTGTCCAGACCCATATTCTTATTCCAGTTATCCTCGTACAGTCCTTCGACAGTAGCGACAACCACGTGACAGCAGAACATGCCGATTGCACCGGCGATGAGGAAGGACTTGCGACCAAACTTGTCCAGAAAGAGAACGGCCGGTAGCGTGAAAGTGATTTGCAGAATACCGGTCACTCCGGTGGCAAGGAGAGTCGTCTTGGTCGAGGAGAAACCAAACGAAGTGAAGATCTGAGGGGCATAGTACAGAACTGCGTTGATACCCGTAAATTGTTGGCAGATCATGGTTCCTATAGACAAGGATCATTAGGAAGGCAACTGTATAGGCAGGAAATACAAGCTTACCGCAGCCGAGGACAAGACGTTTGAACATGTTGGGAGCGAAAAGCGCCTTCCACGGAGCCAGTCTCCCTCCCACGCGGATGGCCTCCTGGTCCGATTCCTCATCGAAGAGAACAGCCGCCTTGATTTCGAGAATTTCCGCCTTGAGCAAGGGATCTGTGGGACTCAGTCGCCGCAATTTGGAGAGGGCAACAACAGCTTCCTCTTCGCGGTGCTTGGTCATCAGCCACCGAGGGGAGAAGGGGAAGAAGAACATTCCAAAGAAGAGGATCCATGCAAAGATAATCTGCAAAGCCAGCGGCAGACGCCAAGAGATGGTCTTTTGGCCCAGGCAGGTGTGTCCGTGGTTCTGATCGGAGTTGTATGTGCCATCGGGCAGGTAAGGGTTATCAATGCCTTCGGGATTGCAGGTTGTGCCGCCGACGTATTGCATTCCTATTAGTAACTTTGTCAGACGTGATAGAGGGACTGCGGCAGGAGGGTACAAGTACCATAGTCCAGCCAGAAAGCAATGGAGGTTCCGATAGTGATGGAGAGTTGCTGCAGCGATACGAGCGATCCTCTCAGTTCGGGAGGAGCAATCTCGGCTTGATAGAGAGGAATAACCTAGAGATGGCCGCACAGTGAGCGAGTATAGAATGTTACCATGAAGAACAGACGTACATGACTGAACATGCCAATTCCCACACCACCGATGATACGACCAGCAAAGAAGTACGCGGGAGTCTGCGCACCAGCCTGCAATCCGGACCCTAGCGTGAAGATAACCACGGCCACCATCATCGAGTACTTGCGGGAGATCCGATCTGCCAGGTAGCCGTTGAACAGAGCACCCGCCCAGGCACCCAATTCTAGAGCAGAAACCAGCCAGCCCTGGATGGTTGAGCCCATCAGGCCCGGGAAATGATTCTTGAAGTTCTCCATCACGAGTACGGGACCCATGACTCCCTGGTCGTACCCGTACATGATACAACCCAGCGAGGCAAAGGCACAGGTCATAAAGACGTACGGGTTCTTGAGCATACCCACTAGACCATGGGGCTTTTCGGCGTTGGCGCGGCCAACGACTGATTGACTGACCGCCATCTTGATGCGAATTTCTATGCAGAGCAAGGAAGGACTGACGGAAACAAAGCTCGATGGAGGGTTTGACAGTCAAGAGAACGAGGGCTGTCTTGTATTAATAAGTCAGCGACTCCTCTCGACCCCGTCTGGGGTGATATCTCTACACGCGGGGATCTTCCCGAGTCGGCTGGCCTGAATCTTGTAAAATACAATGGGCAGTCGTCCGTAGTACCGGACTAGAGAGGGAGACAGTAGCATTCGACTTTGGGGTTGCATTGTTACCCTGGGGTCGGGGCATCATCGGCTTTGGAAGTCCAGTAATGTCCATCGGAGATCGAGATGACGCGCCTGTTCGACATTCATGACTAGTTTCTATAGTGGCACTAGCTATGCCGAGCCGGGGGAGCAGCGAATACAATGTGCCTTCTATGCCCGAAACAAGGTCTTGCGGATGGATTTCTGACAGCCGGGCCTAGTGAACTGAATCGGGAATGGCATCATCTGGCTGGAATCCAAGGTCACAGTGATATCTTGGTAAGACATCGACCTGGTAGCGGGTTGAGGAGAAGTAGCATCATCCACTATTATTTAGTTAGTTCGACTCCAATGTGGTCAGCACTAAATTAGCTTGTCTGACTCGTCCGAAGCAGGCGTTCATTTTTAGGCCTCCCATTGCGGCTTGAGTGGCTTCAGATGGCGCTTGATAGTCCCTCTCAATTGATGGGAGCTGCGGAGAGCATGAATGAGGCGGATAGAGCATGGCAGGAATCATGTGAGATGCTCGAAAATGAGGATGTCCTTGCAGTCATTTGCTGGACAGAGGCATCACGCAGAGTATCTGCTACAGAAAAATGTGATGGGAAATAAATTGACAATCGTACTATCTAGACCGTGGCAGCTAGAACCAAGCGTTTTTGGGTGGCGGTGGCTTGGAGCTTACGACTTCTATGCCTTTGCAATTGATGAATGTATTATCATTATTATTGATCGGGAGACATGCGGGAAAAGGTTTAATACACTGAACCATGAGCTGACTCGGCTAATACTAACTTGGCATGGTCAATGATAATACTAATCAGAAGTTGGGGTCCCCGGAAAGGAAGGGAATACGGAAGCCATTAACACTACAGCCATCACTCGGAGAATACCTTACTCTTGGAGGAACAAGATTGGCATTCTATTCTCTGTGGAAAAACAGATTCTGTCGATTCAGGACCATTATCTCGGAGCTACTCTTTGCTGTGGGTGACTGCTCTGAGAAGCGATATGAATGAGAGAGAACGTCCCAGAGATCCCGATACATCCGAGAATACCTAGATAGACTAAGGCTCTAAGCTTCCTGTCCAGTGTCTTTCCGTCTCTAGACCGGCTTGGCGATAGCCGACTGACTCAATCATTTAAATCATGGACAGGATGAGTCCGGGACGCGGGTTGATTCCACGTTAGCGCTGAAAACTCCGCACTTGTTCCTGTAAGCGACCGCTTTGATATCTGACCCTTTCGATGATTGGGTATCCTCCCTTGACAGACATCCACAGACCCCCGTTTCTCTCTTGAAAGTAAGAAATAAAGAAATTGACTGGGTCACGGTTTCTCCGCAGAACATCAGTGTCATCGACGACATAATTTTGCCAATGTTCTGCATAACGTGTATGCCATGTGAGACCCATGTGATACCAGACCCAATCTTTGCGCTTGTATCCTGCTCCAGGATGCTCCGATTTTGAGACCTATCTTGCGTGGTATTAGACCGGTCCCGATCGCATAGTAGGGCCCTCATCCTAAACAGCTTACTCCTTGTTTTCCCCCGCACGGTTCTCCGCCCCATTTTGAGAGTAAGACACAACGGATCAATGCCGGCCAATCCTCATTCAATCCGGGAATGAGTGAACGAAGCGAACGATGTCGGCAGCGCCCTTTTATGGAAAATATGTGGGGTGGCTCGACTTTGAATTTCATCATCAAAATTCTGAAGGATAAAACCTAGCCCCTTAATGATTGAGGAACAGTTACTAGTTCATCAATGAGACTGTGTATGACTCGTTCAATATCCGTATAATTCCCCGGCGCGGTGCAGTTCAGATGGACCAGGATGTACGCAGCCGGGACGATAATGTATAACACAACCTGAAGTAGGGGATTTATCGGCCTCTCAGTTGACAGCGATGTCACTCTGTCCCATCAAATTCTCATAGTATTGCCGATTCAGGCCGGCCTGCATCCTCGCCTCATGGTTGAACGGTTCCTTCAAGGCCCCTCGAAAATGCTTCTGTGCATTAGTGCGGAAGACGTGGATTGGGTCCGTGCCTTCTTGCTGACAGATCCAGGTCAACCAGCGATGGCCCGTCGTTACATGGGTGATCTCGTCGTTGTGAATGATCTCAAGCGCCTCCACACTTTCGGTGTCCCCCGCCCGACGAAACTTGTCGATTGTCATCGGATTGACGTCGAGGCCGCGAGCCTCATGTACAAGTGCAATGATGGAAATCCGAGCTCGCAGATCATGAGCTGTGGCCATTGCGGAATCCCACAGACCATGATGCACGGGCAATGCACCAAAGTAGGAGCCCATCTCTTCCATCCGTGTGCGAAGGAGGGAGAAATGCTTGGCTTCATCGTTGGCTACCTTCAGCCAATCGTGGAAATACGTTCGAGGGAGGCCCCGGGGAGTGTCTCCCGCTTGCGGCTGCGTTTGGAAGGCTGCGAACCGGATACAGATGTCGACGGCGAGATCGATCGCCCAGAGTTCGATGTTGGCCAGAGCATGCAGCATTGCAATGCGGCTTTTCAGCGTTCCACCTTTTCCCGCGCGGGGCATCGATCGTGGTTCCACAGTCTCCAAACCGTCGCGCGGTGGTTGATCAGGAGGCGTGACCAATCCACTGCCGATAGGCATCGGCGAAGAGGTTTTCTCTCTCTCGGTGAATGTAGCGTACAAGTGAGCCGTCAGTTCGATCTTGTGTTCGTGATTGGATGTATTCAGGATATGAGCCGCCCAGTCACATAATGTGGCATCCTTATCAAGATACTTGGCMGGTGTCGTCTGTTGCGACAGGGGCTGTACGGTTGGACGCTCCGCGGCAGGGCCTTTCTTCAGCTTGATCTTCTCGCTGACGGGGTCGAGTCGCACCAGAGAAGCTTCCCCCGGATACTGTATAGTGACCTGCCCATCACCAATCTTCACAGGAAACGTGCATGCTTTGATGCCCACGCTCGACTCGCCAGTCTCGACATTAAAGTCGTAGGCGTGCCACGGGCACGATGCAACGTAGGCGGAATCCTCGATATCAACGTGGGAGTCTTCCATAGGCCCTCCAGCATGAGGACATTCGGCCTCCATGGCATAATAGCACCAACCATCCTCCGTTTCATTTGCCGCGAGGCTGCTACCGTTGGAAGATTCGATAGTCGGCAAGCGGAACAACACCAGACGCTTGCCATCGGAGAGATGAATCACATAGCGAGATTGCTTGAAATCGGACAGCTGGCCGAGATGAATAGCCCTCATCTTGCTTGCCTCCTTTTCCAGTTGTCGCCAGACTGTAGATCAATTCTCAAGATCGAGCTACCCACTCATTGCGATTTGGCGATCGGGAAACAAGACAATTTCTGAAGTCACGTGGTTTGCTAGGCTCTGATTGGTGGGTCAAACATTCGTCGGATACAGCACCTGAAAGGGTTTAGCGTTACTGTTGCCTGATTTATGCCTCAGGTTGTAATTCATATCCACCCGTTAGGCATCCACATCAATACCACAGTAGAGAGCGTAGGATAGGACTGCTTGAGTCAACTTCTACGGAGGGCGTTTGATTCTGCCAAATAAACAAAGTATCATAATGAATTTAGAGCAAAGAGGAAAAAGAAGAGGATGTTCTAAGGCCTCTACGGAGTACTTTCCTCGTTTCGTCATATTTGCAGCTAAATATATATCTCGGTTGTTGCCCACGACTGTCATACAGTACTTCCGGAACCTGGTGTCAAAGGAGTCACGACACAAATGAAACTAAACCATTGTGGGTGTATTTTACTACCCCACTTTCCTCGACACAGTATACCTATAACACATGTCTAGGCGGTAAGTTACTGCTCCATGTTTCGACAAATGCATACGACCCACCCCCATGGGATAGGTTAAATAGAGGTGTCTATAAATCAGGCCTGCCCCAAAATCACATCTGCCGCTTTCTCGCTAATCATGTAAGTCGGCAAGGCAAGATAATATCCCGGAATCCTGGGGAAGACACTGGCATCGACAACCCGAAGTCCATCAACTCCACGCACACGGAAGTCGCCATCCAACACCGCCATCGGATCATCATCTGCGCCAATCGGAGCCGTACAGCAGGCATGGTGACCCCAAGCCTCACACTTGATGAAATCCTTAATCTCCGCCTCAGTGGTCACGTTGGGACCGGGCCAGGTCTCCTCGAATCCACCTTGCAGGGGAACAAGGTTTTTAAAGATGGACCGGGAGAACTCCATCGCCTCATAGACAGCCTGGAGATCCTTCTGGTCTGCATCATTAGCAGTGACACCATCATCAAAGGAGTGGAAGTTGATGATTGGGGTGTCGCGGGGATCAGTGGAGCGGAGCTGGACGGTCCCTGCGTTATTGCGCGAGCGGGACTTGAGTGTGACCCAGGACCAGTGCCGCGCATCGTTCCAGGAGCTGCTTGAGTAACCAGAGAAATAGCCCTGGAAGTTAGCAGGGGCACCAGAGATAAGCAGATCAGGTTCATTATTTTCAGCCACAGAGGACTGCCTGATAATAGCAATGGGGATGTTATTAGACATATAGGCGCCCTTATCAAGGATTTCATATTTCCACTTCTCATAGCACGGGTCAGGGAGGGCTCCAAGAAAGGTACACTGGGATATAAGCGAGAAGTCTGTGGGGAATTTGCCAATGACACTGGTTTCATAGCGGTCCTGCAGGTTTGTTCCGACGCCAGGGAGGTCAACGAGCGTAGAGATATTCCATTTATCCAGTTCAGCTTTGGAACCGATGCCGCTGAGCTTGAGCAGTTGCGGGGTGTTGAAGGTGCCTCCAGAGAGGATGACTTCCTTGGCTGCGTACACGCTTCCAGGAACGCCGGGGGATGCACTGTCCGACCGCGGGTCCGCACGATATAGACTCTTGCCCTTCATGTAGTCAACGCCAATGGCGCGGGGACGGGGGCCGGAGCTGTCTAAGATGAGGTTGGTGACAAGAGTGGTGAGCTGGATATCGAGGTGGTACCTGCGGTTGCCATCGTTATCGGTCTCGGCCACAGTCTCGAGGAGGAAGTCACGCGATCCGGAACGTTTGTAGTCGGGCACTTTCACCGCGACAGGGAGCCGGTAGAGATCCTCAGTCCTGTTACGCGTGCCGCTGTTGGCGTCGCGTATGAGTATTTCCGCCAGACCGGTCACAGTGTTGATCACCTTGCCCGCCAGGTTCTTGCCGGCGGCAGTACCAGCAGCGATGACGAGTGAGAGCAGCTTCATGTCGTCTAGGATGAGGTTTAGTGGGGCGAGGGAGGTCTGGAGCCAACCACTATAGCCGTGGCTGACGACGTCGCCCGGGGCGTAGCGGTTGACCTCGAGACGGCGGTAGTAGTCGCGCATCTTATCGGCCGCCCACGAGTCGTTTCCGGTGAGAGCAGCGAGGTTGTCCCAGTCGCTTTCGTACGGGTAGACCGTGCTGTTGTAATCAGTTTTCTTGTTTCTCTTTTCATCATGATAGTAAAAGGATAGGCAAGGAGGGGGCCTACACCATAGCATTGTGAGCGGTACATCCACCCAATGTACCTGCACGCGGGTACAGAATACCCAGTGGCTCAGAGCCTGTGGGAGGATTGGGACCCCTATGCAGCTTCCCGGCCGGAGTGCGGTAAGTCATTTTGGAGTCCTCCTCTTGGCGGGTGAGGTTGGTATAGTGGTTGATGTAGAAGTTCCAGGTCTGGGGACTATACTCGGTCGATTGTAGCTGAAGGGCTGGAACTATCTGCTGCAGAGAGTTACCCTGATCATCACCGGCGTCCAGGAGAAGGACCTTGTATCCTCCCCGAGCCAGGCGAGCAGCCAGGGGACCACCACCCGCCCCGGAGCCGACAACGATATAATCATACTCGGTTGTGGCATTCGCGGAGCGGGATTGGTGTTGCTGATCGCGAGGAGAAGTGCGCGGACTGCCTCCATTAGTCTTATATCATCCCACACGAGAGTTGTCATAAGGGGTATACAAAGAAAGGAAGGGGCCAGCAGCGGAGAGACTTACGATCCCAGCACCGCAGAGAGGAGGGAGAAGAACCCCAAGCCCTTGGCGACCAACATGGTGGAAAACGGGTGACTGGCGCTTGTAGGGCAGCGAAACGATGAAAACGAGAACAAAACAACATAATACCATGAAAGATATGGCGAAGGGAAGTATTATTATATAGAGGATAATAGATCTCAGGAATCCGGCAAGCCTGAAGTTAGCTAAGTTGAACACTTGACTCATGGCCCTATGTAATCAGACAGCATCTGTTGACAGCATTTGACGCAAGAGTCTCCAACGCAACAGTGAGACAATGATCCTAATCCCAAGACGGAGAATCGCACCCTCTACCAATCAAACGTCGATAGGTCCATGAATAGCTATGTTAGCCAGATAGAGAGCCCTCTGGGGCCGATCTCGTGGATCGCCATACATCTAACTGCACAGCTCATAAAAAAGCAATTCGGGAGTGCATCCCCAGGGAAGGATGTTGTGGGATCTCCGAGCGAGCGTTATGTATTCGCACTGCATGTATCACAATTGTGCTACTGTGAGCGGCATGAATACGTGGTTGTGCATGCTAAACTAGAGAATTTCCTTCATGATTTCCACTTAAATTGACTGCTTTCTAAATAGCCTGTGACCGGATTCTACCTGGGGTCGATTATAGCATGTTTGGTTGTTCTGAGGGCATATCACCGAAATAAAAAATATAAAGGTGTCAGGTTTTGTATTCGGCCTGCATAAAAATGGCAGACAGAGGGGGACTGTGCACACAAGCCAATGTGTCACAAGGAGAGGATGTGAAGAGTGAATCGAATAGAGAGTGAAGCAATTTGATATGGGGTCTGCCAATATCAATCTTGAGCAATTTGGACATGGTGCATACAATATTCAATCTCTATGGTAGAAAGGCAATTCAAACTTGTTGTTTCTAACTAGCAAAACATGAGGCTTTTATAACATGATGGGCAAATTCAATGAGCGAGAGGGAAAGTAGCCATGTTGGGTTCCTCGTCCGAGACAGGATATTCAATGCGATCGTTGAGGGTCAACTTAAAAAAGCAAAGGATCTTGGCGTACAGATCTATTGTGTAGATCAATGCATACCAGTTGCATGAGATCAATTGCATCCTTGTATACGCATGCATTAGGGCACACACACATACATGCTGAAAGAAGGGACAGCGGATAGAAAAGAGCGGAGAAAGGTTGAAAAGGAAAGAAAGAAAGGAAATCAATGGGTGAGGATCCCAAGACTAGAGAAATATAGTATCAAGGTTAAGCAAAAAACTCACTATATAAGGAATAGCCTCAAAAAGTATAATTCTGTCACGTCGATATGTAGTACAACAGGGAACTATTGAAGTATAACCAGCGCGCCTGCGATAATATTTTAGCAACTGCGAAAACTTAGAGCAAGCTACTCGCCGTGGCTCGGGGTCCAACAATGGATTCCACGGTGATCGTCATCGATGCTCTAGATGAATGTGAACGGGAGAAATATATGGAGGTCCTCCTTGAGCTTTAACCCAAAGTTCACAAGGCGACTAGTAAGGCAATCCGATTCTTCTTAACAAGCGTGCCAGAGTCACGCATTCGCCCCAAGCTTGGTCAAATTAGCCAAAGTAATTATGAGAACACCATCCTGCAGGACTTGAACGTTAATATGACAAATCAGGTGTACGCACAAAGCCATTACCTCTTGCCCTCAAGTCAAGCTCCCTCAACAATCGTTGTCTCAGAGTACACTGGCAAGGGATTGTCCAACAGGTGCCCCAGAATTTGCAGCGCCGAAAAGCGAGCAAAAAACCGAAGAATGTCTTTGCCTCTCTTTGCGACATGGCTCGATGTCACAGTAAGATGTTCGATGAACTGTGACAAGAAAGAGATCTTATCCTGGCCTATGCAGCCTGCGAAATGGGTATGTATGTGTATACCAGACACCCAGCAAGGTGGGGCTGGCAGCTGTACTTTAGGCAGACCTGCACATACAGCAGCTTACGAGGAGGAGTTGATCTACTGTCTTGCGAGAGTTAAAATGGATATTCAATTATGCTATGTCTGCCTTTGGATGGTTCCCCTCAAACCCCATTCGCAGTGGGCGAAGTAGCATCCCTAAGTTTGAGTACTGTTTGTAAATGCTCGTAAGCAAGCGGCTTCTCCTGCGACCATGCCAGCAAATGAGCTGTCTTGAGCACATTCTTGATCTGCCTGCCATTCAACAACACTCCGGCCAAGGTCTCCAGCTGTTCATCCGAGAATTCCTCGGTTCCTGCGGTGCGAGTCAGGAATTGCTGCCAGATATGGCGTCGGGAATTCATGTCCAAATCTGGGTAGACGATGGAGACGTGAATTCGAGATTCAAAAGCTGGGTCAATGTTTCCAGCGCGGTTGGTAGTCAGGAAGAGGATGCCCTGGATGATGAGTGTCAACGTATTGGTATTGATAACAAAATAAGAAAACTCACCTCGTAATACTCCAGCATGCGTAGGAAGATCGACACCAACTCATTCCTCCACAAGTCCGTTGAGTTGCGAGCTTCCATGAACACGTCTGCTTCATCGAGCAGAAGCACCGCTCCCCACTTGGGCACCATCCGCAGGATATCTTTCAACGCCTCCTCTACGCTCGAGGCCGACGTCCCCAGATCTCCCGCGCTCATCACATACAGCGGCACCTTCATCACTTCGGCAACGCTCTCCGCAGTGAGCGTCTTACCCACTCCAGGCGGCCCGCTCAGTTGCATAATGATTCCTCGTCCTTTGCCCTGGACCACGTCATCAAACGAATCCACTTGTTTTGACTGCGCATTGGCAAAGGCCAGAATCAGCGTCTTGAGATCCTGTTGGCCCTGCGGCAGTACCAGGGAATCGAATGCCTGTGAATCCCACACGATTTCTTTGACACTGTCGAGATTGAACTCCAGCCACCGTTTCTCTTTGAGCGAATATCCACGCAAAGAGGGGGTGGCCAGCAGTCGCTGGTCATCAGTGAGTTCTTTTCCACAAGTAGGATACACTGAGACGGACTCGTCTGGGTTGAAGGTGTTGAACGCCTCAGCGTCGATGATGATGCGGCTTTTGATGTTGAACTTGAATTCCCTTCTCATGAACCGACCCACGGCCAGGCCTTCGTAATACTTGAAATGATACCCTTTGTAAGACTCCCAGACGACTCCACGTGCGACCAAAGCGTCGCGAATGATAATCTGGTTACTATGATGTCTTAGGGGAAACACCGGAAGGGCCGTGATGGGCATGGTGCCACCAAATGGCGGCACTTCAAAGTCCTTGTCGCGGAATCCAAACTCATCGCCGTCGAAATCAATGTATTTAGCTTCAAGATCGAATGCACCGGTCCGGCAATTGGTCTCGCCGGACTTGAACTGAAAGGCTCGGGGGTGGCCACCGACCATACTGAAAACCTCATCCTCCGGCTCGAAGATGGTCCAGAGAAGATCATGCGTGACGACGCCGCTGAGCACAAGGTCATTTTTACGGGCAATCGTATCCCGTAGCTCCTCTTCGAGGATAGTGTAGAGAAGTTCCACGTGCGATTTGGTCACCGAATCCAACTCCTGGTCACGCGCACTGGCGAATTGCTCCCATCGATGAACGAAAGGCTTGAAAGGACTGCGGAATTCCACTCGCTCCAAGGTCATGGTCACCCCTGGATAACCATTGAGTACTTTTCCAAGGACCTTTTTCAGAAGCTCGCTCTGCACAACAATGGAGTGGATTTGAAGAGGTTTGCGACCATCGTAGCACTTGACATGGCGGACAATGAGAGCATACTGAGCCGACTCAGAGTTCTCGTCTGCGCTGGGAAGATCATCGGGCTTCTTCTTGGTCCACGAAGTGCGACCGTTTTCATCGCGTTTGGTCTGGTAGAGGTTGTGAACTTCGCAGATCGTCCCCGGAGGAGCATACTGGACAGTCTCAGCCGTATCATCTCCATTGTCTCCCGTATCTTTCTTACTGGCGGCAATGGTGTTGTCGTCAATGACCTCCATTACTTCCGACTCACTGTCTTCGGAAGGAACTCGTCGAGAACGATGTGAGTAACGCATAGCGGGGCCTAAGGTAGAGATAGATGTTTCTGCAAGTTGGTTGACCTTGGAGGAGGGAAGTGGCCAGTCTTATGCTTAAGTGACGGCTACCAGGCAGCGGTCCCTAGTCGGCAACGAGTGAATGTGCCTTGGGGGAAATCAGCCTCGTCACTCTCAGCATGACTCGGACAGGTTCCAGTACACAGTCTATCCCTGTCATTCACTGGTTGACGTGTTCGCTCGACAGCCTTGTGAGTCACCCCTCTCTGCTGCCTGCTCCCAGCCGCGGTTCTAGATCGGCACCTTTCAGCCTCGTCACCATCACCAATCATTCAATGTACGGAGACCCAATTGATCCTCACGATGAAAGTTATGATATCAGCTCACTAAACTAGATTGACAAATCAAGTGGTAGACATGCTTATTTCTGTACTGTTGACTCTGCCGCCTTCATCATGTCCTGCAGCACTTGCAAAGCAGCATCCTCCTTTCCGAGAGGCACAAAGATGTGATCGTGGAAATAGCCACTGACCACGTTGGTACTGATTCCATGACTAGCGAGCTTCGACGAGATCGCAGCAATCAGTCCCACGGCCTCCAGGCTGGAATGCACCGCCAACGAGATCTTCTTGCACGGAAACGTATAGTCGCGCAACCCATTTGACTCAGCCAGATCTTTAGTGGTGATGATGCTCAAACCCTCGTCTTCTTGAGATAGCATCTCTGGTTTTAGAGATTGAAGGGGGAGATTTTCGATTCGCTGCGTTGTGGTGAGAAAGACAAATGTCTCCTGGTGTACAGTAGGTCGCATCGAAGCCAGGAGAATGGGAAGGTTGTTTTCTCCTGTGTTTGGCGAAGACATGGTCAATTTGGGATATTTCCGATTGGGATGAATACAGAAGTTCGTTTTAAGGATCAAATCTAGTATAAAGGATAATCATGATGAAATGCGACCGGTGGAAGTGATGGACGAGGACACGGGATTAGCGGATTAACCTGTCTGGTGAGGAAATAAGACATGATGTGTGTGCCTAGGCTGTTCGCCGTACTATAATCTAGACTAGTCGTGGGTTGGATATGGGTTGAACCACCACCACCTATTATTTGCGGGGTAAATCTACCTTCAAAATGCGGGTTGGACCACTTGGACTGCGGATAATGAATATATCTCTACTCGACTAAGGTAGTATAATAATTCCCACCTATTTTTCTAGTATTTTAAGCAACCTCTAGGATATCGATATATTTTGTTTGACAATATTCGCTCAAAGCTCCCCCTTCCCCGAGCCAGCACTCCAGACGACACTGAGACCCAGTGCTGAGGAAGTCCTATGACAACGTCGCGACAATCTTGCCATGCGACATGAGTTTTGCGGCGACGTAAGATTTGACGCCTCTAACATGGATAGTTTGTACATGTAGAGATTTTGAGTCTGGGGGATGTAGAGTGAAAACATTGCACTGGTAATAGCAGTTGGTGCCTGATAATCCCGGCAGGCCAGCAGCCGTCGCAGTTGGGGGAACCATCTGTTTTCTCCCTCTCCCTCTCACCCTCAGGTTCGTTCATCATCCTCATTATCTCCTCCCTACTGATAGATGAATCAACTTGCGGCGATACTTTAATGGATTGCGTGCTATTGTAACATGACAAAGCTGGCCACTTCCCGCCAATCCCAGCTACAGTCGCCTTACAGCTTCCATTCCTTCTTCAACTGAGCGAGCCATTCCTCATAGGTCAGAACCTGTCCTTCCACCAGAATTCGGTTGGCCTCCACCTTCTGTGGTGGCTGGGGCGGAATATATACGAAGTCCTTTGCATGGGTTGCCCTACATACTTGGAACGGCATGGCCCCAGTCCGCAGCAGCTCCGTGCAATCCTTGCAAAAGCCCGTGTCAAAGCAGATCGAGCACATCGAAATGCCTTCGAACGTCTTGAACTCCCTTCGGCACGGTCCATMGCAAGTGTACGCATACTCGGAATACTCGCCTTCCTCGTTCTCCGCCGCGCGTTGTTCCGCATATCCTCCGAGAGCATAGGCAATCGCAATCACATTTTTGACGTCACCGGCAGCGAGTAGAGCATTTTGCAAATCAGTCAAGCCTGCGCTGTCGTTCTCTGGGTCATCGTCGGATAAAATCTGTATAGCCCGTTTGACGGAGGGAGCGAGTAGAGCCCGCGCCTCATCGTGTCGGCCAGTCAGGCGGTACCACAATCCCAGAGAAATGGCCCGAGCCCGCGCGGCGATCCAGAAAGCTGACGTGTCCTCGGTCTTGAATCGTGCTACCAACTGCTCCAATCGGCTGACGTACTCCTCCGCCTCGGGGGAACCCACGCCGGCATCGATGGCATGACACAGCCAAAGTTGGGCCAGCTTGGAGGAGGCGTAAACCTTGCTCGAGCCAATCTCGCCTTCTTCCTTGGCGGATCCATACGTGTTAAGGATCCTCTCCCACCGCTTCGTCGCCTTGTCTTCCTCTCGAGTGTATTCGGAATAGATACGGGCAAGCGAAAGGTCCAAATCAGCCGCGACAACCGTCATGGACGACTTTCGGGCCGCTCGGGCCGCGTCGCGGTACGAACGGACTATGAGGTCGAGGTTCCCCGTAGCCTGGCCAGCGACAGCTAAGTGCTCAAGAACCTCGTCATTCACAGTTGGCATCTGCCATAGAAAGTCGGTCAGTCGATTATACTCTTTATCGGGAACTTGTGCATCGGCGAATTCTTTCACAAGAGAGATGGTCTCGTCGAACCGCTCCGTTTCGTTTTGGAAACGTAGGATCGTATATGTGCACGTGCTGCACCAGGGATTAACCGCAAGAGCTTTCTTGATCTTAAGATAATGCTTCTCCGCTTGCCCCAGCTCCTTATAGGAGGTTGCCATGCGTTCCAGTGCCATGTGCAAGTGTGCAGTTAGCTTTTCCTTCTCATCAGGCTGGTCAACGAGCTGCCTTTCCAGAAGTGCTTCTACTTCCTCGTCGAGCACAAGGCTGGTGGTCCATTCTTTCCTACTCGAGTGTGCTATGGCCATGCCTGCTTTGGCAATCCAGTTGTTTGGATCTATTGCGGTTGCCTTCCCAAAATAGTCCAGAGCTTCGTCTATGTTGCCGGTCTGGCGCAGCACTATGCCGGTCCTTTGGTACCACCGGGATGTCTTCTCGGTCTGCGCCCATTCAGCAGCCTCGACGACCTCAGCGGCAGTCGGTGCAAAACGGGAAAGAAAATCCTCGTCGATCCCTCTTTGACATTTGAGATAGCTGATAATCATAGCCGCCGGGGCCGCGGGTGACCAGTCGTCTTCAGCCAACCATTTCCTGGCGCAAAACTCGGCGATGGGTCGGAAGGTCTCTACAGGCTTCTCCTTGACGGAAAGGACGAACTCGGCCTCCTTGACTGCAAGCGACTCGACAATCTCGGGATCATCCCACCAGCGCTGAATGGCCTTCAGGTTTTCGCTTGTCGAGACCCAGCTTCTCAGTGGCACCCATTTGGCCATGTACTCTTCCGTACCGAACATCCCGGCCAGCATGCTGGCGATTGCCTTCTTGTCCTCGAGCGAAGTCTCTGAGGGCTGCACTAAATGAAGGTGTTGCACCCAATTTCTTGCGGCGTAGGTCTTCATGAGGCTGGAGTCCTTAGCCTTCTCAGAAAACTCGGTGTCGGTGAGGGTCTTGAGGCACGTCCTGAGGACATGAGCTTTGGCATCTTTATAGACAACTCCAACTGGCAGTTTGTCCTCCGCGGCAGAGACCTTGCCTTCGTTTGGGTCACGGAAGAAATCGCCCAGGGATGCGTGGCTGAAGGTGACGGTGGTCGACTTCTTGTTCGAATCAAAGTCTACAATGTTCTCAACATCTTCGAAAGCGTCCTGGTCATCGCTATCCTGTTGAGCAACATCTTCATCGTCTGAGTCATATGTCCTGTTTGCCATGGTCTGGAGCTCCGTTGTGGTCAGACCGTCCTCGCGGTCGAGGTTGAAGAAGGCAGCGAATTGCTTGCGAAGAGAGCCTTCGAGGTAAATCATCCCATCTCCCTCGGCTGACTTCAATTCGAGGATTGCCTCCACCTCTCCAAGGGTCAGAGGACGAACGGCACAGGTGGCCCACAGCAAGAGCTCGTTGAGAAATTCCAACTCTTCATCGTTCAGACTGGCGGAGAAGCTCAGGAGGACATGGCGCAACATCTCCTTCAAGCCCTTGGGCGCCTGATCGAGGCTTTTACGGATGCTGGACTCGTTGCGCTTCTTGACTAGCTCCTGCAGCATCAGGTTCACCCACAGAAACATGCCCTCAGCACCTGCAGACAGTTTTTCGGTAATCTCCTTTCGTAGAGCTGGTGAGACGCGTCGCAAGATCGCCGATTTCTGGATGCTGGTTGTGATGTACCGGTCAATATCAGCGGAATTTTTCAGTGTTGTCACATATATTGTCGGAACGTTGGTTTCGAGCGATTCAGCCAGCTGGTCGCTGAGATGCGGCCGTCCAACCATGGCCAACTGCAAACGGCCATGATTCGGGGAGTCGAGAATGTCCTTAGCCAGCTGCAAGAAAACGAGTCTTTCCTCCTCAAAGGCCTCATCGACCGCATCGAAGAGGATATAAACACTGCTCGTGATTGATTCTTTTTTCAAGAAGTAGTTGACAAACAGGGTCCGCCACGCACTTTCCAAAGTGCTGGTGCTCCCATAATCTCCAAGGCCTGCAAGGTACTTCTCATATGCCGGATCATTACTGCTGATCTGAAAGGCGAGATCCCGCAGGGCCTGGTGGAAGGACCTCGTGGCGGGGTTGTCATCCTTGAAGAAGAAGTACCCTATGGAGACATGTGAGGGATGTTGTACCCCTTGAGGGTATTCGTCTTTGAGGAAGGCGATAATGCTCGATGAAAGATAGGATTTGCCAGCTCCGGGATTACCAGAGATGAACATGACCGGGAGATCTCGATGCAACCAGCTTTGGAAGACTTCTTCGCGCCTAATCCAATCTCCTGTGCCAGGAACGCGGGATTTGCTGATCCTGTCGTACCAGTCCTGCGCCGAGTCAGTCGCGGATGGTTGCAGAATCTTCCTCACAAGATCGCGGTGTGACTTCGCCGATTCCCCATGGTTTTCATCCTTGTCCTTCGCCGCGATCAATAAGTTGCCCAGCATCTCATGTACCTCGGTGACCTGCACGGTCATCTGATTGACTGCCATTCCCGTCTCTTGCACTGTGACATTCGTCGACATGACTGTGGTTTGGACTGTGTCCACCACACGCCCTGTCCGTTTGGCCTCGGTCAGGGTTTCGGCTCCGACGAGGCTCGCTTCCACTTTGGTCAACTTATCCAACTTACCCACGGCCCCTTTTATGGCGTCGTCGGTGCCCAGGAGGACGTTGCGAGTGAACTTGAGCAGTCTACCTCGCTTAATGGCCTTGGTGGAAAGGGCGAAAATTTCCACCAATGTTGTGAGAATGTCGCTGAGCTTCTCGCTAAGATCTTCGGAGATTTGCTCCCGGCCATAGGCTTTCAATCGGATGGTGAAATCCTGCACACATTAGATGGGTTATGGAGGAGCAAAAATAAGGCGAATAGCGGACGACCGCCCACCTTTAGTGTTCCCATCAGATCCTCAATCGCATCGTAGGAGCTCGACACTCCTTTGGCGGCCGTCATGAGGTAGGTCACTGCGCCAAAAACAAGACTACTGGGAGGAAAGACCATCGATGCGCCTCCGGCTGCCAAATTGCCAAACAGCTGGACTGGAATGAGTGCCGCCTGCATGGCATCAAAGATGACGCCGCGTTTGTGGCGGTACTCGCTGAAGGATTTGTTACGCTCATCGATCTCTTTGGTCAGGTCGTCGACGCTCTGGAGCTTGCAGAGGAAGGCGACATCGAGATCCTCCTTGGTAATTTCTTTGTACTTTTCGATCGCCCGCGCGTAGATGGCGGGGATTTGACTGTTTTGGACGGTCATTTTTCCTGAACTTGGCCTATGTAGTATTCTATAGAGTCTGTCGCATGAGTGAGAATTATCATCACCGTCGGGTTTGCAGTCCTGTCATCTACAGAACACTAATGTTGAAATCAGCGACTCGACAGTCGCGCTGTGTAAACCATAAAGAAGGCACTCCATGCTGACGGCGGGGTAAGGGACTTTAAATGGAAAAATGTATGGCCAGCGTGAAGTGCGGCTGAAGAAAAGCGGCAGGGAGTTGATGGTGCTAAAAGGAGGGGCTCAAACGATCCAGGGCTTTAAGCTGCTTTTCTAGTGGCCGTCTTGCTGAAATGACGGCTGACAGTTGATGAGCTGAACATTCCATAATCCTGGAGGTCAGGTGCCAAGGAGATTGGGCATCTACCGCTGGCCTCTGGAAAAAGCTATCCGTATAACTTCAGACAGCAGGTCAGATGAATGAGCTTCAAGTACTTTTTCTGGGGTCCTTCTCCATACCGGTTGACTAAGCAGGGAATCGGCCAGACTGCCCTGAGAAGCAGAATAGAGGGAGAATTAATTATATGACAAGTACCTCGCCCTCATGTTTTTTGGGGGCCGATTAACATACATTCTTCAATTCTTAAGTTATTTAGGACAGCTACTAACCTTATAAAAATATGAACATGAACCTAGAGTGTGATGGTCTAATACTCTTTCCTACGGTGTTGAAGCCCTATATACATATATGTATATACATGTGGACATTCTCCTCCTCGCACTTCGTGCCTTTCTCAGCTCATTAATCCTGGACTGATCTTTGATTTCATAGTTAAAGAAAATAATCCTCAAGATTTTCCCCACAGATTCATTCAAGTTTCCACCTATTTTTCAGCTGCCCATGTCATTCAATATCGGAGCGCTGGTTGATACTGAGGAATCCAAGCACAAGCGTTTGGAACGGACCGAAAGTCAGGTTGGGTTACATGCTTAGAACAATCAGAGGTAAGAACACGTGGAGAAGAGCGGTGCTAGTGGTTGCTTACTTACATCGATTAGTTTGGTATGGGTGATAGACATGAATTGGATCTGAACTGTATGGGCCATGGATAGAGGCTTGGTTTTACATTTCTATAACATAGGTTAGGGAAAGAAAGATATTATCAGAAAGGAACAATTTATTGATGCTCGCCAGCATAAGAGATGATCTTATCTGCCGATAGGAGGTGATCACTCCTTGACCTGCGTAAAGTCCTTTTGTACACGGATCCCATGCAGAGGAATCTCGTCGCTCGCGCTATCGACGTTCCTCCCCTTCGAGCCTAATACGTTGGTCACCATATGTCCGTGATCATACTCTGGGCGCAGGGAAGCATCCAACTGCTCCGACGTCATGGGGTGTCCACCCGCCGAATCCGCCTCGTCCGGGAGATGATAGAAGGAATGACGCCGGCTATGCGATGAGTGACCGACGCCGCTGCCCTTGTGTCCCTGGGCCGTCAACCCGTTCTGACTGGGGTTTGACTGGTCGGTCTTGGACATGGGGACTGTTCGGCTGCGCAGTAACGCCGGCAAGGCGCCTCGGATGCCGAGTATACGGACGATGGCCTGTAGGGCGGGTCGGAGGGTGGGAAGACACGCGGAGACGATGCCGGCCGACATTTCGATGGCGGTCCAGCCGACGGTCGGAGCGAGTGTGTAGGATGAGTCGGCGGAGGTGTACGAGAAGAGGACGCTGAACCGGTAGGCCGAGGCAAAAACAACGCTGTAATCGATCAGCCTTTGGTCGCGTCACTGCGATGAAGCACATACAAGAATCCCAGACTGAATGCAAAGGTCAAGGCCAGTTTCTCAGATAGACGCAGCTGCAGTTTCCAGACTTGCGGCATCGGCAGAAAGAGAATCGCCAGATCGGTCAGGATGGTCGATGCCGCATTGGCAACCCATGTCCCGACTTGGTTGATACAGTGTCCCGGCAGACTGGGATACCACAGCTTCTGGACAGGGACACAGATGAAAATAAAAAGAAACGTGATGCAGATGACCCAAAGAACGACAAAGGTGCCGATGATGTACGCCCAGCGCTTGAAGTAGGGGAAACGAAAGATACGATAGTACATCAGCAGAATGCTGAGTTTGGTCCAGACCAGATTGAAGACATAGAGAATCTCAGCCACGACGAGGAACTTGGCGATCATGACCTGGTTGGAGATGGGGACGGCTGTGCCGGCATGCAGGCCCATGCCTTCTTTGACCATGGCGAAAATGAAGCCGACGACGACCAGGTTCCAGCCCTACTCAAATTAGTTGACATTCCTCATCAAGGACTGTAAACCTACCATGGAGAACACAATCATCCAGTCATCCCACCACAACTTTTGCTTCCTCTCCCATCGGGCCAGAAGCCGCAGACAGACCATGACGAAGGCGAGCACCGTCACTGAAGCGGTGGTCGCAGTCACCCATGGTTGCAGCGAATCTTCGTGGTCTGCCATTTTGAGTGCTCAGACATGAGAGACACCAGTGGGATGATCAACTGCAGGAGGAAGAACGAGAACATTATAACCGAATGTCTCGAACGATCTATCTTCTTTCGTACCTGAATCCTTCCGGCCCCTGGCCAAGCCCAGACAGAAGGATTCTAGTCCATACTCCTTTTGAAAAATGCACTGCCTAGAAATTTTTCAGCATGATGGAGTGATACTTCGATTCCGGATTCCGCAAGATTTCGGACAGTCTTTGGCTTGCAGCCACCAGGGACTCGACAAATCCCGGGCCTAGTCTAGCGAGTGGCCCCTTAATGACGCGAAGCTACCATTCGTGTTTAGGACGCTCATTCGACGGAACAAAGAAGTCAATTGGCCGTGGGGTGACCCTAGCCCGTTATAGCTCCAGGATAGTCGATCCTTGCGTTCGAAGTGGGCCAAAAGCGTGGCAAAAGTGGAGAGTGGAAAGTGCAGACTGTACGGAGTAAGTCTTCATAAGAGCATCTTGGCGCTATTGTCAGACTCAGTCGTCTTTTACGAAGTCAAGTCTGACAGTGGCTCCACTTGTCGTGTTTGTAAACTCTGTCGTACTGTGGTTGTGGGGGACTATCCCGCAGTTGAGAAAGTGAGATCCGTATCTGGTGCCGGACATCCGTGCAAGAGAGAGAAATGAAAGGACTGATTATCTTATATTATTGATGCTATTTACGCCATTACTTATACTTGTTCACCATCTCCAACAGAGCAGCATTCACCTCCTTTGGATTGGTAGCATTGAGATAATGGGCTCCCCCCTCGATCATGACAAGTTTGGCCTCTGGGGACGAGCTGAAGAGTTTGATCTGCTCTGCTGGCACTATTTTGCCGAATGGGGTGTCCTCGGTGCCCTATCGTCGTCAACCTTAGCTGTAGGGGTGACAGTCCCTAACATAGGGGTGAACTCACCTGTAACCAGTGCACTGGACACTTGATGTCTCCCAGTCTAAGCAGTAGTCCATCGCGCGACAGCAGACAAATCACCGCCATGCGGACCTTCTTTCGCCCTTCATCTCCCTTGTAGACCTCCTTCAAGGTCTTGGTCCAGAACGCACTCAACTCCTCTGAAGCACTGGCGCCGAACCCAATGCCACCGACCATGCCACACCAGACGTCGTCGACCAGGAAGTCGGGAGTCGCAACGGCGCTGGTCCATTTCTCGTAGAAGGGGCGGAGGGCGGGGACGGGATCCCAACACCCTTTCGATCGGGAGTCGGCCGATTCGTAATCCATCGAGGTTCCCAAGGGCATCAGGCCGAGGATCTAGATAGCCAGTAGACAGACATCAGTTTCAACCGACCGCCTCACATGAGTCTGTACTTCACGTATGCAAGGGGAGCTCCCACCCGGTCCGGATCCAACAAGGCCATGCGCGTCACGATCCATCCTCCCTGGCTCGTTCCCAGAGCGAAGGCCTTGTCAATGCCTAGTTTATCCATCACCTGCAGTGCCATCAACGCCGAGTCCCAGTATGTAAAGTGTTCCGACGGGCAGCTGGTCGAGCCGTGGCCCAGGGGCTCGATGGCCAGCAGGTTCATGTCGTCTGTGAGGGCGACATCGCTGAACTGATCGCGATAGAGGGAGACGGTCGTACACATCGAGTTGATCAGGACGCATGTCGGCTTGGAGGAGTCGTAGCGGTCGTTGGACAGAGCATAACCGGCGGTGATGCCACCGAGATGGGGCACCTGGATGGTCTTTGTTGCTGCCATGTTCTCGGATGATTACTTTCAATAAAACAGTGGATGGACGACGGGCGTCAAAAGGTAACTCATCATATAGATAAGGGACCTGTCACATCGTCGCCCCTCCATGGACACGACCCGAGGTTCTGCAACCCCTCCAGATCATCCCGTTCCAGAACCAGATGGCACACTGGCAGAAGGGACTACTTCCCTTTCTGGATCAAATCCCGGTCGAGTGGGGATGGGCAGAAGAAGGCCAATGACACGCTGCGAGAATATATCCAACGCCAAGTATCCGTATTGTGCTAGTTTTATCCTCCTGGGCCTTAACCGTGGAAATKGGCGAATGGGACGCCTTCGGGCCGATTCTGACACGCCGGTCCTTTCCGCGAAAACTCAAAGGCCCACTGCGACAGAAGACAAGAATTTGTCAGGACTCAACGTACATCAGAGATGTCCTTGTCACTGGCGGTGTGAATTCACTGACAATTTTTGTGGCCTGATAGTTCGGTGGTCCCTGGTTGAAGTTGGGTAAGAAGTCAGCCATGAAGTCATTTGGGAGCTGGTGATGGAGTGGAGCAAAGGCAACCAAGATTGGTCCCTGCTTTGACTTCGTAATTTGAGTTCTGACAGGTCATACGCGCATGTCTGCAGGGAAGACTGCAGGAATCCTGCAGCACGATTGAGCCATGGCCCATGGAAGGTGGATGTCGATCTGCCAGGGGAATCCCTGAGGCGCAAACAAATGCATCTTGCAGATGGTCTACTCCGTAGTCTATCTGCATGAACATCCAATGCACCAGGGGATATGGTAGATATCACAGCTAAATCCTTTGATACATCTCAACCAATCTGAGAGCGCGTAGACCCCTGAGGTAACTAGGGATGGCGGATCGCCGCGGTCGCGCATGGCGATTATCTGATCAGTCAACAACGCAAGGAAGATCCTGGGACAGAATCTATTTCTGGCAGTGCGAGAGCCGAAGGATACACTCAATATGTATCCATGCGTTCAAACATCGGAAAGCTGCGAGTTCATTCTGTAATGTTTGAAGTAATGAGATACAAAGTAAGCGCAGGTACATGTTGCAAAGAGTTCCACCAGAATTTTGCTGATAAGTAGTAGTTGCATCTCATGGCGTTACTGGCAGACGACGATCAATTGTCAGCCATAGATCGCGATAGAAACCAACTCCTCCTTTGATCACGAATCGAGCCTGTGGCTTGTCGCTCACAGTCTGGATATTGAATCGCCGGAAGAACTGAGAGACACGAGCATTAGTCACAACTGCCAACGAGAGATACGGAAAAATACCAACCTGCAATGGCCCCTTGTACAGCTCCATCATAGCAATATCCTTTCCCAGGCACACTCGGGCCCCGTAGCCAAATGTGAAGATATACTTGTTGTACAGCCTGGCCTTTTCAGCATCGAGCCAACGCTCCGGCTTAAACTCCTCCGCATCCTCCCCATACATCTGCTTGTCACGCTGCATGATCCACGGATTGCCTGAAATCTCCGTCCCGGCTGGCGCAAACTTGCCATACAGATCCATGCCAGGCTCCGAGACATATCTTGGGAAGATGTTTGGAGCAGGGGGGTTAAGTCGCAGAGTCTCGCGAACACACGCCACATAATAAGGAAGGTGGTCGACAATTTCGTCGTATTGCGGGACAGAGTCGGAGATCAGTCCTTTGGCCGTTGCCGCGTCAATTTCTTCCATCATACGACGGTAGGCGGCTGGATGGGTAAGCAGGAAGTGCACCAGGGCCTGGAAGACGGTGCCGGTCGTGTCGGCTCCCGCCAGCAGCACCAACAGCACCTCGGCCTTGAGGTATTCAATGTCCAACGGAGACCCATCCTCGGTGCGCGCTTCGATGAATGTTTGCAGGAGGTCAATGCGACCGATATCTTTCTTCTCTTCGAGCTCGCGGAACCGTTGGTCGATCAGGCGATCACGGAAGCGCATGAGGACGCCGATGCCGGAATCATCCTGGGGGGTAGCGACAAGGTACTTCTTCATGAAGGTGGTCTTCATCCAGCTGGTGAAGGGGTGCAGACGAGCGAGGAAACCGAATGCCGGCAGACCATCGTGGAAACCCTGAATGAGCCCGCCTACGTCCTGGGCCTGCTCGACGAAGCCAAAGGGGGCTCCGAAACCGATCTCACTGATAATGTCGTAAGCCATGTAGCTGCAGACATCTTAACAGTTAGTCCCAGGCACGCTCTTGGGAATGCGGCCGATGATGCTTACACGGCCCACCATGAGAAATCAAAAGTCTCCCCTGTCTGAGCGAATTTCTCATTGAGCTTGTCAATCCAGTGTTGAATGCGAATGTCAATCAAGGGCTCCATCTTCTTCACGTTGCTAAAACTGTACTGCAAAGTGTCAACGCCGGGATTGTCGTTGTCGGTGGTCGCATTGCAGTCAACCTACAGGTCCCGCCACATGCTTTCGGTAAGCCGCGTGCGTCTTATGCGATCGCATATTGAAGAGCGACTCAGTCTCGCCAAAGGTTCCGGTAATGTAGTGTCCTGTCTTGTCGGCATTGCGATGGTAGATGTCCGGCAGCTTTGTCGGGTCGCTGACGAGGAGAAGCGTGGGGGTTATTCGCACAACGGCGCCTATTCGGGCACAGTTAGGATTTACTGTTGAGGGACTCTTGATACAATTGTGTATCATACCATATTTCTTTGTCAAAGCATACACGGTTGGCAATTCAGTCTCGCGAAGATTGTGCCATGCAATCCAAAGTCGGGTCACTCCTCCCCAGAAGGGCCCGGGGAAGACACACAACGGGTGGAAGAAGTGATAATAGACAATCTGATGGGCAAATTTGAGCAGGATATACGCCACAAGACCCAGAACCACGTTGGTAACGGTGATTCTGGCCAGTATCTCTTCCCCAAGGCCCATGGTGGTGACTCGATGAGTGGGATCGGTTCAAGACGAGGGAGAGCTGCGCCCGCAGAACACTGAAACCAAGGCCTTGCGATCAATTTTGAGACCGATATCGCATAGAGTCAGTGAGCACGAATTACACAAAGCCATTTTCTCATACGGTCGCGTTAGCGGGACTATTTGCGTCTCGGTTCGAGGTGGCAGCAGGCTGGGTAATTCATGCAGCGAGTTAGAGGTTGCAAAAGCAGGGTTGATTTTGGCCATGGTGGGACAATACACAGTAGTACATCAACTAATGTATGGAAGCGGATGAAGCTGGCAGTCATTGGGGCAGTCAATAACATCCCTGCTCTTCGATGGACCTTGTGTATTTAGCCAGACCGAGTCCTCGCCATATAAAGTAGGAATCGACACTCTTGACTCGCAACTGTTGTCACTGAATCTGACAGTACTAGTAGACCCAGTTGTTGATGGTTGGGACCTGAGACAATAGAACGGCAGGTTCCGCCATGACATCCCCAGTCTTAACTCGATGGGGGAAATGGGCGAGACGACCGTTATTTCGGCCCCTCTCCGCTATTATCGAGCGAGTAATTCTGGTAGCATGATAGGTTGATGTTGAGTGCCGCTCTCATGTCCACCAGTGGATGTGGAGCTTCATGTCTCTTTGCATTTCGCGTATGAAGCAAGGCTCAGCATGGCCTGACTCGTAAGAAATTATGGCCTTTTGGCCTAGTCGACGAGATAAGGTAGATCGTTTCCTCTCCTATAGACAACCACTATGGGATTGTTCGTGCCTTTAGGGTGGATGATGGACAATTCAGGTTGGCGTTGCAGTGAAAACACTTTCCGACTCCAGTCAACCAGAATCAACAACGAAAAAATATTGGTGACGATCAACAGCAATCGCAAAGCGCAATTACCTCTGGGGTAATTGCTGGAAACACGCACATAATTAGCGGAGAGCATCCGAAAGGAAAGAGTTGGCGGCCAATACCTATCTATATACGTCTACACAATGATGGTCAGCTCCAGGGAACGGGGAGCATCTATTCTCCGTAGATATTCTTGATTCATGATACATCTACCAGTAATTTTGACTTGTTTTTAGCGTTGCTTTTTCCTGCATCCCTGCTCTCTCCGCCACAGCCGCTGATCTCGTGGATTATCCTCGCACTTTATCTCAGTCCGTATATGCCACATGGCCATCTACCATATGTAATGTATGCTGTAATCTGTACTCTCAAGTTTACCAGGACTTCTCAAGATAAAACTGATCTTGATCCGGTCTTGTGGGGACAGTCTCAGCTCAAACTCTTCGCCTTATGGCAATGGCAAAAGAACCTATTTCAGATTCTGTCCGTACGCTGATCCACTATCTACCATATTTCAGTGCCTAATAATACCAAGTCTAATAGACTACTGCACAGTCCCACCTTCGCCTCGGACATCTCATTCTTGACTACGGAACAGATAAGTATCCCATATCAAGTAATTTTGTTCGACGTTACCCAATAGAATCACACCCAGTGCCCCTAACAGGCATCTCAATCGAGCACAGAAGAACCAAATGAGACATGGAGTCATCCCGCTCTGTCTCGAGTGTCCCGTCCTGCCACTTTGGGGAGAAGCTTGGTAAATCAGTTTCAGGCATTAGCAACCCAGATCCTTGTAGTCTGCGCATAATTAGCCGGAATAACCCAAATTGGTGCCTCTGGAGCTTCGACAAGATGGAACGACCGTCGCAGAATCCCTGCTCATTATTTGACATATCAACTCGATCTCCAGTCTCCACCGATTCTATTCCATAACGAGCGACATGATCAGGGATTCGAGATTTCAAGATGATGATCGAGAAGGGTGAGCAATAAATGGAAACAAGTTCATCCCTCTCAGCCGTATCCTTCTGTCGTCCTGTCACTCTGTTGTATTCCCCGACCGTCCATCATGGCATCTGACTCTCAAGGGCCAGTTGTGGTGGGCATCTCCATTGCTTTTGCGGTCGTTACTTTTGTGGTTATCTGTCTGCGAATGTTTGCTCGAGTCGTCGTTCTAGAACAAGTAGGAGTGGATGATTGTAAGTTCGTACCCTGAAAATGCTGGCGAAAGAAGGCTGACTGATTTCAAGACTTAATCTTGTGTGCATGCGTAAGTAATCGGAAACTAGTCGAATGCGCGTCGGTTCTGACACACATAGCTTTTGTCCTGGGCTTTTATCGCTGTAACTATCGTTTGTCAGTACGACTTCCTTTGTCTATGAGAGTCCGCCACTGATTTTCAATAGCTGTCAAAAAGGGATTGGGCTCTCATCTTGTTGATGTGGATAAGAACAACCTGCCCTCCTATTCTTTCGTATGCGCCATCTGAAAGAATAGTCATTGCAATTCTGACCATGACAGGTCGTATGGCTCAGCTCGATGTTCTACCTGGCCTGTCTGGGCTTCATCAAAACATCGGTCTGCTGGTTCTACACCCGCATCGGCGACAAGACGCTCACGCGAATGTCCTTGATCATGATGGGCATCGTCGGCACCCAGGCCGCAGTATTCGTCATGGTTGCAGCCTTTCAGTGTCGACCCATCCCGAAAGCCTGGGATGCGTCCTTGCCGGGTCACTGTGTTGAGATCAATATCTTCTATCTGTCCAACGCGGCCCTGAACATCTTGACTGATTTGATCACCTACTCGCTCCCTATCAAAGTCCTCCTTAAGCTACAGATGCCGCTCAAGCAGAAGTTTGCGCTTGGTTTCATCCTCTGCCTGGGACTTTTGTGAGTATCTCGATCGCAGGTGAGATTCTGCACACTGACACGCTCCCTAGTGCCTGCATCTCCTCGATCATTCGCATCACTTTTATTCCCACCATGCTAACCTCGGCCGATTTCACCTACGCTATCGGCGGCGCCATGTACTGGTCCGTGATCGAGACCAACGTCGGAATTCTGGCCGCCTCTATCCCCTCTTTCAAGGCGATTGCCTCCCGCTTCCTGCCCCGACTCATCGGCGAGTATTCCTCCGGGCGCAAATATGCATCCTCCAAACTGACAGGATCCAAACAAACCCACTGGGGATTCTCACGGTTCAAAGACAGTGTGACAATGAACTCACTGAGGACCAAGGATGCCGAGGATATGCCGACTCAGCTTGGAACAGGATACGGCAGCAACACAAGCGAGGAACGGATCGTGGTGCCGGACGGGAAGATCTGGACTACAACGCAGATCGAGACGAATGTCGAAATCAGGAACCCTCGTACCCGGTGAACAATAACGCCTGCACTTTCCCTGCGGAGATCAGGTACCAGCGTTATAGTCTGGACGAATGGACGGGCAATGCTAGTCTAACTAGTCTGCAAGCTGTCAATGGCAGTCCAGGCTATGGATTCGGGAACGCTTGGCGAATAATGTAACCCGATGAGGAAGCTATATCAACTGTCAGCTGCAACCATAAATATCATTATTACCTGCTTAGTGACAAAATCCAAAGATTTGTCAGATTGGAGACTCCGGTTGCCCGAATTCTGGCGGGGTTCTTCCGTACATAACTTTAATATCAGAGCTCTCTTCCCCGCACTGCTGTTCCCCTCGCAAAACAATCATCTCACATAGGCCCCTGCCTCTTACAAAATTACCTACCATTTCACTATCAGAAATGTCTTCCGCACAGTCCTTTCGTCAAATGATCGGGGTCCCTCCATCGACCGCCTCTACCAAAGATTCAACTCTGATCATCATCGACGCGCAGAACGAATACGCTACTGGCAAGCTCAAGACCGAGAACGTCTCCCTGACACGCAAGGCGATCGCAAACCTCCTAGAGAAGTACCGTGCCGGTGGCGATGGTAAGAACATCGTCCATGTTGTCCATGAGACGCCCCAGGGCGCCCCCGTTTTCACTCCCGACACCGATCTCGCCCGGGAATTCGACGAGTTGACGCCGCGCGCCGACGAGAAGGTCATCGCCAAGCATTTCCCGAGTGCCTTTGCCCAGACGGATCTTGATGATTACCTGAAGGGTCTGGGAGATGCGGGAAAGAAGATTGTCCTGGTGGGATATATGGCGCATGTCTGTGTGTCGACCACGGCTCGTGCGGGCGATGAGCGCGGTTATGATGTGATCATCGCCAGTGATGCCGTGGGTGACCGGGATATTCCCGGGGCCAAGGCTGAGACTCTTGTTTCGGTGGCTCTGAGCGAACTCGCTGATGCGTTTGCCACTGTAATTCCTTCGACGGAGATCACTGCGTAGGCTTGTTGGATAGTGGTCCTTATGCGTTACAGAGTCAGAATAACCTTTGCATACTTGATATCACCGTCTCTTTAACCATAATCACTCCAAGTGTTTCCAGACGAAGACGCCATTGATCATCTACTGCGTCAATAAGGTGATACGCTTGTCATAATACAGATATTGGCCTCGTAGTTAGAACGTCCGAGACAAACTATGATTACTGGACATGATGGGTTGCCTGGAAGAGGCGCAGAGAACGGACCGGGCGGATCGCATCTCCCGACTTGCTGTTAGCCCCGATCCCGAAGACTCCTGCTTATGAGATAATAAACTGACATTTATAAGCAGTTCGTTAGTAAGATAATGGGTGAGAATGCAGGTGTTTAAAGGCAGCCGAATGCCCTGCCTTGGGCCGCGTCAAAGATCAGATCAAGCAAGCGATCACCACAAACCGACAGCATGTTGACTCCAACCATCGGGATTGTCGTCTGCAGCCAACGGGTCCCCCGTTCTGGGCTGCAAATCACCAATTTCGTCCTGAATACCATCCAGAAAGCATACCCGACCGCCAACCTGCGCCTTATCGACCTAGCTACCTGGAACCTCCCAATGTACAATGAACCGGGTATCCCATCGTTTATCACCTCGTCGGATGGATACACGCACGAGCTGACCAGAAGATGGTCCGAGGAGATTGCCTCGCACGCCGGATTTATCTTCGTCACACCACAGTACAACTGGGGTTATCCGGCCAGCATCAAGAACGCCATCGACTATCTTTTCCATGAATGGACGGGGAAGCCCGCCATGATTGTCAGTTATGGCGGACACGGCGGTGGCAAGGCTGCTCAGCAGCTGCATCAGGTGCTGCAGGGCCTTCGTATGCAGCCTGTCGAGCCTCTTGTGGCTTTGGCGTTCCCCACGAAGGAGTTTACGGGCAGAGCAACCAGGGGAGAGGATCTGGGGGTGATGCAAGATGAAAGCATTTGGAAGGATGGCCGGGAGCAAATGCTTACAGCGTTTCAGGTTCTGGCTCAACTCGTTGCAAAATCTACATGACTGTGGTGTTGTTACTTGGCAGATAGCGAGTATCGAAGATAATTCCCGCGATCATGGCGGAGTATGGAAGAAGCCGCAGCAGGAAACCTGACTCAAATCTGCAGCTCGCAGGAAATAGGAGGATCCTTTGATCTAGCATGATCCGTTTCAACTATGGCTGTTGGATACAATACTGTGAAGGAAGGAGATGAGTCAGGCGCCTGATTTTGTGGCAGGTTGATGAGATTTATTGGTGTACATAATAGAGTATTCGATTGGTGTCTCTCAATTTCTTCTACCGTGGCCCGGCTGATAAAGTAAGCACTAAGATTAGTGGTGTGGCTGTGATGCGTCTAGACTCCGCAACTCTGAATCACTCAAAAAAGGCGGTATCATCACACCTCTGAGGCCTCCGTCCAGCAGTTGAATATACTGTAAAAGATCATGAAGCATACTAGAGCCAAGCACACCAAATCGAGAAGAGGCTGCATCACCTGCAAGTCCGTCAATTCTACGCCTGCGGGTTGACTCGTACTAATTCTCCCAGAATCCGTCATGTCAAATGCGACGAGCAACAGCCAGAATGCCTACAGTGCGTCAAAACAGGGCGCAAATGTGATGGATATGATCCCAAGCAGACAAACCCACAGGTTCAGCAGAGAGCCGTAGTCGATCCGGTCCCCGTGGCCTGGACTAAACCCAGCGCCGACCAGCGTCTGGTCTTGCGTCCAGGGACTCGAGAGGAACGGCAGTATATTGAGTTCTTCTGCACCCGGACGTCGCGCGCACTGTCTGGCTTCTTTGATTCGGATCTCTGGGGATATTTCCTGCCCCAGCTGAGTCACTCCGAGGCTGCCATCCGGCACGCAGTCATCGCTCTGGGGGCTCTCCATCAACATCTACATGTAATCCTCGCGAAAGACAAACATGATCCCGGGCGGAAAATCGCCCCCCAAAATGAACAGTTTATCATTCAGCAGTACAACTCGGCGATCCGACATCTAGTGGCACAAATGTCGTCCGCAAATCAGGTGCCGCATCTGACTCTGATTGCCTGCTGTTTATTTGTCTGCCTGGAGATTCTCAGTGGCCAGGGTAGCAAAGCTCTGGACCATATCGAAGCTGGCCTGAAAATTGTTCAGCGATGGGAGAACGATCCAAATGGAAAACTACAGTCGGAAGGGATTACTCGAGAACTAACTTATACCGTCATCCGTTGGAATACCCAGCTCTCAAAGCATGGAAGGAAGATGATTGCCCTCAATCTCAGCCAACTAGATGCAGCAGAGTCAGTGGGAAGATCAGAGACATGGACGGAAATCTCAACGGCCAGAAATTCACTCGACGTACTGATCAACCGCGCCATGAGCTTCGTGGAGGCAGTGGGCATCGACCGGCAGACGAGAGGGTCGCCCTGGCAAGTTCGTCGGCAACAGGCGCTTCTCCAAGATTTCGCTGATTGGCTGAACGCATTTGAGAGTCTGATGAAGCGATGTGGCAGACGGCTGAAGAAGACTGATCCTCGAGGACCTGTGCTGCTGCGCCTCCATCACCGCACCAGCCAAATTTTTGTAGTCGTCGCCCTGTCCAGAGATGAGCTCATATTCGACGAGCTCGACGATGACTTCAGAGCTATCGTTGCGTACTCCGAGGAGCTAATCGAGCTCAATGCGTCACTGGACAAGGACTCTGTGCTGACTATCTTTTCCTTGGAGACCGGACTCATCTCTTCGCTGTGCTACACGGCTAGCAAGTGTCGCAATCCGCTGCTCCGGCGAAAAGCAATCAGCCTGCTGTATCGCTGCCCTCAGAAGGAAGGGCTGTGGAGTATGCAGCAATATGCGACTCTGTCGCGGATCATTGTGCAGATCGAAGAAGCAGAGGTGGCTCACTTGCCGGTGGAGCAGCGAATTCCCGAAGATCGGCATCGCCTGTATACAGCGCACATTGAAAACAGGACTTGTCGCTCATGTCAATTAGTACTGAGGCACATGCCTGAGGCTGGTGATGGAGAATGGCATTGTCGAGTCAGGGATGTGGATTTCTCGACTGAGATCGAAGCAGAGGATCCCAACTTTTTCACAGAAGCTGGTATCAGCTCAGAGGCTTGAGACAGACCACAATTCTCTAGTTAGATTTGTCTCAACCGTAGTGGTAGGGTAGTATTATGTCTATCATGAAATTGGGGTTGTGATGGAGAACATCAGTATGTAACCGTCTCCGGCAGTAGAACTAGTTCGATGTATTATATCCGTCAACAGTGAAATAATATATACATTATGATTAACCAGGTACTCATGTCGTATCATCATACTATCCAGCGCCTCGCTCATTATGAAACCCCCATGTCGAAATTTAACTCGGTCATCCTCGGCCGAATTTTTTGCATCTACCTTGATTAGTCCGGACCAATGACCAAGACGAAGAAGACATACTTTCGAGAGAGTATGTTCCTCCAACTCGTATGGGTTGGCATCTCTTTCCTGGCATCCAAAACTGGCTGCTGCTTGTGGGCCTTCATTTCGCGAAATACGGCTTCCACATGAGCGCGGTCTAGGTGTCGCGGGTTTGTGTCCTGCCAGGATTGTCTGCGGATTGTCATCCCATAGCAGTCTGGTGTCAGAAAGGGATATGGAATCGTCATCGTGAGTGGGATGTCTGTATATGATGGACAGCAAATGACTATATTGTATACAATGGTGTAGTATAATAAATCAGAGAGTGCAATGCCTCGCGTTCCAAGTAGATCAGGCACTTTGAGGTCTTTTATATGGCGGCAATTTGGAATCATGAGAACAGGATCGAAGTAACGGCGAAAGAAAGACCAATAAGGTTGTCCGCAGAGAGGCTGTGGAATGCTCGAGGTAGTCTTGGTCTGCCGGTCATTTGACGTGGCCTGATGCGATGATCTGGCCCAGTCGATCCTTGTTCTTTCGGAATCTGGATTGATTTTTTCCCTGACGATTCTCAGAGTGATGGCAATATATTCCAGATAGATCAGCCCATTGTGGTATGTCGTTGCCATGATCACTACCCCTATCCAGTGCTATCTGGACATATATTTGAAATTCACAAGCTCGTGTATCCATCCGTGTAACTCTTCACGAAGCACAGACATTGACCCCGCATTCCAAGGGCCGCCTATCCAAGCCCATGCGCCACTGGATCACCATTGGCCTCATTTGGGAAGTATCGAGGCCATCGTTTGTGCCGGCAGCAAATCGCGAGTTGGTGGCGCATGTTTAAATAGTCGACACCAATCAGTAATTGGCCGAGCTTCGCATAGTGACCTTGCTGCAATCGTACTGAATACTTGGCAGACGACACCCAATGCCGATGTGGACCATTGGCACACAATCGTTGAGATGCCACTCAGGATTGTCGATTTTGCAGTACTAGAGATACTACACCGTCGCACTGCTTCTCAAGCATGCAGGAGGTAAGATGACTGATTGACCAGACAACTAGCAAAATGTATCGAATGCCACCATTTCACCAGAATGGTCTTGGAATTGAAAGAAACAAGTAAGAAGCTGGCAGATCCAGATATATCAATTTCGACAAAGAAAAGAGCTCCCTAACATCTAATTACGCCTGTCACTACCGGAGGACACAAACCATCCTGTTGATGAAGACTTCTATTATGTACCCCTTGAAAAATTTACACAATTCTCAAACAAAAAGATAGACAGAAAGACGCAACTGGTGTATCTTCTAGAGACAGAAGTGCTCACTTCGCAATCCGACAGAGGCCCTGATCATCCCAATCCTCGCTGCCAACCATCCGGCGCGCTATGAAAAGACCATCCGGATCCCATTTCTGCTTGATGCTGTACAAACGGGGGTAGTTACTGCCCCAGAAAGAGTCTTGGAAGTTGGGTTCATAGGGAAAGGCCTCGTTCACATACGCGCCCATCTTGTCTGCACCCTCGACTCCTTGCAGCAATGGCAGCTCAACATCCGTCACGTTCTTGATGACGGCCTGCTGCTCTGCCAGAGTGGCATTGGGACTCCAACTTCGGACGTACACGATATGCACAACCGCCTTTCTCCAAGCCGGGTTGAGTGCACTGTCCACTTTGCCTGCGTTCTCTGCCACGGCGCCGCCTCCCACCACGATGCCGGCGATGGGTTCCCCAGGCGTATAGCGGAATTTACTCAACGTAGAAGCGAGCCTGGCGGGTCCGTCCTGGGAGGTGAGGAGGTCTCTCGAGAACAGCCTGGAGAAGAGGAAGGCGATTTGTCCTGTCGTATCCGCATCGCCGACGAGTAGGAGCTTTGTTATGGCCTCATGGAAACTGGGCATGGGGAAGGATCTATACTGTGTATGCACGTCCGCAGTCGCGTTGAGCTTCTTCACCAGTGGCTCATAGACCTGGCCAATCTCGGTGGTGTTGCTAGTGTTGGCATGGAAATGCGTAAAGCTCAACACCGAGAGGGTCTGATTCTTCTCCCACGGCAGAATGGGAGTCACCGTGTAGTATCCGCCTCCTCGTGCGTCAGTCACGGCCGGTAACGCAGCATGAAAGTCCGCCACGGCGTTCCAAAATGCGGGATCTCCGGCGGCAGTGGTGATGTTCATGGAGGTAATGACGAGAGGAATTTCCTCGAATGTACGAACGGTGACTTGGGTGATGACGCCAAAGGTGCCTCCTCCACCGCCTCGCAGCGCCCAGAACAGATCCGAATTCTGGTAGGCATTGGCAGTGACTAGATCTCCCTGTAGCAACTTCAGTGCTGCGCGCCAAACCTAAGAAAAAGCATCAACTTACCGAAGCCGTGACGACATTGAACTCCAGGGCATTATCCGACGCCATCCCCTTCCATGGGCTCAAGAACGAATGACCGCCGCCTTGGATATACCCTCCGGTTAGGCCAACAGTGTGAGCGGAGCCTCCCACTACCGTTCTGTTCTGCTTGCTGAGCGCAGCATTTATCTCCTGCAGACTAATCCCAGCATCCAGCGTTACAGCCGGACCTTCACCTTCATCGTTCGGCGCCCCATTCGGAACGAAATTATCTACTAACTGAATTCCCTTCATTCGGTTGGTCAAGATCTGAAGGGAGTTCGGAGCCGCCGAGCGTCCATGGAAATCGTGGCCGGAGTTCTTGATCGCGAGACGGACGTTATGCTGCTTTGCAAACCGGACAGCCTCCTGGATGTGTCGCGCGTTCTGGACCACGGCAGAGTAGAGCGAGATACGCCCCTGCTGGCATGGCATATACGCCGCAGTCTCGATATAACAACTCTCATTTTGTTCCGGCCAGGCTGCCCAGTTCTCCCATTGCACGGCGCCGGGCTGAGCGGCGCGCCAGACGGAGTTGGTCCATTGCGCCGTGACTTCCTGGCAGGCGGTGCTGTTGGGGTTAATGTGACAAGGAGCAGCAGCAGGCTGCACTGCGACCAGGTTACCGTCAATCGAGCTGTTGAGGGCATTCCACTCCTGTGGTGATGGCCAGCATGGCTGATTGGGTTGACATCGGCAGCTGCTTGGATCGGGGGCAGCGATTGCTGCAGTGGCAAAGAAAATGGCCAGTAAAAAATTTTTCATCGCGACTGGCGTGATAGAGAGATGTAGATTACAAAGTGAGTTAGACGATGGCCTGGACAAACTCGCAACTTTCCTTATATACACAAGAAATACAAGCACTCTGGTGCGCCCAACACTCCATGCCCAAAAGCGTAATGAAATAAGACACGAGCTATGCAATGGGGCTGTCGATCATCCTGCTCCCTGTTTACATACGAGAGTTAAAAACTCAGCGCATGAGATATGTGCATCCATCATCGACGATGCGACGGGTCATGCTGCCAATGAGCAGAGATCACCGCCATCCACATGATCTTAGCTGGATAATGACCCAGTGAGCATACTAGTCCTGATGTCATTGATGATACTTCATACTTTGTACTCGGCTACATCCGTTGTGTTTCTCCTTGGAGCTAAATACTCCTTACTCTTTAATCTATTGACTTGGAATTAGCTAGAGCCATAATGTGTAATACCCACGCCCGCATTTTCTGGCGACGATAACCACTCTTGAGCCGAACAATTGTGACTATGCATGTTTCTCACGCTTAACTTCAATAGATCATGCAGCTATGCCTTGTTGTTATTGCATATGAGGAATCAACGTGGTTGGCCGCCTCCTTCCGTCGTTTCCGACTAACTTTGCGCATTCAGGCTTACGTCTGGACAGGAAATTCTAATAATTGCAATGTGTACAAATCCACATTAGAATAAGCATTATAGTACACACCAAATAACAAGACTATTAAAGGAAGAGGCGGTACCGTTTTCCATCTACCATTCATTATCCATGCGGTACGGATAGCGCGGAGATGACCTCACGACAACATCCCGAGCCCACATCTAAACAATTCCAAATCATGCCTGGCCCTATTTCAATTGACGTCAAAACATTAGGGTGACTTATCCCGACTGCAGCATGTGTAGCCTTGGCAGGTACTCCCACAATTGACCAAACATGTCGACAGGGTTTCCGATGAACACCCAGAGTTGGGGTCGACAACATGGCGCTTCTTGACTCCTCCCTTAACAAGCAACTCTGCGCTTTCCTGGCCCTGGATTGATCGACTGTCGCTGGGAATTGGACGGACATGCTCCGGCTGCAAGGTCGTTGAATGGATCCCGTACGCATGGAAGCACTCGTTGATAATCTTCGCCTTTTCCATAAAGTCGACGATGAGTTCATCGGATACTGCCAGATGCACCGAGGCAAGGGCTTTTTCCTGGTTGAGTCGCCAGATATGGAGTTCATGGACGGACTCGACGCCGGGAATCTTAACCGGGTTAACCTGTGAAACATAACCGGGAATCAATACTCACGGCTTCAAGATCATGCTTGACATCTTCCGGGTCGACGCCCAGCGGGACGCTCTGCAGCAAAATGGTTCCACTCTTCTTCACTACATTGAGTCAGTAGCAGTCCGTAGAGTCTGATTGTGCTACATGCCTAGAGGAAGCGACGAGAGGAGGATCACGATGGCAATCGCCATGCTCACAGCAGGATCGGCATAATATCTTCCCTCATATTTGGCCTTCCAGATCACCAACGCAGCAATAATAACCCCGATATTGTTCGCTGCATCCCCCAGAACATGGATAAGGACACCCATCATCCCGAGATCATGGCCCTTCTTCGCTTGCGACTTGACATTGTGGCGGTGCTCGACGTGAGGGCGCACGACCTGATGAACGCTACTTAGCTGGGAAAGCCTACGGCGACACAGCGACTTACTCGAGTAGAAAAGGAACTCCTGCGTTCGAGCGTAGACAATGACATCGAAATTTCCAGATCGTCATCGGATGAATCGGGGGTGTTGCTTTCACCATGGTCGTGTTCTATGAACTTAGTCCGGCACTCAATGCTCTTCTGGATGGGAACGAACCATGCAGGAACAATCCACTGATCAGATTCAAAGCCAATCCGACGCAGCCAACGATCAGTACAAGCTTGGGGTTTTCAATTCCTGCATGTGTCAGTACGTTCTCATCCACCAGGAGCGAATACCATACGCTCTAACGAGATAAAGCGATCGATAGATTGAAGGAAAATGCTGATTCCTAGAGACAGGAGGAAAACACCATTGAAAAAGGCACCCAATAATTGTGCGCGCTGCCAGCCGAAAGAGAGCTCTTTAGGATGTTTGTTGCGTTGGGAGATCTGACTCTTTAGCTTTACTCTCACACAGGGAGGAGCTACACTACCTTGAGTGCTACCAGAGCCACAATGAAGCCGACAAGGTCATTCAGCTGCAGGTATATCAGTATCACTTCCGCATCATCAATGTGTGCTACCAACGTAGTGGAATGCGTCTGCGACTAGAGCCAAAGAGCGGGTATAAAATCCGACTGAAATATTTTGTCAACCAGGCGGCCGCTGGACATGTAAAAATCAAACTTTACCTGCGATTTCCGCCAGGAAAAAAGACGCGGAAATGCTGATTACCAGAATCAGACGGTGTTCGCGTTTGAGATGGGAAAACATGATGAAGCCAGAGAATATTGATTGTGTGACAAAATATGTACAGAGGGAAAATCTTCAGGCAAAACAATTTTGGGCGTCAGGCTCCCTCAAGCTGCAGAATGGCTTGCAAAAGACGCGAGTCACTCCCCATAAAAGACATAGCCCGAAAATTTTCCTGTCTAGAAAAAGACCGATGTAACGCAGCTCAGAACGGGGGCCTGAGAGGGTCGGATCTCGACCTCGGCTGGGGACTCAGCTCGCCAGCGATGTCATAGGAGCGCACAAGTAACAAGTAGCAGAAATGCCTCAAGAGCCCTATCCATGCCAGACGCTGTGCATGGTCTGCAGTCCATATTGTCGACACTTGAATGCCACTGAGCAGGCCAAATCGCCGAAAAGTGGAGAATTCCCTCGTCTATCCGCCGGGATTAGTCATAGTAACCCAAGAAGCGACGCACAGGAGTGACTCATTCCGAACGAGCATGGCAATTGGCTATAGCCAGTCTGGATGCAGGTCGGAGCTCGGATCGGAACGGACGGGCCAAAAATCAGTTGACCATGTTGGTGCCTCTATGGGCGAGGGAAGTTCAGATCCCAGATATGTGAGCTGTAACGGCTTCAACCTGGAACGTTAGTGTGGTCAGTAGCAGATCGAACGATATTCCCAATCGAGCTGTTCATCAAAGCCAGCCATCATGATGATGATGATGATGATGATGATGATGTTGTTGTTGTTGTAAAAGATTTGTCATTTCGAGTGCCGGAAGAATCTGAGATACGTGTCACAATATGTGAGGCGACGAGAACAACTCGGATGGCTGAGATAAAGTCCACACTGCTTGTAAAAGCAGATGCAAAACTTGTAGATTCAGCTCCCAGTTAAGGAGCAGGGATAGAAGAGCAAGAGGAGCGAGTCGACTATATTTAACCAGACAAGGAGTGAGTACCTTGGGGACTGCACAGGTCTTGGCTTCCCTTTACGGACAAGTGAAATGAAGACCTGCCAACTGGTCACATTCGATGAGCTGCCCAGAATTTCCACTATTTGAATTCAAACAGTGCTTGTCCTAGTAGTAGATAACTCCATCTAATATGAATAATATTGATATCTATTGCAGTTGATTACGCATCTCGTCTGTTAGGACCTAGTTGAGTAGTTATTCCATTCTCAATCCTCAAGCCGTTGATGCTCTCTATGAACCAACCCCCAAAGATGGCCACGCAGTGTCAAACCCGGTATCGAAGCCCAAGGACCATGATTCATCGATGAATGGCCACTGGAGCATTTCCACCTCTAGCTCATGAGATTCACTCAAGGGCACTGCATCCATTCCACCTGCCCCAGGATGACGACTATCACTCCCTAACGTTTGATGATTGTTCCGATTTCTAGTCGCTGTTGGCATATTCTCCCGCTCCAAAATATGTTTGGACTCTTCCTGGCGTGGTCGTACACTTCGAATATCACCATATTCGTCCAAAGTCCCCGCAATTGTGAGATGGCCCGCCCCGTCCCGAACGTGCATCTGATTATTTCTGGCTATCTCGTAGAATCTGTTGGCTTCCTGCACGGTTCGCCACTGTGTCTATCAGCAATCCGTTCTCAACGAGATACGACGCGCAAAGGTGGTTGCTTACCCAATTTTGTCCAACTGGCCAGTATTTGCTCAGTCGCTCGAGATATGACAGGTTGGCCTTTTTCTCCTCCTCCGCTCGCTCGATTCCCCCGGGATATCGCTGCGGGCACACAGTCCCGTACATGTTGATATGGGCCGCAACAAAAATACTGAAGCCAGAGTATGGTGTGATCACCGGTGCTCCGGAGACTTCGAGGGCAGAAAGGATGCCGCCGATATTTTGCGCTGCTTCGAAGAGTTCCCGGATAGCCTGAGACTCATCTACATTACTCAAGCCTTGCAGGTCATGCAGCAAGTCGGCGTGAGGCTTGAGACTGGACAGGAACTGGTCTCGGAACAGAAAGAGGATACTAAGATGTTATTAGAATCGCCTAAGCGTGACAGCGAACAGGGAAATACCTCATGAAATAGACCAGATTGATGTATGCGAACAGCTCACCGTACCCCAAGGCAACATGTGCCTGTGCACTGGTGGCTGGGTATCGCACCGTCACATCTTGTAGAAACCTCCACTCGTCGAGCTCCTCCTTCAAGCGCTGCCAGACCACTCGCGGCGATGAAGGATCCTGAGGAAATGTCAATGTCCGACCGCGCCGACTCTCGTTCGCGAACCGCAGGATCCGCACGAAAATATCGAACCCCCGGGTGACGATCGTCAGTCCATAGTCGATGGTTAGATTCCTCGACAACGGGGAGTGCTTGCTCATATCGGACGGCATCAAGCGATGCGATGAAAGCCGACCAAAGTTGAAGTCCTGGTCACTGGTCGGCAACGGAACTGAGATCTGTCGAAAGGAAAGGGCGAAATGCTGGCGCGCTCCGGAACTCAGCTCGCAGTCTTGCGCGAAACAGCACCAGTACGTGCGAACCAGCTGCTCGTACTGAGTTTGGCTAGCCTGGAAGTCCTGCGGATTATGCTCCATGCTGTCGTCGGCCGTCTTGAGGAGCGATTGGATCATGTACGTTGCCATTCCTGACATCATTAGCCTCGTAAAGGGAGCTTGAGACGTAGACATACCACTGTACATCCAGGCCTTGTAGGGGCGACCAGAACCCCATTCGTAGAAGGTTATCATCACCAGAGATTGCGCAAGATAGAGCGACGGGGCCTCGAACGCACGATGCGCGAGCTGTTTGCGAGCATATTCGGCATATGTTTCGGCTGCTTCCAGAGGGTGATCGGGCATGAATCTCACACATAATGACAGCAGAGCTGCAACAAAAACTGGATCAACCGAGGCAGGATTTGACGATAATTCTGCGATTAGAGACGGATAGTGGAGGAAATTGGCGACGGGAAACTTCTTGCGGTAGGTCTCGCATGCAGCAATAACGGTGGATGAGGGCAAGGCCTCAACGGGATTCTCAGCGCACCATGGCGATGGATGGTCGGTTTGGGGCTCCGGAGGTAATGGTGGACTATTGAGAGCGGTTGTCGGTTCAGAGATCACCGTTCGCTGTCTCCGTGATTTCAATGCGGTTCGTCTTGATCTTCTCGACGGGGACGAATATGTGTCCGTCAACTGACAGTCGGTCAGTTTCGCCCGTTGACAGCGACGACAGGGTGGTTGGCCATCATGAATGCATTTGACCTTTGCTTGACTATACACAAGAGCAATGATGATCAGCGAATCAATCCAAGTGCTAAGGTTCAGGCCATATTGGATTGGCTCATTTCGAGGTTATTCCCGATTTCCGAGGATCACCAAACGGACTACAGTAACAAGGGACATACCGGCAGCCATCGCAGGACACTGAAAGTCGCATTCTCAAGGGCCGGATTGACAAGATCAACTCATTGATCTGCCATTGTCTTCACTCCCTCATTTGAGATGATGATAATGTTCAAATGCACCCATGTACTGATGGTTGCGCGGTCGGGAATGGTTCCAGTAGGTGATGATTTCACCCGGTGCGGAGATAACCAACTACCTTCCAAATCGGGTAAAGCGCACTGGCAGGGGAAGCTTCTTTTTTGTTCTTCCGCAACATCAAAAAAAGAAAACTTGTTCTAGAACCATTCTAGTCCGCAATGGATAGTGACGGACAGATAGAAACAGCTTAGACAATATTTACAAGGGTTGTGTTGTTTGGCAACCGGGTAGTCTCAATATAAATTCCGGTCTCTCCTCAATACTCCGCACCTCGGAGAATAGAATGGTCATTAGGATTAATGCTATGCAGGCTGTCTATCTCGCTAACTCATCACAAATGTAGTTGATCATATCCATCATACATCCAGCTCGGTCCATTGCTGTACCCAGCTATTGAACTTGTCCACCTGAAGGGAATCCGTCGCCCACGAGGTCACAATGCGAACAACCGCATGTCCATCGTCGCGCTTCTCCCATATGTAGAACCCAAACCGATCCTGTAGTCTGCGAACCACCCGGTCGGGTAGAATAGGAAATACTTGGTTGGTCTCCGTCTGTTCGGCGAGGCTATAGCCCAGTTTCTCAAAGTTGGCCGAGATCTTGGCTGCCATGTTGTTCGCATGCGTCGCGAGATCGAAAAACAAATGTGTCCGGAAGAGCTCGACAAACTGAATACCCATCACACGGGACTTGGCCAGCAGAGCCCCATGCTGTTTGAGATGGAAGACAAAGCCCTCGGCCAGATGCTGCTTGACCACAATCGCCTCACCCAGGAGTGCTCCCATCTTGGTCCCGCCAATCCAGAAGATATCGGTGAGGTCGACCATATCACGCAAGGTGAGGTCATTGTTCTTTGCGCTCAGCGCTACTCCCAATCGTGCACCGTCGACCAGGATGAGCAGTCCGAGTCGTTTGCAAACCGCTGAGAGGGCCGACAGTTCGGCCTTTGTGTAGATCGTTCCCAGCTCCGTCGCGTTGGAGATGTACACTAGCCGCGGCTTGGCCATGTGCGGAAAGAACTGATTCTGCTGGAATACGCGCTCCAGGTTCTCCGGTGTCATTTTCCCGTTTACTCCGGGGACTAGGATCATCTTGTGCCCTGTGGCTTCGATCGCACCAGCTTCCTTGGTGACAATGTGCCCAGATTCCACAGCCATGACGGCTTCGTAGGGCCGCAAACAGCTGGCAATGGAGATTAAATTGGCCGATGTCCCGCTGGGGACAAAATGAATGGCAACTTCATCCTCGCTGGCGTTGAGCTTCTCCCGGATCAGCCGTCGAGCTTCATTGCTGAACTCGTCTGTCCCGTAGGACGATTGTTGTGCGGTGTTTGTCAGCAACAGAGATTCTAGAATCTGCGGATGAGCCCCCTCGCTGTAATCATCGATAAAATTATATCGAGGAGGGAGCTCTGTGTCACTGATATCTGACGCCGGCATTGTCTGGAAGATGTGGGACTTTATATGATAATAGGAATCAAGAACTGGAATCAATGCAAGAATGCCAGAAAAGTAAGAGAAACCAAGTGAGTCATCTTGTCTGGATCCCCTGAAATATATCCCCTTATCTCTGTGGGAAAACTTGACTCGGTAGCGGGGAGACGCCATCGTCTCGGGAATAATCCGACTTCGGGAATCCGCAGTGGAGATTTCTATTAGCAATCGCCTGGGATCTTTCCCGATTTCGGGAATCCCGAGTAACAACAGCGATACTAGTATTCTGCAGAAAGTGTACAGTTGGCATCTGATGTTGCACACAAATAGCGGTAAGGGCTAAGAAAATTGATTCCATCAAATTCTAGCCTCGTTCCAGAAGTAGTTTATCTCAAAGCCCCCAAAGTACGAGTAGATCGATATCGCAGGCGGCATGAGATATCTTGATGTAGATATGGTATGGATCTACAGGATCATGATGATCTGCCCAGAATACAGCACTGCTGACTAGCCATTCGTGGATGGATTTGGAGCTTTGATATTCGGCATTGGCCTATCATGTCTTACTGATATAGAACGTCACGAAAGCACAACATCAATCTTTAATTTATCATCAGCTCTGCTGGTCCTTTTACCCCGCATGGCCTAACTCACTTGTTCTTCACACCATTTTTTGATGTCCTTAAGCTTAAGGTTACATCGTATTATCTTGATTACCTTGCGTCACAGAATACAGTATAGCGAGGTCAACATGCACTTGTATTTGGTGTTCCATCTCTGGCTTGGCTGTACTATGGAATTCCTTTTGGAGAACTTTCCCATTACACCCAGCTTGAGTTGCTCCGCGAACCATCAAAAGACATAATTCTGCCCCACTTTGGCGTGCAACCGGTTTACCATCAGGAAGACGATACAGAACGCCAGATGGACCGAGTCACGCCAGATGACCGAGTCCGCTTGCGACGGTGATGTCTCCACAACATCCGTGTAGTCATCCGTGGAGTTAAACAGACCGTGTCGTTTATTTGCCGCTGTGATGCTGTTGGCAGAGGAGACGCTTGCTGTGACGAATCGGTCCCGAGTTGCTGGCGTCATTGGGATACTGGCGTCGGGAATATGCTCTGCCGCATGACTGCTTTCACATGTATCACCTTGCACCTGTACAACAGGATCATCCGAAAGCCGTAACGTTCGAGGGGTACTATCGTCCAGACATCGGAAAAGCAGGTCTATACCCCAGTTTCCCAGATCCCATGACTTCTGCAGCTCCTGTAAGGCCATTCACAATCCGACCCGGATGGATGTGGGGGTGAATTAGATAGGTGGTGGGTCAACCCATAATCCGCATGGGTTAGATATTCAATCCACGACCAGTCTAGGCCTGAGGAGCGGTCGTATGGGTTGAATATGTAAATCTGTGTGCTCTTCACGTTTTTGCAGTTCCATGACTAGGGATTATGCAGACGATTTCAGCATCAAATGAATGAATCTGCCCCAGGCATAGATTGTTGATCATAGTTAAGTCAGTTATTATTCAGTCAGCCATTCTTATTCGGCACCACGGCTATTCTCCTCTTTCTTATCCCTTCTTTGAAAACCCCTCCATACTACTGTGGAATATTGCGTGTAACCACCTGAGCTTACAAGACTGAATTACTGTTCAGTGCTACCTAGTCATCCGTATCCAGCCCCAATTCAGCCAATATGGCCTCGTTATGCTGTCCGATCTCTGGAACCGCACCCATTTGAGCTTCAAACCCGTCTGGGCCCATTCCTGGAGGAAACAGCGCAGGCACTGTCCCAACAGATGTCTGTATCTGCGTCCAGCGCTGCCTGGCTCTCAATTGCGGATGGTTCCATACGCCTTGCATATCGTTCACGCTGGCATTCGCAATACCCACCTCATCCAGACGCTGTAATATCCGCTCTGCAGAGTAGGCGGCGAACACTTTACAGATTGTCTCCCTCAGGGCATCCCGATTCGTCACCCGCAGAGAATTATTACAAAAGCGCTCATCCATCGCCATCTCCGGCTTCTCCAAAACTATGTCGCAAAACTTAGCCCACTCTCGCTCATTCTGAATCCCCAGCATGACCGTCCCCTTGCCCGTTTCAAACGGCCCATACGGATAGATCGCAGCATGTGACGCACCCGCAGGGGTCGGGCCCGGCTGGCCCCGGTAGGTATAGTACATGGGAAATMCCATCCACTCGACCATACTCTCCAGCATGGAGATATCAATATTGCGTCCCCGGCGCTCGGGGTCTTTTTCGCGCTCGAACAAGGCAGCAAGGATATTTGAGTAAGCGTAGCTGCCCGCGCAGATGTCCGCAATCGAGATGCCGACTTTTGCTGGCTCGGCACCCGTCCCCGTGACGGAGAGCAGACCGGCTTCGCTTTGAATGAGGAGATCGTATGCTTTCTTGTCTCGGTAGGGTCCGTCCGGCCCGTAGCCGGAGATGTTGCAGACGATCAGAGAGGGGTGCTTTTCTGATAAGTCTGCGAATGACAGACCTAATCGGGCGCTTGCTCCCGGGGCGAGGTTCTGGACTAGGACGTCTGCGCGGAAGAGCAGTCGCATGAGTATGCGATGGTCGCGGCGGTTCTTGACATCCAGCGCCAAACTTTCCTTTGACCGGTTGGTCCAAACAAAGTGCGAAGAGAGGCCATTGACGCGGGTGTCATAGTTGCGGGCAAAGTCGCCCACCTTAGGGCGTTCGATTTTGATGACGCGAGCGCCGAGATCAGCCAGTTGGCGGGTGCAAAATGGTGCTGCAATGGCTTGTTCGAGACTAACTACTGTGATGCCGGTCAAGGGACCTTTCTTTTGTTGTCGTTTGGTGTTGTTCTGGATAGCGGAGGTGTTTGTTGACGAGTTGCGGTGGATGATCAGGCATTGTCGCGGCAGAGCCCGGACAGAGGGTCGAATGAGAGCCATTATGCGTCAATTCCTTGCACTATCCATTTCCTAAAGCAATAGCACCGTTTATTACTGTATATAAGAGATCAAGATGCTCACCGGACTCCAATGATCGACGTCTGGGATGTGCGGGGTTGGCGGTTACATGCCGGTTAACGGCTATGACGGTTAGTCGGCCTGATTTTCTTCCATGACTTATATGCACCATTCTCAGCCTCGAAAGAATGAAAATTTATAGTTCAGTGATTAAAAATGTCGCATCTGGCCAGAAGGGCACTTCATCCTAGGACCTTAGCTGTCCGACTGCAATGGCCGCTGGTCCGATCGCGTTTCTCAACCTCGGCGCGTCGGCCACTGATGGAACTGACGGGCTTCACTGAAGAACAACTCACTGTCCGCGATGCCATCTCTGCGATCACTGCCAAGTTTCCCAACACCTACTGGCAGGAATGTGATCAGGATGAGCGCGATCCCAAAGAGTTTCATGCCGCACTAGCCAAGGATGGATGGTTGGGAATTGCATTGCCGGAGCAATTGGGGGGTGCTGGACTGGGTCAGTATATCATGTTCAATGTAGCCAGAGACCAGGCTATTGACTGTGAACAGGAATCTCAGAAGCTACAATGATGATGCAGACCATTACTCAATCCGGCGCAGGAATGGCCGGTGCCCAGGCCATCCATGCCAACGTGTATGCCACACAACCGCTGGCAAAATTCGGCACCAAGAAGCAGCTCGAGGAGACAATTCCCAAAATCATCAATGGCACATGGCGGACATGCTTCGGCGTCACAGAGCCTAACACGGGCCTAGAGACGTTGAAGCTCAAAACCACCGCCACCAAAAATGCTTCCGGTGATTCCTACTCGGTCACCGGGCAAAAGATCTGGATCACCTGTGCACAAGTCGCGTCCAAGATGATTCTGCTCGCGCGTACAACCCCCGTCGAAGAAGTAAAGAGATCCACGCACGGTTTATCAATGTTCTGCATTGACCTCGACCGCAACCAACCCGGTCTGGACATGCGCAAGATCAAGAAAATGGGCGGTCGCGCCGTCGACGCCAACGAGGTCTTCTTCGACAACTACCAGATCCCCGCAAACACGTTGGTAGGAGAGGAAAATGAAGKGTTCAGGATTATCCTTCACGGAATGAACGCAGAACGGTGTTTGCTGGCCGGTGAAGCGTTGGGTCTGGGCTATGCGGCGCTCGAGCGCGCGACGCAATACGCCAACGACCGCGTTGTATTCGGACGTCCCATCGGACAGAATCAGGGTATCGCGCATCCGCTGGCAGATGCGTATATGAAGCTAGAAGCGGCCAAGTTGGCGACTTACCATGCTGCGCGGTTGTATGATGCCTCACGAACGGATAGCTCCATTCCGTTCCATTCGGTCGGGGTGGCTTGTAACAGCGCCAAGTACCTTGCTGCTGAGGCAGCATTCACGGCGTGTGAAAGAGCAGTTCTGACGCATGGAGGAATGGGTTATGCCATGGAGTATGATGTTGAGCGGTATCTAAGGGAATGCCTGGTCCCTCGGATTGCCCCGGTGAGTCGGGAGATGATATTGAATTATGTCAGTGAGAAGGTGTTGCAACTACCGAGGAGCTATTAGATTGCGAGGAAGATCTAGATCTGCTCTATAAAAATGCTACTCCTCATGGCTGGAACTTCCGTGATTAGAGTGCATTCAAGCATCACTCTAGATATAGTATATCCTTGGCGACATATAAACGAACAATAGGTCCTCACTGTAGCCCCTGCAGCCCCATTCCTAAGTTATGTGGCTACATATTAGCAGGAATAACTTTATTAGAGTATGAGATTGCTGACTTACTACAACAATTTATCGAAAATTGGCCGAGTTTCAGCAACGTAATGCGTTGGAAAGGTGGTGGATGGGACATGGACCGACACCTCAGGCAGCAAATCAGATGAGCGGAGAGTCGTAGACACCGATCGGTTCGTCCCCCACAGACAACTTGGCTCTGTCCATTCATCCTCCCGAGTGTCATGGCAAGGTTCTATCATACACAGAACAACTTGAAACAAGGCAGCTCCATACTTGATCCACCTATTATTCCAATGAGAACATGAATGGAGAATGAACCCTCAATGGCCTCCCCAAGAACTCCAAGGAAGGTGCCGACCGCGTGCCAAAGATGTCGCCGCCAGAAATTGAAGGTCGTTTTGCACCCTCTGTCGTCGGAAGTGTACTAAAGCGCTCCTCTAGTGTGATGTCAGCCGTCCTTGCACACTGTGTTCCCGAGCCGGCGCTGAATGTCTCCCAGCCACGACCAGCCGGTGGAGAGCCTACCGACATGGGCAGCACTCCACCAGCGAACCACATTCTAAACGACCGCGGACAGCGCCTCCTGATGCGAGTGGAGACTCTTCTGAACAAGCCCAGATTTGCCATGCAGGGACAAATCATGCTCCAGATGAGCCAACAGATTCTGTTCCCGCTACGGATGGGGGTCTTAACCAGGCTAACCTTCCGATATGGAACTCAAGCTCGACCCTGTCTTTAGTGAATGGCGTGAGAGACTCCGTGTTCATATTAAACCACTGTGGTTTCTGATCAAAAGACACAGGCATTTGAATTACACAATGTCGCTACTCCTCGTGATCCGATAATGGATGCCATTCCTGGAGGCACCATGCAGGACATTGTCGGAGAAAATTCCGAAATCAGGCATAAGGAAGCCGTTGAGCCAGGCGTCCGTCCACCTTGCGGTACAGGGACAAGAAGACGGATTCTACGTCCGATGCCCCCGCTGGCGTACTCATCGCCGCCAGCTCTGGCAGAACTTAGGTCACTGTTGCCACCTTACGAAGCTGCTGAGCTACTCCTCGATACCTATTTTGACAGAGTTCATTGGTTTATGCTCATCTTTCAACAGGACGACTTTCGTCAGAATTGGCCACACCTGTATAAGACACATTCAGACCGCGCAAGTGAAGATTGCAACGATCTAGGGTTTCTCAGCACTTTTTTGATTGTCATTGCTATTGGAGCGCACTATGTCGGACCCTACCGGCAACGTCTCCTTGCTCGCCACGATGTCCAACCTGAGACGCTCAAGCAGTGCATTTTTAAAGCCATAAAATCCAGTTTGCTGGATATTATCTCGGTTGGGTCGTTAGAAGTGGTTCAAACGTGCATCCTATTAGGAACATACTATCTCTTCCACGGTGCTCCTCGGCTAGCATGGCCGGTCTGCGGCTGCGGCCTTCGGGTTGCCCAGTCGCTCAACTTACACCGCAAGGTTGACAAAGACTTGTCATTAACTCCTATCGAGCGCAACCAGAATGAAACGAGGAAGCGTTGCTGGTGGGCCATCTACGAGATAGAGACGTTCTGTTCGATGTCTTACGGCTATCCTCATAGCATCAAAGACGCAGACTGTGATGTTGAGCCACTGAATCCGTCGGCAAAGCTACGGAATGCTCCGTCACCTATATCCTTTGATGAACCGTTGAGATGTGAGACCACCCTTTTGTCCTACAAGTACTACATGTCCAAATTATCGGTTCTCACCAAAGCGGTCCTCAGCGAGCTCTATGGGATTGGGCCGGGTCTAGTAAACAATAACAGGGCTTCTGGTGAATCTGGCTCGAGCTTACGCGCTGTTGTTATGAAGGTAGCTAGTCTGGATGCAAGACTTCGGAACTGGCGAGCTGATATCCCTCCGAAACTACGGTGGGAGACGCTTGCTTCTACCCGCATGAGCTATTCGTCTCAGGAAGAATTTGATCGAGACATTGGCGCATCGGGTATTCGATTCGACAATCATATCTACCTCCTTCAGGCGTTAGCACTTAAGCTTGCGTATGAAAACACCATGATCCTAACTCACAGGCCGCTTCTGTCGTACAAGCTCGTGGCTAAAGCTGACGAGAAGCTGGATGATATGTCTCGTCTTGACACAATCCAAGAGAATCCTTTTTTGAGATCGATGAGAGCCTGTCATGATGCAGGCATGAGCCTGTCCGAACTCTTGAATAGCCCTATTCTCGACCTTGTCTCTGAAACCTATGCCGCTGCCTTTGTTAGCATCCATACGTTCACCGCGGGAGTTGCCCTTGGGATTTTAAGTAGTATTGAGCCGCTTACGCCGCAGGCTCAAGAAGCCAAAGTTGGGCTGCATCGGCTCATGTCCATTCAAGCGAAACTGAAGGCTCGATCCCCACTAGCCACGCAGGGCCTGGATATTCTTCAGAGGTTGGCTAAACTAGTTTTGGACAAAGAGCTGAGCATGATGCTCGACGTTTCGAAGCCCATACGATGGTCAGAGCCACAAAGCGGTGTAGATGTCGATGTCAGTGCCGTTCAAACCGGTACTCTTTCTCCAAAGCAATCTTCAAGCGGCCAGCATCCGAGGGGGTCGTCTCACGATGCTGCTGTGGCTGTCATGCAGACGGACCGCCAATTAACCATGTTTGATTCTCGAGACACCCAAGGAACAGAGACCTGGGAAGAGACACCGGACCCTAACAGTCTCGGCAACTTCACGGATTTTCAGTATGTGGAGGACGCTTCGGTGTCGGCGGCGCTCCATGACTTCGACCAAGGTGAGTCAAGCAAGATATTTGATTTGTACTGTACTGTCGCAAGCTGAACGGGTCTAGTGCTTTCAACATATGTTAACAGCTCTTGGGCTGATCCTGACCCATTGGCCGTTGATACATCACACGCCCGGACACTACACGATGATGGGTTTTCAATGCTGGAACAAACGTGGATTTGGGGACCGGATACCCTACCATTTCACGATTGAAGCATCTTAATGCATTGACAGTTTGATGCTCCTTCCGGGTTGTCAAGCCTACTCGTGGTACATCAAGATAGTCGATTTGATGTCTATGGGTCAATTACAAGTGCATATATCCAAGGTCATATTGTGCAGAAGAAATGCGCTCCAAATATCAGCTATCACACTGACCAACCTGCTACAATGATAAGCCGAATCTATCTTAGTATCCACCCGTTTCCCCATCATTGCTCATCGGCTTGAAGGATACTTCAACTGGCTCATTTCCAATGCCGCGCTTCCTCGCCTCTTCCAGAATAGCCACGGTAGCTGTGGCGCCAATACGAGTGACACCCAAGCTCATGACGTGCAGCAAGTCGTCCAAGGTCCTGACGCCGCCAGCAGCCTTGATCTGCACCTTCTCACCAGCCTTCTCCCGCATCAGCCTGAGATGCCTCACCGTCGCGCCCTTGTAATTATACGACCCATCCGCCTGCTTCACGAATCCGTATCCGGTCGAAGTCTTGACAAACGCAACATCCAGCCTTGTGCAGATCTCACAAAGCCGTGCAATGTCGTCGTCTTTCAAATAATCATTCTCGAAAATGACCTTGAGCAGGGCGCCTTTGGCCTTGACCGCGTCGTTGATCCGTCGAATCTCCTCGGTCACATACTCCCAATCGCCGCCAAGGACTTTACCAACATTGACAACCATATCAATCTCAGTACCCCCTGCTTTGACCGCCGCGATTGCTTCGGCCACTTTAATCTCAGTGGTGCTGTTCCCGTGCGGGAATCCGATAACGGGGCAGACGAGGACATCCGTCCCGGCCAATTCTTTCACGGCGAGAGGAATAGAGTAGGGTTTGACACAAGCAGTAGCTACTTTGTGATCTCGGGCAATCTTGAGCCCTGCGAGGATATCGGCGTCTGTCATCGTAGGATGAAGGAGGGAGTGGTCGATCATTTTTGCGAGTTGAGGAAGGGAAACAGTAATAGTATTGGAGGCCATTTTAGCTCGCAGGACAAAGGGATCACTGATGATTTGGAATTCAATGGGCTGCTGATCTTGATGAAGCGATTCCTCGTCTTCGTGGCAGGTCGTTGTTATATACTTGGACAGCCATGTTCCGGTGGGTGCATTTACTCTTTTGGGTGAGCAACGCGCCGTTGTTAGCCAATGAGCGCCACTTCCGGTCCGAGAGTGGGGACAGTAACTGTAAACAGGAATTCATTCCGGCAGCGGCTTCTACGCATCTTTTTATGAGTTCTACGCAGTATTTACCATCTTCTTCCAAAGAAGTGAAGCCTTGATGGTTACTGCATCGCTCAATACGGTGTCACGGTGACTCTCATCCACTTGGAAGATGTGAACCTCCACTCTGTCTACCGCAGCGTGTAGGTTTGCAGCACCAGTCGCTTTACAGCACCCATGGATTACCGAACTGGAACCGGTTCCCGGCAGATTCACTGGAGCATCAAATATTGAAAGAGTTGTACTGTGTTTTTTTTTGAAATATGAATTTGTATCTTCGAGAATACTGCGCATCTCGTAGCTCGAGGAAGAGCGTCCAAAGATGACACACATTTCCTGTCTTTCTCTCTCCCTCAAGAGATTCAGCCATCTCTCCTAAGGCAGTTGTTGGGAGAATATTCTTTTCTTTGGCCTCATATTCACCTCAATTTCACTACACGGCGTGAGTCTCCGCTTCTTAAGAGTCTAACAATGAGATCGTGATGTTCTACTGGCTGGTCATCATAGGCAGACCCGCGTTCACTCTATACCAAAGTCCGGAATCTTCTATGATGTGCAAATTCTTCATGCTATGTGTGAATGCATGAGATTATACCTGAATATAAATTCCCCTTGTCTTCTCCCTTTCTTCTTTCCTCTCTCATCCGCAGCTACTCCATCCGCAGCCTTGACAAGGAGCCTCCACCGCGAACGCGCAAGTTCATTATGGCTTCAAAGAAGTAAGTTTACCATCGCCTGTCTACAAGTTATGAGTTGTCTCTGATAATCAAAAGATGGAAGAAAGAGTCGTGGTACATCGCGGATGATCGAGCCGACGAGCACATTATCATCCACTACGGCTGGAACGAAGACTGGGGATACTGGATTAAGGTGATGGACGATCGTCTTAGAATGGCCGATGACTGGCATTGTCCGTACAACACCCTTGCGGAACTAGACAGGTTCAGGGCATCCGTGCTGGACGGTGGTCTCGAGGGATGCTACCTGAGTGCCTACACGGGGCCTCGGGGCCACGGAAAGAAAGTGGACTTCGAGGTCCTGCTGGATCTGTGGACAATATATGAGGTCCCGAACGAGACGAAAATTACGGCTGAGTTTCGTAACATGTCAGAGCGAGAGATCCAAGAGGTTACTGAGGCTATAGAGGCCAAGAACGAGGACGAATGGGTCAACCCATGGGCTGGGACCGAGAGCCCATGTGGATGCGAGAAATGCGAGGAATTCGATCCAATCGATGCAGACGATGAAAGCGATGAAAGCGATGAAAGCGATGAAAGCGATGAAAGCGATGAAAGCGATGAAAGCGATGAAAGCGATGAAAGCGATGAAAGCGATGAGAGCGATGAAAATGACAAAGAGGAAGACGACTAATTCTCAGTCAGCAGTCGGGTCTCTTCATGATCAGGGCGAAGAGTCCGAGGAAATCGGTCACTTGATGGTGAGGAAGCATCCAGGGAGTATTGGTCCTGTATTCGAAGCCAACCCGTGAATTGCTGAATCCAGTCGACTCTCCTTATGTCTTTGTCTGCTTGAGAAGATGCCGTAGCCATCTTTGCCACAGTGTTATTGTCCAATACTTGCGACACTCATCCCCAGTCGCTGGAGGTAGTCACAGCTAGAAATTATTCCGGAATCTTATCTATGTGAGCAAATGATGCCAGTAATAACTGGCCTGATTACTACTTCGATGTAATTTAAATTATCTTAGTCCTCTGATTAATGGCAATAGCATCCCCAACTGCATCAAACAGCATGATGAAATACATGCGGGGAACTTCTGCTCCTCCGCCTGACGTCAGCAGTGTTGTGTTACCTCAGTGCTGAACAATCTGTCATTTCACTTTTCTGGACTTTCAATCTTCAAAACAAAACACAGTAGAGCATCGAGTAATTGATAATCAGTACCATGGCCCATAAACCAGGAACGAATGATGGTTGGCACGGGGTTATCTCCAAAGATGGACCTTTTCCTCCCGTCGTAGGACGCTACCATCTCTACATTGGTTTGTCAGTCATTTCAATCACGAAATTTGACTTACATGGCGACAGGACTCTTCTGCCCGTTTGCTCACCGGGTCAATCTGGTGCGTCATTTCTGTGTCTTGACCGATATTATCTCCTTGTCCGTGGTCAGACCAAACCCCAACATCAAAGGGGAGGGATTACGATTCCCAAAGACCAACGATGAATATCCCGGCGCAACAGTTGATGATCTCTATGGCAGCGCGTTTCTGCGCGAGATCTACCTGAGAGCCGATAAGKACTACAAAGGACCGTACTCCGTCCCAGTGCTCTGGGATAAGGAGACGGAAACAATTGTGAGCAACGACTCTGCCGAGATGCTCCGCTGGCTACCCAATGCATTCGACCCCATTCTGCCGGTAGTCCACAAGAGAGTGCATCTATACCCCAATACTCTGCAATCTCAGATTGACGAGATCACTGCCTGGATGCAAGCGGATCTCAACATTGGCGTTTACATGGCCGGAAGCGCGGCCTCTCAGGCTGACTACGACAAAGCGGTTCCAGGTGTCTTTCGAGCACTCAACCGGCTCGAGCAACTCATCCATAGCAATGGTGGTCAGTTCATCTTGGGTAAGCACATCACCGAGGTCGACCTGAGGGCGTACACGACCATCATCCGGTTCGATCCCGTCTACGTCCAGCACTGCAAGTGCAACCTGGGAACGATCCGGCACAATTATCCGACCATCAACAACTGGCTGAAGAATTTATACTATAACGTGGAAGGATTCAGGGAAACCACTAATTTCAAGCATATTAAGGAAAGCTGTAGGTGCAATCTGAGGGAGTTGCATTACTATTTATCAGCTGACTCGGACAGATCCCAAGACCCAACCCGACATAAATCCAAAAGGTATCGTCCCCATGGGCCCTATACCCGATATCGAGTCTGGTGTGGATCACAACTGGGGTCTGGTGAGAGTTGGTTCTATTTATGTAGGCTAGTGTCTGTTTTGTCCAGTACCACAAAAGTGAAATGAGACGAGTTTGTCACTTTTTGGACAGTACTCTATATGCACTTCCGAGAGATTCGTCACTATCGAGCCTCCTTCTCTTTGACCTGGGTATACTTGTCCTTTTCGCGTAGGAGCAGCCTCTGTCGAGCCAGCTTAACGTCATAAGGTCACGCTTAGTAGTGACCCCAGCGCCTCTGCTTAAACCACTCTTGTATTCGAGACCCTGACTTCCGGTATTGGCACCCCTGGGACTCAGAGAATTACCAGTATAAACCGGCGACTGTAAGCTATTCCGGCGCAAATGCGTTTGAAACTTAACGATATCCAGAGAACGTCTCGAGACCAGCCCACTTCTAAGCGACATTATATTGCTACTTGGCATCTCCGCGAGGAGCCTTGGACTGAAGGTATGAGATGCAGCTGATAGGGTGCAATATCCGGTAAATATCCAATCTGCTAGGCTCAAGTTCCTCATTGGTGTAGGAATTGCTGCAGGCTTATTAGAGACACCAGGCAGGATATTCGACGTGGTCACTGGACATCGATATAATATCGCACGCTCTCACAGCTGATACTGCTCCTCCGCGCGAGTCCCAGGGCCAAGTCACCCCATCGGCAGTAGTTGACATCCACGCATTGGATACATGTTTGTCGAGGACATTTCTTCCGTCCAAGTCGCACGAGAGCAAGAAACTCAACCACCCACTGGTCTTCCGGCTGACGTTCATCGCCAAGGTCGATTTCGAGATGTCGGAGATTGGGTGCTGCAATCTTCTTGTAGATGGCATACGGCGTCTCACGCTTATTGGACGAAGACTTGTACAGAGTTACATGTAAATCGTTAAGACGAGGAAAGTCTGAAAAGTCGGGAATGTCTCCTCCTTGGGGCGGAATAGGGCCCAGGGTTATGTTCTGCAGCCAGTCCTTGTGAATCGAAAGCAGTCGCTGGATGCTACGGGCATCGTACTGACTCTCATATGGTCCGTAGCAGAGTGACAAGAGACTGATCTCCTCGAGTCGAGCGGGCCATCGAAAGAAACACTCGGTTACCTCAATCGATGTCTTCGGGTCTTGCAGATGAAGGCTCGTCAGTGCGGATGTTCCTTGTTTGTTAAATGGAAGAAGCTGTGATAGTTCTTCTGTTGTCATAGAAGCACTGTCGTCGTGTGCGAAGCTTGTATATACGCTGCCATCCCGACACCAGCCCCAACGGTAGGTGGAGAGTCTCCTCACGGTTGGCATCTGGCTCAAGATAGTGAACAGCAGGTTCAAGGAAGGAGAGGCGCCGTATCCGACAAACTCGAGTTCTTCGAGCTTCATCCTTACAACGCTCTGCAGAAGCGGGAGGTATGAATTTTTAAGAAGGTCCAACTGGATTGTCAGTTGCCGAACGCAAGGGAGAAGATCCATTATGTGAAGGATATCCTCGGGGTACGTATCATAGTCGACAGTCACATGCAAAGACTGGGTATAGTAGCGAAGATGGGGTCTCTTTTGCAACGTCGCCAGCAGTTTTGACAGTCTCTGTTTATCAGCTGCCCACCATTTGACAATGCGAGGGTTACGGTCCTTCAACAGGAGGGTCCGGTAGAGGAGGGTTTCTGCGACATCGCGCCACCGTCGGCAGACTCTGGTTAGAGGACTCCATTGGGCGAGTTTGATCTCATGAGGGGACTGCTCTGCTTCGAGAAGGGAAAATATCAAGAAAAGGAGCTCATTTGGGAGAGTAGCAAAGTGATCTGTGCGAGTAGTCGTATAAGACTCGGAAAGGACATGAGGCGGAGGACTGATAGGAATAATCCTCTGTACCGAGGGGACAAGTAATGTCTGCAGCGACATTGTATCTACCTTTTCTAGCAACTTGACCCTATTGAGATGACTATAGCGTCGGCAGAGACAACATCCTACGCTTCTACAAGATGTAAATATTCCAGCACGCAAAAGGAACCGAGATAATGCTCCGGTCATGAGATCAGCTGCAAGACGCACCCAAGCACAGACGCGCAGCTCCCCCTCCTTTGTACGACAAGACTGAATTTGCCTCTAAGCTTTAAAGTTGGTCGATGAGTTCCAGATCCGGACCGGATCCGGCACATGACACATTGTTCCTCACTCGTCAAAGCTCGAAACTGCCAATTCTACTTGCTGAAAAGATGGTTTGTTACAAGATTCCAGGCCGACTTGATAAGAGGGAGCTGTCTATCCAGGGTCTGCCATTATGTGACTGCCAAGCTGCCCCAGCAGCGTTGATCCTTGACTGTTCATGATCAGCTTACCCCGCAATTGTCAATAAGCTTGACTTGTTTCCTCCAATGGGAGTGGTGGAAATGCGCCATTTTCTTGCGGGCCTCAGGCAGCTACATTCGTGTCTTGGCCGGCAGGAATATTGTTATTCCGTGCATATAACAGCCAATGATTAGCGGGCGACCATGTCATCTGACGTCATCAGCCTGAGGCATCCCGCGTCCCTCACAACAGTCAAGCTGCCTGAGGTTGACCTCCCTGGCACTTGTACCACTTAAGAACCTGAGCAGCTCCAGGGTATCCTTGTTGCATTTGCATTGTTCTAACTACATAGATTTTGGAAGAGACAGAAACGTTACACAATATGCCTGKACACCTTGGCCAGAAAATCCTCAAAACATTTGGCTTGGACGACCAACGCGGCCCACAGCCATTCCAGCCCCAGAACGACGTCCGTCTTCCAGGAAACCGATTGATCAACAACGATGAACGGCTTCTCTCCTCTGATCACTCGGGTACATACCCCCGTCTCGCCAGACTGTCCGACGGCTCCATCCTCTCCGCCTTCACGCGCTTCGCAGGTCAAACCCGCATCCTGACCGTTGCCAAAAGTACCGACGGCGGTCGCACATTCCACGACTTTGGCGAGGTGACACGCGGTCAGGGCGACTGTGACAATCTGTTCCTCCTTGAAGTTGCACCGTCTGTCGTCCTCGGAGCGTTTCGCAACCACGATCTCGGTCCCAACGGACCTACACACTTCCGTATAACCGTTTGCCGGTCCACAGACGGCGGTCGCAGCTGGCAGTACGCTTCACAGGCCGTTGAAAAGTCCCCTCCAAATGGAATCTGGGAGCCGTTCATGCGGCTCGGCCGTCAAGGGGAGGTTCAGCTGTTCTATTCACAGGAATACGCCCACGATAATCAGTGCACGATGCTGGTGCGGTCGTTCGATCAGGGGTCGTCGTGGTCACAACCGGAATGTCTCGAGGGTATCAACGATCGGATCCGCGATGGTATGATTGGAATCGCGTCGACCGTCGACAATGGGCGCCAGGCGCTGGTGATGGTCTTCGAGACTACGAGGTACGGTACATTCAACCTCGAGGCATTGATCTCGTACGATGACGGCCTGACCTGGGGATGGCGGCATGAAGTGTATGTGCCGCCACGAGGCCACAATGCCGGAGCGCCGCAGATTGCATCCTTCGCCGACGGCTCATTGGCGGTGATTTTCATGACGGACGAGGATGAGCGGGACGTGCAGTGGACGGAGAACGCCTGCGTCAAGATGGTCTTTGCGGGGCCGCCGCAAGACGGACGTATCTCCTGGACCCGGCCGACGGTGATTTGCCCCCATAAGAGTCACTGGCCGGGTGTTTTGGCTCTGGATCATCATACACTGCTGGCGGTGTATGAGTGCGGAGGGGGCCCAAAGGGCAAGACTGTTACATTGCAGTAATTTCTTGCATATACACATACATCTTGGACTATAGACTTGGATACGAGTGTTTGCATTGGACTTGGGAGACCATCTTAGAATATATACTATATTTTCAAAAGAAGAGTGTCAAGTCACGAAGGCGTTGCTGTGTATGGCACAGAGAACAATGCGAGACTATGTAATATTCGGCGATATCGCCTTTATATTAACCTAAGTATTTGTTATTTCGTTCGTTGGACATAGAGATCGCCGTCGTCATGAAGAATGCGTTTCATTGAGGTGATGTCTCCAGGCCCAAATCCCGTGGCCAACTGGCAAGCCTTCGGTTGGTCGTCCTCGGAGACTTTTTTGGGCCGATTTTGCTCCGAGTCTCCGCCTGCTGATTAAGGCCTCCATCTGCATGCTCCACTGTGGTACGCCTAATTTTCGATTTTTCTTCGGCAGAGGCAAAGGATTGGACTGGTCTGATGTTTATTTTTGCCTTTGTAGGCAATTCTGACAGAAAACCTGCCCGGTACCTGGGCAATCGATATTGTTGCCCCATGTCTACCCAAGGACAGACTGCATGTGGCCGAGCGATGGCCGCAATATGCCTCGACTTTGGGCCATCCGGCATTATTTCTAGTACCGCTCCCCTGAGGAAAGTCTCCACTACTCGGGAAGATTGTAAATCAAGCCTGAAGAAGTGGAGTTATCCTTGGAATTGTACCGTTCTATTGATTTCTGCGCCTGGTTCGAGATGTATATAAATAGAGATCCCTACACAGCAGCGTTTCGTATCGACCATCAATACCATTCATAATAATTACCATAGTAAAATGACTGTCGTTGATATCGACGTGCCTCCTGCCGAGGGCATCCCCTACTTCACTCCAGCCCAAAACCCTCCTGCTGGTACGGCAGCTAATCCCCAGACCAATGGCCAGAAGATCCCCAAGCTCTTCACGCCCTTGACCATCCGCGGCGTTACCTTCCAGAACCGCCTTGGTGTAAGTCCTTTTACCATTGTTCATATTGACGAAAGCTAAGTCCCTTCAGCTGGCACCTCTCTGCCAATACTCCGCCCAGGATGGCCACATGACCGACTACCACATCGCCCATCTGGGTGGCATCGCGCAACGCGGACCAGGGCTGATGATGATTGAGGCGACCTCCGTCCAGGCCGAAGGCCGCATCACCCCTCAGGACGTCGGCCTGTGGAAGGACTCGCAGATCGCCCCCATGCGCCGGGTCATCGACTTTGTGCACAGCCAGGGCCAAAAGATCGGTGTGCAGCTCGCCCACGCTGGCCGCAAAGCCAGCGCCGTTGCTCCTTGGATCTCATTCTCTGCCATCGCGACGGAGAAGGTCGGCGGATGGCCGGATCGAGTCAAGGGGCCGAGCGATATCCCCTTTGCGGAGCCCTTCGCCAAGCCCAAGGCCATGACCTTGGAGGACATTGAGCAGTTCAAGAAGGACTGGGTGGCGGCCGCCAAGCGCGCCATCGCGGCCGGTGCGGACTTTGTCGAGATTCACAATGCGCACGGATACCTGCTTTCGTCGTTCCTGTCGCCTGCCGCCAACAACCGCACCGATCAGTACGGCGGATCGTTCGAGAACCGCATCCGCCTGTCGCTCGAGATTGCGCAGTTGACCCGTGACGCCGTGGGCCCCAACGTTCCTGTTTTCCTGCGCATTTCGGCCTCGGACTGGTGCGAGGAGACCCTGCCGGAGCAGAGCTGGGGGTCGGATGATACAGTGCGGTTTGCGCAGGAGCTGGTCAAACAGGGCGCCGTCGATCTGATTGATATCAGCACCGGTGGTGTTCTCGCCCAGCAGAAGGTCAAGTCCGGCCCTGCCTTCCAGGTGCCCTTTGCCGTCGCCGTGAAGAAGGCCGTCGGCGACAAGTTGCTGGTTGCTGCCGTGGGCGCCATCACCAACGGCAAGCAGGCGAACCAGATTCTCGAGGAGCAGGATATCGATGTTGCGCTTGTTGGTCGTGGGTTCCAGAAGGACCCCGCTCTGGCCTGGACGTTTGCTCAGCATCTTGGTGTGGAAATCTCCATGGCTAATCAGATCCGCTGGGGCTTCACCAAGCGTGGAGGAACTCCGTACATTGATCCTTCGGTGTACAAGCAGTCTATTTTTGATGTATAGATGCTGCATATAGATATAGACTTTGATGATACCTCATAGATGACCAATTGATCACTTGCACGCTCATTCCTTAGTTTCCGGTGTATGTGAAAGGAAGGTGTCCAGGGTATCCGAGCCTTACAGTTTTTCCGTCGTTCGTCTATTCCAATCAGTCGCTGCATCAATACCAGGAAATCTGGTCGAATTTCTCCGTCATTCGTATCCGATCAATATTCAATATAAAAAGCGGGGGATGGCGTGACCCCGCGCAGGATGTCGATCTCTCTGCGAATTTTCGGTGTATAGGACGCTCAGCAAACAATCAGGATTCGGACTCGGGATAATAAGGAGCGAACTGCAGCTCTATATCAGATGAGAGTCATGCCGTATATATCAACCCATAGTAGTTAACCACCATGTATCTGGCAAATATAGTCCCCTGGGTCCTTCTGCTTTTAACGGCCATTGCAGATGTCGCTACCGGGCAGTCTCATCGCCGAACATGTACTGTCAAGGCGGGAGGTTCTGAATCAATTGATGATACGCCTGCTATCCTCAAAGCCTTCGAGAAATGTGGAAAAGGAGGAAGGATCGTCTTTGAGAATACCACATACCATGTCAACAGTGTGATGAACACAAGCGGACTTCACAATTGTGACATTGACCTTTATGGCACACTTTTGGTATACAATCCTTGCCTCATTTCCTGCAGTCGGCTGACAGACGCAGTGGGGAACCAACATCTCGTACTGGCTCTCACACTCCCTGGACGTGGGCTATCAGAATCAGTCCACCGCATGGGTGATAGGAGGCAAGAACATTCGGTTCAATGGCCATGGATACGGCACACTGAACGGCAACGGCCAGGTGTGGTATGACTATGTCAAGAGTGTGTCGAACTATCCTCGCAGGCCGCACGCCCTCACCGTCTCGCGGGCATCCAACTCGGTCTTTCAGGGGCTGAGATTCCTACAAAGTCAGATGTGGTAAGTAGCCATCCTCTGCAGTGGTCAATAGCTAAGAGACTAGGACGTTGTCTGTAATTCACTCGGATCATGTGCTCTTCGACTCGATCTATGTGAACAGCACTACTACCAACGGCAACTCAGCTCGTAAGTAACAAGTGGCCATGCGTGACCTCAATGCTAACTGGAAAGACAATACCGACGGAGCCGACACCATCTACAGTTCCCACATTACCTTTAACAACTGGACGGTCATCAACGGCGACGACAGCATCAGCACCAAGGCCAATTCCACCGACATTCTCATCACCAACTCGGTCTTCTACCGGGGCCTTGGCATCGCCATAGGCAGCATCGGCCAGTATAAGGACGTCTTCGAGACCATCGAGCGCGTCCGAGCCGAAAATATCACGTATTACGGCACGCTGCACAGCCTCTACTTCAAGACCTGGACGGGCGAACAGGTCAATTACCCGCCCAACGGCGGTGGCGGCGGCCTTGGCTGTACTATGACCCTTCCCTTTCCCCTTTTCTTGGAGTTCGATGTCTGGGGCTGCTCTTCTGACAAATGCCGTTACAATAGATGCCTCAGATATATCCGCCTCCAATCTTCACGCCTACAATCTGCGCGGTGCCCCCTTCACTATCTCCCAGTGCACGACCTTTGCAGGGGCGGCGGGCAACTGCACCTCGTCGAAATTTCAGATCCGCGGTTTGCGTATTGAAGGTATCACAGGGTCGTCCAAGACGGACGTGGTGGCCAGCTTCCAGTGCAGCGCTGTCAAGCCGTGCACGGATATCCAGATTCAGAACGTGAACGTGCAGCTGCCGAATGGGACCATGGCGGATGAGTACCTGTGTGGTAATGTCGAGGGCACTCGGGGGTTTAACTGCACAGGGAAAGCGTGTGAGAAGCCCAGTGCCACAGGAGGGTGTTAGCTTCCTTCATTGGGGGGTGGTAATTAGCTTCATGACGGTCAAGGAAGCTTGGTCAGTCGAAGTATCCATCTGAGTACGAGTACAAGTTTTGAAGAAGGGCTGTTAAGCCATTGGATGAATAGTCTCCTGGCATCTTGGCTCAGCGGAATTACTGCACAGTTACTCGTTCATCGACTTGTCGCGCAGTCTGCGGCAGGTAACGCATTATGTAGCGAGAAATTGATCGACTCGACGCGGTCAATATTGTCCTCCAATCAGTTATCCAGGAACCACGCGACTCCTATGCACTCTATGCTATCGTTTGGTCGAGTGACATAATGCTACTCGCTTATCCATTCGCACGACTCGTATGATTATATTAAATTGAGCATGAGTCAAATAATCCGGATAGTACTGCAATTAAAGCTGAAACTGACACATCAGTGGAGACATATCATTTTGGTCCAGTACGGGTTGGGCCTGATTTGGCTTCTATCACTCATTATTTCGCTACAGTACCCGGTTCCTGGTCTGTCAGGCCACTGCACTGCGCCACAATTCCGACGCTAAATGCTTCGTCTGACAGGACGCCCATATAAGTCTCGGCATTGTCATGCGGTCTCTGGATGAAGGGCTCAGACGCTCATAGAAGGCGTTCTTCAGGTGAGAGGACATAGAGCAGGTGTGATGGACGGCTACTCCGTACTATAGCACAGAAACTCCATCAATCAAATCGGTTCAATTCTCCTGGGACAGTCAAAGCTCAGCCAGCATGTCGATCGAACTGAATTCAGCTGCCAAGAAGGGATGGAGCCGTGGCGGAAATGGGCCGGCGCTTCATTATATCTTGGCGTGCCGATCAACGACGGGAGATAACAATACCGGTGCGTGAATATGAAGCAACGCTGTCATACTTGGGTGGACTGGACCAAGAAATTCCGAGTCAGGGATCGACAATTCTCCTGTGGATTGCAGACGGTCACCGACGAGCTCAGTTTCAAGTTGACTCCTCAATACGCCTGTCCAGGCATTGCAACACTTCGAGTGAAACCGGCCAATGGGGCAGCAAGTCAGTCTGCGGATGAGCTGTAGGTCTCCTGGAGATGGAGACACATTGAGGGGATATAAAGCAGCACTTGGCAGCAGAACTGCCATCATCAACCAAATCTCATTCCAGATCTGCTCTGCTAGCATTGATTTTCTTCTCAGTTGTGCGAAGTAAGACTCTGCTTGCCCTTTTACACATCACCATGTATCAAAAGAGCCTTCTCTTCTCCTTGCTGGCCACCACCGCCATGGCCCAGTTTCCCATCCCCGACTCCCGGGGCAGCGTGACCTTTGACGAGCCCTACGAGATCGCCGCCGGCAAGAGCTACGACGGTGGTTACAAGACCTATGGCCGCGGCGTCTCGTGCTCCGGCCAGAGCGAGGGCGGCCAGGACGACGCCGTCTTCCTCATCCAGGAGGGTGGTACTCTGAAGAACGCCATCATTGGTTCCGACCAGATCGAGGGCGTCTACTGCCTCGGAGCCTGCACCATCGAGAACGTCTGGTGGGAGGCCGTCTGCGAGGGTAAGCCATAAGCCATTCGCAATTTACCATAACCCACGCTAAAACGACGCAGACGCCCTCTCCCTAAAAGGCGGCAGCGGCCCCTACAACATCATCGGCGGCGGTGCGCAAGGTGCCGAAGACAAAGTCATCCAGCACAACTCTGGCGGCCAGGTTAACATCGACGGCTTCACGGTCTACGACTTTGGCAAGCTCTACCGGTCCTGCGGCAACTGCGACGAGCAGCATGCTCGCACTGTGACTATCAGGAACGTCGTCGCGAACTCCGGCAAGACCCTCGTCGGTATCAACAGCAACCTGGGCGACACTGCGTCCATCGACAGCAGCAACTGCGCCACCAACGTCAAGAAGATCTGTGTGGAGTATAAGGGTAACGATTCCGGTGATGAGCCTGAGGAGACTAGCGAGGGTCCTAGTGATGCTTGTCAGTACTCTGAGCCTCTTTCCTCGTGCTAAACGGTAGGAAGAGTTATCGAGGCTATTATTTGTGGTGTTTGTCATGTTTCCAGGCCGTAAGTGGCTTGATTAACCTTAGCAGCTGCCGCTCCCATGTATAGTAAAGCTTGGACTTAATTGTATTCTGAGCCTCTTTTCTCTTGCTAAATCATAGAAAGGGTGCGAGCCGATGTGCGCTTGTTTCTAGTCTTGCTAGTTAGTTAGTGCCCGCCTTTAGAAAAGGCAGGGAGAAGAGAAATTGAGTATATCTAAAGAATGGGCCCCACGCTCATAGAGGGAAATGTAGAAGAAGGTCCAATAGGATTGGGAAGTTGACAAGAGCAATAATTACGAGGGATCATAGATACATCGCATACGGTCAAGCCACTGTCCCAACACCCGGTTCAAACAGGCAGCCCGTAGGTCTGAGAATTGTAGATTTGCCGCGCTCTTACAAAGTCGTTTTTCCTACCCTCAGGACGATAGATGACACCCTGCACATTATTGTGTCGATCAGTGATAGTTCGAGTAAACGAAGGATCCGCGTCGATTCTTTACCCCGGACTCTGGAGAAAAACTGGTGACGCGCGCTTTGCAGGCGGATGCCCTGAAACGAGCGAACGGAAGCGCCAGAAACGCACCAACACGTACACGTGATGGCACGCAAGCTTATCAAAATGGCGAAAGCTTTGGCGGTGTGAGCATAGCAAGGTTTCGCGGGCATGTCCCGCGGGGTATCTAATACCTGTAAACCGTTCATTCGCTCCTCCTTCAGGGATGCCTACGTCCTAAAGGCTGATGGGAAACTCCCATTTCAACCCACGGTTCATCCTAAGCTTTCTCTTCATGAGGTTCCATCTATCGCCCTTCCCAAGAGACCCCGCTGAACTCCAAGTCAAGGCAGCCAAGGTGATCTGCACCGTGGTCTCCCCGCAGCTCATGTCAAGCCTTCACCAGCTGGACATAGACGACCAGTATGAAAATGGCAAACTCAGTGGTGTAGTCTTCTCTGAAGTCCTGTCTACTTCCCGTGCAATCCAGCTCGTGGAGATCGCGAGCGCAAAACTGTTGAAACCCTGCCTTGTTCAGGACTGTGACGCTATAGTCACGAACCGGGTGGATGTGAAGCATCTACGTCCGTCAGTCACGGGAACAAGGCTCGTCACTGTAGTGACGTATGTTGCTACTAGGGACTCGTTTGACAGGGTCGAGGGTGTGATTTCTGATAGTGCTGGGCTGTGTATTGCGATGGTAGATGCGTGGTTTTCTCTTGTGTGCAAAATTAATGTTGAGAGTGATGCTATTCTGAGTCTAGAAAACCTTGTGGACGTGAGAAATGCCTTAATGCAAGTAAAGGCAGCTTGGAATACCTCTCTTGCTAATCGCCACTCTGATTTAATGGGCGGGAACGGAGATTTACAAGTTCGACATCAAATAGCATGCGAGCGCAGCAAGGTAGGAAGATATGATTTTCTTTCAGGGTTTGAGCATTGTATTCAACATGGATCAGACGGTCTTGCTATGCTATGGCTCACGAAGGGCCGAGCGGTGCTTGAGACTGAGGATTTATCGAGTGGCCTGCAGTTAGCGGCAAAGCACCGCGGCCTATCTGTCGTTAAGTTACTCCTGGATAACGGGGCAGACGTCAATTACCGGGCGAAGTCGTTGATTAAGACGGCACTGCACGAGGCTGTGCACAGGGAATGCCTTGAAATCGTCCAATTATTGCTAGATCGAGGAGCGTCCCCTAGCCTTAGGTATTCGTCAAACGATGATTCACCGTTGCATACGGCGGCGGCGATGTGCAATACGGACCTGTGCGCTGCGCTTCTGAAAGCCGGGGCAGATATCAACGACTCAAATGAGCATGGGTGGACTCCGCTCATGCTCGCTATACGCAGTGGCAAAAACACCTTGCGACTCCTGGTCGAAAGTGGAGCTAATGTCAATCAAACTGACGATGAAGGGTGGACGAGCCTGCACTTTGCAGTGGATTATGGGGGGCCTGGTCTGTTGAAATACCTGCTGAAGCATGGTGCCGACTCGACCGTCCAAAACACCCGAGGAGATACCCCGTTACGGCTTGCTGCGAGGTTGGGTAGATTTGACATCGCTCGAGAGCTTTTGAAGTGCGGAGTTGATCCGTCTCTTGGACCTGGCTGTTGTACAGCTCTGGAATGGGTACAGGGAGAGAAATTACCGACTTGTCTTGCCGAACCCGCTCGGTTGTTACGACCATAAAGAGGGATATCAGGATACTTTCGAGAGCAGCACTAGGCATTGTCGCGTTAGTGTCCATCAAGCATTTCTTATCGTAGGAGTCTCGAGCTCAGCCTCGGCGGCTATTTCAGGCGATGGTTCCCCGCTATCAACACACTCGCTACTCTTCAACCACACTTGATATCGCCGTACATCAGTGCCCAGATCCGACATGTCAAAACTCGAGCTCAATCTCGAAGGTTGGGGAGAGAAAAACCAACTAACGGAGAGTATTGACACCAATGCGCCCGTATCTTCAGAGAGTAAATCCATATCCCGATTCGACGGCCACGAGTCCGGATACAGCTATGTCGGGACCACGGACTACAGTCAAGAAAAGGTATTCCAAATCCTGAACGACTATTTTCATCCCGACACGAAGACGCCCCTTGACTCCGCCGTCCACTCGATTCTCGCGCTGTTGCCGGAGAAGGAGCCATTGTCAACAGAAGTCTGGGACGTCGGCGTAGTCGTATTGCAGCTTGCTGAGCAGATACCCTACCACCATCCTTCCCAGATCAAATTGGCCCGTCTCATGGAGGAGCTTACTCGCTCGCCGAAATTCACCACCGAACTATCTGAAACGGTGAGTTGGCATGAAGGCCTTTATTCCAGTGATCACTGACACAGTCTTAGGATGTATGGTACATGCGCGGCCAGCGTTTCAAGGAGTCACTGCGCGACTGGTATAATGGTTCGTAAATGTTGTTAACTAACCACGTATTTCAGTCAGTAACTTCTTAATGCAGGCCCTGGCGAGGACGCGCCGCAAGAGTGGCCGAATCTCAACGCGTTCTTTGCACATGAAGCATCGACGCATATCTTACCTCATCAACCCGACTTTGCCCTTTGGACGTTGCGCGATGCATTTGAGAAACCCGCAGAGCCGCTACATTGGAGTGGCTCATTTAAGGGCATGCAAAATCAGCAAATCGCTTATTCCAGATTATAATAACCTGATTAATTAAAATTATATAATATATTTCTAATGGTGGGCAGGTTGAGGTTACCAACGGTTACCTTAATAATATTACTGCTATATAGAATAACATTTCCCTTAGTTAACTAGTTATTACATTACCCCTGACTAAGCTGGATGTGCCACCAGGCCTAGAGGTGAAGGCTTCAGGACGTAATAATATATAACGTAATTAAGGTTAGAACTATGGACGAATTAGAAGATCTAGCCCTAGCTGCTGCCTATAGCGTACTTAAGTAGATTAATAGGTACGGTACAACAAAAATTTAGGATATAAGCGATGAAGGGTACTTTCAATATATTTAAGATGATTAAGGGCTGAGATATAGTAGGTAAATGTTAAATTTAGAATGAATAAGCTTGAAAAGAGTTATTTTAAATACCTCTGCCCTATAATAGAAAATAATAAAGCTATAGATTACCCTTACATGAATTAAGGGCCCTGCAGTGACCAAAGGGAGGATGTTGCTAGCAATAATATAGAAGTACGGACTCCATTCATGGAAAGCACAGAAGGGGAAGGCTCATATTTTATTACTCGCACCTGGGCTGCTAAGCCTGCTAGAAGGAGCAACTAGAGTGCTAAGCTATTTAGTCATCATAGTATAGGGAGACATACTAAACTATGGTAGGAGGTGTTCCTTGCGAGTTTTATCTAATCTGTTGTTCACTTCTAACACGTTAACACGACAAGTCGAACTAGACATTTAACTGATAAATATTAGAAGTTTATCTGTGAGACTTCTAGGATATTTTGCTAAGCAAGCTTAACAGCTGTCTTTATATTGCGTCCTGTGAAGACAATAGCCCCCTGCTTCTTATTTAGGAGGTAATCGACTACAGGATGGGACTGCTGCCCAGAGTGTGCCTCAGATCTTGACCTGGTGGTCCACATTTCTATTTTGTCGACATTGTCGAATAAGAACCTATGATGTCCTTCTTTCCGCTTCTCTTCTCAGAGATGATCTCTTCGTCTACTGCGTCGCTACAGAAAAGCGGTATGCGTTTTTCCTTTCAGCTTAAATTGGTCGTCACAGAGTACGTATACTGGAAAGGAGAAATATCGAATTTAAAGCAAGTGCGCGTGGCCAATGGGATTAATATAGCTAGGAAAAAAAAAATCCAAACACAGGCAATTTCGTACAGCTAACTATTATAAGAAATCAGTCCCTTTGTGCAGGCTTTGCCTTAATTAATTCCACACATCCCATCACTTCTGACAACATGACTTGGGTGCGCATTCTCACATCGCAAAGAGAATTACTTAACGCACAGTGATCATCCGCAAGGCACTTCTCAAATTCGAATGCCCTGTTTCTCGCACACTCTCTCCAAATCCTGTCGAAATTCCCTCTTCTCAGATTCGCTTAAAGCCATTGCCTGGGCTTTGATGCTTAAGGCTTTACGCCTGGACAGGTACCCATGCTGGACTAGTTTTTCCAGCAACCGACAGATTGCGTACATAACCGTACCAACTATAACGCTCAAGAATAGGATTTTCGGGAAGGCTAGGTGAAGACCAATCACCACAGCCGGAGTCACGATGGGGTCCACCATATTGGGTTATATGGTTGAAAGCTTATAGAGCGTCAGCAGTAACAACTTGTGATGAGATGGCATGCAGACACACCTAATGGCTGGATTGTTCGTGTAGCAAATTCGAGTCAAGATCGCAGGCTTCCTAAGGGAGGTAGTATTATCTAAAAGACAGCCCGACGGGGACTCAATCGAGAGAAGCCATGTCTATATACTTGAACTGATCCTACTTGCCCGTTTAGTCACGATGGGATAATGGCACATGTGACTTCCACAAACCAAGGTTTGTTTCTTATTTAATCCAATGAAAGTGGTTATATTGAGGATTAAGCAAACTTATTGCTCCCTTATACCTCATAGATTCAATGGAAACCAATCACTACTAAATGATAAGAAAAGAGAACCACGGAAATCTAACAAAACCGGCATAGATAATCATTGTAACGAACGTTTATGGCGATGTAGATGCACCTAACGTGCGGCATTGCAGTGGGAGACAATGATTTCCATTTCCATCCCTTCCTCTATTTTCTAATCTCTTTTTCAAAGAAGGGCCTGTGGGAAGAAGGGAGTTTATATGTCTCTATTCTGCTGGTGCAAAGTTCCACGAGGTACCAAACCCCTACACTTGACGTCAACTATGTCACGATACCATTACCTGTATTTACATGTATTTAGAATGTAATTGATATCTACATTGTTGCTTACGTCCTCTTGAGGCATCACTTTGAATGTATTGTCTAGCACTGCTAAATGATTTGCTATAAAAGTAATATTTTTCAGGGGTGAATGAAGTCAATAGCAACACTGATGAGTGCAGATAGGAATGAACTCAATGAAAAGTATATGTACCCCAGACACAGCTTCGAACAATAACATGAAATAATAAATGAGCAATGAAGTATTAATATCCTTCAAGATGAATTACCTAACAAAGGGTCTCTAGTGATTTCCGCTAATATGAGTTGAACTTGACTGACATGAGACGTCCCTGGTATGTTTGGTCTACTCCTTGAGCACTAATATACATGAAGTTAATGGGGAAGCAATTCCCCTTGGGCACCACCTGGCCGTTTCTATTCTTGTAATAACCATCCTTCTCATTGAGGAAATCAATGCGCTTATTTGCAGGGCAACCGGACTACTGTGGGAAACTTAAGTCTCTTACTTGCGACAAGACCTTGTCAGGAAAAGAGATTCTCGTACCTCGGAGTAGGCTGTCATCTTGCGCCGCCAGACCAAGCCGGTTCCTCTGCCCAGCCAGATGCTGTTGGTAGACGCATTGATCATTGCGGCTGCCCAGTACATCATCTGGGACGGACCAGAGCTCTTCAAGCATGTCCTATGTCCGGATTCAATTGAGAATACGAAGAGCTGGGAACCCGGTCTACTATATTTTGGCGACTCTTCGCTTTCTTTGAAGAGATGGCGGTTCTAGAAGGACGGGTCCAGGAAAGCGGCTGGAGAGGACAGCGGCATGAGTGATGAATGCAGGAAGGTGTCTACAAAAGCTGCAAGTTTGATGGAGGCACTTGAGGCGAGTATGATATTCTAGATGTGAGATTGATGCTTGGTTTTTATGTCCATCTGGAGTATATATTCCCATTTTAATACGGGGTGGACTGCCTGATCGTTGGCCTTGCTAGTCATTGGATGATTGAACGAGTATTATTGACTGTCAGTTAGCTTGACTTGAACGAGGCAATCCGAGTATCAGTAGAACACAACTGAGTTCCACTGTTTCCCTATACACAAGGCCACGATAGCTAACCAACAATATCAGACCATGTAAGATCATCGTTGGTTTAACTTCACCTTATCACGCAGGTGATGTATGACAGCAAGCGAAAGTTGACAAGGAATATTGGATTGAGTAGAAATGCATACACCATCCACACACTAAAGACAATACATCCATCCATTATTAAAAGCACACCCTTCCATCGCCACAGACATGACGCGTCTACGCATCCGTGACCTTGATCTGAGCTGCTTTCGCAAATTCTTCGGCTTCCTTGATAATCTATAATGGATCTGTTAGCCTCAGTGAACAATGGAAACGCATGCTGTGCAACCAAGCCAAATAGCGATATCAAGAACCACTCGACTGCAGACCACATACCTCGTCGTATTTGTTGACAGCCTCTTTAATACCATGGTTGATGTTGGATTTCCGTATAGCCGCCAATGGTGAGCTCGTGCCCTTCTCGATCTTTTCGATGGCCTTGATAACCGGGTCCAGGGATTCTCCCAGGTGGCGGAAGGTGTCCTGGATCGTCCGGATCCCCTCGACTGCCTTGGCCATTCTGATTACCAGCTCATCAATTTGGGCTTTTAATGCCGTGACTGTAGTTTGACACTGTTGGACGTCTGCTACCTCCTGATTCTTGGTGGCCCATTTGTCCAACGCATCTTTGAAGTCTTTCAGCTTCAGGTAAAGGTCCAGACCAGCCCCAGGGCCACCCAAGGCGGTGACCCAGAACTTCCAACCTTTAGGGTCTCCTCGGTCTTTCTGAGAGGGCGAAACAATCAAGGAATCAGCGACTTTTCCAAAACGCGTAAATGTGCTAATCTTAACTTGAACGTACGAAGTCATCGCTAATCTTTTGCGCCTCCTCCCGGGCATCCTTAAGTTTCTGTTGCAGGTCTTCCAATTCCTTGTTCAAGTAAACCATTGCATTTTTGTATTGCTTCCCCGAAGAATCGGTCACTGGGCTCAAATACTTCTCATCCAGGCTAGTGACCCGCGTTTTGTTGGCCTCGGTCTCGTTGAGGAACTATTATCCATCCAATATGTCAGACACAAGTTCGTCTCTAAGATCCAGCACCAAGGTAAAACTCACATTCTGAAGCTGCTGCCGCAGCGTATCACTCTGAGTTTCCTTCTCCTTGGCTTCACGTCTGAGCTCCTCCAGCCTTTCCTTCGCTAGTTCCTTCGCCGCCTCGAAATCATCGTCAATGCTATCCTTGCCTTTGTATTTGTCCGATGTCAGCGTTTTCAGCTGCGCGCCGAGGCCGTCCTCTGCTCCGAGGGAGGTCTTGGCGTTTGTGGCGTATTTCTTCACTAGAGAGGAGTACGAGACTTGAACGCAGAAAGATCAGTCAGTATATTTCAATAAACCTGGATGAAAAGATTGCAATGCGGGATACAGGCAACCCACAAACTGGTTCCATGGGCCCCTTGCTGAACCTGTGGCACGAGTCGGAAACAGACACCAGGGCATCTTTGGTATCCTGTACAGGTGTTAGATTCTATGCTTTCCAAGCAGATGGGAAGGTGTCGAACCTCATAGATCTTGGGGACGACCTTCTCCAGTGGCTTGAATCGGGACTCTGGGAGCTTCTTCCGAAAATCTGCATCGTTGTCGGGGTAGAGCATTCCACACCATACGTATGCTTGGATAGCTAAAGAGGCCTTGTGTCAGCCCGGACATCAGAGATATAACGATTTTACCAGGGATTCGTATTCACACCGTAGAATGGGCTCTTGTCGCCATTGAAAGTCTTCTTGCCATCCGACTTCCCTTCCTTGAGGAAGCGGTCCGGGAACTTTTTAAACTGGTCTTCAAGAGACTCTTGCAGAGCCTTCTCGGCTGCCTTGGGGTCATTTGTCCAGTCGGTCGACATGCTTAACGTGGATAAATGTAGACTATAAAGATTGGCTCCAATGGATCGAAACTTCAAGAGTTGCAGCTACGGTATTCTTGTAGTGAAACGATGATGCCAGATATTTCAGATCTCTCTGGCTGAGGAGGGAAGCTGAAGCTCGTTACCTTATATAACCCGTGAAAGCTGGGACCTGTCACCGTACTGTGACCCTATTGGCACGTCTACTGGACACATTCGAACCCCAGTAGATCGCCGACCAGATAGTCCCCGATGCTCGTATGCACTCGGTCGACATTCTGACGTCTTTGGGTGTGGAGACGAAGGGAACATCGCACCTTTTCCAGAGATAATGATTGAGTGGCTAGCTGAAGTTTCAGCTCTTGACTGACTGTGTTGACGTAATGGTGGTTCATGTCTTGAGCTGAATATCTGCATGCCGCCGATCGTTGCAGGTGGAGTGTGTTCATTTTTGTGGTAAAGTATGCCGGACCGTCCCTTTCTTTCCGCTTAGTGGGTCTTAGCTGAATCACCAACTCTACTCTCTGATTACCACTCAAAAGATCCATACACTCCGCACTTTTTCCTCGATAAAGCTTCATTTGAGGCAATACTCACAATATAGCTTATGTATTAGAGCGAAATATTGGTGCTGGAGGAGGTGAGTGTTGAGGGGTTGATCTCCTTATCGGTCCCCACATAGTGATCCAGGCGAACCGCTCCAGGTCGTGATACCATGCCTTCAATGCATCGACATTGCATCAACAACAGCGAGCAGCTCGCACTCATTGGCGGAGTAAATTCGCTCTCCAGGGGTGTATGCGCTTGGCCGTTGAGGGCCAGCTGCTCCTTGGGAGTCAACAGAGGTGGACGGGCATCGAACCGAGGCTCCTGCGTAAGTGGTAGTGACACCTCATGGGTGCGCAGGACGCCACCGCGAAAGACACTCAGGACAGGATCACAAGAAGGAGGAAATCAAGGCTCAATCATTGGATTGTGACTACAGGACCAATGCCCTATCATCCCATATAGCTCCGCCGTTAGCGTCAGGATCAGCACGATCTGCAGAAGATGTCAATGCGTCCCATCGATCGACGACGCTCTGCCAACGCATCCGTCCGGGGCTGAGTGGGTAGATGGTTTCAGAATTGAGTCTCATCGAAGCATTACGAATACAAATCCTTTCGTTTGAAGTGACATATACCATGCGCCCGTTTCCTACCATCCATTGACAACATATATATGGTGGACAGAGGTCCTGATGAGGCCTTACAGACTTCACCAAAAGCATTAGAAAACTACCCAACATCTCATTTCATTAATCAAAGACCCCAAGATATCGTCATCATGACTGATCCTGGCCCAGCTACCTTCCCCGACTTCCAAATTCAGATCGAAAGCCCAGGCGGCGAGCCGTTTCCTTCCATCTCTAGCAAGACGCTGGGATCCGACCAAGACAAAGCGACGCTGTCCAAGCTCAGAAGTCTCTGCCGCATGTATGTCAGACGTACTTGGTGACCACCATCAATTGTAATCTAACATGTCTTTAGCCCAAAGAAGTACGCCTTCAGCACGAATGGCAAAAACGCCCTCTCCGACAGCACTTCTCTCAAGGATTACATACATTTGACCCCTGACGTATGACTCATCTTTCCCAGAAATATTCGTATAAGCTTAGCCCACGATTATTCTAGAACCTCGCCAACCTGTCGCCCGAAACAAAGTCCACCGAGACGACAGCGGGAGCACCAGCCTCCGATGCCGGCAAAAAGCCTCAGCCAAAAGGTGTTCCGTTCGTCACTGTTCACCTCGTCTCTACGGTCCTGGCGAATAAGCCACAGGACAACCTCCCGCAATCCAATGTGATCTCTGACCTCAAAAACCTGCTTGGAAGCGCAGGTAAAGGGGTGGATGGCGGTCAACTCGGGAACACCGCCGAATTACTGGGGAAGCTGGAATCTCTGCAGCAGGATTACAGAACTGCAGCTAGGTAAGATGTCTGGAGAAAGTTACCATTTTCCGGAAATGCTGACAGTGCCTTGAAATAATGCAGCTCCAAGGAATACACGGAACCTGCTGATTTGACGGAAATGCAGTGGGAGAATATTCTGTTCAATAACCGGATTCTGCATGGATACACCCATATACCAGGAACGGGGCTGTTGGTTAAGGCTCCTAAACGAGGTATGCCAGTTAAGATACCCCATTTATCACTGAGGTGTCATTATATGCTGATGACAGAAGCCTTCGCCATCCGTCGTCCGCTTCAGGCACCCTCTCCAGATCTCGGGGAAGTAGCAAAAAATCCATCGTTGGAGAAGAGTCCTAAAGCACAGGACAAGGCGTCCGACCACTCCAGCGGCGGGAAGAAAGTAGTAAAGGAATATTTGGTTTGTGGGACCCTATCATAGTCACAACCCAAAGATAACTGACATGGGTCCAAACAGAACACCGTCCCAGGTATTCCTTCTTTCTACGTCGATGACGACTCCAAAGTCACCGTCACAGAAACCAGGACTGCTTTCCAACGGTCCATGGCGCGGGAAGGATTCAGTTCGACCGCTATTGAAGCGAATGCGTCAGTCATGAATGTTTATTTGTGTTATACCCCTGACTAAACATCGTGTAGGAGCGGGAGCCCCTTCGGCAAATCGATCTCTGCGTCTGCAGCACTCGCCGAGGAGAATTCCTTTAGCAAGAAGAGTCTCACACAAGAAACGGATTTCACCTTGGAGGTCGCTTACAAGGTATGCATTCGCATAGCTGTCGAGTGAGTTGGGGGAAATACTAACCCTGCTGTAGTTTCCCCGCGTAGCCATAGACTTATCCCCACGGTACTTACAGCTGTCCGACGAGTGCGAGGAAGCAATCAAGAACATCAAGACCGACTATGACAAGGTCCAATTCATCAATGACTACGGTAACTTGTCTTCTTTCACGTTCCAATCTAAGTTCCATCCGCTCATACTTTGAAATAGGCGACGCATTTCCAACGAAAGTCGTACTAGGCGGTTTCCTGCGCAGCAGCCGCCAAGTCCGAGTCAAAACCGACGAGCAACTCGAGGCAGCCAAAGAGGAAACCAAGAAGGCCGCGGGTCTCAGTTTCGCATCGCCCCAAGTGAGTTTTGGGATGAACTATGCTAAAACCACCAGCGATACCACAACGACTGGCCACGGTCAGACGATCGGAAATGCCGCCTTGACGTGGGAGGCTCGCGGAGGAGATACCGTGCTCTGTTCCAAGTGAGTTCCAGCTTCAACCTTGTCAGAATATTCATATAAGCTCACTGTCATAAAGCCCATCGGCGTGGGCCTCAACCGTAAAAGATTACCGGTACTGGCGAATCACCGAGGTAAGCTTCAAATCGCACGCTTCTCCGCTCAAGGAATTTTACTCTAACGGACTATGATGTACCAGCAATCGCAAACCGTGTCCCTCGTTCGCATCATCGACGGCATCGATCCCAACATGGCGCACAAGGTGGAATTCCCCAATCAGAACGATAAGATTCCAGACAATGGGGAGATTCCTGAATCAGAGCTCATCGACAAGGCGACCAATCTGCTCATGGGACCCCCAAGCTCGATCCCAATGCAAATCGTCAACAAGGCCTATCAGTCTGATGCTGACAAGAAGGGATATAATGCGTGGCTGAAGAAGGAACAATCCGCTGACTATGATCTCCTGGAGATTAAGAACGCGGCCACCGGGTGGGAGAAACTGAGTCAGGAGCAGAGGATCTACTATATTATTTATGTCTACAAGGAGAAGGACCGGAAGGTTTTCTCTTGAAGGTTCAAGATTTGGTTTGATATATGATTAGGGACTTGCAGGCGTTACAACTCAAGGCACAGTCAGGAACCATAATATCTCGACTAGCCAAGTAAAAATAGTACCTAAATAATACATCTCTGCATCCGTACCCTCAATGCAACCAGGCACTTGAGCACACATCCTCAGAATATCCATAAAACATCAAAACGCAACCCATCCCCAAGCATACTCCACCAAGCGCACAAAAGTCCTCCCACCCCCAACCCAACCTCAAGAACCATCCACCCCCTCCCCCATTTCGCACAGTCCAGCTAGCTTACAGTACAAAATTCTTCAATGACGGGGAAATCATCATCTGAAATAGCCGTTTTCGACTGCCAGATCGGTGTGATACTTGCCGCCGACTGAGCTCGAGATCCGACGATTGGAGTTGGTTGATTGCTGGAATCCAGTAGACTAAGGCTATGAGGGACTCATTGTCATTTATTGGAGCGTCGGAGTGAGCCTTGTCGATAAAATTTCTCTCTTTAGCCCTGTCTCGCTCAGTGGTGGACAATACCTAGCAAAACTATCATTGACTTAGAAGGAGTTATTCACTGATCCTCGTTCTACGAGAAATACGAAATCTGCGATTGATATTTCAAACATTTCGCACATTTTAAGCGCATAAAGTAGTGCAGGAGCAAGTCCCTCCCGTCGCCTTGCTGGCGCAAATGAACCTAAAGATTGACATTTTCAAGCGCCAATAGAAATACGCTCTCGCACAGCCTCACTTTTTTCAGCGCCAACATCTTGTAAATTACCTGTATTGGATTTACGAGCTAGGAGGGGAGAGCCTGTTGCCCAAGGCACTATTCTCGCCATCCAGCCTCTCTTCCTTCATCTCCTTTTGACTCAAGGAACCCATCCTAAGCTAGCTGAGACGCTTTTTCCCTCTCTGTCTTGTGGATACATCTCGTCAAAGGGAGTCTAGTCGTCCTTATCGGTCGACCATGACATTTGAACTGCTATAGTCCACCCTTCACCGTATTGCGGCTGAAGTTGGAAGGCTGAGGCAAACAGGCCAACTGCTTCTCCCAACCTCCACACCCTCATCTACCTTCACAATGGTTCTTCAATTTATCATCTGGGGGTCTGTAGAAGCTGAAAGCACCACCTGGCTCCACAGACTCCTTCGACGCGGACTCAGCCAGAATGCAAAAGGTGATGCGCTCCGATACGCAACCGAAAAGAACAAAGTTGAGCATGTGAAACTCCTTCTAGACTACGGTGCGCCAATCGAGGCAGAAGGCTTTTCCACGTTAGAGCGGGCCTTTGATGGAGGCGCTTGGGAGGTTGCATCTCTTCTCATCCAACATGGCGCAGACGTCAACCGACCGTCTTCTGGTGAAACACTCATGCACAAGATGGCGCGGCTTGCTCCTAGCGAGGTCTTGCGCCTGGCCGTTGAGAAAGGGGGTGATCTGACGGCAAGGGGGGCATTCGGGCAGACGTTGATACACACTGCGGCAGACAGGGGGAACATAAACAACTGTCGCCTACTTGTTGAATTAGGATCCCCAATAGACCCATTAGACAACCACGGACAAACGCCGCTTATTTACGCCATCAAGAAAGGCAATGTGCCTGTGGTGCGAGAACTGGCTAGTAGGAACGCGGATGTGAACGCCAAGGATAGGAATGGAAACACTGCATTGCATCGTTTGGTGGATTTGCCTAGTTTCATGCATTATATGTGCTATGATATGGTTCCTGTCCTTATCGAGCTTGGTCTTTCTATCAATGCAAGAAATAACCAGGGACGGACTGCCCTTCAGCTGGCAGTTGAGAACAAAAATCAGGTTGCAGTAAGACAACTTATTCTTCTTGATGCAGATTCGGAGGTCAGAGATCTTCATGGTCTCACTGCGCTGCAACCAGCCACGCTCAGCGACCAAAACGACATGGCTAGTTTATTGAAGCGGGTATGTTGGGCCCATGGAAAATTAAGCGTACATGGCTAATTCAGTGATCTAGTTAGCAGAAAGAAAGGATGGAGCAAGCCTGGGCATGGAATTGAAGCACGAGTATGTCGAGGCAACATATTCGGGTGGAGAGGACCCAGCAAGGCGCATTACACAGAGACGAGAAACATCAAGCTTGGAGACAGCGACTGAAGGTCCGCAAAGGTTTGTTTGCAACAGACTTTCTTTGTTCCACGTACTAAATCTCACTGCTCAAAACTTCAGGCGAGAATCAGAAGCGTGGCTGAACCGAATCAAGCTTTCGCCAATCACGAGTGAATTGATTTCCGAGTTTTCTAAACTCGATAGGATTAAGATCGCTGTTCTAGATACGGGGTACGACCATGAGAGCGACTTCTTCCGAGACAAACAGCGCAGACGTCGGATTAAAGCCTTTCAAGATTGGGTTGTCAAAGACTCGACTACCCCTGAGGATGAAGATGGCCATGGAACGCATGTCTTGTCGCTGGTGATGAAGATTGCGCCGGCTGCAGACATTTTCGTCTGCCGAATCGCGAGAGGGCGGGAGCCACAAGATCTACGGGAAGCGAGTGGTAATGTAGCGGATGTAACGGCCAACTTCCACGGTGTTTTGATATCAATTGACACTAACACTGCTTTAGGCCATTACTCGAGCCGCGATAGACTGGAAAGTCGATATTATCTCGATGTCCTTCGGCTATCCAGAAGAGGTTCTCATCAACGGAGTGGGATTTATTAGCAACGCGATCTCGCGAGCTCAATCAGAAAGAAACCAACGGCTCCTTTTCTTCGCTGCAGCTTCAAATGGGGGTCCCACAGAACAAGAAATATTTCCGGCGAACTCACCTTCTGTCATGTCTATTCGTGGCAGTGACGCTAAGGGCTGGCTCCACTTATTCAACGCACTTCCGAATTCCGATGATACCAAGTGTTTCATGACACTTGGCCAGTGTGTTCCAGGTGCGTCACTGAGCCGAGACAACGGTAAAGGCGAAGTATATAGATCAGGAACGTCCTCGGCTACACCTATTGCGGCAGGAATCGCAGCTCTCATCCTTGGTTACGCTAGGGTGCATGAGGAAGAGCTGAAGAGCCTCCTTGGTGAAGATAAGCATAAGCTGTCGAAGCTCTGGCAGATTTCAGGCATGCGTGCAATGTTTGCAGCTATCTCAAGTGAACCATTTCATCGGTGTCTCTCACTAAACCCGTTCATGTTTACGGCTGAGAGTCACAATAGACGGTTACATTTGATAACGGACGCGGTGTGGAAAGCTAGATAGGGGGTTAAGATTGTTACTGTAGAGACCACGTGGGATGTTGATACTTTATAGCAGGAACAGTACCTGATATCATTTTTGTATGTACATCCGAGGGCATGCTTCTTGGTATGGATCGCGGAGAGTTGCTGAATCGAGGTTTAGCGGTATCAATTCGAACCCATGTGCGGTGGTTGACGTGTTGACTTATTTCCAGCTGAAAAAACAAAAGTGTCATCCAGCAAATGGAAATCCCTGCACCTTTAGCTTTTATGTTTGTGGCTGGCTGCTTACGATCGTTACCCCTCCACGGGTCTAAAACGGACCCAACTACGCGGCAATCTGATTCTCAAAGCATCACTTCTCAGCACAGCTTAACTTTACCAGGCAAACGATAATCTACTCCACCATGGGCATCGGCTCCAACATACGTCCTCTCTCCGAACTTCCCCTACCACCCAAGTACATCGATATGCATGGGCGATATCATCCTCGACCCAACCGATCCGACCAAAGCCCTCAGCAGTCCTTCCAGCCTTGCCGCCACAGAAAGCCACATAGACTATGACGTCCACCTCAGCAAGCACAAGTCACGCTCTCTCCACGGCAGCATCTGGGCGAAATTCCTCGAAGTTGCCGACGCGAAGCTCGGCGGCGGTGCATCTAGCAACGTGCTTGCCAAGTACACCATGGACCGTCTTGAGACGGTATACTTCCGAAAACAACCTACAGACGACGAGGCAGCCGAAAGAGCCAAAGATAAGCGGGTCCAGGCCGCGATAAATTCAGGAATACTGGGAAAGAGACCCGTGTATATGATCACTGGGTTGAAAATCGCGAGGGGATTCCGGCTCAGGAGCCAAGATGCTTCCTCTATGGAGGGAGAAATTGGTGGCGGGGGTCAGGTCGTGCCAGAGGCGAGTATAGGTGGTGGTGTGGATTTCTCAGACATGAATGATACGAAACAGTCGTATCGTGCGGGGAGTGATATTGTCTTTGCCTATCAGCTGCATATCATTGCCCACAAGGGATGGCGGCAGAAGAGGGGGTTGATATCTCGGTGTACAAGGCTAAGGCAGCATTCTTGAATGAAAAGGAGATTAGACTTGAAGAGGAGGCAGTTGAGACTAGCGCTGCTGATCAGGAGGGCTTATGTGCGTTTGATGAAGAGGCACCTGTACAGGTTCTTACTGCGAGGGGAGGTGACGAGACGTGTACTTGTATTGTGTTTGAGGATGAATGAGTAGATTCCGGTACATTCGCATCTATTCTAGTACTGCACTACATGGCCGTTGAAGATAGCAATGCCGTTTCTAGCATGGGAACCGTTCGATCAACGAAAGCCAACGCGCCGTTCATGAGGCTCAAAGATGCACCTGGTGCGAAAGAACGAAGGGGCTGGTTTTGTCTTTGGCGAACGCTTTCCCAAGGTGGCAAGATTCAAAATCCGAGGCCAAAGTGACTGAGAGCACCATTACTCTGTTGATGTCTTCAGAATAGTAGTCTACCACGGATTGGAGGAAAAATGATATCCAATTGTTGTTGGCCGCGGACTCGCGCGCAAGGCTGAGTCAAGTGCTTCTCTGGTTCTGGGCGCTTTCAACCCTCTTCCAGATCATATATACACAAAGTATCGGTACAAATGAACCGTTCGAGAATCATACGCTAGCAGCGAGCGGATCAACCTTGTGATCGCTTCTTCCCTCCACCAAGCCCGTCTCAGCAGTCGCAAACTCCCGAGTGCGGACCCTGCGCTCAAATAGAATATCCAACTCGGCATAGGACCGACCCTTGGGTTCGGGGATGCGGAAGAACGCCCAGACCAAACAGCAGGTGCACAGCGCGCCCCAGAAGAACCCCGACTTGCCTCTCCAGTTCCATGCGTCCACGTTGAGCATGTACGGAATGATTATTCCCGAGACCAGATTGATCACGTTGTATAGGTTTCGAGCTAGCACCACGGTCTTGGTACGGAGTCGGGAGGAGGGGATTTCGGAGACAAGAGAGAAGCAGACGGGACCGATGGTTGAATCGTAGATGAAGGTGTAGACGAGGAGCATGGACCCGGTGGCCCAGGAGATGGCGGGGGAGGAGTGAGGGATGGAGATAAAGCCAATGACGAAGAGAACGGTGGCGAGCAGAGCCAGTCCGCCGACATATAACGAGCGACGACCGAAGTAGGTCATCAACACCCAGGAGAGAAAGGTCCCCACCACGCCGATGGCGTACTGGACGAGCGACATGGTGAAGGACTGCGAGACGGCGAGGCCAGCACGCCGGTAGAAGACGGTCGAGTAGCCCATGAGCCCACCGCCGCAGAGACTCTGCGCGGCCCAGACGAGACACGAGATCTCGGTGCGGCGCAGGTCGCATCCCCGGAAGCAGTCCACGTAGGATGTGCCTGTTTCGGCCTGCTTTTCCAGGGCGTTGGTGTAGACGATCATCGACGCGGTCTCCTCGGCGTTGAAGTCCGGGTGTCCGGCTACGGTCAGCCGGTTGAGCGCTTTGACGGCGTCGTCTCGGCGGTCCCTGCGGATGAGCCACCAGGGACTCTCTGGGGCGAGGAAGACGCCGAGGAAGATGGGGACGGGCCAGACCCATTGGATGGCGAAGGGGATGCGGTAGGCCCATTCGTCGGTGCGATCCTCCAGCCCTTTCAGGACGCCGGACGCGATCAGTTGACCTAGGACCCAGCACAGATTCACGTAGGTTGTGAGATAGCCTCGAATAGCGACGGGACATACTTCCGATGCATAGGTGACGGTGAGGGTCTGGTAAACGCCGAGCGGGATGCCCATGAGGAGCTCGCCGACTACGAGGGTTTGTATGTTTGGCGCAAAGAATAAAATAAAAACAAACCCGACGGTCGCGGCCAGGCAAGCCATGAGGGTCCGCCGGTATCCGAAGCGTTCCGAGACGATGCCGTTGATGAACAAGCCGATAATCTGGCCGCAGGCCATCGCGTTGGTCAGGGCGGCTTGCCACTTGGCGGCGAGACCGTACGTTCCGTCCGACATGAGATGGCCGTACTTCTGGTTGAATTGGGGGTAGGCGAAGAAAGAACCGATCAGAACGACATCGTAGCCCTCCATGATGATGGCACAAGACAGAAGAATAGACCAACCCACGGCTTTGGGGTAGATCTTTAGTGCCTGCCAGGGAGTCATGTTGTGTTCCTTGTCGAGGGCTGCCTGCGCTTCACTGCTGGCAATGAGATCCGAGTGGCTCGCAGGCTGGCGTTCGGACCTGCGCGAGCCAGTTTCCTCCTCCACATGTTCGATTCCGGTTGGTTTCTCGATCTCCATGGTTTATGACGAGTCAATATCGAATATTCGTGTTGGAATTGCCAGGCAAGGCCAGGCCTGTGGGGAGAAAGCAGGAAAAGACGCCGCACCCTAGGGATGTGCGGGCTTTTATATAGCACGAGCGCCTCGGTTCGTACTGCAGAGTCCAGGGGGGCAACAATTTAGAGTAATTATTCTAGAAGCTGGGCCCGTTCGCAAGCCTTAAAGTCAGACCATACGGTCCGATGGCGGTCATTGGCCCTTGAGACAAGTCCCGAGCTTAGATGACGGTTTAAGGCGTGTGACAGGCTGGCAGCAAGCTGAAAGGGATGATGGCGATGGGATGATGAGATGTGGGGTAGATGGTAACTTCTAGGGTTCCCCGGATTGTCGCGGACCCTCGATGTCCCCAGATTTTATTGATCCGGAATGAGGTGTCCTTCAGACCATTGACCAGTGACCAGTGACCGCAAGACGAGTCTGACCATAAGACGAGCCCAAGGACTAAGGAGACCCAAGCGGCAGTTTAGACAAGTCTCTACTGTCTGAGTTCCCCTGAAATTCGCCTCCCGTTTATGGCCTCAAATCGCGGCCAAATTTTCACCACGGAACGAACGGGGTCGGGAGGCAGGAAATGAGACTGTTATTGGTAGAATGTCGGGCCGACTCTGGTTTCGCATGTCGGCGCTAATGCATCCTCTAACTCGAAGTAGTTTAAAGCATGCTTAGCCTTTGCGCTTGTTCTGTGAGGGGAAATCCCTCTATCCAATAATATGGTGCGGGGGCACTCTGCACAATGATCTCGGGCCAATCAATCACACGGAATAGATTACATTCGCACCAATCAGAACCAGCCAATGGGAGCAGAAGTGGGGATCGGGGGTTACGCGTCTCAGATCCTGCTGTGCTCGGCTGATCATGAGGAACACTCCTTGGCATGAGGTCTGACTCGTTGGACGAGAATAGAACGATAAGGTGACATGTTTGCTGTCTCAAAAGCAATGGGGACTATGCACTCGGTCCGACTTGGGATCAATCAGAGTGGTTGGAATGGGTTGACAACTGGCAAGATGGTCGATCACAACAACTCCATGATTTATATATTCCGGGACATCTCGACGTTATGCGCGTTCTCCGACCAGCCTGCGCATATCGACGTTTTAGATAGTGACCCAAATCTTGGGCTTCATTCTAGTACATTATCAAGACTTGTAACTATGTCACCCGGTGAAAAATGGTGGAAGAATGCCATCATCTACCAGGTCTATCCGGCCAGTTTCAAAGACTCGAACAATGACGGGATCGGCGATATCTCCGGTATCATATTGCAACTCGACTATATCGCTAGCATAGGGGTAGACGTTGTCTGGCTCTGTCCCATGTACGACAGTCCGCAACACGATATGGGCTACGATGTCTCCGACTACGAGAAGGTGTATCCTCCTTATGGAACAGTTGAGGATATGGAGACATTGATCGACGCTTGTCACCGCCGTGGACTTCGCATCATCCTAGACTTGGTGGTCAACCATACATCGCACGAGCACAAATGGTTTAAAGAATCGCGATCCTCGAAAAACAGCCCCAAGCGAGACTGGTATATCTGGAGACCGGCCAAGTACGATGCCAATGGCGATCGGAGACCCCCGAATAATTGGCGCAGCGTGTTCGGGGGGAGTGCTTGGGAATGGGACCAGGCAACACAGGAGTACTATCTGCATTTATTCTGTGTCGAACAGCCTGATCTCAACTGGGAGAATCCCGAAGTACGACAGGCCGTCTATGCTTCAGCCATGGAGTTTTGGCTCAAAAAAGGTGTGGATGGCTTCAGGGTCGATACAGTGAACATGTACAGCAAGGATCCATCATACCCCGATGCCCCCATCGTCAACCCCAAGTCGGACACTCAGGTTGCCTTCTCATTGTTTTGCAACGGACCGCGCATTCACGAGTATCTCAGCGAGATGAACGAAGTGCTGGCCAAGTACGACGCCATGACTGTTGGCGAGCTTCCGGAGACACATACTCTCGAGGGAGTGCTGCGGTATGTCTCGGCCGCCGAGAAGCAGCTCAACATGGTCTTCTCGTTTGATGTCGTAGACCTCGGCTTGGGCAAAGAGTACAAGTTCCTGACCACGCCGCGAGGGTGGACTTTGCCCGACCTCAAGGCAGCGATCAAGCGGACGCAGGACGTCCTCAAGGGAACCGATGGCTGGACCACGGTATTCATCGAGAACCACGATCAAGGCCGCTCTGTCTCTCGCTTTGGCTCAGACAGCACGCGCGAACTCCGCGAAACGTCTGCAAAGATGCTTGCCATGTTCCAGTGCACGCTGTCCGGCACGCAGTTCATCTACCAAGGGCAGGAAATCGGCATGGTCAATGCCCCGGAAGAATGGCCTATCGAGGAATACAAGGACATCGATAGTACCAAGTACTATCACATGGTGCGCGAAATGACGAATAACGACCCCGGGCAGATGAAGACGGCCATGAAGGCGCTGCAACACCTTGCTCGAGACCACGCCCGACTCCCCATGCAGTGGAGCGCAGCAGCCAATGCCGGGTTCTCTCATCCGTTCTCGAAGAAGCCGTGGATGCGCCCCCATGACAATCACAAGGAGGTCAATGTGCAGTTACAACAAGACGACCCTTCTTCCGTCCTTTCATTCTGGAAGCAGATGATCCAGCTGCGGAAAGAGCACGCTGATCTCTTCGTGTTTGGCATCTTCGAGCTCTTGGACGAAGGAAACGAGAAAATCTTCAGTTATCTGAAGACCTCCAGAGAGCAGTGTATGTTGGTCGTATTGAACTTTTCCGAAGAGCCACAGCCGTTCCGGAGGCCCATGGAGCTCCAGGGTCGGGATCTAAAGCTGTTGCTTAGCAACATTGGCAAGACTGTAAGCGAGGAGTGGGAGTTGCAGCCATATGAGGGCCGCATATTCGAAATTCAGGCTATACCCAATTGAGCGGACACATATCAAAATAGTACTAGCGTCAATTACATAGCGTTTTGACTAAAATAATCTGTTTTCTGCAAATAATAGCCTAGGCATATACCCAAAGTAGTATAGCCTCTGTTCCCCAGCATGTGGGGTTGGCGTTCCCGTTATTCTTAAGATTTAATGGCCATTTTCGGCACTTTCAACCTGAAACTCTCACCAGGAGGGTCCACTGGGCGTCTTGGTCTTTCATGTGTGGACGCTGGACTTGCATGACTGATAGGATGAGGCAGTGAGACAAAACCTGTCCTTAGGCTTGTCTGCTCGTCTAGTCGCCGAGATGGATACCACACGGCTGAAGAAACCTCAGGTTTCCAGAGCGTGCGATCCATGTAGACGACGGAAAGTCCGCTGCAACGGCCAACACCGGTGTCAGCAATGTGAGCATCTAGACTTGCTCTGTACGTATAGCGACAATCAACGCGCGCGATCGCGAAAGAATGCTCTCCGTCGAGGGACTGTCATTTCTGAATACAAAATTCCATCGGCGCGGGACCTCAAGAGTGAATATGTTTCGACGTCTACGCTAGTCCCGCCCTCGTCTCTCCCAGATTTGAAGTCGGTGGCACTGTCGACCTCCTATCTGCATAGTCTCATCCCGAAATACATGGCCTATGTGTATCCTTTCAACCCAATCATGACGGACGAGGAGATCCGCCTGTCCATCGGCAAGATGGCCACAGATAGAGACCATGCTGCCTTTGTCTACGCCTTTACCGGCGTCACAATTGACCTGACACAGTCGAATGCAGCGACGTCTCATGTGTCAGAGCAGATCAACGAACTCGCTGGCCGAGCTATCCAGCTCCGGACTCCGTTGCTCCCGGGTTTCCGACCATCTATCCTTCGGGCTGTCACAAGCGTGTACATCCAGATGTGCTACATGAGCTTGGGACAGTATGACCTGGGCTTCTTCTACCTGCGCGAAGCGATCAGCATGGTGCATCTCCTACGGATTGAAGACAAAGCCGTCATGGCCAGTCTTGACCTGACCGAACGCTCCCGACGACAGAGACTTTATTGGCTGTGCTTCGTCCATGAACGATTCATGTCCATCTTTCACTTTTCTCCCGCGACGTTGTCCCCATACGCGCAATTTCCCGAGGACGATCCCAGCCTCGATCCCAGTATCTCCCAGGGCTGGACCCAGGTGATCAAGACATTCCTTCTGTTGGAGCCGACCTTCATCAGCCTCTGGATCGGTGATCGAAGCCAGGTGACGGTTGCATGGGTCGAGCAAAAACATCGGGAGCTCGATGACGAGCTATGGGAACTCGAGGTCTCGATGCTGTCGGATCTGCAGCAAGCGGACCTGGTCGTGACGCGGCAGTGGATGCGGACTCTACTCTGGCAGATGGCCATGTCAAACTGCCTGCTGTCATCCCATGCTTCCTGTCCATCGCTGTCGCTCGAGATGCCGCTCCGATTATCCTGCCAGCTACGCCAGTTCCTCACCAAGATCTCACAAAACACGATTCAGATCCACGGGTCTTCGATCCTGAGCAAGCTATTGGAGATCATCAATACCATTGCGGATGTGGTTCTTCATGGGCCACATGTAACGCTCGAGGAAACCACCAGTCGGATTGACGATATTTTGTTTCTGAAGGACGTCATCTTCTCCTTCCGGAATTTACAGCAGGTCTCCAAGAAGATTCTGATTGAGAAATTGCATCTGATCCAGGAGCGGTTTGCTCATATCAAAGTGGCGTCGCAGCTGGTTTGTGGGAGGGAGGCATAATGAATGCATATGTTTCGGCGTGTCTGCATGATGATGATTATACCCTTTATTATGTTCTCTGCATCTTGATTTATGTACGACAAAGGACAGTCTTGACCAACAACGTGGGATGTATGAAGCTTGCAGTACCACTATTTCGATATAAGCGTGCCATGGAACAGAACAGTCCCTGTCTACGTCAACTACAACACAACATCCGTTAACCCTCTTCCCATACGAGAATTACTCATACCAACATGGCCATATCATCCTCACCACACAATTCTGTTACTCAGAATAATAACACAACAAATCCGCCTTCCATCGCCAACCTCCAAAACAGCATCATATTCCCCACCCTGTGGTATCGATTGCACGTTCTATTGTACGACCTACAGCACTTCAACCAGCGGCCTGACTCCCGCGAGCGTCTTGAGACTGTGACCGATGTCTCCTACATTGGGCCTCCATACTTCAACGTCGACGAAGCTACCGCGATCAAGAACACCGTTGTTCATGGCAAGACACTTGCCCACATCATCGAGCAAGAGCTCCAGGAGCGCCTCGAACGACGCAGCAAGAAGCGGGTCGATAGCGGGGACTTTCGAGTTTGCGCTGCTCATGACCTTGCCCCTATTCTGGCCGCTGCGCTTGGTACGAATCTGAGGCAACTGGACAGGGACAAGCGCTTCGCTTTGTTGATTAGCTCTCGGGGGTTGGACCTTGGCGACGAGAAATGGGAAGGGCTGGCGGCAAAGTCATTTGCGCCGAAGAACAAGAGGGAAAGATAAGGCATGGAAGGAGATGACGCAGGTTGATGAGAGATGGCTCTCAATGAAGATGAGCATACTAATATCAGGCACATTTGGAGTGCGATTATATTTATTTTGCTGGGAAGGCTATTGTTTCCTGTGTTATTCCCCAAGACAGGGATTCATCCGGCATTGAAAGGGCCTACCTTCCTTTCGGCCGTCGATGATCTACTATGTATTTGGGCGAAGGTATAGTTCCTGAGTATTACTCCGCTATCTTATTAGAAGGGGACTTTCTGGCATGGATATATCTTTGGGACGGCTAGATGTCCAATGAAATTCAGAGTCTTTTTAAGCTATCCTCTTGTATGTTGAGGGAAATACACTGAAACTGTGCCCTTAACCATAGCCAAACGAGATCAATGATTTCTAGGGTGATTTGATCACCGTTGTTCTTATTTCTGTGGATATGACTGGTCAACTTCACCTCCATAATTCTAGACTTTGCACGTGAGGGTATGTAGAATCTAGCTTACCTAGATAACCTCCTTTTATTTTACCAAGTTCTACTTGTTGACCTTGTTGAATCGGGATAATCTGCTTCGACTCTAACGGTGAGATGTGGTAAGGTATTGTATTATAATTGTACAATACTGTATTATATTAATAATACGAGCTGTCGGCTCCAGACCCTGTTAACTCCGGATCCACTTAGCCGCTGCATCAGCAAAATGCTTAAGACTGTCAACCCCCGCTCGGTACCTTTTCCCTTGCCCTTCTCAACTCATAGCTTACGCTTGGATTATCTACAGATTGAAGCTAATCATGCCGACTATTTCCTCGCGGTCCGTGTCATCGCGTCGAGCTCTCCTGTCCGCTGACGATCTAGAGCCCAACGATGATTGGTCCGGGTTAACTGATCCTGTTGAACGGCGGAGGAGACAGAATCGCATCAATCAAAGGGCTTATCGTAAGTCAAGCCATCGCCTTCTCATCTGCAACAATTAGCGTTTGACTAACGAGAAACAGGAAGACGAAAGCAAGCTCAGCGACGAGTGCAAACCAGTTATTCCAGCTCGGACTATTCCCCATCCACCTCCCAGACATCGCCCTCCACAGCAACCACCTCCATTTCGAGCACCAGCCCAAACAATGAAACCTCGCTAGTCGCCAACAAAAAATCCATGCAATGTCTCAACGCCAGCCAAATCCGACAATACCTAGACACATTCGTCCGTACAGCCTACCATAGCTACATCCTCGGTTCCCCGACCTCAGACCACCTCCTAACCCTCAGCAAAGTCAACGTCTTCCGCGCCTTCGCCAGCATCATGTCCCTACTAGGAATGTCACACACCGAAGACTGGATGCACGACGACGCTCTCTCCCCCTTCCCGACCATGGGCCCAGGCTACGTCGACGAGCAGAAACTCCCGCCTAGTCTGCGACCGACCCGCTTACAGAAGACGATCCCGCATCACCCATGGCTGGATTTCTTCCCGATCCCGAAAATCCGAGATAACCTGCTTACAACGGGGGAGGACAACTTTGATGACTGCCAGCTGTGCGTTGATATCATGGGGTTCTGGGACTCGGGGATGGATGCTTGCTGTCTGCTAGTGTGGGGGGACCCCACGGATCCGAACAACTGGGAGGTAACAGAGCGGTTTCTGCAGAAATGGCCATGGGTGGTAAGGGGTTGTCCTAGCTTACTGGAGTCGACGAACAACTGGCGGCGGAAACGGGGGGAGAAGTTGATCTTTCGATACCTGTAGCATTTAGCTGTTCACTCACTGTCACTAGTAATAGTAATGAACTGTATGATCTATGATATCTGTTTCTCCGCGTAAGTCATTTGATCTACTGCTGACCAAGCAGCAGAATGGAAGATCTCCGATAGCAACAGAAGACACTAATGCATCCTGCTTACGCGCTAGCTGCACCTTAATTCCGAGGGCCAATTAAAATGCTGGATTTGACACTGGGTTTCGTCATGGAATCTTTCAGTCTGTATTGCAATACCGTATTGAATTGTATCGCCCTCGTCAACGTATCTGTCTCCTGTAGAGGATCTACAATGAGAGCGAACTGGACAGTATGAACAGTTTTGAGACACGGAATATAAGATAGAAAAGCTTAGAGGTATTAATCTTCATTGTAAGGTTTGATCATCCATGATACCGACAGTTGTCGTGATCATTTGGAGGTGGCCATGTCAATGCCCTGGACAAACATATATCTATTCGAAACATATTCACGGAATATTCCTCTAGTAGCAAGTGTTCCAGACAATGTAATGTAGGATGCACCATATAATAGGCTCAATGAATGCGCCACGGGTCATAAGTTGTTTATCTTCGGTCAGTGACGTCCCACTGGCCAGGACATACTATACTGTATATGGCATTCGAATTGCTTCATATGTTCCCAATTGGTCTTAAGGACCTCGGTGGGATGGTGCGCAGTTTACGAGCGCAACTTCCTGCTAGGTCTGAAATAAGCTAGACATTCCGATAATGTATGAATTGGTTCAAGACACTGTTGTCGATAAGCATGCAGTAGTGCTTATGGTTCATTATGTAGCCTATATCATATAGGGTCCCCCTTGTCGTAGGATTTTCTGTTTCATATCACATCAAAAATGAATCCTTCGAGCCATCCGAAAGCCTTCCTTCATAAGTCTGAGAGTATTATCTGCCGGGCGCATTGTCTCCGATGCTTACCAGTATGTTGGCGACTTGAAGCGTTGAGGGAATTTCTAGGCCAGTCTGGAAACCTTCGAGGTTTCGTTGTACCTGGACAAGGTTGTACTCAAACTAAACAGGTATTTATTTTAAAAGATGCCAATAACACTGCCAATAGAGACAGACTTCGTTCTACATCACAGACGACGTTTATTAGACAACGCAATAAAATGAGACACTAGTCTAAAGACCGAGGCCCCGTATAAGTCAGGGTATGTCCAACATGTTGAGAGCAAAGGTGTCAACTATATAAATGTTGACTAAAATGCGTCTGGACGACCATTTCCGGCGTAGTATGAGTGGCAATGAAAGATGTTCAACAAAAGGTAGGCCAGATCTGGTCGAGATCGGGTTTAAAGGACCTAGTGCAGGAAGGGGATCAGAGACATACATACGGAGTAGCTACCAGAAATTTGCCTCAGCGTGGTCGTATACTCGACTATCATTCGACGCATTTGACGGAGTCCGAACCTAATGCAGCACAACAATCCGAAACAGAATGTACTATTTTAGCCCATATATTCAGGGACGACGGTTAGCTCCGAGTTGCGCACGAGTGTAACGCCACCAGTGTTGCGGATTTGTCCCATCACATATTACATCCTCAGCTGACTGATGCCAATACGAGTGCTCATGGCATTGACTGTGGGGAGACAGTCGGGGCAAAGACGAGAAATGAAATAAGTCGAAATGCACAGATCTAACGTCTAGCTGCATCTGCCCACAACCGGGTCATGGATCGCAGTATCCCCTCCGGTTGCCTAATCACACGAGCGCAGAGGGATTCACAGGAACCTGCACAGCTTTACGATAGTCGAACCTACCTGCGGAAAGAGGGCAAGTAACCAACTGACGGGGGCAATTGAGCACGTGTCCTTGCCACGGAGGGAATAATCCTGCGAGAGCTAGTGTCTTCTTGCAGCGCCAGACGCGCCGTGGCCGATAATTGCACCCTTCCAGAACTCTTCTTTGCTCTCGGCCATATTGCCCTGTTGACGTGGGAGCACACGTGGAGTCGTCTCCGCATTTGATAGGTCGATGGAGTAAACCCCGCCAAGGCCCGCCAAGGCCCGCCGAGAGTCCGCCAAGAGCACTAGTCAGCCAATCTGCGGCTTCGTTGCAGTGCCTCGACCCTCTTCCCGCTCACATTTGGATGGAGGCCAAGAACATGCTCGAGCCTTGCTGCTCTTGCTTCGCTCCGAGACAAGCAGGCGAAGATAGGCGAAGCGTGCCTTGGCCGGTTGCCTGCTGAAGTCATTTGAGTGGTTTTCCTCTGCCAACCGCGGGCCAGCCGGGAAATCTCGAACTCGACGGCCCCTGGGATGGGGGCAATACCAAGACGCTTGTGATAAGCCCATTTCCCCCAGAGTGCGAATCAGACGGAGGTGTGGAGGAACGTGTCAGGACAGGTATACGAACCGGGCATAATTGCCTTGCCACGATCTATGCGAACGCACCTGCGGCTGCATTAGCGGGCGTCTTAAGCATGGTTCCAGGCGAAGGATGAAAATGTCGTGTGAGGTAGCGATGCAATGCATAAAAGCCCCGTGTCTCGCTGCGTGAGTGATTTCAGGATCAAGCGCTCAACAACTTGTTTCACTGGACACATACAGTCAAGATGGTGCTCAGCCAATATGACTACGTCTTCGCCATTGGCACTCTGTTTGCCATGCTTGATGCCTACAACAACGGTGCAAGTATGTCAATGCCCCTTACTCCTGCTATCTGTGACAAGATTGGCTGACATTACCTGCTTGAAAGACGATGTGGCCAACTCCTGGGCTACCAGCGTCTCCTCTAGATCGGTCACCTACCGACAAGCCATGATCTTCGGCACCGTCTTCGAGATGCTCGGTGCCATCACGGTCGGTGCTCGGACGGCTGACACCATCAAGAACGGTATCATCCCCAACTCGGCCTTCCGCGGTGATGCCGGTGTGCAGATGCTTGCTTTTACCTGCGCCCTCGCCGCTGCTTCCTCCTGGGTTATGTGGTGCACCAAGCACTCGGCCCACGTCTCGTCGACCTACTCCCTCATCTCTGCCGTTGCCGGTGTCGGTGTTGCAACTGTCGGTGCTTCCAAGGTTCAGTGGGGCTGGAACGACGGAAAGGGTCTGGGAGCTATCTTTGCAGGCCTGGGCATGGCTCCCGCCATCTCGGCCGGTTTCGGTGCTAGCATCTTCATGCTGATCAAGCTCATTGTGCACATGCGCAAGAACCCCGTGCCATGGGCCGTCTACACTTCTCCCTTCTGGTTCCTCATCGCGGCCACCATCTGTACCCTGTCCATTGTCTACAAGGGCTCTCCCAGTCTCGGTCTGAGCAAGAAGCCCGGCTGGTATATTGCCGCCGTGACCATGGGTTGCGGTGGTGGTGTCGCTATCCTCTCCGCCATTTTCTTCGTGCCCTTTGTGCACGCCCGTGTGATCAGGCGGGACCACGGCGTCAAGTGGTGGATGTTTATCCTCGGCCCTCTGCTCTTCAAGCGTCCAGCCCCTGAGGGCGCCGACCGTGCCAAAGTCCCCAACTACGCCGTCGTCCAGGACGAGGAGCACGAGGAGCACGCTGCCCAGGCATCCCCCGCTCCCACCGAGCAAACACTTTCCGAGTTTGACGGCAAGGACCCCAAGACCGATATCGAACCCATTACCTCGCCTGCCATCCCTCCCAACGAAAAGAGCCTCGTCGCCAACGAGGCCAAGCATCTCACTTACAAGGAAATCGTGGAGGAATCTAACGCGCGCCTGAACGCCCGGCTCCTCAAGAAGCGAGGACCTCTTGGATGGGCGATGCGCACACTCCGCGACAACCCGATGGGCCCCGGCGAGATCTACGAACTGAAGAACATAAAGATCCTCCTCAAGCGCATCCCCGCCATGATCACCGTCGGCTTGCTGTACGGTCTGCACTACGATATCCACGCCGCGCAGTCCGGTATCCACGGTACGCCCGAGGGAGAACGGATGCAGCGTGTCTATGCCCATGCCGAGAAGTACCCCAACGAGGTCGAGCACACGTACTCGTTCGTACAGGTCCTGACCGCTTGCACCGCATCCTTTGCTCATGGCGCCAACGATATCGGTAACTCGGTCGGCCCCTGGGCCGTTATATACTCGGCCTGGAAGACGGGTAACGCGGCTGCGTCCAAGGCCCCAGTGCCTGTCTKGCAGCTTGCCGTTCTCTCCGGATGTATCTCCATTGGTCTGATCACCTACGGCTACAACATCATGAAGGGTAAGTCCACCGTTTGCACTCCACGATCGAGACACAGAACTAACTGAGCAATAGTCATGGGTAACAAGATCACCTACCACTCCCCCAGCCGCGGTTGCTCGATGGAAATGGGCGCTGCCATTACTGTGCTGGTCTTCTCGCAGTACTCTCTCCCCGTCTCGACCTCGATGTGCATCACCGGCGCCACGGTCGGCGTCGGTCTCTGCAACGGTACGCTCAAGGCCGTCAACTTCCAGCGGGTGGGTCTGTTGCTGCTGGCCTGGATCATGACCATTCCCATTGCCGGTACCCTCGGTGGTATCCTGATGGGCCTGTTCCTCAACGCTCCTCACTTTAAATCTTAAAATTTGTTTGAACATGTTCCATTCTCTTTTCCTTTCTTTTATAGACTGATTGTCTGCGATACCATTTGGGCTGGGTTTAGGGTTAAGGGTTTATCATAATTGATTCGGATATTGATACCATGTCATTAGCAATGCATTCGAGTGGAGTGGATAGAGAAAAGCCCGAATTCACGTAGGGAAATCTTCCATTAAAGTCAAATTATCCGTTGCATTTTGTCAAAGTAAGATTCCTTGGCCAATGAAGAAGGCCTAGGTTATATACAGATCACTCAACATGACCGCGCTCCATGATCGCTAGTATATATCCTTTCCTTAATAGTGATTTCAAATTTAGAATCCGCTTGCGCTTGAGTCGTTCAAGTCAGCAACCACTCAGGCTGCCGCTACGCGACAATCTGCCCAGGGGTAAGTTTTGTAGGTGTCCGTCACGTCCCATTGTATTCTGGATCAAACTCATTGCGTCTTCGCCTCGACAAAGAGACGATAAGCCTTTGTTGAAGATAACCGTTCTTTAAGGGATTTAGATGTCCGGTGAAAGTTTTGCCCTGACTTCGCCATTTTCCCCCGTATTCATAGGTTTATATCGTGTCGTAGTCTTAGAGATTTACCCTATCCAGTCCCTAGCACGAAGCCATTTTCAATCACAAAGGTTGGAAGTGGTTGAACTTGGTTAGCTCAATGAAGATATCGGTTTTGATAGAGTCTTATATGCTATAAGGTAAGATCCAAGATGACAGATAACGATACAAACTTGTTCCCATGCGCACCTTCAAATGACAAAGATTAATCCACGTCAGACGGCGCTGGATTTCAGTTAATAGGAACGGTTCAATAGGCTTTGGTCTGAACACTGTGGCTTTCTCTGTTGAAGTTACTTTTGGTTAGGGGCTGGTCATATCTTGAGGCTGCGTCCAGGGGTAGACTGGACCGGACCCTGCATGAAGAAGGAGGGGCTGGAGTCCCAGTAAGCAAATGACCTTAAATCCATGGGAAACGCACAATATGGTTTGCCAACAAAGTCATCATGGACAGCATCCTCCAGTGGAGAACTCGACAGAGAAGCCACGTACATCCTCGCCAGTATCTGCGCTGCCTTTTTGTACCCGGTAGTAAGAGACTGCCGAACATTCTATTTCTAGTACGCTCGAAATGGTCGTGCTGACTCCTTTCAGTTGAGTGGTCTACTGGTTGACAGACACACTACCTACCTGGCTCCTTAAGGTAGGAAACGAGAACTTTAGATTTATCGGCAATCATTGTGAAAAGCACCACGTCAATTGAAGATCATGGCTCATCCCTTAATACGTACGTGCTGGACCACGGACCTTAATGTGTTGCCTGCCTGAATATTCTGGACTAAAAGGGTATGAAAGCAGATGTGATCATTTCGAGTAATCCTAAGTCCATCCATGAGCTTACCATTTCTACTTAGGACAAAAGCAAAACAGCGACTTGTTTGGACACGGATCTTCTTGACTGACTCACAAAATTCCAAAAAGTCAACACAGCCTGCCGTATTACATAAGGCGCCTAAAGTGCGGAGTCATATGCCTTTTCTACTGTATATAACAAGCAAATCTTCCTCTTCTCCCTTCCGACAGCATTTATGTATGTCTTTACCTGAAACTTGACCTCGAGGAAACTTTACGGCGTCAATATGGAAGACTTAGTAAGACCCATGATGAAAGCTCTGTCGGAAACAAAATAAAATTATCTAACCAAGGTAACAGAACCGGCCAACGTTCGAAGGTTTACCAATGGAATTGCAGATTTCTATCTTATTCAATATCGATCACCTAGATTCTCTTCAATCGCTTGTATTTGCATCACCAACATATCACCGAGCATATCAGCTCGTGAGACAAGAACTTCTCTACGTGCTTCTACAGAGCTCTTACAATAGACTTGTAGACATCGCAGATGCAGTAGCTGCTGTTCGGTCCAGAGGCTTATACGCTGTCAAGCCATTGAATCGCGCAAGGATTATTGCCTTATTGGACAGACGACGACGAAGTAAAGAAATCCGCCGCCTTGGATTGTCTTCATGGCCGTTTCCAGACGAACCTGCTGATATTGAGGAGACAATTCAACTACTACATCTCCATAGAATGGCAACATTTCTCCTCGATGATTACACCACCGCAGCAACTCGTCCTGAGTGGATAGGCTTAGAGAAATGGAATGAAATTTTACCCCTAACCTTATCCAGAACGGAGCAAAGACGCTTTCTTCGAGCATTCTATCAGATGCAGATATATGGCAACATATTTGGTCAAATTGAACTTCCCCTGGGTGCAGGCAATGTCGAAGAAGAAAATGAGTGGTTTGATAATAGTGGCGGCGGGACGCCTACTTTCACAGATGAAGAAGCGTGGCGTCTATTCTTCGGACCCATGGCGCCATGGGAAGTCGAAGAATTCAGCTGTTTCTGGCGGTATTGTTATTATCGATGGGAAGAGCCATACCGTGAAATATCAAAAGGCCTTGCGGCTTATGCGGCTAATGGTATTATCTGGTTCAGCGATCTTCCTCCCGAAGAGCGGCCCCCTCTAAATCGGCTTGGATTGGACGTCGACCATTTGCATATTCAACCAGCTGACCAGAGGGAAACTTTGGCCTCCATGGTACCATTTCTTGTGAAGATGCTTCGTGAACAGGATTTTAGAACTCGCCGCGACTTGCTTCTTGCCAACACGGTTAATTTTCACCATGGGTTTGCTGAATATTGGCCCAAACCGAGTTGGGAAGAAGCCGGAGCGTTGCCTCTTCTGTACCCAGCTGATAGATTCAACTTTGGCACAGATGTCAGTGGTCTCAAGGCATACTTGGAGACGCTGCCTCCGCACGAGCGGCCTAACGTCGCCTGGACGGAGCGGTGGCTCGATGCGGCGCTGGAGTATCCTCAAGTCTTTGAGGATATGTACTCGAATGCCCCGTACTCTCGGTGTTGGAATTGGGGGTATGCTATGTGGGACGATGAAAGGCTCATTGAATGGGGCGCCATGGATCATCTTGAACTCCCGTGACACGTGGATTAGACACGTCGATTATTGCATTGATGGTCAAGCAAATCCTGATATTCCTCATGTTTATACGCGCCTGAGACTTTCAACACCTTAATGACTGTACGCCTTCTAGTCTCCTTTTTAAATCCGATATGACCATGTGGCTGTCGAGTCAATAGCATAACTTCTACTGTCCCGGGCTTTAAACTTCCTGCAACTTGCTTCCCACCTCTCGCACCAACCTGCACATCCATAAAAGGACCTGCCCTGGATTATATGCGAGGGATGTGTTTGACCCGCATTCCCCTGGATTATGACAACTCTCACCCATTTGGATTCCTACACAACTTGCAAAGCAGAAAGGCAATCCTTACGTACTCCACCTGTATATTATGCGCCGCACATGCTTTGTCGATCAACTAGCAAACCTAATGTCTTTCATGTCGTGACCTAGCTCCGTTGGATTCCCCACAGTGCAGTAACCACTAGATATGCCCGACTAAAATTATCCCTACCAGGTGGCAGGAGATATAGAATCCAACCCTCTTAGTTGTTGGTCTTTTCATCTTATAAATAGTTGGGGCAGAGACTTGTAAGATGGATATCCAATCCTTGTTACTTTAACACCCCGTTTTACCATGGTCTGAGCGAGCAAGACACAATACTCATATGCGATTCATTTCTGGTAGACGTATATATGAACAACATCAAGAACTCGGTGAAAAAATTTACCCAGCACAAATATCCAAAAACAAACTTAAGTGTACATAGCCGTACAGCGACATCAGAAAACAGGAGACATGAAACGAACGAACAGAAAACATGTGATGGGACTCCGAGTCAAAATAACCAAGATGCGCGCGCATGGAGGATTAGCGCCCTGCTTTGGCTAGTTTGGTCAATACCTCATTTCTATCCTAGTTGTTTGCGCAGCCCTTGTTCTGTCCTTCTCCAGCGGGCACCGCTGTTCTTATACTCGATGGCCTTATTGTGATGCTCTACTACCTTATCTGGACTTTCATATGCATATGGATATTTATGGCCAAATCCACTTCTGTAGGCAGCGGCACTATAATGGAATCAATACATGAATAGTGGTCGGAAAGACTGGGAGTGCCTTACGTATTAGCTGTGATTCTTGCGCTCGCATTGGCTTCAACGCCCATTTGTACTTTCTCTCTGAAGAGAGCATCGGTTCGCTTTACGTTGGCCACCTTATTGGCGGCCCTGGCAGCAGCCTTAGCCCTGTCGTATTCGTCGCCTCGGGCCTTATACTCATCATATTCTTCCTTCACGCGTTGCGGGTAGGGGTTTGGGCGCTTGACAAAGGGATCGGGCATTGGAGGATGCCTGATATCCCCACCTGCCAAAGACGAAGAACGCTTCTTCTCCGAGTTTTGGAAGTTTGGACCAAAGTAACTTGGCTCACGCCGAGAGCTGGGTTGGGCTCTGTGAGGATTTTTGGTATCGTAGTCGTAGTCGCTATCCGATACCCTTCTGTCCAAGATGGCTCGCTGGGAACTGAAGTCATGGTGCCGACCACTCCGACTCATTTTGACCACGAAGGCGTGTACTTTGTGTAAAAGAAGGCGCTGAGCAAAAAGAGGCGCAATGTCGATTGAAGAAGACCACAAGGCAAGTGAAAAACAACGAAAGAAACTAATCAGATTCACACAGAAGGGCTCGGATATTCTGAGAGATATGGAACTACAACTACACCACGGAAAACAACGTTCCGTCTTTATAGTCTACAGGTTGCTGGTATATTGTCCGAAGAGCATATCATGAGCCGTAAAGATATAAATAATCATTACACACTGAAAGCGCTTTGGCTGAGGCATGAGCCCGGAAATTTACTTAAATGCAGGCTCGATATGTGACCAGAAGTACCTGTTGTTTTGCAATTGGCAACATGCATTAATCTATTGGCATCCAGCTCAAGTTTGTCTCATGCCGTCGAGTGTCAATGTATTTTTAATCCTGTAATTCTGTTTTAGCCGCTAGAATGCGAACCGCAAGATAGTCTATTATATGGTACAAACGTAGGTACTAATGATGCTGCAGGGGAGATATTATCCCCAATTCAACCTATAGTGATTCCCGAGATAAAATGTCATATAGTCGACCTGCTTGACCGGGATTCGCTCGGAGAAGCGCCGCATAGCTGTTGCTGCAAATGGATACACGCATGTCGCCTATTCTGACTCTAGGCCCAGTTTCCGATAAAAGGCTCAATCAGATGATGGCTCGCTATATTAGCCAATATGGAAACCTGCCAGGACTCGCTGTCATGGCATATTGCACCGGCATACATCTTAGGCGCCTCGCCGCATGATTATTAGTTACGCTCATGTGGGATGAAGAAAGTTAGATCTACCAATATGATCGCACATGGAAGAGCTCCGGCGGCAAAGCAATGAGGGCCAGTAGAGGCGCAGAAAATGAGTGGCTAAGGTGGACTATCGTCTAAGCGCCGCTGTATTTCTGTTGCAGATCAGGGGAAGCTGCGAAGCCTGAGATTGTGTCAGGCATGGCCAGCCGTATTACATAAGGCGGTTGAGCAGTCCCCAAGCGCCGTCGTCTTCGTCTACCCTGTAGTCCCTTTTCCTCCTCAGCGTCAATGTTTCATTTCTGCATTTATCGACTGCTATCATAAAAGCCTACGACTTGACGAATGATGATGATGATGACGGTAGGTACACCACGGGTGCTGCGAAAAAACGATATCTGACAATGTATCAGACCAGGCCATCGCTTGAAGGCTTACCGGTGGAATTACACATCTGCATCTTGTTTAAACTTCAGGACCTAGATTCTCTGCGATCCCTTCTCTTTGCATCGCCCGATTATTATCGGGCCTATTATCTTGTTAGAGATGAGCTCCTTCTGAGCATCCTGCGATCTTCACACAATGGCCTTGTGGATGTTGCAGACGCACTGGCTGCCGTCCGCTCCAAAGGACTCTACGCTTGCAAAAGATCAAATCGGGAAAAAATTATTGCCCTCTTGGATAGCCGACGACGAAGTGAAGAGATCCGCCACCTAGGCTTATTGTCTGGACCCTTTCCTGACCAACCAGCCACTGTCGAAGAGACTATACAATTATTACATCTCCATAGAATGGCCATTTTTCTCCTTGAAGATTACTCGAKGACAGCGAGATGTCCGGAGTGGATGGCCATAGAGAAATGGAGTTTGCCCCTATGCCTATCCAGGACGGAACAGAGGCGCTTTTTCCGAGCATTCTATCGGATGCAGATTTGGGGCAATATATTCGGCCACATTGAGATTCCTCTGGGCGCAAACAAGCCGGAAGAGGAGAATGACTGGTTTAGCCCCCGTGAGAGAGTCCCACCTGTGTTCGAAGAAGAAGAAGTATGGCGTCTGTTCTTCGGAACCATGGCCCCGTGGGAGGTGGAAGAAATTGCCTGTTTCTGGAGACATTGCTACCATCGATGGGCAGAGCCATATTTCGAGGCATCCGACAACCTTTTATCTTACGGTGTTACATTTATCAGCGATATTCCCCCCGACGAGAAACCTCCCTTCACACGTTACTGGGACGACTGTGATGATCTCAAACGTAGAGAAGATGACTGTAGAGAGAGTTTAGCCTGCATGGGACCGTCATTACTTGTCAAGATGCTTCGCGAACGGAACTCCCGGGCTCGGCGAGACCTGGTGCTCGCAAATGCCATAAGTCTGCACCACTTCTTTGGTGAATATTGGCCGAGGCCGGATTTTGAAATGCCGGGAGCGTTGCCCCTTCTCTTCCCTGCGGATAGATTCAACTTTGGCACGGACTTTGATGGACTCAAGGAGATTTTGAACACCTTGCCACCGCATGAACGACCTAATGTCGCCTGGACGCAGCTGTGGCTGGGAGCAGGGCTGGACTACCCAGAGGTGTTTGTGGATATGTTCTGCTATGGCGAGCCTTCTTCGTGTTGGGACTGGGGATTTGCTTTATGGAGTGACGAAAGGCTGATTGAATGGGGAGCACTGGATCAGCCCAGTCTAAGGAGAGACGTATACGCATAGTAGATCCCTACACGTCTCTAAAGTGAGATGTCTGTGCTATATGAACTTCAAACCTTCAGTATCAAGAAGGATGGACGCTAAGCTTCCTATGCTTGAAGATTTTTAGCCTCACCAATTCATATTCAATCATTGGGAATTGCAGTATTTTTTATCTCCACATTCTGTCTTCTAATCCGTAGTACGTCCACCACCTTCAAGTTTCATCCGTATGCCCGATCATATAGAAGCGTAAATCAAATCATAAGAGAGATTCGGTCTCATCCCTCAAGGATTCAGCAACCACCTCCACCACCACCTCCTCCTCCTCCTCCTCCTCCTCCGCAGCTCATAGCGCTGCCCGCTGCTCCTGCTGCCACAGCGGCCACTAGTCCATGGTTACGGCGCCTTTTCCGCCCGTTTCGATGTTTCGCGCTATCATGGCCGTAATTGTAGCTGTAATTGTTTGAACCAGAGTAGTAGTGTCCGGGATGGTTGGTCCGTCGAGGAGGAGTATATCTCTCGTCATCGTACTTGGATGGACCGAAGCACATTGTGAGCGTGTGCTTGTTCGAGTAGATTTGCTCACTGAGGACGTAAAATCTGGAGTTTGAAACAGATTCCCTTCTACCTCGGTATAGGTTGACTGGTATATGAGCTTCGCACTTCTGGTATGTGCGATTGCGTCGCTAAAGGATATTCGTTACGATTTATATATTTCCCGTCAAGCAACTATTTCATCGACCAGGCAGAGGTTATATTATTTCTTCTACAAGGCTGAATGATCTGCATATTACATTGTTCAATACCCCTTATTTTATTATCTGCTGCTTCAATAAGTTGACAGTACATGATCGAGGTATTATTGATCGACACCTTGTCACCAGCGATGCTGGCCTGGTTTTATTCCGGGGCTGTGCAAACGCCCGAGGCCCCCCATTTTTATTGTGGCCTCATGTCGATCGCAAGGCTGAGGTGGGTTCCGCGTGAATACTAATAAAATGCTCTTTTTTAGGCAAACATTTTATATCAACAAATGCTCGAAGTCTAACAAATCACAGCCATCCCCGGATCAATCTCCGCTTGCTATTACGAATTTGCACACAGCCAAGGCTACCGCTATCCTCTACCGCTATCCTCTCAATCACGAAACATCCTGCTGCTTCTAGTATGACCACCAAGTCAAGGAGGGCTTTAGGACCACAAGTCCGTCGGCATTGGAGGTGGATTAGAGCAAATAGCATCAAAATCGGCCGGGTCTCGGAGACGGGCAGTCGGGGTGTTATTAGCGAAGAGTTCGACAAGGGTCGTGCCTATACAGTGGCTTCAGCAAACGCACATTGATTTAGAGAGACACAACAAAGCATAGGGACTATACCGTTCGGATTGTACATCGGCCAACCCATCTTCCTTAACAGTCCATCCCCCGGAGACTTGATGAATGCCGCCCACGCTGTTTGAAGGTAATCGCTGGCGGCCACTTCGTACCACTGCGGCTTTTTGTGAGGCTGGAGATGCCTGTATGACCCTAAGGCAAATGCAATATCCGCTGTGATGCATCTTTGTTAGTGAGACTCATATATCCTCCAGGAGATCTATAGCTAACCTTGATGGTAAGGTCCTAGCCACGGGAAGAATGTCACCGTTGGGAAGATTCCCATGTAGCGATATCGCCACACTGGAACATGATGCTTCACCCGGAAACTGCATCTCCATTAGCAGCCTATACCTGTGACACAGAGATGCCCGATCTATCTTACGAGGCTTCTTTAGACATGGGACAATTGAAATATGTGGTTTCGAGGATATCTGAAATGGTCTTGTTGACACCGCCCTTTTCAGACCAGTTCAGAACCCCATCAGCTTCATTGTTCGTGATGCCCATCAGGACAGGCTGTCACACACCAAGTTAGGAATTGACATGTACGAGGACCGATGCGACACTCACCACCTTCGCAAAAGTGCCAGCCAAGCCTAGACGGCCATACTCTTCTGCAGAATAAAGAGTGATATTATCAATCATCGGGGCCCCTCCAGTCGTACCGAACGGGTTGACCGTAAGGTTGGAAAGCGCTCTGTGCAGAACCGGCGCAGGGACTGATTTCATGCAGCTTAGCTCAATCGTTCTGTTTGCAGCATTTCTGCATCCGACTTTCTCTGCTGCCTGAATGAATACAAAATCATCCTGGGGCCCGATATATTCTGGAACCCCGCTCTGCAGGATCAGACCTTGCACGATCGGGTCATCTTTGAATGCATAGGTCAGCACGGCAGCAGTATCTGCACCTGCAGACTGGCCGCCAAGTGTGATTCTAGTTGGATCGCCACCGAATGCAGCGAGGTTCTTGCGCAGCCATTCCAATGCTGCTCGTGTGTCTCGAATACCAAGATTCTGCTGGTCGATTGGAATCGCGGGAGAGTTGGGAAATCCGAACATGTTGAGACGGTAACTACTGGACTGTGAGCATTCTAAACATATCCAGTGGAAGCGCAGCATGATGGGTTGGGTAGAATGAGTACGAACTTCAAAGTGACAACGATGATATCGGGCTGGTTTGCGACGAGGCCGGTAGGGTTAAATACTAAGGTAGGTAAGCATGAGTGATATTCAGCCTTGCAAAGGACCTACATGGAGCACTGGAGCCTCCCTCACTGAAAGCACCTCCATATAACCAGACCAAAACTGGCAGCAATTTGGATTTTGGGCGTGCTCGTGGTGCGAAGACGTTCAGTGACAAGCAGTCCTCCGACTCGGGGGTCGTTGGTGCTAGGTTGTCTCCTAGCACGGTCTTGTACCGGAACTGATAGCACACAGGACCGAATTGAGTTGCATTGACGATTGTATGTTCGTCGCCTGTGTCAAGAGGCTGTGGAGGGCGGAACCGAAGATCGCCTATAGGAGGTTTGGCATATGGGATCCCAAGAAAGGCATCTACTTTGTCATGCACTCGGACACCGTGGAATATTCCTTGGTGGGTCCTGGCTGCAATATCTGGCAGAGCCTCGAGAGTACCAGCCAGAAAGCCGAGAGCTGTTAAACAATGGATTGTCTTCATATTGCAATTGATTCCTGAGTCTGGATATTTTCAAGAAGATACTTCGACGGCCATAACACGTTCAATTTATATTCAGTACACCGAACAGTTTCTGCCATTTTTGGAGTATGAGTAGTATGTAGATCCTTTGATGATCTACAAAATGCGAACTAAGTGCGAGTGCGGATGCGGACCCAGAGAGTGCGAATACGAACAAAGCCCACTCGAGATCATCGGGAACCAATGAAAGGGTGCTCCACCTCTCTTTGGCCGTGTTCATGATCGATTACCTTTTTTCTGGTCATCTCTAGGCAACCACTTGCAGATTGAAGCGTCCTTATGTCCACGACTGTGAGCTCTGAAGGACGCTATACATGCAAGAAACGCTACAATCTTAGACATCCTGACTAGAGCAGACGTTGACCCCCACAATGGAACCAAATTACCTGGTATCTGCCATGAAAAATCCGAATCCTGTGACAAGATGGTGGCTTGGACGGCAGGATAAAAATTTCACCACTGCATCAACCCAGCATTCAAGGACAGAAATGTCAAGACCAAAGAGACGCATTCGTCCCCACAATAAATCCCGACGAGGGTGTTTGAACTGCAAAATCCGGAGAGTAAAAGTAAGACCTGTTGCCGAAACCTGCGTCACGTTTTGCACACAGACTAAGCCACAGCAGTGTCCTGAGAACCATCCTGCTTGCGAGAATTGCCGGGGCAAGAATTTGGTCTGTGTATATCCCGCCGGGCTACAGAACGACCTTCAGCACCTTGGAGATCCGGCGCGGGATGTCTCAAGTCAACTGGCATATCTGCAGCCCCGGAGACAATCCGGGGAGTTTACCATTGCTGATATGTCTCTCTTCCAACACTTCATCACCGACGCTCATCCACACCTGCCCATTGGTAATGATGATGTCTATAGGCGAGCGCTTCCGGCGATTACATATAAAGTAAGGCCCGTGTGGAAAATGACGAGCCTAGAATCTGCTTGCTGATACTTGGACCAGCATGAATATGTGATGCACGCCATCCTTGCTCTTTCTTCCTCGCATCTAGCACTTCTAACCGGATCCGCCCTCTCTGTCGAGGCCTTGCAACATCGCCAACGGGCGCTCCAAGGACTAAATCAAGCAATGTCCCAAGCGCCAGCCGAGGCCAGCGATGCTGACGCGATGTTGGCAGCTTGCTATATATTGACCTTTCAGTCCTCGTACATGCTTGACGGCCTTTCTGATTATATCATGATGCTCCGAGGTTGCGGCTTAGTGACCGGATTGATGCTACAACGGAACATGCTTGGATCTTTCTCGATCGACGCATATTCGCATATAAAACACATGGAAGCACAATTTGGCCGGTTCCCTACAATCGATAGTCGGATTGCCTCGGACGGTATTCGCTCACTGAGTCTTGTGAAACCTCTGTTACAGCATCCAGTCGAAGAAATCTTCTACCAGCTTTTATTTGACGTCCTCGTTTCTCTCGAACAGGCGGCCTCCTGCGCGGCTTATGTCCGTTTCACCAGCATCATCAACGAGTTTATCACTTTGCCTCAATCCGAGATCCACTATCTCCTCGATCCCGAGAATCAGATTTCGCAGGTGTTGATGGCTCATTTTCTCGTCACACTGGCCATCCTTTCCCCGATAACGTCCTTTGAAGCAACCAGTCGACTTTGCAATGTTCCAATGGCGGGAATGTTGTCCTGGGTTGCAAATATCTGTGTGCGGATGTCTGGCAAAAAGGCCGAAGGATACCTTACGTGGCCGAAGAGTGTGGTGGAAACAATCCGTGCTAACACCAGCCGAACGGGTGTGTTGGTTGATGACGTTCTGGTCTTGATTTTGAACTCCCCAGATAGACTCCTCCTATCACAAACATGATTATAGCCCGATAAATATAGATTTGCGGTGACATTTTTGATATTTTTCCTCGGTGTTGACATTTTCCGCTTACTCAGCACCCTCGGGCCTAGGGCGTCGCAGACTCGGCGACTCGGTCTCTGTTCCCAAATTCAATCTTGAAGCCAGGCCGTGAATAGCATCGTTAGCGCCCCTTTCGGCATAGCTGCTCGCTTAATTAGTCCTTACAGCCGACTGACCCGACATTCTGGTCAGCTAGATGGGCGCCACCGCCCCTGCGCCTTATGGAGGCCGACTGCGAAGTGCCTGTGATCGATGCCGACAGCGGAAGGTTCGTAGAGGACACGTGACAGCTTGGGAATAGAAGAATACGAACTAATCACCGTCGCTCGATTTCCAATCCTCACAGATTCGTTGTGATAGAGCCAAACCGGCCTGCGAGGCTTGTCATTTTGCCTMTGCTCCTTGTATATTTACTCCGCTGCCGATCCAGCCGCGGAAATCGGTCCGCGAGTAAGGTTGACCCCTTTCCACAAGCATGTGATATCAATCCTGATTGACACTCCATGATTAGACAGTTGCAAGACACCAGAGCTGAAGTTCGCCGATTGGAAGAGGCCTTGAGAGCGGAGAGGGGTTCCCGTCAGAGTTCCAGTCCCAGTCTCCCTCAACCTTCCGGGCTCGTCAATGATCTCTTCGATTCTCGTGGCTTCGACGTCACGTTGAAAGCTTTTCGGTGGCATCTTGCCTACTGCACTCCTGGGTTTGCTGCCTCCATACAATCAGATCCCGCCTTCGACCTCGAGGAGCTGCTCGACCGGGTGGCGGATTCATTCGACCTGCAGTTCCGCACAAAACCMGCCCGAGTAGTCTTGCCAAAATGGCCTCCGCGCCGCCTGATCGTGGCGTCGTTGGAGTACTTTTCGAGCAATGGATTGTATTCAATCCATCCAATAGTTGACATTGATGCACTGACCTGTCTACTTGACGCTTCCGACTTCGATGATTCCGGGATTGGGACAAATATTGCCGATCGTGCCTGTTATGCGGCCTTGACCGCAATGATTACCAGGATTCGTCGACAAGAGCCAGTATTCGCTGATGCAGATCCTGATGCTTATGTGCAAGCAGTGCTTTCCGTGTTACCGCAGTTGATGATGGAACATACTAACATCCGAGCTCTGGAAGCTTTGATTACCCTCGTAAGTCAATACTCTGCCAAGTTGTTCCATCCCCGCGTTTGATTGTCAAAGGCACTCTATATCGCCCCTTTGGGTCAACCGCAGACAGCAGAAATACTACTCGCTATGGCCGTCCGGATCCTCTTCAATTTGGGGGCACACAAAGCTAGAGTGACTTATGAAGATACCGCCCAGAAGCATCAGCATCAGCATTTGCGGGCTTTGTTCTGGACCTTTTACGCCGTGGACAAAGAAATGTCGCTTCGAAAATGTCAACCTCCGATGATCAATGACGCTGACTGCGACTTGACTCTACCCGATAAATATGTTGCACAATCGTCCGAGCACCAGTTTTTCACGTCCGAGTTGTCACCCAAGGAACTTCTCTACCCCTCAGACCTTCGTCTGGCTATGCTCAAATCAAAGGTTTATCATTTGCTCTATTCCGAGCAAAGCCTGAGCCACTCAAGAGCGAGACGACTTCAGCTCATCCGCGAACTGGACCAGGAGTTGAATGACCTGAAATCCCATTTCCCCGACGCTTGTAAACCCGATGCCGTTGTGAGCGGAAACGTGCCAGATTACCTCATCCATGATCTCAGTTTACGGGGAGTGAATGTGCATCTCGAGTACTACCATTGTCTTTCGAAGATTCACGGTGCGAGCGCCATCGGTACCCCGATTCTGCAGAGTCTGTCTCCTCCATCTACAAGTATGGAGTTATGCTATCAGGCGGCACGATCCACTTTGATATATCTGCGTCGAATTCGCCCTTTGATCTTCCCTGAAACATTCTGGTAAGCGGCAGCATTGACCAACGGTTCGAGTAGTTCTGACGTACTGTTGCAGGATATACGCGCAAATCCTTCTGACGTCGAGTATTTCACTCTACATGCGCATACTTTCAGCTCCCAACCAGTGTGGAGTCAGTGATGATATGCAGCTCCTAGAGAGCACAATCGATGTATTTCACCAGCTGAATTGTGTCGAACCAAGCCAGCGTTTTCCGCCCTTCGTTATCATTGAAGCTTTCATCCAAAGATTGACATTGCTGGCCGAGCAATCTCTGTCGAATGCTGCAGACTAAGACGATGCCGTACATGTTGCTGAAACATTGTGTGATGGGACGTCTGACTCATCAAGGTGCAATCACCTGCACAACAGGGCGAATGTAGCATGCCTCTTGCAACCCATCCGTACAGGATACTTGGGCTATTGAATCCATACTTTGTACTCCCCGGTTTACCACGCTTTGAGTCACAATCACTGTGATCAATAACATATGCAAGGCGATCACATGATATGTGATGCATACATCGCCAGCGTGGAACGCCGTTAGGCGCTGCTGTGAGCGACGGCAATTCCTAGAAAAAGAGATGTCAAAGGGATATTGTGGTGATTGCTGTGTGGACAAACAATTTGCCTGGCGTGTATAGGGCCGAGAAGGCCGCATCTATGCTAGGGTATTCCGACATACGGCCATATAAGCGAAAAAGGCTCGAAAACCACGATGATGAAAACCTTGATGAAGGCGGGATTGCGGCAGATGAATATCGTGCTTGATGTTTTCAATGGTGGTGGGCCGCAAGGTGGTTTCGTTCGAATGCTCATTTTATAAGATTTCAACAACAATTCCAGTGAATCTTTCCCAGAACGGGATCGATTAGTCGAGTTAGGCTTTAAGGGAGGTGGCGGAACATGACATATCCCCCATAATCACTTTCTGGAAGCTCCTACGCCAAAGCACAGTCATTGCAGAATGCAAGGGATTATACATGGAAGACATCTTACTACGGTCTGGTCGGCATACCCAAAAGGTGCGTACGCTCTTTAGCTCTAGTATTGCCGCCTTATCCTCTGTACATGCAAAGAATTGTGTCGATCATGGGTTACAGAAATTGTAMTTCTAGGCTCAGGTGAAAAGAAAACTAACGAGACGCATGCAAGCCATCAAGGGTCATCAGCATGGCCCAGAAAGTTTGATTCGAACCACTCAATGGAGGGCTGCATGTTGAAGAGCTCCCACATAAGCCCATCGTCCCACATGGATGTATAACCTGGTGCCGGAACAGTAACACCTGACTCAGGGAACAAATGGTTAGATTGCAGCCTTGATAGGGAAGTGCCTGCCACTGGCGTCTGCTCTCTCCACTCATCTGTTGTCTCCGCCAGCAAGCTCCGGCCTTGATCGGTGGGAGGGGATGTCTACATTCCGCCGGGGCGCTCTTGTTGCTGGATGCTGACATTTGCGGGGCAAGGAGCACTGCTGGGCCGCTGAAGATCATGGGGGTTATTTTGGACGTGAACATCATTTGTGGCTCTGCACAAATCAATAAACTGAGAGAAGAGACTGTGCATGTTGGAGACGAAGGAATTCCGGCCTTTATGGCGGCATAGATTGGCGGTTATTTGTTGTAAGAGGTGGAAGTCGTCTGTGTTGGAGGTGGCAACAACATTGCAGAAGACCACGAAGAAGGGGGTCAGAGGATTCAACAGAACTGTCCTACTTCGTGTCAAAACTCGAACAGATAAGGTTATCAGCCGGAATGTCTACCAGAAAAGAAAGTCCTGGGAAATTCCGTTAGAATTGGAAACCTGGGTTTGTAAAGACCGCATTGCGATTAGAGCTTCGCGGGCATAAAGTAAGCAGTCCTCCCTGATGGAGTGGTCTTGCAACAACGACGAGTTTAACCTAAGGACAGTAGTAAAGGTGGTATAGTAAGTAAAGTTGACAGCGTCGCTCTCGATGGTTAACTCTGATGCACCAGTCCATGCGGGACGTGCCTTTATGCTTATCAGTATTTTCGTAAAGCAAAGGATGGTTCCGACTGGACCGTACCTGAGTTATTTCGTCCCAGATACCATGTAATTTGTCATGTAAAGACCGGATGATTTGTGATATTTCGGTCTCATTGCGCTGTTTGGCTCCAATGAGCAATGAAAGAGAAACATCCTGTATTTCAGCAAGTTTCACCAGGATCCTGACCTCCAGAGCCAGAGGATCTGAGGGACCTACAGGAACCAGCATAGCAGGATTGAGACGTAAGCCCGGCAAGGACGGGGGTCTGATAAGAAGCGAACTCAGCGTCTTATCAAGGTAGTAACACCAGTAAATGCAATGGCGCACTTCAGACGACACATCATCGTCTCCCAGCATTTCTTCTGGCCAGTTATGATAGCCTAGCCCGGTAATAACCGTTGCTGCGAAACCGGTCAATATCCAGGCTCGTGTCGAATCACCGACCAACTGGGAGAGAACGGCCTGCTTGTTTCAGCAGAAAATCATTAGAACCCGTCCTAACCTTTCAGAAGTGGGAACCAAGGACAGAAATCACGACATACCCCAGACAGCAGAGACTGCAGGGCCAGTAGGTTCGGACGGCTGACAAAATCAAGCTGCTTCATGCATCCCAAGCCAATGGAGATATATCTCTGCTGCGACTTTTCCAGAGACACTGACAAGGCTCCATGGGGACATGTTCGCAACCATCGACTTACGTAGATGGCTGCTTTAGTGACCACACAAAGCGTGTATTGAAGTGCGGTTTGTCCACTCACACTGCCGTCGAGCAGTGCCAAGGACATCTTTCTGAGAGTCGCCACAGAAATATGATCCGGCCAGTGTATGCTCCATGACTCCGAGCGCCGGGAAACGGCTGGACAAGGTTTAGCAGATACGGTGTGACGGGGCACAATGGACTTGCCATTCAGCATCAGGTAGAACAATTCCGGAGGGAGCTGACCCGGGCCACAATTATCTTCTTCCCGGCTCGGTTCACGGCTTCCAGGATCTGTCCGCTGCGAGGCATTGACGTATCTGGTCACCAGCGACAACGCTGACTGTAATATAGATCGCCTGTCAGAGGATAGATGCAAGTTGGTAGCGAGCTCTCCCCTTATTATATTTCTTGCCTCCCCTGACGGGTCAGCGTTCTCGGGACTGGAAGACACAGGCTGCTTGTCCCTGCCCTTTGCTATGTTCGTGGGCGTGTTGTCAGACGTGACAGCAGAAATACGGCTTGAGCTTTGACGCTCTACAAGTGATGAGTAGTCAAGGGCACGTTCGAGCAGCGGGCCACGCCCGGAGTACACCGGGCTTTGGAGCTGTGCTAAGTGAACTTCATCTTGGCGGTGCTCGGAACTAGCAGATCTTCTGGCAAATTGGCAATGTGTCAGTAGTGCCCGCGTCTGGTATGTTCTTGTATTCTTCGTATTCGGATGGTAGTATGGCCTCACTGGAACTCCTGATCAGGTCGATGACCACGCTTTGGACGCAAACGTACACAAGTCTTTCTGGCAGCGACGCAATGTCCGCACTGCTGTTGCCTGTCACACTTGACCTGTCAAGAAAGTGGAGATTCGTTAGGAACTTTAATTACTGCGAAGTGGCAACGCTCTGCCCCGGTATGTAAAGCAAAATACCTTCCTCCTGTAGCAAAGATCACACTAAGGTATTCGTCAGCAATTTTACTTTCGGTGACCTGTCCTGGAGATCGGACACGAAACTTACTGCTGGAAGCCTTCGAACAGGAGGAAACGGAGGCTCAGTAATCCGAGCCATGAAGGATTGGAAACGTAGTGTCCGAGTAATGCAGATGGGAGTGAACTTCCCGAGGCGCCGGATTTTCCTCAAGAGTTCACCTCTCGTAGTCATCTGATCAGTTGTATTCTCCGAGAGGTTTAAAGTACTTACCTAACCAAGTTAGTTAACTAACTAGTTAGTTAACCCACTCAACTTACTAAGCAAGCTACTCGGGGTCATGAATTTATCACTATCGTAGCATCTCAATGTTGCTGAGAGAGAAAAGTTACCAAATGGCTAAACAGCTGAGCAAGAATATGCGTTAGGTTGAGGTCTGTTACAAATCACAACTGCCTGTTTCGGCTTTGATAGTGAGGTCCGAGGTTTGTTACGCTCACGTTACACATCCGATACTCGTTTCCGTTACGGGGGAGATTGTACACATATCCGCTCCGGTCTAAATCAAATAATGGACACGACTGAAGGAATAGCGAAACTCCGAAGTGGAGTGGTATCTGGTAAAAGGAGCAGAAAGAAATAAAGAGCGACTCTTTCTTGATCATAATCCGAAACATAAAAAGTCAAAACACTAGCTCTTCTGCTTCTCAACAAACACCCTGCCTCAGACAAGACGCCATGGTTGCGAAAATAGCCATCGTTTACGTACGTGCCTTCGCAAACCCAGATCCGCAGCTGCAGTCTCAAAATCGGTGAAAGCTAAAGTGACCACTCTAGTATTCTCTGTACGGCCATATCCAGAAGCTGGCGGAGGCTGAACAGGAGGGAATCATTGCCGCTGGCGGCCAAGCGGACATCTATCAGTAACTCATGGTTCCTGTCAAACGACATCGAACATATACTGATGAGAACAAATCGCAGGATTGCAGAGACCCTTCCCCAGGATGTTTTATCCAAAATGCACGCACCATCCAAATCATTACATCCGATTATAGAACCAGACCAGTTACTCGAATACGACGGGGTCCTATTCGGAATCCCCACCAGATTCGGTAATTTCCCCGCTCAATGGAGAGCATTCTGGGACAAAACGGGTCGAATCTGGACAAACGGCGGCTACTGGGGGAAATATGCTGGTCTTTTTGTGTCGACAGGGACACAGGGCGGTGGCCAGGAATCCACGGCTATTGCGGCCATGAGCACTTTGGCTCATCATGGCTTTATCTACGTTCCTCTCGGGTACAAGACCACGTTCAGCATTCTGTCAAACACTGATCAACTACACGGGGGTTCGCCGTGGGGTGCAGGCAGCTTTGCTGTAAGTTAGAGGCTGTATAGTTGTTGTACTGGGAGTCATTGTCTCTAACCAGAATCTTCAGGGCGCTGATGGCTCTCGCCAACCGACACAGCTTGAGTTGGATATCGCTGTGGCTCAAGGGGAGGCCTTTTTTAGGGCTGTTTCTAAGGGTCAATAGAAACCAGGATGATAGGGCTGAGCACTTCAAGGGCGCCTGTACGGACTACGCGGAAAGTCAGATGCCTGTTTCAACCCGAACTGTAGAATCATTATATGTGTTATGAAACTTCAGTTCTTATTGTTTAGACGTATAAACTAGGTCAAACATAACACTGAATGTTCCATGCACATGTCCATGGCCATGTCCCAATTATGGTCTTAGCTCTGGCTGTATACCTTGATCTTCATTCCAAGACCGGCATATGTATTATATTTGTACATTGTACTCCATCATTGGCTGTAGTGAGCTACCACCATCAGAAGACATTCACCAGGGCTCAAGCTTAACGTAGATATGACGATTTCTTTGAGGGATCCTGGCACAGATAAAACTCGGACAAAATCAGTGCTTGGAGAAAACAATGTCAACATCTTCCCCAGCGACATCAACTTCAACAGCCATGCTTCCGCCATCTGCTATCTCCGTAACTTGCTTAAGTTTCCCGTCAATGTATACAGCCCACTTCCCTCCTTCGAGGTTCTCAGCGCAGGGGTACACAGTAGTCGTTTCCCCGTCCCACGTCCTAACCGTCAAGACAAGCATCTTTTCTGCCTCGTCTTAAGTCGCCCTCAAACAATCAATTCCCTGCTCCATCCCCAGCCCGTCAACTTAGGGCCTTGAGGTTAAGATAGTCCGCGTCCAAGGCTGTTCCCACATAATCTTCTGCCCATCCGTGACATTTAACCTGGCGTATGCAATCGCAGCATTACCAGTGAAAGGGTCCATGTGCGTCCAATCAGACCCCACCGGGTCTTGCATATCCTGTCGAGGATAGAAAAGCCCTCCTTTCTCCCATGTGGGTCTCAGGTATTTATCGGCGTAGTCAAGGATACCTTCTAACTCGGCCATCTTCCCAAGCTCCGAGAGCCATTGCGCGACGCAACCGAATGTAGGCGGAGTATAAGGAATAAGCGAAGGGGGTAGCAATTTAGCATCATCAATAGCCTTTTGCAACGTTTTTAGGCATTTGGTGTTGTAGCCGTGATCTCGCACAAGCGCGCGGAACGCGGTGGCAATCGCTGGGGTCCGTAGACGGATCTCGCCATCAATGTTAGTGATGTAGCCCATGGCTTGGGTGTCAAATTGGGCTTTCACAAAGTCGGAGTTCCAGGCGTTCATGTAGGCTGCAGCCCTGATATGCTGTAAGTATAGGTACCCCCGAAACCAGACAATGACTTAGGTTTCAAACATCTTACCAAGCTGTGAGACCGAGGTCCCTTGGAGGCATAGCACCGTACGTTCTGTCTGAAGGCACAGTAGAATTCTGTTTAACGAGAAGCCAGTCCACAAATAGACCATCCAGTGAAAGCATCTTTTTGTCCTCCCATGCGGCTTGGTAGTTCTGAAGGACCTCCTCCACTATAGATGTCCGGTTACGAACATCATTGTACCGCACCGCGATGATCTTTGCCACCCACCGGTCAGTATAAACTCAACAAGGTCTTCGAAATTAAGAGGAAAATACCGCACCGGAAACTGATTGCAGACGACAAATACAGCATTGGGCTCACAGCAAACACCAACCCAATTATTCCTCCTCATCTCATCCAAAATCACCTTCTGTAAGCTGCGAGTATCGTAGGAAAATGTCTCTGGACCTAGCCCCCAGAATAGCGGCTCCCACTTGAAGACAATCGAGTTTGGCCTTTCAAACTCATCATCATCAAAAAGCATCGCGTATAAACTCGTCATCAAGAGTAAATGACCACTATACATTATATTCTCTCTGATCACCGGATCAGCCCATGGCTTTCGCAACTCACGGAGATCCGGATCAGTAAGGCGCCCTGAATGGCTAGTCAAGAACCAGTACCCCCAAACCTCACGCCGAAGCATCTTATGGATGAGCMGCCGTAGGAGGGGTTTGAATACACTGCGTAAGGCAGGCATGCGATGGTAATGTGTCGCGCCCACAGCGTACGCCATTATGGCTAGCTGGTAGCGGTACGCATCATTGAACTCCTGCATCGGTTCCAAAGCACCCATATGATTCCAAGATCCGTCAGGCTGGAAGGCCAGATTGAAAATATGACGGATATGCCCGACTTGGGACTTTGAAAGTTTGGGATATTTCGAGAGGTCATGTTGCAACGACTGGTGGTTGTCGGTCATGATTGACGTTTTCTGGTTCTTGAAGGGATACAATGTCAAAGTCTCTGCTGCTAAATAACCATTTACATATATCGCTAAGAACAACTTCGTTTTTATAGTGGGTACCCCCTACTATTACCGTCGATTTGCGATCAATCATTGACAGCCGGGCCGGATGGTACTTGTTCCGAGAACACGGCAATGGGACACATGCAAGCTAGTATATATCGTCTTCTACTAGTTGGTGCTCTTGGGGATAGGATTGGTGGTTATGTCAAGGGATTGTTCCGTAGATGTCGCTTAACCAAATCATCTCTGTTCTGTTTATCGGGCCCGCCCATGGGTGCCACTGTCAACACTCCTTGCAAATTTTATGGTTACTTCTATGCTGTTATTTCTGACCCTTGCTTGTTTCTTATGTGTTTCCAAGAAGTGGCAAGGCACCTGGAGACTCCACTACAGTCTTCAATAGATTAAATGCCGGTACGCCCATTTGCACCTACCGGGTTTCTAGGCCTACAACTAAATTAAGGCATCAGAATCCGAAATCCGACATCCGAAATCCGAATCCGAGACAAATCATGGTATTTGCAAATGTGATTACAATATCAGGGCCTCGAACTGGCGAAACTGAACGATATGGAGAGAAAGCGTGGAAGAGAAAGGCCATTGCAATAGTCTTCTCGTTCTACCTATTCATTTAAGCCCGCGAAATCCTCCTAATCGTTCCCCCATCGTAAAGCTGGAATGCGAATGTACCTCCCCGTCGACGATGGATCAAATCGAACGCATCCTTTCACCCATTACTGCAAAGCCTCCTCGCTCAAGAGGCACATGTCCTAACGAAACTCCATACCTGAACGAAAATGGCCATGTCGATTTTGCACCTGGCGACATCGAGAATCCAAAGAACTGGTCGTCAGCCAGAAGATGGTACATCACCCTCGTTTCGGTTTCGATGGTCACCAATGCCACCTTCGCTTCTTCTGCACCATCAGGGTGCCTACAGGTTAGTCTCCGGCCTAGACAACTATGGCAATATCGAGTAATGGTTTATCTGTTCCAGAGCATGGCAAAAGAATTTCACGTATCGGACACGGTAGCCCAGTTGACCATCACTCTTTTTCTCGTCGGATACTGTGCTGGGCCTTTGTTCTTCGCCCCGCTTTCCGAGTTCTACGGCCGGCGATATATCTTTCTTATAAGTTTCTTCGCGTACCTGGCATTCAATGTTCTTTGCGCCCTTAGTGCGAATTTCGCTTCTCTTCTGGTCGGTCGGTTTCTCACCGGCACCTTCGTCAGTAGCGCGCTCTCCAACGCGCCGGCGGTTTTGGTGGACATATGGAGTCCGCTGGAGCGAGGTAACGCAATGGCAATCTTCTCATGTGCGACGAACGTAGGTCCAGCGCTAGGACCCGTTGTGGCAGGCTTTCTAGAACTGAAAAAGGACTGGAGATGGGCCTTTTATGTGCTCTTGTGGATGGGAGGAGGCACAGCTGTGTTTCTTCTCACGCTTCCTGAGACACAACCAAACACGATCCTGCAGGCGAAAGCAGAACGATTGCGCAAGCTCAAGATACCAGGCTTCGAAGACATCAAAGCATCTGTGGAAACAACGGACCGGTCTCTGAAAGCCATCTACAAAGTCGCGCTGTCTAGACCCTGGATTATCTTGTTCGATACGATCTCTTTTCTCATTGCCATTTACATGTGCGTTGTTTATGCACTGCTCTACATGCTATTCACAATCTACCCCGTTGTGTTCCAACAGAAGCGAGGCTGGAATTCCGGGGTCGGAGAGTTGCCCCTAATTGGAACAGCGATCGGGCCATGTCTAGGGGGTATCGTCGTCTTCCTCAAGTCCAACCAAGACCGCAAAAAGGTTCTGCAAGGTTATGAATTGCAACCCGAAGATCGATTACCACTCGCCATGATAGGCGGCACAGGGTTTGCCGTGACGATGTTCTGGTTTGCCTGGACAGGAGAGTATAACAGTGTCCATTGGATAGTACCTACAATAGCAGGCGTGTTTCTCACCGCGTCTATCATGCTCATCTTCGTGACCTGCCTGAACTATCTCACAGACACATACAAAATGTATGCGGCGAGTGCAGTAGCCGCGAATACAGTGCTGCGATCCGCTGCAGGTGCTGCAGCGCCATTGTTCACGCAAAAGATGTTTGATGCCCTTGGCGTTGGTGGAGGTGGATCACTTATCGGAGGTGTTGCTGCTTTATTAGCGGTTATCCCGTTTGCCTTCTATAAATATGGTGGTGAAATCCGTAGGAGATCCAAGTTTGCACCGACGCAGCCAAATCCCAGTACACCTGGTGAGAAGTCGGGACCGGCCGAGCCGAAGAAGAGTGAAACATGAAAGCTGAGGAAAAGGAATTGTTTGTCCTGGGTTATCACATCAACGTGTCTGCGGAGTACCAACCGAACTTCAATTCTAGCTGAAAGATCATATCCAATATAGGGTCCTTATTTCTTATTCTTGTATACCAACAGGTCAATCGTGCAACCTCCCACTTCGGCCACAAAGCCTGTATATGGCAGGGTCTTCCTCAATCCATTGCCTTTATATGCGCATTCTAAAGACCTTCCCTTTAAGCTACCCAATAGCAGACAAAGAAGTTGAACGTTACGGAATCCTAGTTCAAGAACCGCTCAATTGTCCCACAACTAAAATTGGCATATGATATTAAATCTATTGTGGTTGACGGTACTTGCAAAACATTGAAATCCGATACCCGATATTTCAAAAGCGGCCGTAATGAACTTGCTTCCGGCCCTTTCCGCGCTGGAACCCTAAAACACGAGCAGGAATTGACCGCATGTCCTATCTCTGAAACATTAGTCCTGCCAGTACTACAATAGAAAGAGCCCTTCCAAGTGTCGACTATAAAACCCCTCGCTATGTACCCAACACCCGGAAGCTACGACGACTCATCACGACTCGTATCTCAACCTTGAGCCTACGCTCGGATCAATCGACTGGGACTCCATACGTGACTCAAAATGCAGTCGTCATCAAATAAACCGTTGAATGTGGCGATAATTGGTGCCGGTCTCGGAGGCCTCTCCGCTGCCATTGCCCTCCGTCGGCAAGGGCATCAGGTCACCGTGTACGAGCGGTATGACTTTGCTGGCGAAGTCGGGGCATCCCTTGGCGTGACGCCCAATTGCATCAAGTTGCTAGAGCAATGGGGTGTGGACATCCCAGCGGCGAAGCCTGTTAGTATTATGCACATGAAGCACTTTACATCAAATGGGCTACTGACGGCAGTAAACAAGGTTGACTACAGCAAATTCATTGTGCACAACTGGGAGACCGGAGAGATCAAGATAACAGCTGACTGGAGCGACTACAAGTCGAGATTTGGAAGGGTAGGCAGACATTCCTAACCAGCTAAGTAAGCCTATTAATAGGGATGTCCCCGTGAACTGACCCTCACACAGGCCTACAAATGCTTCCACCGTATCGATCTCCATCGGCAACTTCAGATATCAGCCTTCGAAAAGGCAGGAGAGGGACCAGCCTGCATATTAAAAGTCAATCACAAAGCCGTTGAAATGGATCCTGAAGCCGGCATCATCAAGTTCGAAAACGCGGAGACTGTAACTGCTGACCTCATCGTCGCGGCCGACGGTATCAGGGTAAGCAATCTAAACATTACTAAACAGATTTAATTGCATGAAGAACATAGAATTGCGCGGGTATGCTGGACTGACATTTTCCCCTTCCAGTCCCAAAGCCGCATATCGATGGGGATCGCGCCCAAATTCCAAATGTCCTCATCATGCTGCTACCGTAGCATCGTCCGAGCGAACACAGTCCGCTCATTAGGCCTCTATGAGTTCCTCGATAATTACGCCCTCGAATACTGGGGAGGCCACGGCATCAACAAGATTGTCATGTCGCCGTGCAGTGACGGCGAGACCCTTGGGTTTTACTGCTTCTACCCTACTACACACAACGATTTACGCGAAGACGGATGGAACATCAGCGCCACCCCAGAGCAGCTGACTGACACATTCCCCACTCTAGACCCAAGGGTGAAGACTTTGATGCTTCACGCGGAGGACATTAAAATGTGGCGATGTAGGTGCTACTGCTCACAATACACCTAGCTCCGTGCTGCACTCGCTGAATGCTAAGTTGATACTTACTAGTATATGTTCATGAACCATATCCGTACTGGGCCAAAGGAAAGGCCTGTCTTCTAGGTGACGCAGGTGGGTGTCAAACGTTGAGTCTAGACATCAAACCAGTCAGACTGATTCCAGAACAGCTCATCCAATGATGCCTGATCAAGCCCAGGGGTCTTGCATGGCTATTGAGGATGCTGCGGCACTTGGTCATATCTTCCAGAAAGGCACTTGTTCCGCACACAGTGTCGGMAATAGACTGGCAATCTATGAAAAGTTGCGCATGCCTCGCGCAACTCGCGTGCAAGCTGCTAGTCTCCGAGCTCGCCTAAATGTGAATGAACGTGTCGGGTTAGGCGTTGCAGAGGAGGGAATAACCATGGAGGAGATTTGTACATATGATATGAGGGATCACTTAAAGGAGATCCTAAAGGGATGAACATATTCCCAACTTGGCGTGAACTCTAATCATCGCATGCATCCATGGATTCTATCCCTACTTCGCCCTGCATTGGACCAAAGAATCAGTAAATAGCGTGAGAAGTCCGATTCCCTTATTCCTCCTTTGTTATTCTCGTCTCTTCACTTGCTTTGAATAAGACTGGCGTTGAGGCAATCGACAATGCTGATCTTACCGCCTCTGTGGGGGCATCTGGAGATGTTTTGCGACCTTGACAAGAAGCTGGCTGCTTGGCGAGAAATGGTTATGGAGACCAGGAGAAACGCAAATAACCAAAGCACACACTAGTTCAGGTTGTGGGGAGACAGCATGTTTTGCTCAACGTACGAGGGCCCAGTCAGAGGCGTAAAGGGGAGAAATCAATATTCATCAACTCTCCTTACATCCATGATATCACTGAGAATCTATGCTTAGCGAATATTCACTGCTCCGCTAGCCGACCCAAAACAACCAACCTTTGTACAGCAGGATTAAATTCTCTTACTCATCATACCAGAGAACGCATTTGCCATGTTGCCCAATCAATTTCTACATGGATTGATTCTCATTTCTCCCACTGTATGCTATGTAGAAATAGTAGGAAAATGGGCACTAAAGCCCTATGACATAAACATCATATGCGCATTATGTTTTCCACACTTCAATCCCTGAAGTTCACCCCATACGCCGCATCTTCTCATCTCCTTGCTACTGCTCTGTGTTCTTTATTGACGATATTGTATATATATGTGCATTAGGGCTGAGCAGAAGGGAAGTCCGATACTTCTTCACCACTGCCCAAGACGAAGGCTAAGGCTCATTGACCGAGCCATCCTCTGGGGTGTATTTGTTTAGTATTGAATGTTGCCTGATCGGGTACTTCATGCAGTACAGGGGCGATTTGCATTCTTCACAGAATTCTTCAAACAATAGAATGATTTATCCCGAGAACATCTAACTCTTTAGCAATGGCGTCTCGTGTCCTGGCATCCTTCATGACTTGATTGCCGGACGCAATCAACCCGTAATGAATATGCGGTCCTTCATCTGCTCGTGATGCCCGCTGCACCAACTGGCTCTTGTCGCAGGATGAACAGTCTTCACTGCTGCTCTGATGGTCATATGTCGAGTGGAAAAGCCAGTCATTAGCTGGTCGGGCAAAGGGCCCCTTCATTGTCCGATTGCTCTGCAGGTACTCAGATCCAATCCTTCCAATCTGCGTACTAGGTAGCATAGAATCGCAGCCCATCTGGGATAAAGCAGTCAACAGAATCTGCCGGAGCTTGTTGAGCGAACCCTTGCGCTGGAAGGAGCCCTCGACACATGCCTTCCCAAAGTCGTATTGAATCACACCGCCAGAAGTCGCATTTGGCACACAGACTACCACATCGCCGAGACGAATGTCAACGGTTTTGTTAGGTACACCCCCTCCAATACCAACCATCAACCCGAATCGAATGGAGCAGAATGTTTGTCGCATCTGAGTTACCACAGATGTGGCAGAAGTTGTTCCATAAACACCATATGGCAGACAGGTGATCACTACGTTCTTGCCGCTCATGCTACCAAGTGTGTAAGTATTGTAATGAGTTGGTGGTTGAGGAAGCGGATTGTGGGTTTCGTCGAGCATAATCTTAGCAGCGGCCATTTCCAATGGTAGGGCGCATATCCACGCGACCGTATAATCGCGGTGCCTTAGACTTGGGGCCGTCATTCTTGCACATTGGCTAGAGATAATGCAGCGCACAAACCGAGTAATCTAGTGACAAGTACCCCTTTGGTCACAGATTCTTTAAAGAAGATCTGGTAGTTGCTACACCGTCAGACACCAGGGGAAGGAGGGGTAATCAGCCACGTGAGGCTGGACAGGCAAGGCTGGATGTTACTATGTAGTATAGTCGGACCTTTGAAACTAATTCTACTCCAAAACTGCTGTTTTTGCTGACGCAGTGAGAGGGGTGGAGAGACATGAATATCATGAAGTGTTTGGAGGTAGTACAGAGGAATGGCTCCATTAGATCACTATTGCGTGCAGTCGTTAACACCCAGTCTCCATGGTTTCTTTGATGGTTGAGGGCTGATTACCTTAGTCATGTGCTGGAGTGCAAGCACCTCACCTTGTCAGACAGCTTGACCACTCGCTCCTATAGTGTACTTGATATTGAGCAAAGACTATCTATGTAAAAGGAGCGTCTTCGCTAGAGTGTGTTTTGGATCATACCAAGCATGCTTGGGACTTTCCATCAAAAGCCTGACCTTCTGTGTGAGCAGTAACCAGCCTTCATGAGTAAAGACTTGACACTGTATCATCTGATACTACTGGGCCGTAGTGAGTTTACGTCATCTCCATTGATCATTGATGGGCTGTTGAGCTGGAGCATTGTGCCAACTATACTCTGCAGCATGAAGTCTAAGTTAAAGCGTTGGTCCGAGGCGCAACCTCACATGGCGAGCAATGACGATGACAAGCAGCGTCTAGGTAGAATCAGGCGAGTAAATACCAATCACCGTCTCATTGGCTGTGCGTTGGGCTACTTTTGAATCTTCACCGAAGATTGCAACAAAGGTTCAGTGGATCAACTGAATAATATGATTGGATTGAGACTCCAGGAACGCTTGATGTCAAGACCGGAATGCTGGTAGGCCAGAGCCAATATTATTTTAATTTATCTTTGCTTTTCAAATAATTTCCCCCAAGGTCTGGGAAGGGTACAACAGGATCTCAAATTAAAATTCTTTTCTAAAGGGAAAAAAATGTACAGAAAATAATAATAGCAAAGGCGAATTAACAATACTTAAAAGCAAAGAGGAAAAATAGAATGAAATAAGATAATATGATATAATAATATGACTAGAAAAGAACAGAATATTGATACAGGAAGTCAGATCATTAGGGGTGTTAGCTGCTTTACCCCCGTTCCCTTGTGTATCTTGAGTCTAAGCTCATGTGCAGTTGGGCTGTACATGCCAGTGGGTCACTAGAACAGTTGGAACCAGTCAAAATCACCGCTTGTACACATCCACCAATTAGGTCGCATAGGTGTCTGCCTGGTGAAAAGAGTGGGGCACGCTCTGACAGTACAAACGATAAGATTTCTGACCACTCGCTGGTCCAAAGCATCACCGCCTCCGAACAGCCGCTAAACTAAACACGAAGCTACCAGGGAGACATTCCGGCGATGCCCTTCCTCTAGAGTTCTTGCGACTCACTCAGATGGACCTTATGTTATAAAGGTGCAACCTCTCAAACTATGAAGATGTAAATAATTTCAGCACTCATTCACCCACCCTTCAAGTTTATGATTTCTTCCTTTCCAGATGGCGTTGTCACCAGAAGCCATCATTGCTATGATAGCTCTTTTTATTGCTTGTGTTCCGGGGTTACAATCCATCATCAGCTATTGCCAGACAAATATCAGATGGCAACATAGAATCCAAAACACAAGTCCCTCACAGCCTACAACATCCCATCCTATTGTCCAGCCTCCTGAGCTACTCCGGGCCTCTAATTTAATCTCCGATATAGGTAGATGCTCTTATTTCATCTACCCTGATTTCTTCCTTCTGACCTTAATCTACTCTGCAGATCAAGCTCATAGACGCTCTCCCCAGATTGGTGCTCCACCGTCTAGAGCCTATCCGTTGGGTCGGGCGAGACGGGCCTCCCGCCGTCCAGAACCCCACCTCCTCCATCAGCCATTTTATTTTGTCGAGTCCTTGTCTGTTTGGCTAAGGAGACCTGACACTGCAATACAACCAGCTCAGCTTGAAGCTGGCTTTTGTTGGGTCCGCGGTGTGAGTTACTCAGATACAACCATGATTTTGATTCTTTACTAACTCCTGAAATCCTGTTGGTTTCTAGGACCTTAACACGGTCAATCTCGACAATCAGCGCCTGATCAATCCGGATGCTAATAGTATTGACGAACCTTAGCGACTGGAATGCAGGTAATCATGGCTTCATGGATGGAGTCGGGTTTACAATGGAGCATACTGCAAGCGTTATGGCAAGCGATCGAATCACAAGTCCTGGACGACGAATGATCACAGATACTTATGATGCGGCATGTCCTCTTGATTTGTTTGGGTTATAGATTTAGATAGCTTTGTTTTTATTTTCATTAGCTATTTTTCGGATTCTTCTTCGTTTTTGTGTGATTATATGGAGGTTGTGATGTTTGTCCTTCAGCACAGCAGGCTTTCAGGTGATTGGCGGGAAAGGGTTGCTTTGTATTCGTATAGCAACCCGAAAATGTTCCGTCCATGATAACTAAGGTAGTCCAACAGAGTATACTTGGGGCGAAGGATGGAGCTCTCCTCCTTTGCAGTGTTTGCTTGTGTTATATTACCGCTCAGGGACAGTCTAGATACTCCGTACTAGGTACTCAAATGGAGATACGTCGGAACGGGCGCCGCGGCCCACGGGGTTATGTGGGGTTGCAGAACAGCTATACGCAATTTACTTCATGGAAAAGCCTTCCACCGGCGTAAAACTCAATTTGTATGACCACTGTGAAACTGGATCTGTTTTGAGATTGGGGAAGTAAGTAACGATGTATCCTAACGTTACCAGTCCCTTAGGTATTGAGATGAGGGGTCATCAAGTGACTGGCAATGTTAGAGAGCAAGCCATAGCCTATCTCTCACATAACTCCAATCCATTTGACCAGTAAATGGCAGTCAGTAATAGCCGAATAAACTCAATTGCTATGCAATTATTCATTTAGCAGAGAAACCTGAAAATATATATATAGGCAACGCTAGGTCATCATCTCCCCGGATAAAGTACATTCTGTACGCATTGCAATACTGTTCCCGCAATATAGTCATGAAACTCTCGATTATCCGTGCCGCAGCACAGTCTGTGCTGTGCCTTCTCCCATGCTCTGCTCTTGCTACTCGATTAGAGCGGTCCACTGCCTCTAAACCTGCATTCTTTCTTGCTGGAGACTCAACTACAGCAATAAATGGAGGCAAGTGTTTTGATCGTCGTTTTGGAATGATTGTCCAGATGAAGAAGAATACTGATGGTGATATTATTCTCAGGCTGGGGAGATGGGTTCCTATCCACCTTGGTCAACGGGTCAATTGGCACCAATTTTGCCCACAGCGGTGCTACAACCGCCTCCTTTGTCGCCGATGGACACTGGGCAAAGGTTCTAGACGCTGTCAAGGGAAATAAATCGCTGTACCATCCCTATGTCACAATCCAGGTAAATTTCCAGCTGACTATGCTTCGAAATCTTATATATGCTTATGATACTAGTTTGGACACAATGACCAGAAGTCAACGTCTGGAGTCTCCATCTCGCAGTTTACGGCAAACCTTGAGAAAATGGTAGCCGATGTCCGGTCCGCAGGGGGTTCCCCAGTAAGTCACAAATCCGCGTACCTGTGCGATTCCTACTAACATAAAACCCAAGCTTCTGGTGACGTCTCTGAGCCGTCGAAGCTTCGACTCTTCTGGCCATGTGATTCCCTGAGGGAATCGCTGGCGAACGTCGTTGCTGCAACCAAGGCCGCCGCAAAGGCTACAAACAGCGAATATGTGGATCTGAACAAAGCATCAACCGATTATCTGAACAGCATCGGCGCAGAAAAAGCAGCAACGTACAATCTCTCGCCCACGGATCATACGCATCTGAATAATCATGGAATGATTCTCTTTGGTAATATGATGGGTTGGCTCTTGCAGACCACTATTGCCGACAGCTCCAAGATTGCGCCTTATATCCACCCGCGGAGTGACGTGGTAGCGGCTATTGAAGCTGGCAAATACATATATCCTTCCTGAATGACGCAGGCGATTGAAAGCATGGTTAGCGTTGTTAGTGACAAGGCTGCCGAGGGGCCTAGCTCTGCTTAGAATGTTACAAGTTTGATGCTCCATGGGGGAATTGGAAGACATGATGTGTGGTTTGCCTTACATTATTCCCATACCCGGAGATACTCGACTTGTTTTCTTACTAGTAACTGCGTTATACGCCCTGAATCTGACGCTCTTCCATACGGGTTGGTTAGCAAAGCTCTGGCTAGTCTTAGCAAGAGGAATATCATTTCACTATCTGAGCCTAGTAATTATTGACTTACATTTCTCTTTTCTGCAAATATAATGTTTCTGGAATTTATCCTCGATGGAAATGGGCACAATGAACAAGCTACGTGCACCTCAGGCTCAGTTTGGGGTATAGAAAGTAGCCGAATGGTATTTCTGTGACAACTACTCAGTAGCTGCTAAGGCAAGCCCTCGTTAAGAACTCACTCATTGACGAGCTTAAAATGTTCCTCTTTGTCGGCCCTGGAGCACTAGGCCTACCAGAATCGGCAGGTTGTATTCAGGCATCAAGGAAAGATCACCAGACACAATCGCCGCAGGATGTGTCTCTCCGGATTAGTGGGATTTAGTCTCGCCCATCGGGACTCCGATAGTTGGTTGCGCTCCTGAAGTACGAGGCTTCAGGGCCCCATTGGTGGCCTTAATCCCCGGCCGCTGCCGAAGAAAGACAATTCCAGGAAACACTCTATTATAGTTACTCAAGACCCCTGTCTGTGGATGCAAATCCACCCCGCATCCAGTAAATGCGATCAATGCCCTTTATGTTGGATTCAGCCTGTAACACTTCACTAGTAGAGTTCCGGATATATGGAACATCTCGAGAGTGGTACCGGAATGAATATCGCCCGTTCGTCTCATATAAACGCGAGTAGGTCTTTTGTGCTGCCCTTCTTTACCCATCTCTTGGAGCACCTTTCCGGTCCAGTTTCCGATACGTCTTTCACTTCCTGATATACTTTGGCCAATCTGCAAGTTCTCGCAACAAAATAGTCACCACAGGGATGTTAGTCTGCAAATTGGGTTTTGTACTCGTCACTTCTTGCCTTGCCGTAGCGACAACCTGGATAGTCCCAGGTGCAGTATGGAAAGACACCAAGGGCCAGAAGATCGATGCCCACGGTGGCGGCATTTACAAACAGGGAAACACATTCTACTGGGTTGGCCAAAGTGCTAGCACGGGTAATTCACCCCCAGTTTAATCGCTGCTCAAGCAGCAGCTGGAATCCTAGCTCATATTTATCACTCTTAGGTGAAACGCCCTACATGTACTCATCCACTGATCTCCTCAACTGGGTTCCGCTCGGTGCGCAGGCCCAAATCCAAGGCATGTGGCGTCCAAAGATCGCCAGGCCTAATGGGAAATACTGGGTACACATTTACTCCACCTGGCCATTTTCTCCGGTTATTAATAACTAATGACCTTGCCCAGATATACGGTCAGGTGAACCGCCTTGTTCAACCTTTGGAGTCGTCTACATTGGTTGGAGGTTATCAGGCCCACGGCTCTGGAGAACATCTTCCACCCAATGGATACACCTACTCGGACACTGGCATGTTCCAGGATCCCAATGACGGTACGCGATAATCCCAGTGCTTAGCCTGTGAATAATCTGACCCTGTCTAGGGACCTGGTACCTCTTAACCAGTGCAGACCATAACAACCTCCAGATTAACCGAATCAACTCAGACGGTTCGGTTGGCAACCGGGTGAATGTGCTAGGTTCGTACCGTAGCTTTATTTCTGCGCATTCTGCCACTTGATTGACTAACTATTGTGGAACTCAGCGACCGGAGCATATGAGGCTCCAGGCATGTTTTATGCTGGCGGCACCTATTTCCTGATTGTCTCTGGCAAAACAGGTTGGAGAGGCAATCCCAATCAGATGTTCTACAGTGACAGTATTTCGGGGTCATGGCACGGGCCCTATCCCATTGCTCCTAGTTCTAGCAATACATACGGCTCACAGAACACCTTTGAACTTGCCATCAAAGGAACAAAGAGGACAACTTATATCTACATGGGTGACCTTTGGGACTCCAAGGGTGGACCTAGCTCCAACTACCTCTGGCTTCCAATGTCGGTTGACACAGGGTTGGTGCTCTTTGTTCACAATTACTGAAGAGTTACATGTTAACTAACATCCACATCAGTGCTAAAACTGTGACTTTGGATTATCACTCTATGTGGGCTGTGGATGTGAACACCGGGGAGGTCTCCTTTCCCGCGTCTAAAAAGCGATATGAAGCCGAGGATGCTATCCTTTCCGGCCGTGCTGGTGAGTCGTTTCCGTATCGAAATGCTATTGCCATTCTGTCTAATTTGTATGGTAGCTGTGACTGCGTGCGATCAGTGCCCGACCAAGCGGTCCGTCCACAGAAGTATGCATACGACTATCCCCGCAGTAACAAAACGGAAAAGTTAACTAAAGCCTGCTCATTCAGTTGATCATGAGAGTGAGGTCATATTTGAGAACGTTACAGGGACCGGGCAGCCTGAATGGGTATCCTTCCATTATACCGTAAATAATCCTACGGGTACGTCCTCCTGCTGAATCCGCCTCATGCGTCGACATACTGACATGCCGTGTGCTCTCTGTTAGCGGGTGATGCGCATATATATGTGAATGACCAACCAGTTCCATTGAATATATCAGAGCTGAATTCGCGGGCTGGGTATCATCACACTGTCCCGGTCCAACTTACCCTCAAGCCTGGTGATACCAATACCATCAGGTTTGCCGCTATGGGCACTTCGGGTAAGTATGCATTTGAAGCGGTAAGTTCAACGGATAAGCTAACGTCAACTACAGATTTCGAAGTATTCTTGGACGGAATAGAGCTGCTTGAGTAGCCCTTCGGACGAGGACGATGACGCTGGGCTTGCTCTCAGGCCCGGGTTGCTGCTGGCTAGGTAGAGGGAAGTATATTATTTGTCACAACACTCATGCCCTTCGCTGTTTTTCGCAGCTAATAAGACAAAAGTGGCCCTCTGCCACATGATAGTAAAATATAACTGGAAACTAGCTCCCGAGACAGATATCTCACCAGACATGAAAGTGATGATTGCCAAGGTCCAGCCCTGTGGCGTGTATCTTGATTAGAAAATGAGGTGAAAACGGAGATCGATTTGGTTTGGATTCATTGTAGTCAGGTAAAAGCAGCGTAGACGATGGTTTCCATAGGGATGTATTCTAGCAAGACTGTCATATTATTTAATTTTTCATGAAATGTTATCTCATCTATAGGCACGTCTTTTCCTTCAGTTCCCTCGTCGGACACCAGTTGGGTGTTCAATGTAAGCAAACATCTAGCACGGTTCAATATCACAGTCATCCCGATCCCAGCGGGGAATTTTCATGAATCAGACCCACAGCCTTTCTGTCACTTAATTCTTAATTAACTCTTTAGCTTGGAGAAATTAGGTGAATCACTCCCACCGAACGCAAAAGAGCATATCCACCACAAGACATCCCAATTCTTGTCAAGACGTCAGATTAGATACGGAGAGCTTGAGATTGGAAATCACAGAGTTTTCTGACAGAAACTATATTTGTAGACACTTAGCCAGTGCCCTCCATTTTGTCCTTAACGAACTTTGCTTCCAGGATCCCAATCTCAATCACTGTTTAACAATGCAGCTCATTTAAAACTCGCTCAGTGCGTTGAAAACCATCGGAGGCTTTAATTTGGTCAGTTTACCTTTATCTATCCCATACCCAGTAGGTTTTCAAGCACGAGGTCCTCTGGATCACTTTGAATAGCATGAATCAGCGGGAGTGAATATTTCCCTTCATCCAAGTCCTCACAAAAGCTCTTTATTTAGGTATACTAGAGGTTCGATTAGCATATTGACTACTTCTCTGACCTGGATAACGGGTTCAACAGGCCAAGGACTGTGCTTACATCCGTGTCAACTAGATTCATGTAGTCATCACGTATCTGGAAGTACTGCCCCCGGAGCATTACAGTCCTACTAATGGATGCGGTAGCATCCTCCGCCAGAGACATTTGTGCATTGACGGTAAGGAGATGGAACGCAAATCCGAATAGAGCTCCCGTCTATATAACAGTCACGATATATTTAACCTGAATCAAAGTAGGCACAGAATGGCAAACTATCGTTAATCATTTAAGTGCAATCCTGAGTCGAAAGACATATAGCATTAAAGGACGAATAGAGGTCCATCACCTGACCCCAGAACAGAGTCATTATCATCTCTGTGGGAATATCAGATATTCCCTCGCAAACTGAAGAGCTTTTGTATGTCACCATTAATCTTGTGAAACATACAGGATCTGAACAATTCTGGATCTTTGACATGGTTTTAACAATGACATACGTTGCTGAATTGATCGATTGTGCTGGGCTGAAAACCGTGTGTGTAGACAGCTTGCCTTAATGTAAAGGGGAGTCATCGATTCTATTGCTAGGTTGAGAATTTGAAATTTTCATGAATGACGCGGAAAAATGCATATGAGTGAAGAATTATGAAGCATGGTGGTGACTTCATTAAAACAGTGAAACTTGACTGGGTGCAGGAATTTTGCGCAAAATTGCTGTTAATGCTAATGCTGCACCAGATTAGCCGGCAATACCTGCACCGCGCACTCAAATCCAGGTAGCCCGGTTTGGGTTGTACTTATACAGGCTTGGACCATTCGTGCAAACTTGTAGATGACGGACCTAATATAGGGTAGGTAGATTTTTTGCAGCGTTTGGCAACTGTGAGCAAAGGTCGAAATCAAAAGAATGGAAGGAACAGAGTCTCTTACTTCAGCCGCAAGGGGACTGATCAGACAGTTGTATGCATGCAATGATGGCTATTATGGCTTTAGCACGACAAGCTGTCAGGCCTACGATACGGCTTGGGTAGCTATGATTGCGAAAACAACAGGGAACACGAAAGAATGGCTATTCCCAGAAAGCTTTTACTATTTGTTGAAAACGCAATCAGATGATGGAAGTTGGGGCACACACGCAGTGACGAAAACAGCTGGTATCTTGGATACCGCCACCGCTCTACTACCTGCAGCACGTTGCCAAGGCTGGCGCTGGCCATGGCGATGGCGGAATTCCTGGTACCTTCGCGACTACATATTTTGAGTATAGCTAGGTGAGCAAGTCTTGTCATATCCATATATACGGTTAATACTGAAAGAAAAATAGACCGTTTCCACGCTTCTCCGGAGTGGCTCTGCGAAATCAGACCTTGAATGCCCAGAGATACAAGGAATAGCCAATGTACTCATCCAAGCCTTCCAAGATGAGCACGGATTTGCTGCATGTTAAACTTCCCGTCTTATAGTTCGTACCGTACTTCACCCCATCCTGGTGTAATGACGTTGGGTAGACAGGTAGACGAGAGCACTACGCTAGGGTACTCTTTCCTTAGTTCTAAGCTGACATCAATCATAGCTCGGTCGACGGGGCTGTCAAACTTGACCCCGTTGACCCTTGTCGTCATGTACCCTCCGGCTTTCATGGTCATCTATAAATGATCAAACGACGAAGACATGCAAACTGACGTGGCAGTGAGATCCATCTTTCTTGCTTTTTTCGTTTCTGGGAATAGGGCATGTTCGCTGGGTGTTTAAGCCATTGTGAAACAGGTTGAAAGCATGCAAACTTAGATCCAAACTCCATACTTCCATGTTATTTAGATGCCTAATGCACCTGTGGACGCGAACTCAATTTAATGCAACTTGTCTGTATGTGTGCAAGTGTAATTTGGAATACAGATCCTTGCGGGTACGAATTGGGAAGGTGGTACAGAGAGTCACCCGTCCGTATGGCAATTATCTAGCAAAACCTTGCATTGATGCTACAGTGGGATGCTGCCGTCCGTGGTCTACTACTTGCGACAGCGCGCACCCAGAGCTTACCTTGTTTCTATCCTCTTACCGCAGTCTCCTACTTGTTGGTTTCTCTTATCGCATGGTGGATCAATGCTTATGATAAAGCTCCTCAGCCTTTGAATCATTACATGCCCTACAGCTACGTCGCTGGACGGATCAAGTTACAACTATATTACTGCGGGAGAATATCTCCAGCAAGTCACAGGAGCAAATACCTTATTAACATCTTACTATTTTTCAGCCTTTGGCCTGCAACTGTGGCTAGTCCAAGCCCCTGGTTGGCGAACTATAGGCAAGGCTGTGCTGTTTGCGTAACAATCAACGCGTCCCCTCTGGTGAAAGCTTTCAAATCTCAGCCATAAGTCATCCAGTCTTAGAACGCCGTTGCAATATCATAAAAGCAAATCTTTCTATGACCTGCCCATCTCGGAATTCTTAGATAACTATGACAATAACTCAAATTCTGGCCAGGAGCCAATCTGACTTCGCTTATCACCGTTATTTATGACCTGATTGGAGGCTATAGACATTTATGACATTGTTACTCTGAATAGTTAACTGACTAAACAAAAGGTCACTCAAGCACATTCTTAAACGTTATGGGTGGCTGACTATAGATAGCGAGGCTGCAAAAGCCTATGAGATGACAAAGCTGCAGTCATCAAAAATCCGCCGCTTCCTGTGCGGCTCAACCTCCTACAAAACGCCCCAACCCCTCCAAATCTTGGAAACAGGAAATAATATTTCCTCAATCCATAGCAATGATTGCAGTGCAATTCCCTAGAAAGTCTACGCAAATTAAAATTTTCTCTTCATACAGTGAATGTGTTGATCCGCAATGTCCTCGATTCTCACCAGTTGCTCATACATGCTCTCTTCGGACGTGCTCTCTGGCAAAGTCCTACCACCACCTTTACTGCCAAATCCCGATATATCTGGTGTGGGAGTGAGCACAGTCAAAATCAGAAGGATTTATTTGTTTTACTTATTCGCCCCATAGGTCATTACCGGATTTGTTGGCAGTGCATACATTACCTTTATCCTGTTCTTGATCTGCTACTTCTTCTCAGATGCTGCCAGGATAGGTCACTTAAAGATAGCAAGGAGCTACAGAATCGGATCGACCGAGGTGTACTGGACTGGATATGGAAGAGATTAAGAAAGAGGCCGTCTGCAATATAGGGTGCTGCGCTTAGAACAGTATGTAGATGCAGGGCCCTGCTAAAGAAACTAGCTGACTATCACTGGGAACAACTCAAGTACATTTTGATGATAAGTGATTCACAGATAGTGACAGGCATAGCAATTCTTGCGAGTGGTTACTCTTAGCTATCATACAGCCTGTCAATCTATCACTAGCATATTCTCGTCTGCATTGCCTGGTTTGCAGCTGTGACTCACTTATCCACACAGACATTTGTCCAAAGATACCTACATGAAAGCAATACAATCCGAATACTACGAGTGTCATGCATAATTATAATACAGATAATGCTCGCGATAGCGATTGTTCTGACATGGTCGCTGCTCGGGAGGCCCCAGTTTTCCTGTCCAATGCCGTTTTAAAGAACTTACAGGACCGCCACGACCCTTAGGAGATGTTGATTCTTCTGCCATGCTAGCCTCCGAAGTCCGTAAGCGTCACTTTGGATTTGCATCAAACTTTCCCCAGGCGTGCTTAAGTTCTTGAAACAGAAACCTGCTTTGCTTGCCAAGAGCATTGCTTAAGATTCTGTTTTGGATTGCTACTTGGGCCCCATTATGTGCATTGCTTGCATGTGCAGTTGTTAGTACTACTGGAAGAGGCGCCTTGATTTTCTCTTCTATTTCAGATTGTGGCAATGGCAAAAATTATCTTCAAGCTATTAGGAACTTGTATGGCTGAGTGAATCCTAATTTACATAGGATTGGCCAAGGAGCTCAGGGATGACTTATGTTTGTATGGCTTATTGTCTCCTTTCATTGGTTTATATGGTCTCCTTCAACAACTTGTATATTGATCAACAGAACTGTCCTAGTTAAACTCATTTATTCTCCCCTCATCAAAAGATCACGCGTGCTGTCTCTTGAAAGACATATATCTACATTTACTTGCTCTCTGGCAAGGAGGATTCTTCCCTCTTGCTCAGTTGAAATTTTGGTGGCGTACTGATGGGTTGAATTGCTTCGGTCAAAACGCGCCGCTCGCTTGCTGGTTACATTAAGGCAATGCAAATAGTTACTACTGGGATGCACCCGGCTTATGTGAGCATTTTCCAAATACGGAAAATCGTGGCTATGCGCTGATGACGGAACACTCGGCGTAGTTCACTCAATCTTTCAATCAAGGCAACTGGTGGATCACACATCAATGCGTGAGAACCAACTGGGGGTGAAGTACGCCCGCTCATCTTTCAGAATATCCCCTCGAAATTCGCTCCCTACCGCCACGTTGCATTCTGTAACCTTCTCAACTAGTCGGCCATTGAGCGTGACTTTCCATTGAGTGAGATAATGAACACAGATTATTAGCTGTTCAAAACTTATATTTATTTATGATGCCTTTTCCTTTCTTAATCTAACTATAGTTAGACTTAGTATTATCTTATCATAGATCTCATAAACTAACAATCTCATAATCTAGCTAACTTAGTTAAAATAGTTAATATTCCTAAAACCCACTAGATACACTGCAAGTCTAAGAAGTGCTAAAGTATATCTAGTATAAGATTACCTAGCATAAGTCTAGCATAGCCTCCCTGCTAGTTATTGCCTAGGATCAGATCCGAAACACTCGCACCATGAAAGGCTGCCGTGAAAGAGTTCGCTGCGAGAGAGCCGTTCTCATAAGGCCCTTCACCCCGAATTTTCCGCGACAGATTCATCCCACTAGCGCTACTAACAGTAAATCCCACGCCAGCACCCGCCAGAGGAATGAGTCCAGTCACTGCTCCGGCAACCGTCAAGCCCACTCCAGCTAAGACTCCCAGAAAGGGAAGTATATTTCGCTTTACCACCTCCCTCTTTCTCAGCCTAAGGACGCTTTCCGATGTCTTCGACATGTCCTCTTCATTCGCATGTTGAAACTCATCCAACTGCTCGTTAAGGAGCAGTTCTTCCTCGTCAATATGTTGATATTCCATGTCTATGCTCTCCCTCCTACGACGACCGGTGCGTGCCTCTTGGTCAAGCTTCGCTCGCTTGATCTCCCAGTGATAACGTTCCTCTTCGAGCAACTCCTCGTTGCTCTTCATTTCATCCTGCAGCCGCTGATATTTCCGCCTCTCTTCTTTGAGCTCGGCTGCGAGGTTTTGTTGGTTATCACGCGTTTTCGAAAGAACTTCACCGTAAGCATTTTCTCTTTCGTTAAACAGGCCCTGGATCGATACGCCTAGCTCCTTTTGCGCACGCCTCATATTCTCGATTTCTCTTCTGAGCTCTGAAAAACAACTTTTTATCTCAGACGGACAGTCTTGCGCCTCGGATTGAAGTGATCGTAGTTCATCCAATAATTTATTCTCGCCCGTTACGTACTCTGCCATCAGCTCTTGTCCAGCAGTTGTCTCTTTCAGGGATTTCTTTTCGTCAACAATCTCTCTCTGAATTAAAAGGGTTTTGTAACCTTTCCTGTCGCTCAGAGTAATTAATGCATCGATTATCGAAAGGGCAGATGACTCGTCCCCACGCCATCGATTCGTTTGGCTGCCATATCGACAAAACCGACCCCAGAACTCTCTTGTGGACACCAATCGTGATTCTCGAAGTAACCCCTCACAATGCTCTGTACCTAACGAATCCCACATGGTAGTCACAAGGAACACTCGTGGAGCAGCATCTAAGCCGCACATGCATTCTAGAAGGTTGAAGTTTTTCAAAGCTGATCCTGACACTCTGTTATCTGAGATACGATGCAAGTATAGAATGCCAGCGAGCTTCATGCCTTGTCGGTAAATCTGAGATAGAATGAAAGTGATCTCTGAAAGAATTTCGAAGTCCGAACGCCAGGTATCGTTAAATCCAGGTGTGTCTACTAGATAGACAAGTCTATCTTTGAGCTCCATGCTATGAAACTCAACGCCCCTGGTATCTGTCTTCTCTATTAGCATAGCTAATGGGTGCAGGGCGTGTAATACGGACAAGAGGTCAAGTCGTGGCCAATGCCGGAGTTGTCGCCTGTAAGCTTTGATATGAATGTGCTTTTCCCAACACCAGTGATACCCATCACAAGTATCACCACGCCCGTTGAGAATTCTGGGCATCTATAGCATGTTAGCCACAGGAACCAAAATGAAATGAATTCTTTCATTTTCCGGAGGACTTGCTGTGTGAGGTTTTCATATATGGCCTCCATCGTCAAGGGAAATCACCGCTTTTGGTAAACTACGTGAGTGTACAGATGATGACAATGGTGGTAGTTCAAGTTGCCAAGAATGGTTGTTCGGTGCTTAGAAATGCCATAATGTAGTCTTGCGCGACATGATGGCTTCCTCGGGCCCCTAATATAGCGGCCGTGACTTGGCTGTGATCTTTTGAGTGGCAGATTTGGGAAAAGAGGAAAAGGGTTGTTTGCCCTCGGAGGCGGGGATAATCAACGGATCTGCAGCGAAGCCTCCGCGGCGCAGTGTCAGTGCGTACACATAACTAGTGCCTGCTGCGTAGGTTGACATTTTAACAGGGCTAATATTAGGGGTGTCTAGGCGACAAATAAAAACAGGTCAGAGTCGCAGTGGCTGAAACTAAACCCCTAACAAAAGGAGGTGGAAGTCTATAGTTCGTTATTTCTTTCATGCCCTTTTTTAGTCATATATAGAAGAGGCTTGCTGCAGATGAAGCTGAAAAGCTGGTTGAAATTATGAAATAGGACGTCAAAAAGGCCACGAATGAGGGCTAGGAACTATTTTAATCTTATTAATATTAGTAAATTAAATGCATCCTCAATCCAGCTAAAAAAGCTCCTACGGTAATCATTCGAGGCATAGACAAGCCTTATCTGACGTGAGACCTGAACTATAGGCTGCTGACCAGTCAGCCACAAAGCCCTCTATGAACGTATGTCAGAAAAAGCGGCTATCTAGAACTCAGATTTCTCACTTCCTTTTACCTCATTCGGATAACCTCTTATTCAGCCCGCAGAGCTGTGTAACTATTCCCGTATTTAGATTAGTCAGATTGGAAAGACCGTCTATAAAATAGCGGCCTCTCCTATTGCATATAGAAATCAGACCATAATACCTTACTTGGCCCCATATATTTTTATACATAATCACGAATGATTGGTGGCCTTCGCATGTCTCATAACATACTCATCAAGCACTAGAGGCTCTACTATCTTGCCCCACCTAGCTTTGAACCCAATTCCACACTTGAACCCAACCTCTGCCTTGACTCAGCAACGCTCAAACATGACGGCTGATACACCTCAAGCTGTAGAACCCTGGGTTCCACTGGGAGGGATATACGAGGAAAGGCCACAGGACCTGTTCGAACCCAGCGAACCGGTCGTCTTTATTGCGGTCATGGGGATGACAGGTGCTGGCAAAAGTACCTTCATTTCACATTGCACAGACGAGGAAGTCGCTATAAGCGAGCCAGGAGCTCTCCAATCTTGTAAGCCTGGTCCAACTATGGTATCTATGTAGCTCTTTTTGTGGCAAAGATGTTGACTCTTCTAGGCACTCAGGAGGTGCGCATTCACAGATGTAAACACTTCAGTCCGCATGCCAATGTGTATCTGGTAGATACTCCGGGCTTTGACGATACGAACCGTAAAGACACGGACATACTCAAAGAGATAGCCACCTGGTTGACGGAGACATACAAGCAGAAAATACGCTTGCGAGGTATTCTATATCTACACCGTATCTCTGACAACCGTATGGGCGGGTGTGCTCGAAGAAATCTCTCTATGTTCAAGAAACTGTGCGGTCATGAAGGAATTAAAAGTGTGATATTTCTCACCACTTTTTGGGAGAAAGTAGATGAGTCCGATGGTGACAGCCGCGAGGAGGCGTTGAAAACTACCGATGACTTCTGGGGCTTCTTTGTCAGAAGGGGGGCCCGAGTCCGGAGGCATTGGAACAATCGTGATTCTGCGTTATCAGCAATACAGGAATTTGTTCCCGTTGGTGCAGATAAACCGCCCGAGGAGATGAAAATGGCCATCCAGACTGAGATGGTCGACTCTGGAAAGAATCTGGATCAAACTTCAGCTGGCCAGGAGCTGCAGAGCGAGCTTCAAAAAGAGCGAGAGAAAATGCAGCAAGAGATGAAAGAAAGGGAGCTGGAGATGAAAGAAGCTATAGCATTAAAAGATAAGGAGTTGATCGAGATTTTCCGACTGGAGCAAGAAAAGCAGGCTGAAGATTTCAAACGAAGAGATATGGAGATACAGGAACTCAAGATCAGCATGGAGAGAATGCACGAGGAGAAAATCCAAAGACTGGAGGCCCGACTGCTCCAGCAGCAGAACGAAAATCGAGAGCATCGAGAAGAGACGGATCGAATGTACCGAAGATACCAGGAAGAGCTACAATGGCTTCGAGGCGAGCGCGACAATTATGCGAGTAGAATGGATGGCCTGAGCCAACAAATAAGTGATTTGAAAAATGATAGGTCTGCAAGGCAAGAAGCAGACACCAACCAAACATGCCCGGCCTGCCATGAGACATTCATATCTACGAGCCAACTTTTCGAGCACATACAAGGCGAACACCCCTTAAATGCGGAAGAGGAGGAGTATGAGGATGAATATGCGGAACAACCATCAGATGGCATCCACCATCAGATCGACCCATACCTGACTTGCTTAACATGTGAGGAACATTTCTACGATAGGGACGATCTTTTCGAACATATCGAAGACCTCCAACACGGTATAGATCTCGTTACAGGGAAGCCTGAGCCATATACGAGACCGGCTAGATTTCGGCCGCGGCAATACAACTGGTGGACGAATTGCTTGGCCTGTGGGAAGTACTTTAGCGATAGGAACGATCTTTTCGAGCATATCGAAGCCCTTCAACACGGCAGAGATATCAATACGGGGAAGTCTGAGCCTTACAGGAGAGCAGCTAAATCCAAAGCAGCTAAAGGCAAAAATTGGCGATACTAGGCCAAACTGAGCGTAGAAAACATAAGGTTTGTGAGCAGTGAAGCCGCAGAAGATGTTGGGATGTCAGGATGCTCTGATAGACTGGGCACCGAGGCTACGCCGACTGGGCAGCAAGTTACATCATCTCAGGCATAAAAGGGCAAATTGTGTCTACCGTTACTATAGAATCGTGCAATGCAAGAAGATATTCGTTGTCGGTTATCATCGGGACAGCATTGGTCCCAACCCACAATTCTACACGGACGACACGGACGCCCGCAAAATTATCGTCCTTGTTGAGACAACACCAGCTAACTCAGCTCAACAACGGCTTCGACTCCCTACAATGTAGTTTAGTGCCTTCTTTGATTCCAAGTGTCGGGGGCTTTATGATTATCCAGTCCCAGCTGCGCCTTCTCCGTCAATGTCCAGAAAGTCGAGCACCGGACTAATTGACGGTCGCCGTGCTGTGCCGCCTCATGGAACCCGGAATCCTATTGGGACTATCTCTAAAGCATCGCGGCGGAATAATGGCTCACCTAGTGCCTTTTTGAGAAAAGAAATAGCTTCAGTATCCGTACTAGAACAGGAACACGCCCTTGGCCAAGAGGCGTGCCTGCCAGGTTATCTTTCACTCCCTCTTCCAGCCTTCGAGTAGCTTCATAGCCTCCCTGTGGATCTTGAAGTAGATCCTCTTGTAATTGAGTTCCCTCGCCGTCCACGGCTTAAGCTACCAATGGGTCACCTCAACGGTGGTCGAGGTAGTTAATTCAATTGCTTGGACTCAATGAATAATTGCTTCTACCTTGAAAGCTGGGTTAGGGGGACCTAGTACTTCAAGCTAGTTTGGGAACTCCTACGCGACTGGGTGCCCAGGACCCTCTATTCTAACCACTAGATTCCACTCTCCCATCCGCCCTAGAAGATTAAACCTGGATGGTTTAGATATTATTAGGTTCACCTCCTCCCATCCTATCCTATTATGCTAGTCACAGAGCATAGATCCTGTAAGTAAACCAGAAAAACCCACTATATCCCTTAGAATCTATCTTATAGTGAGGTTTAGCTAGGGGCCCTGCCTACTATATAGGGCCCCTAGCTTCTCCTACTTAATTACTAAGGTAATCACCGTAGTCTAGAGGGCCTAATTCACTACTTACTAGTTCTACTCTAGCCTAGTAGCCTATTCCTAAGTTAGTACCTATTAGTAGTATTAAATCTTATAGAGTAGGTATACTACTGCTATAGTAATATGTATCTTTATATCCTATCTTATTAGGCACTAGCATGCTCGCAGTCCCCTTGCCCAAATAGCTAGAACTAATAATTTTAGCCTAGTAATGTAGTAAGAGCCAAAAGCAAAGGTCTTCTAGCCTTGTCGACCAGATCTGAAATATAGCCCTACCGCTTCCAAACTTTTAATGCTAGTAATATTCCCCCATCTTTTCCAAGTCGTCAGGAGGCAACACTCTAATTCAACTCTATGTAGGGTCATGAGCGCCAGCAGGCCTCCAACATCAGGATGAATCTCCCCGGATTTCTCCCTCTATTGATTGGATTCTCTGCAGCAATTGCACATATGAGCTGCTGATACTCCAGCAGCTGAGCGAGCTCATCACCACAATTGACTCATCCAACAACCTACGCGGCCCCCCGTGACAAAGTAGATTTCCAATTCCTGGAAGCTCAACGCAGCCAGATCCATTCGCAATCCACCTTTCAGTACCCGCCGTTTCCAAACATTCTAGATCGAGCGCGGCAGAGGATTCCATGTCTCGGTCAGGACCAGGACAACCCCTCTCTAGCAACCCGTACCGCCGGCACAGTGTGGAATATACCCACAGAACAAGTACGGCTCTGAGTAAAGAGGCCGGAATCAAGAAATGCCCGCAGCGATTTGAGCGGATGGTTTCAAAGACATGAGCACCATATAACACCGCCAGACGCCCTTGAAATGGTGATTGCGCCCATTGACTCGATAGAATATCCCACGACGTATCGTCCATTCTCCGGTATATGACTCTCAAGCAGAGAGATTTTACTCGCAGGGTTGGACTGTAATGGATCATCAGGCCGGAGCAAATCAGCACGCGGTGGAGAACAGCTGCCTTTGTATGGCCCTGGCCTAGTTCTTCTCCAAGGAGACTCTTAAGTGTTCCCGCCGCTGCGAGTCTCTGGTCAGACGAACAACCCTGAGAGGAGCTATCCGCGTCGTCCTTCATGACAATGCTTGTTAGATAGTGCAGGATAGTCTGCTTTCCAAGCGTTCCCGTCTGTGACCATGCCCATATCCAGTTTTGGTTCGCAATGGTTTGAGGTAGGGACGGTGTCGTGGAAAGGTTCCTGGCTTCCATTATTTGAGCCCATTGCTGAGCGCCGGCTGCATCCCAGCAATTTTCCAACTGCGGAAGGCAATTCTGCAGCTCGTCCGCCCTCATAACATGGTTGAGCCCAAAGCTATATTTCCACCCGAAATCAATCAGCTGCGAGAGAGTCAGAAGTTACAATCTGCCATAGATGAAGCCCGAGTCTGAGACATAGAGGGAAAGCTTACCCAAGTGGCGAACCCTGCCCTTCGACGTTCCTCGTCATATGTTGAGACCTGCCATTCTTGACCGAGCGGGAGTTGCAACGCGGATATTCGTGCACGAGGGAGGATGTTTGAAAGAAGCCTCTTTCGTCTTGCAAGAGTAACCGGGACAGCCTGGACTAATTCGGCAAGTTCAAGGGCCCTTCGATTGCCTGAGTACATCAGGCCGAGTTGATTGAGAAGAATGGTTTGCGTGATCCAAAGCTCACGACTGGTGCGATTACATTGTTCACACTTTACTCATATTTAGCTAGTTAGCCGGCTGTGTTTGAACTGGCAGAGGTGGCCTTGGGTATAGCCTCACTGTGTACGATGTATATCGTCGGATCAGCTCATGCATAGCCCTCTGACAGGCCTGCGAGCCCTCTAAATCTGAGAAGTGCGCGCCGATGGCCGCAACGGTAAGAACAAGGAATGGATTCATCGTCGCAGGGGAAAAGGTTGGTTTATGCAGGATCGGAAAAATAGGGTGGAAATGCTCAAAGTAGAGCTGGACCCAGGCGTTGAGAACGCGAGCAGGCGGGATACGCAACTCGATAAACTTGGGATAGTTGGATTTGGTTTGCAATACGGTAGCCATCTCGAACACCTTCCGAGGGACATCGTCCGGAACCTGCTCGACAAGGGCCAAATTTTCCTTCTCGATATCCTCGCTGGCGATAGTAGTCATGTCCGGAAACACCAACTGAGCGTCCAGTTCAATAGACGCTGGAAAGTACTGCCTCGGGTCGATGGCATCTTTATCTATATCTGGTTCCTGAATGTTAACATAGAGCCCGGCGATGGCGGCTGTGGCGGATGCTGCAGGATCGCTGATGGATTTCGCGGATAGCCCCATGTAGTCATCGTCGAAACCAAAGTTGAGCCACTCATCAAAGTCATTCCAGTCCAACGAGAAAAAGGGAGGAACCGTGATCATATCGATGGCTCCATAGGTCGCTTCGGCCTGGGCGGGGGACTGTACCGGTGCCTGTTCATACAGCTTTTGACTCGGTGGATGAGCTTGGGACATTACGTGTATACTAGGCGAAGTACTCGTAGGCTCAATGCCTGCTTGATCCTGCCTAGAGGGAAGATTCAGACAAAGTCCCCTTGGCAATTGGCCAGTGGGTGTAGCAGATTTTCTGGTGCGCTTGGAGACCGGATAGGAGCATTCTCGATGCTGGTCGGAGCAACGCTGACATGGCTCCTTCCCATCACATCGGACTTTAGATAGCCGGCACGATTCGCAGGCTTTTATAGCTCTGCGTCTCTCAGCCAGGGGCTTCCCCGTGTCCGTCTGATGGACAGACGTATAGTGGCGGGCGAGTGAGTCTCTGCTCGTCCAGTCAGCGATTGCCGTCAAATATGTCTCAGCTGGTAATTAATTGGAAAAGAAAGAAATCATGGTACCCGCGGTTGAAGGTCTGCCGACAATAGAAACAGGAGAAAGGCTTCTCCTCTGTATGTGACCGCAGATGGCGCTGGTAGTGTTCTCGTCGGTTGAAGCTTGTCTGACATGTCGAGCAGCGCATGTCCAGCAACTTTCTGGGACGAGGCATCGCGCCTGTGAGTGGAGATTCATGGAGTGGATAAGCAGCTACTGAAAGATACAAAGCTCAAGCATCTCTGAATGCATACAGAGTACACTTTATCCATAACGCCACATTTATGTAGACTTGCAGCTTAAAGGGATTTTCGGTAGGAGAGAGTGGGCCCCCACGGATGCGCCGGAGTGCCGGGATGGTCTAATAGGGAAAGCGTATGTAGATCTCCTTGGCAATAGGGCAACCCCCTAGTACTTTATTTGACCTCGACTGGATATGGATTGATCCAACCCATGCCGATTATGGGTTGACCCATGACCTATTCAAACCACCATTATATCCATGCAGATTGGATTATGGGTAATGGTTATATCCATGCGATCGGAGCGGGGCAAAGTTCAAAGTCCAGGCCTTGAACAAAGGCCGCCGGGCTTAGGGCGCTAAATCCCATACAAATCATTTAATCCCAACCGCCCAGCTATATATAACAAGACTAATGCAGCATCACTAACAACAACGACAACAGCATCTACAAACACCATCATAGCTTCCAAACCTGTTATCCTCGTTACTGGCGGCAACCAGGGCCTCGGCCATGAAACACTCAGAATCCTCGCCCGAACCAACAAATACCACCTGGTCGTCGCCGCCCGCTCTTACTCAAAGGCCGATGTGGCTGTCAAGGCCATTGCTTCTGAGACGGGCAATTTTTCAGACTTAACGCCGGTTGTTATTGATCTGGATAGTGATGACACCATATTTAATGCTGCTAAAATTGTTGAGGAGAAATTTGGCCACCTTGATGTCCTAGTCAACAATGCTGGCATCAACCGCTCACCAAAACCTAATGCCACTCTCCTTGAGGACTTTCGCGCTGTTTTCGAGACCAATGTTTTTGGTGTGGCTGTTATGAATAACACCTTTCTCCCACTGATCCGTAACTCAACTTATCCTCAGCGCCGTATTGTGACAGTTACCAGTGGCCTGGGGATGTTTGGTGTTGCCCTGACAGAAAGCTCTCCCTACAATGCCTGGAACTATAAATTTCCTGTCTATCGCAGCAGCAAAACAGCTGTCAATATGATCTCCGCTATCGACATGATTGCGCTCCGGGAGGAATATATTGCAACTGTTCTAGTCGAGCCTGGACACTGCCGGACGGCCTTTGGAGGGTTCCAAGGTCACAAGGATGCTGACGAGGGTGGGAAGGTCATTGCCCGTGCTGCTGTTGAGGGGGATAACAAAGATTTATTCCTGAAGATTCTCGATGATGAGGGCAAACATGCCCAGTTTGGCTGGTAACGAAGGAGTAGCGAGGCATGGCGATACACTAGTGCATAACCCCCAAATCCGCAATTGCACGCCACCCATCTTGAGCATCATCATCCTTTCCTAATTATCCAGGTCTTGTCTACCGAGTACTGCATATTCAATCTGCTGTTATCTTCCGAACCTGCCTGTCGCTATGTAGGTTGGCTACTGAATAGCACTATATGCCTAGGCTACCTAAACGTGTTTGGCCAAAAATTCGTAGCCTGGAAGGACACTCTCCTTGAACTGGGCCTCATCCCTTCCCAGCCCAAAATCAAAGCCGTGTTGCCCTCCTTCGGCCAGAATCAGCTTCGTCTCCACCCCCAGTCCCGCCAGATGTTCATGCGCGCGCCGCGAGAACCGCGGGTCAATAAACGTATCCTCCGTCCCAGTCAAGAAAATCGTCGGCGGGAATGCGGACGAGAAGAAGGTCGCTGGGTCCACACGCGCAAAGTCGCCATCCTGGACACAGCGCTCAAGATGCTTCCCTTCCTTGAATGCTAGAGCCATCCAAGCGTCTCGAGGCTTGGAAAGATCGGGCATGGGCATGGTACCCGGTGCGATAAATTGCTCCCGGGCGACAACGGTCATGGAACGGGGTGGCTCGCTGAGGACACGCTGGGCAAATGACTGATCGATTGGAGGCATCATTTCCGAGCCGGGCATTGGTTGGCTCCAGGTATCGTCGGAGAAGTAGGCGGCTGCGTAGAATGCTGCAATCGCTTTCGGGGGGTCAGGTAAGCTTCCCTGTGAGAACGAGGTAGGAGCGTAAGCTATTTCCTTGTGCACGTGGGTGGCTTGGAGAGGAGGGATTGGGACAAATGTAGTTAAACCCACCAGGTGTAAAGCCAAAGTACCACCGGAAGATTGACCAAAAACGACAACACGACTTGGGTCCAGTGTTATTCCTACTTCCTTGTGGATCAGATCGGGGAGTGTTGTCTTCGCCCAACGAAAAGCATCCCTCGCATCCTGGAGGGGACCCTCGTAGAGGGAGACATGTGGACAGAGACGGTGATCCGCCAACACAACAACGAATCCGAGGTCGAGGAGAACCTTTATCTCTTCAGGATTGAAGAGAAACCTGGATCCGATAGTGAAGCCGCCTGCATGAAATCCAATTGCTGTTTTGATATACGGTTAGTACAACTTGGTTCTACCAATTCAAGCACGGTTGAACTATCTTACCTATCGGTAGCTTCGTGTTTGCGTTGCCCAATGCAGTCTGAGGCCAGTACACAGTCGCTGCGACGTCAAGGCCCTCGACGGTCTTGTATACAAAATCCTTTGTTGTCATGACGATCGGTGCGTCCATGATAGTGCTGGCGCCGCTTTAGGCCACTCTGGAGATTAAGAATACTATGATCAGTGAATTGAAGTAATCAATGGTGAGAAAGGACCCCCTGAGCTATGTCGCCTTTCTATACGGCCTCGTGAATGATCTTGTTTGGCTCTCGGCTAACGTGGTACGGAACCCTGATTGTCTCGGATATTGTGGGGTAAAACCGATATCTCGGAACTGCAATGTCGCATTCAACCAGCAATCCAGTGCATAATCTCGGGCCGAACACCTGGATAAGAAGGAATATTGCCGGGTAGGAAGGGATCGACTGCAGATCTCGTCAGAATGGGAAATTGTTCAAGTCTACATGGTCAACCTAGGCAAACCAGTCGATACTTTTTTCCCGGTAGGTTGCGCTTTTTGTCACCATTCCGGGCAGAGACCAATGGAATAGTGTAAGTCTCGCGTTTGTTGGCTTTTGTTGGCATAAAAATTAGTCAACTAACCACAGGGAAGTTGTCGAGCCCGGCTGAGCAATTCTTTAAATAGGAGGTCGTCTCTCCAATGTACTCCAATATTCCCTTTTTCGCAATCTACACCGATATCGCTTGGTTTTATACCCCAATATCCGTCGTCCATTGACAAAACGGCCTACGAAAATGCCCTCCGTTACTCAGAATGAAGAAAGACCTTATTCTTCCACGGTCGTCATCATCGGAGCAGGGCCCGTCGGGCTCCTGACGGCATTGAGACTGGCCCAGAGTGGTATCAAAGTCGACATCGTTGAAAAGGAGGAAGGTCTCAGTGACGCCCCTCGGGCGTGCTCCTACTACGCGGCAGCTCTGCACGCTCTCCAAAAAGCCGATGTTCTAGACGATATCAAATCCACCGGCTTTACCACCAGCGGTCTTTGCTGGAGGGCCCCGCTGGCTGACGACGGCAACGGAGGGAAAAAGCTAGGCGAGATGCTTGCTTGTCTGCCAATAGTGGGCACGAATGACTGGGACCATGGAGTGGTGAACCTCCAACAGCCAAAATTGGCCCGTCTTCTCTACAAAAGGGCGGCCGAGACCGGGTTGGTCAAAGTTCATTTTGGCCTGCGGCTCAAAGGCATCCAGCAAGACGCGGACTCGGTAACTGCTACGGTGACTCGCGCAGATGGGAGTCACGAAACCACCTTCCATGCTTCATTCCTCGTGGGTGCGGACGGAGGGAGGTCGACAACCCGGAAGCTACTTGGCATTCATTACAAGGGCCATAGCTGGCCGGAGCGTCTGGTGGCCATAGATGTTTTGATAAAAAATGCCGAGTTTGATGATGATTACCCGAGTTCGCTTTTTGTTGATCCCGTCCATTGGGGGCTTGTTACGCCGCTGGAGAAACCCCAGCGCGAGAAAGAGACCCTGTGGAGATGTACGGTGGCGCTTGATCCTAGCGATCAGCGAGGGGATGACCAATTGGTTGCGGAGGAATCCCTCAGGAGCCTTCTCACCAACGTTGTCCCGGGCCCTCAACTAGATACAGCAACGGTGGTGAGAGCCTCTCCGTATCGGGTGCACCAACTTTGCGCTACTACGTTGAACCGTGGACGCTGTGTTCTAGTTGGTGATGCCGCACATCTCAACAATGTAAGATCAGCTTCCTGTACAAACGATCCATTTCCCATACATAGGCTAACACCATACTTCTTCTAGCCTATGGGGGCCATGGGCCTCACCACGGGTATTCTCGACGCCGATGCTCTAGCGGACGCTTTGGAGCTCATTATCCACGAAGGCAAGCCCATCAGCGTGCTCGACGTGTACACCGATGAACGACGCCGCGCATTCCAGATGTTCGTCGATCCTTCCTCGACGCAGAACAAGCTGCGCGTCGCCAGCGACGTCAATACTGCAAAGAAGGACTGGCTCATAAGATTCATGGCTCGCGCATCCGGTGACGGCGATATGGTGAAGCAGGCAACCGAGCCTTTCTTCAGTGTCTGGCGGACTGATATGAGGAAAATTCTGTGCCATCAGGAACCCTGATTAAGCTATATCTTGACCAAACAGACGCTCAGGTCATCAACTCTTCCCAGCAGTACTATCGTGCGAATGACAATGGTTGACAGGCACTACGTCATATTCCTCGGTTTGTCAATGACACAGTCTCTTCGGCGAAGAATGGACACCGCGTACGTAGGTTTGTAGCGCGATAACCCTCCCATCACAAACTGTTGATGGAGTTTAACCAGGCACGCGGTTCTTACGCCCCCAATGGTAGTTGTCTTTCGACATGACCACTACATGTCGCGCTTGTAAAAGAAGTCATTACAGTGAAGACCTTTATTTGGGTCTATTGGATATTGTATGTAGATGGGGTAAAGTGAGGTAGATGCTAGCGAGGCGTGTTGATTGAAGTACATTCGATATCAACTCCTTGTGCAGACACTAAGCTGAGCCTCAGTCATCAAGCACCACCTGCGGCTGCCACCATATTTGCACGTTTATTCTGAAAATAAGTACTTAGTATGGCGCTCGATACAAGGTATTAGCAGAATTAAGAAGGACTCACGGCCATGAAGATCGCGCAAACCAAGCTGATTCCAGCACCAACGCTTACACAGACAAAACTTTAAAGTGCTATCAGGATCCCAGATATCAGGAAAAAGGATCGGCTTAGGTTTCACTTACATATAGTGCCAAGCGTGCACAATGATATCCAGCGCTTGTTCTCGAATGTTTTCAGGAAGTCTTTTAAGCAGCCCACTGCTCGTTCCCGAGACTATTTGAGAGACTTGGTCTCGGGGTAAGTTGGGAAGCAACTTGAAAAGACCGTTTTGGGCGACATTGACAAAGACCGCGCCCGTCGTGGACAGTCCAAGGGTCATTCCGGTGAGTTGAGCTAACCTCATGTAAGCGAAACCGACATCTTCAAAAGCAAGTACTAAAGAGAGCGGTAAACAAACCCAGAAGCATCAGCGCGAGTCCGTCGGCGGCTTCAGAAGGCTTGGTAACAGCCTGGATTACACCGAAAGCAGCCTGAGTATATGAACCAGCACCTAATCCTAGCACAACTTCTAGTCCGTACAGAATACTCGGTCTTGTAGGGGTGCTGACAACCGTGGCTATAGTTTGGTCAGCCATGGAACTTGATAATCATGAGTAATTATGACAGGCTCACAAAACATAATGGCAGGGATGAGTGCTAATATACTCCCAATCAAGTACCATGGCTTATAGTACCCAAGGCGAGACATCATAACGCCATTTGATTGGATGGCCACAATGAGAAGGAAGATTAAGGGAAGCAACCTGACAGCAGATCGAATTGCATCATCTCCGCGAGTGAATTGGAAATAGATCGGGATGTAATATACACTCGGATACGTCACCATTCCTACTGCAGCGCAAGCAATGAAGAGGAGTGTCGGTTCCTTCTGCTTGAACAGGTGCATTGGGAGTAATCGGTTCTGGAGAGAGGTAGCGAACATGAGGCCCTGTTGGATGACAAACAAAGCCCAAAGCGCACCCGACACTATGAATAAAGCAATGATAGGCCCGCTGTTCCAAGCATATAGTGTCCCGCCAAAGTTGATTGCCATCACTAAGGTCGTAAACGATGCGACGTTGAGTAAGCTACCGACCCAATCGAAGCCAGAGAGTTTCTTTCGGCATGATACTCCCGGCATAGGATCTCTGGACGGAATCACGAAAATGTAGGTTGGTATCAGAATGGCCCCGAAAAGGAGATTGATGTAGAATGCCCAGCGCCAGGTATATCGTTCAAAGCCGCCTCCGACGATAGGACCAAGAACGGTTCCTAGACCCCAAACCAGTCCCCTGATTCTTTGTTAGCAATCTGTTTTTGAACTCACAGGACGTACTTACGTCAGGCTCAAGTACTGTGGACGTTCACGACTCGTCGTATTCGTTGACAGAAGGGCCAGAATGCCGAAGTACATTCCATTTCCTCCCGCACCTGCGAAAACACGTCCTACTATCTCAGCGTTCATAGTAGGAGCGGCGCCACAGAGCGCAGATGCAGCCATAAATATAACTGTGGATGCGATATACAGCCACTTGGAGTCGAAAAGGGCATAGAGCTTTCCGTAAATGAGGACCATTGCTACTCCACCGATCATGAATCTGTTCCCCGAAGACGATAAGAGATGTTTCATGGCTATATTTTGAAGTCGAACTCACCCCACCGATAACCATGGCAAATTTTCAACCGAGTCAAAATGATTAACAATTGCCTGTACTTCTTAATATGACTTTTTCTATCCTCTCTATTTAAAAAGAACACCTACCGGCGCGATATTAGCAACAATGGTATTATCCAGAGCATAGATAAAACTGCCCGTCAGTGTGCTCGATAAAAAAAGACACCACTGGAGATATCAGTAATTTTCATTGAGACTCGATATATCTGGGCTTATTACCCTGACGCCACGAATTTGCCGCTCCTCTTGGAAATCCTGCGCAGATTCAGTTGGGGAATCGGGGGTTTTGTCGTCCGCAAGTCTCTGCACAATCGACGAGGCTGGCATGACGATGACTTCGTTTTAATGAGCCGTATTCTGCTTTATTGAGGATCAGCGGAAAATTTAAGAGGCCTGAGAAGGAGACAAAGAAGGAGTTATGTGTGTGGAACTTGGTAAACGGCTAAAATGGAGGTAGGAGAGAAGGGTGATGGCTTGGGTTGATGTTGTCAGTACTCCGTAGCCAGAGCAGACTAGCTTGTGAGTCTTCTCATACTTGGCATTGAGCAAATTTTTGACCTGTACAGGAGGCTGAAAACCGGCCTCTGTGCTGGTACCGATGGCATCTATTCCAGACATGCTGATTGATGGGAAATGCCTCAAAAACGAGAGATGGATAGATTTTGGCGTGATTGGCGTGATCGGATCTAAGCACTGTCGTAAGCATTAATAAGTGAGGTTACATCCTCGGGTTTTGCCGCATCTACAGCGACCCTGAATGTCCAAACTGCGTTAGGAAAACCGTGGAGATCGCATGGGAGGCCTTATGGCGGCCCCACTCTCCGTCGGATATCCCATCGCATCGCGGATATCCCCCTTGGTACAGTTTTGTTGACAACAGTATGGACTTTGGGGCCGCTAGCGGTGCCAAAAGGGGCCGATCTATACCTACTATGGATCAAAGGTTGCAGTTTTCACTTCTTGACTGCTCCACTCTCGTATATGTAGCCAGTACCTAGCTGTGGCACGTGAATTGTCGCAAATCTGCTATCGACTGTGGGAACGGGAGACACCTATTACGGAGGATCGCCTCGATCTCCTACAAATCTAGGTACTTTCTTGGCTTGCTTTCTTACTTCACAAGGTTCCTCCCGCTTGGCGCCTTACCCGCAGCCGCCCCTAACAATTTCCGATCCAACAGTAACAATAACAGAGTGGGCAAGTGTGAATGGCAACAACATCTCCAAGTGGGACTTTTGTGGTCATAATACACCACATGCCTTCATTCACTAAATATAAGTCAATTCGCATGTGAATTTGGTAGAAGCCTCGCTTCTCAGCAGGCTTGTTTAAACAGATCTTGAGCTAGCAAAAAAAGAAAGCAATGTTTGCCTACATACCACTATACTACATGAACTCTCATTATCACGTCTATATAATATCCAAAAGAATCCACGGGTGGCGTAGGCGCACAAGCGTATTGATGATTGCCCCCGGTCACCCTTACATTCAGTACCGTAATAAGCCTAATATCCGGTAGCGATGCGATTATAGGGTATTCGCAATATGGATTCCGTTACGACCAATTGGGGAAATATCATCATCCATCAACCTCGGCCCAGTCTCTTCTTCTCTTTTGTTAACTATCTGTGGGCTTGGCTTGTATTATTCGAAGTACCGTTCCGAGTTATGTTTTCTGGCTCGTGTTTGCGATAATGACACTCCATCTGCATGGATACTTGTAGCCACTGGATGGGTCTAATACGACATCTAATCTAGACGGTTATGTTCTAGGCGATTATTAGGAGATAGAATTCATGCACATAAGCGAGAAAAGTGTTCCGAAGATCGGCAAACTCCGACGTGTACCTAACTCGTCAACGCAAGGGTTTGGTGAGCAATTGGCCCCCGAGAAGCAGTAAAATAGCCTCATATTGAGAGAAACTTGATCCTTCTCGGCTCACTTGCTTGTTCGCATACCTATGGGGCTACCAGAAATTGTCATGGTAATATGAGCACTAAAATCATGCATGTACCTTCAGCTCCAACATAACACCTTTCAGCCCCTCCTGTGAGTGATTCAATTCAAGGATAAATAGGGGATATTCAGGCCATCCTTGGATTTTGGCTCTATCATACCTCAGTACACTCGGCCTCAAAATCTCTCATCCCTTTGTGAAACATTCATTTCAAGAGATGCAATCGTTTCGGCATGCGAGACGTACAGGGCCTGTGGCCACTCCTGCCCTTCCTCCCTCTCCTCCGAAGAGCCCACTCAGCCACACCTCGATACCATTAGAAACAAAACCTCGCATCCTTATAATAGGTGCAGGCTACCGTGGCTACTCTTATGCTGAGCCAATTCATACATCTGACGAGGGCATCATCGCTGCTGTAGCTGAGCCCTCTGCATTTAAGCGGCAAGCATTCGGCGAAAGGTTCATCTGGGGCAAAAGTGGGCCTCTAGAGGGCCAGGCTTTCTCAAGCTGGGAAGATTTTATCAGCTATGAAGTTCAACGAAGGGAATTGCAACGCACAACTGGAATGGTGACGGATCCAGGGATTGATGCCGTATTCGTGTGCTTGCTAGATGAGCTCCATGCGACGGTAGTTCAGGCTTTAGCACCACTGGGGCTGCATATCATGTGCGAGAAGCCACTAGCCACGCGTCTGGACGATATTATTGGAATTTATACAACACTGTTGCGGTCATGGGAGACGTTGCAGTGCCAAGCACTTTTTGCTGTTGGCTTGGTCTTGCGGTACAGCCTCCCCCAAGTCTTGTTAAGAAAACTTCTCCGGGAGGACAGAGTGATAGGTGATGTTGTTAGTGTGGAGCATACTGAAGCAGTTGGTTGGAAACACTTTGAACATTGTTATGTGCGGTATGTTTCGAAAACCACAGAGGCAACGCATCAGATGCTGACCATGTCCAGAGGCCCTTGGCGAAGAGAATCCAGGAGTGCACCCTCGCTCCTCACGAAATCATGCCACGATATTGATCTTCTTTTCTGGCTTCTCTCTTCACCTGTCTCGCCTTCTTCATCCGAGCCACCCCACCTCCCGTCAAAAGTGACTTCCTCAGGCCGCCTACATTTCTACAGACAGGCTAACAAACCTGCCGGTGCTGGCAAAGCTACCAATTGCCTGACTTGTCCTATCGAGACAACATGCCAGTACAGTGCCAAATCGCTTTATCTGCATCAGCATCTAAGAGCAGGCAACAGTAATCGGCCTGTCAATGCCATAGTGCCTGATATCGAGGAGGTGGTTCGGAACCAGGGTCTGTCCTCTGCGGCAAAGCGCTTATTAGGAGTCCTAGGTGAGGACTATGATGAAAGCACACCAGCGGACGAAGTGAGCCGGCGACCTTGGTATGGTCGCTGTGTCTGGGAGTCCGATAATGACGTGTGTGATGATCAGATGGTTACGATAGAGTGGGATGATGACCCTTTGCCACCTTCTCGAGGCCAGACAAAAGGACCAAGCACTGGAGGAAATCCAGACGCGAGACCAGAATCCCGCTTTGCAAAGATTGCTCATTTTCATCTGGTTGCTCTGACCGAGGCTATTAGCACGCGTCGTGGACGCATATCAGGCACCACTGGTGAAATTGTCTACGACTCAGACACCATTCGCGTGAATGATTTTCGCTCCGGTTCAGAGGTGGTATATAACACCCCTTCTGTCGGACATCATGGTGGAGGTGATGATGGCCTTGCGCTCTCTTTCGTGCGAGCAGTGAGCAAAGTGAAGCGTGGCGAGATGAGTAGCAAAGAAGCTCAAAGCACCTTCTTGAAATCTAGTGTGGAAGAGCTTCTTAGAAGTCATCTTGCGGTATTTTGGATCGAAGATTCGAGGAAAGGGGGCACGGCTTTGAAATGGCAGGATTGGTGGGCAAGGGAGGTGGGCATTAAGCTTAAGGAAAGGGGATTAACAATGAGTTGAGTAAGATTATGGTTACAAGTATGGCTACAGGTGCGCTCCGGTAGTTCCTCCGAGACATCAAGTTGCTCCAGCACAATCGAGGTCACACTCCGGGTAAAGTCTAGAGAAACCCTTTCATTGCCATTCCTTCTGTAACGCGCCGTAGAGAAAGCATTTCTCCATGCTCACTCCTCTGCTCAGTGAGCGGACGAAATAATTAAAATAGCTTCCTAACCATTAGATGTAGCTAACTAGAAACTTATTTAAGCTCATAGTGACTTAACTAAAGGAAGTGTTCCCAGGAAGATAAGATTGATATAGATCACCTAATGAACTTCTTATTCTGAGTAATATTTAGACTGAATTTATGTCTACCTTTATATAGAATAGCAGTTAATGCAGCTAAGGCTTCTGGCAGGGCTTGTGAGAATATTTGCCTAAGATTAATAGTGTATAATGGTTCTAGGATTGAGCTAGCCCCAGACATGTTAAGTATTATAGAATGGATAGTGCGATAGAGCCTCTACTATAAAGAAAAAGTGAATGGTATAGTCAGTATAGTGTAAATACTGTGAAATTCTTACATGGGTTGAAAAGTAGATTAAGGAGACTAACTAATAGTATAAGAGGGGGTGAGCTAAAGTAATGTGATAGTACTATATCCTAGCCTTTGCTCCTAGGACTACTGAAAGTAGGTAGTAAGTAGTGTGTTTATTATTAGGGTATCTGAAAGAATGGAGACGCGAAAGGAGATTAAATGGGCTGGTTAGCTTGAGTATTACGGTGAGCTATCAGGTAGTGAGGTTGCCTAGGAGCTGCTTATGTTTGCTCTATGAGCTGCCCAGGGTGGTAAGGTACCAACTTACCCTGTGCTCTGGGAGCGGATCACTTCCTGAAGTGGCAGTTTTATCGTCACCTGGATTATAAGTATTGCAACCATGGTTCAGGTTTGTTGATGATGAGCTAAGCCAGGAAATACTGTATATCTCAAGGTGAGCTGCTGCTTACCTATAATCGATTGTATTAGAAACGTCTCAAGGTGCAAGTTAAGTCGGACTCCCATCTGAGGGAAATGAACGAGTAAGCATCGTAAGTCCGCTTGGCTAGTTCAGATTTAACTCTCGTCTGTTATATTAATACTTCCGACGCTGAGAAGCTCTCTTCCCTTATGACCTATCCTATATTACTTCGGTTCCAGTAAATCAGATGGCATCGATAGTCCAGCTCAATCTAACGCAACAACAGGGGGCCTGAAGCAACAATCGATAAGTTTAAACAGCAATTTGGTGAATACATTGAAATTAAGCAGGAGGAAGAATGGGTAGAGGTTCCATCCTTGGACGGCTGCGTTGATAGCTGCAAGTACAGTAGCAAAGCCTATTATACAGACTTGGTAACGGGGCTCGCTATAACCAACTTGATCAATAGTATCTGACTTTTAAGAGGGTCTTCGAGTCTTCGAGACATCTCGATTCATCCCGAACTAGCAGCGAGCATAATTCGTGCTATTAATAATATCCTTCCACTCATCCAGAAGTCTTAATGTCTCCTCGCATTTTTCCTTGATCGTCTCGTAGCAGTCCGTACCAAGCGGTAGCCGAAAAGGGATCTTCTTTCCTGCTGCGACGCCTTCTGCTCTGACAAGGTCCAAAATAATGGATACACCTTTTTCGACATCCCCGGGTTGCGCGCGATCCTCCATAGCAAGCATGTTCTGAAGATCTTCGGATCGGCCTGCGTAATCAGCAATGCTGGACTGCGAGATTTTCAGATTCGCGCTCGAGAGTAGCAGTGTTCGAAACCGGCCTGGCTCGATCAGGAGAGTCCGTAGGCCTAAGGGCTCGGTCTCCCTCCAAAGACTCTCGACGAGGCCTGCATTGCCTTTTTAGTCAACTGGACGCTTCGGTCAACGGAGATTACGAAGCTGCTGACCTTCTAAGGCAAACTTGGTCCCAGAGTATGGACCAACAAACGGGTCACCATACCATCCTGATCGGGAGCTGATGAAGACAGTTGTCCCTGACCTCCTCTGTCGAAAGTGCGGCAGAAGAGCCTTGGTGACTTTCAAAACCCCGAAAACATTTGTATCGAAATTTGCACGGAACTCCTCATCTCTGCGGTATATAAGCTTTCACTGCCTCTCCTTAATTTCAGAGGAAGCAGGGGCACTAACGAAACATCTTCCCAAGCACCAACAGCAACGTAAGCAGCGTTGTTCACCAGCACATCAATATGACCGTAAATCGCAATTGCCTTTGCTATTGTTTCATTGAGAGTCTTCTGGTCGCTCGTCACATCAAGCTGCAAGACGGCGGCTCCGCTGCTCCTCAGATCTTCTATGCTTTCGGCTCGGCGCGCGGTTGCAATGACCCGATCTCCACGAGCGAGAATCTGCTCCACGAAGACCCGGCCGAATCCGGAGGAGCATCCTGTAATGAGCCAGACGAGGGGAGACATTTTATCTGATGCAGGGTAGTCAAGATACACCGAGCAAGACTACTATACAGAAATTCAATTGAGAGATATGTGCTTCTCTCTGGACCTTTTATGTTGCTTCCTTCTAACAATCCCTGCCGTCGTGGAGTATTGCAATATTTGCTGTGACTCATTTACTCTGAGTCATGTTGGACTACTTCTAAGACGATATGTTAATGATCGAGCAATGTTTGATTGTCGGACTTTGATAGTCAGGGTGCGGACTACTTGGCGCATACGTCCAGACTGTGCCAGAAGAAATAGGCATAGGCCATAATGCCGAGAAATTTTGCTGTCCTACTCAGGATAGCCCGTAAGCCACGTGCAGAATATACTCTTTTAGGGCCTGTAGGAACCGGGGGTAAGCATCTTGGCATTGGCCCTGGTAAGCACTAGTCAGAACCAGACTCCCGAATTGGGCGATGAATGGTGTTTGCTGACCTTGATCCGGACTTGACGAGCAGTATCTCCGGCACAAGGTAAGCCATAGCAGACAAACGTTATCTGCCTGAAGCTAGTGCAGGGCACAAAGATACCTTCGGCCAAGGTCTTTTCAGTCTCCTAATACTCTGGTCATGCTTAGCCTCCACCTTATCGCTTCAGAAACGTGCTTCATTAGTACCACTATCTCTTACATGCAAAAAGACAATAGCAACGAGCGTATACAACAAGAGCTGACTTTGCTGAGAGACGGCAGCAGAGGACAGAGTTACATATCATTGCTTTCCTTACTTCCCTTACTTCTCGTAAACCATACCTGTCATATATCAAAGGCTTAGCGAAAAGGTGTCCGGACAACCATTTCTAGCTAGTAGAGATAATAGCAGTAGCGTCACTAATATTGTTAGCTACCTCTGTCACATTCTTGCCCTGGGAATATCTAGTGTCGCCATTGGCGGCCTCCGAGTAGTTGGTGACTAAGACGAAAGTGTCTCCCTTTCAGAGAGTTGGTGAGAGACTGGACGGAGTTCATACTGGCCTATATATATTACATCAATACTCGGCGCACCGATGGAGCGTTTGACCGCGTGCTAAAACAAACTCAACACTTTGCTTGACAAGTTCCTGAGTTAATTCCTTTGACATGTCACGGGTAATGCCGCGGATTTTATATTCTTCGGAAAGCTGAGATCTCCAAGAATGTGCTTGATAACGTAACCAGTGGTTTCCGGTGTCAAAATAAAACAGTGGTAGGCTTTGACATTTTGGAAGTGAGCGATTAAACGCACAGGCCGAGACCTCACAGCAAAACGCCAAGTTTGTAATTATATTACTGCAGTTGCTTTGAAAGACTAGGCAGGTTGGACTCCGAGCGACCAAAATATAACCAAATAAGCTTTCGGCAGTTGCTTGACCTGTTCCATTGACGATGAGATAAAGGAGTCCAATTATGCAAGCCAACCCCTTTTTTGAACGTCTGCTCTGCTTTGTTCCTCCGCCTTTTGCTATTCCTCTGTACTCCAGACGTACGATAGGTACAGATTAGGTAATCCTTCCATAATTGAATGGATGCGGTCTGCCCAAGGGGTAGAGAGATCAGTAATTAATAGTCCATCTATTAAGATAAGACCGGAGACACGTAGCAACACACCAGGAGTAAGCCAGCCACATTCTTCCACCTCGAACATCCCCCGATCGGATCTACAGCACATACCACCATGTCCAAAACCCTCTTTGACATTGTCTCCGAGTTAGATAAGCATGTATCCCTACAGCTCTCGCACATTCTCAATGCATAGATATTAACACATCGTAGCTTCCCGTACCATGAGGAGGAACCAGTACGCTTCGCCGAAACTCTCAAATCCTACCACGCGTTCAAAGTACAAGGCATCGATGCAACTCTTGGATACATCCCAAACACCCTTGTACAGAGCATCACCTGGCCAAAAGACCATTGGATGATCGACTCCGCAGCAATTTCCCTTATCAACCCCCCGGACAATGCAGCGTCCACACGCACTCGAATCATTCACGACGCACTCAACAGGATGATTGAAACCGGGTATACCAATATCCTAAAGGGCTGGCGCAACGAGCGATTCCCAGTCTACGGGCCCGGCGGCGACGTGATCCTAGAGATCGAACGGTCCGCGAGCGCACTATTTGGCATTGTAACGAGCGGTGTGCAGATGCTTTGCTACGTCAAGGACGCAAAAGATGGTATTCGCCTCTGGATCGCTAAGCGCTCGATGCAGAAGCAGACCTATCCGGGTATGTTAGATTGCACTGCTGCCGGGGCCCTAAGCGTGGGGGAGTCACCTCGAAGCGCCATGATCCTCGAAGCTACAGAGGAGGCGTCTATTGGGCGTGAGGTTATCGAGAGTGGCATGAGATACGTCGGTGCTATCTCATATTTCCACATGAAAGAGTCATCTATTGCGCTGGGGACAGACGGGGTCTCGACGGCTGTTCTGCTACCCGAGGTCGAATACCTATATGAACTTCAGTTGGACGAAGGGGTGGTTCCCCGGCCGAAGGATTCGGAAGTGGAAGACTTTCGACTTTGGAATATGGACCAGGTGCTTGACGCCTTGGGCAGGGGAGTGTTTAAACCAAATAGTGCGGTTGTGGTTATCGACTTTTTCATTCGCCATGGCGTCATATCACCAGAGACAGAGCCAATGTATGAAGAGATTATAAGAAGGCTGCATCGGCGGCTACCGTTTCCTACTGCAGTCTGGTCTATATAATCATGCACATACTTTGAATATCTTATTATCCGAGCCAGTGGAAAGACGGCGGGCAAAACAAATTCATGTATGCTACAATTCGGCTATTATTTGCATCTCTACAGATATCAACCGGTCGAGGTTCGTATTCCAACTTTGAAGACCAGGACGCTTTCATCCTTTGTTTTATTACGAGCCGGTCTGCATGTATAGGTCCACGTATATGTGTGGCTACGTCGGCAAAACTTGCCGAATGCTCTATTTCCATAACCAGCTGGAGTCACGACGCCACCGTCCTCGTCCAACACTTTCAGTTCTTCAAGATGCGATTCGATTGCTTCATAGGAATCTTCTCAATCCCGTCAACATAATAGTACGTCCAACCAAGGAGCTATAGCTTCATGACTCTGGCATATTATCTAACGAACCCACTTGGATGTAGCCACTGGTGTGGTTTTTACCGCAGAGATCAATATTTTCTGGCCGGTAGTAGCCACGCGTCGTCTGGTAAGTAAACTTGCTATATGCCGAGCCTTTTTACAAGTATGATGCCATGCCACCGCAAATATCAACAGTTTCGTAATTAGTTCCAAACCCTCTGATTTCGGGAATGATCCGGTAGTAGAAGTTCGCCGCATGCTCTGTCTCTGCGAAGCCGATAAAATCATTCATCTTGTGGCTGGCGTTATCCGCATAGACGGCCCACGTAGCAGCCCCTGCAAGGGCCATAGACTTTTGATGGTCCTGGGTAAGCTTCGACCTCTCTCTGGTAGTGAACGAGATTTTGAAACCCGGCTTATCGAATCGTTTATGCAGATTGGAGCTCACAGTAGCATTTGCGTCATAATTCCCTCCTGGAAGGGGCAGTTGGAGAACAGTCTCACCGTTGTCATAGTGATTGGCAATGATATCGTGCTTGGGGGAGTTGTCAAGGGTGAAACCAGCAACCTGGAGACGGTGGACAAGGGAAGGCTCTCCTTGGCGCCTAGTCAGGGTGGCATCATCGGAGTTGAATGCAAGTGGTGCGAGACTGTCGTAGGAGATATCACCGCTGCTAGACAACATGGTTTCCCACAGGCGCACATAGTCCTGAGAACCATCGAGTTGACGTTTGGTCGGCAGACCTTCCGGGACGGCCCCGGAGTAGTGCGCAGCAGCATAATAGACCAAGGTTAGACCGGCTTGGATAATGTACGATAGATCACCACATCTACTGCCGTCGACATATTCACAGACGGATCGAGCAAGGCCCACGCCCATTGTGATATAGACAAGCCTAGAACTTCTTAGCTTCCCAGACATATGAGTGTTGCAAGAAGGTGTCTGTCTTACGTGAACTTGCTGGTGCCAATGGTACGAATTGTTCGATTGACTATCTCACAGACCCTATAGTCCCTCTGCTCGAGAATCGCCAGAGGCTCATCAGCAGGGTTGGGAGACCGGATCTCAAGACTCGTATCTGAAGGAAGCTCAGCGAGATCCACAATGGCAGCAGGTGCMGCCAGAGTGGCCCGGCTGCAGGCCAAGAGAGAGAGAAGGAAAACGGAGAATTTCATGCTAATATTTAAGGAAAAGAGAGTCCTGCAATGGAAGATTCAGTTGCCTAGGGGTTGATATGAATATTTATAGTAGTACGCGCGTGTTTAGCGTAGGATATCAGGAAGTACTTGATTTTGTATATACAGATTGCGCTTACAAGATAATGTAATGGGATCCGCAAAAGCATGTGCTATTGAAGTACTAGAGCTTTCTATTACATAAAATTCATGTCTCCATAATATGGATACTGGATAACAGCCCTAAAGGCCCTCGGAATGCAAGTGGGGGGGTCAGCAAGCGTTAGTTGACGGGGTCAGTTAAGTACCTAGCATGGCCCTATCTGTTTTCATCCTAAAATCATCAATTCCGAGGCAGCAACCATTTTGTGAAATCTGTGCTCTTCCTTTCTCCCATTGACCACAATCTAGTCTATGGTCAGATTTAATCCGATGGATGCTGATAAACAACCTCCTATATCAAGTCCTTACTCTTCCTCCTCAGCAGTCCCTTCACGGCGGATCAGGACTCTCAAGAGCATTGTACAAAACCGATGGACGTAAGTACAGTTCTGTATACAGTGAACTAGGATATAAGGAGCTGAGTTTTTAGTATAATTTTGATTGTGCTGTTCACTACGCTTGTACGATGGGTGTGGAGTTACATGGGGTGGCCTAATGGAGGAGACTTGGCCCTGTCACTTAATACTGTCTTGTTGCTTCTTTATTATGTCATATCACAGCACGTTGATAGACTCTAAGGAAATGATGGGTCGTGTCACAAAAAATTTTTGTTTACCTGCTTGGATTATCTACTGCTTAGTCCGTACAATCCATGTATCTTTTCCTCCAACTACAATATTACTGTGCTAGGTAGCATTAATTACTAGGAGAGTTGCAAGTCTTGGAGCCAGCAAATCAATCAGTAGCGACTGGCAGTCTCTTGTATCCGCTGAATATTCATAATACTCTAAGAAAGCTACACTAGTATACATCCGATTCTTCCTGTGCATTGCGTTTAAGTAGTTTTAAGGTACCACATCGGTGGCTCCAGCTCATGTCCGATGTCTCATTTTTTTTGGCGCCAAGCCTAAATATTTGTACAAAGCAACCAGAATAAATTAAGCACTGCTCCGCACTCCGTACCTCCCACTACACCGCTCCTAGAGCAGCTACATACTCCACATTACTAGATGTCATGTCTAGGGCCTATCTAGCATGCTTATAGGCTATTAATATTTTTTTTATATGAAATGTATGGTATTATTTAATTCTGACCTATATCTAAAATATTGGTTTGATATCTGGGGGTTGAACTCAATCACTTTAGAATCCTGGTGGATGTCAAAGGTGGGTTATGCATATAAATATTTGAGTACCTGACATTCCCACTTGCTAGTTGCATAGCTAGAACTACCCTCGCCGGACTCTCAGTGGCTCGGATTCGGTCCCTACCTTAGCCTAGAGAACCTCAGCAGTTTCGGTTCTCAGGTTTGCGGTGAAACCGGAACCAAATCACACTGGGTCAGGGTGGGTTTCAAGTTGTAAGCGAACTGCAACTAGACGAGAACTCACACCACTTCGGGCCGAATGCTCATACAGTATGGATATTAAATATAGTATTCGATACCCCTACTGTATGAGCATCCGATATCAATACCGTCCCATGATGTATTCCTAGGATACAAGTATGATAGCTCAATGGTTTATTTCATTTTACGATCGCATCCTTTTGGGGATAGGGCCATAGGTAATACAAGCAGGTGACAGTAGAAAATTTGTTTTGACTGTTCTGTACATTCATTCCGCCGTAGGTTGTCCTTTGTTGTACTACTCCAATCTCCACTGTTGCATGTGGGCACGTCCAGTACCTAGTTATAAACCAACACCTTTCAGTTCGAGTGTCTTGGCCGATTCAGGTCGTAAGCCTTCTGCATGGCCTCTCTGAGGAACGCCTTGACATCGGCTTGGACGAGCTCGTGCTCCCTGCGGACCCATTCTTCCCACAGGGCAGCAAGACCCAGGGGTATATACGCCAGCCTAGCCGATTCCCGTTCCACACTTTGAGACGATGGCCCAAGTCGGCCAATTTAAACAATAATATGTAGGCTATTCACTTACAACAGCCCTATCTCTGGGAGAAGGACGGCCAAACGAAATTACGCTTGCACCACCATACCGGCTACCATCGCACCCATCAGCAGCATTGGCGCCATTGTCCTGTCTGCGACGTTTCCAGAGATCGTCGTGCTCGTGGCAGAAGTACCTGCTACTGTCGCACCTGTAGTAGAACCCGTCGGTTTGTTCGTCGCAGCTGCTGTAGCAGTCGCAGCGGTGCCAGTAGGGAAATGACCCGTCCCTGCCACAGTCAAGGTAGCAGACAGGATTTCCCTGACCTCGGTTCCAGGGAGAACATATGTCTCATCACGAGTCACGGTGTGAGAGCCAATGTGCMATGACTGGCTGTACGAGCAAGTGGCGGTGGTGGGTGTGGGAGAGCCAGTAAAGGTGCACCCAGTGCTTGTATAGCTAGAATAATCAGCGCCGTAGCAGGATTATTTCCACGGTAGAACTTACAACGCATAGTCGCTCATAATGAAGTCGTAGGCTGCGTGATCTGGTCAGTCATGTCCGTTGACCGGGTACATCGAAGGCCTACAGCTGGGAGCAGCGATAAATGTCGCATCTGGATCAAATCTGATACAGGCCGTTTCGGCACTTGCTGGAGGGCAATTGATTGCGTACGTCGTCGTGTCCCCGTTCTTGAATGGTGATCAGAAATATGACAGTCGATGGTGCCAATTGACATACTTCACTTATCAAGCGTCCCTCATAATCCTGCCAGTAGTTTCCAGAGCTTTCAAAGCCCACCCATGGCATGGTCTGCTTGGTATGAACATCATCAAATACACTTTATGGAAATTATACGTGATGCACTTACTAGGACAAATTCCGCCAGACTGAGCTTGAAACAGCCCAGGGGGACCAGTAATGCCAGAGCGTACATGAACCGCATTCTGTGCAGGCTAACTTGGACGTAAAGCTATCAGAGCTCAGTGAACAGAAACTTTGGGAATGCGCATGATTTATGCTTGCTCTCTGCTGACCATTTTTGCAATATAGGGCGCCTCGCTTCTCTGGGCTAGTGCCTAAGTCTAACCCACTAGTTTCTTCTTAGGTTGTATTCAACAAAGCGGTAAACCCAATCCTACTGGTTTCTGGCCAGTAGCTTGGAACAAGCCGAATCAAATCGAGCGTAGAACGTTTTGCCAAGCAAAGTCGTACCATTAGTCCTGACTCATTGTTTAGGAGGGTCATTGCGGCTGATTCGAAGGATTGCTGGTGTATCGTCAATGTATATCGACGGAGCTGATACGGATATAGTACTTACGAAAGGTATATTGGATTATTCCTTGGTCACGGTCTGAATGATGCCTTAGAAATGGAAGTCGTAATCAGATATCACACTCTCGCGGCGTGGAGAAAGATAAAATTAATGATGCAATGCCCAATACCGTCGTCAGCCCTTTCATTCTTTCCATCCGGAGCTGCTAAAGGCGCAGCGGTATCAGCCGAGCTGACAGCCATTGTAATTAGATGCAAAGAGATTGTGAGCAGTTCTGCATTCTTGATTACACAGTATATCCCTATCTGTTTATGACCAGGAAGCGAACATTCAGAGCAATCAAATATACCAAGAGAAACATTATAACACCATCGCAGACCTTAGGATCAGTAGAGATGAAGGTGTCCTTCTCGTATTCTCGGTCTCTATGGCTACCTTATTGTGGAATTTGGAAATATCTCCGTAATACCACTTATTCCAACCAGTACCTACACAGCGGCTATGGCCCGCCATCAGCCATCGTCCCCCAAGCTCACCAGCTCTAGTTCACACTGGCAGTCCACTGCGACACCTTCAAGGTGGCAGGACCACCAGTGAAGGGCTCAGTCCCGAATTGCATATCTACACCAGTCAGTCACGATCCAGTTAATGAAGTGAGAGCACTTACTGATCAGGTACTGGCTCGAAGCAGGGTAGCCATGCTTGCTGGCCAGATAGTTCCAAAAGGCCTTGACATCTCCACTGAAAGAGGTGATCGGGGTCGCAGAGACAAAGCTGTACGTCTTCTGGGTACTGCCGCCGTACCACAGCTCCCAGGTATGGCCGCCAATAGTGGCGGTGTCGATCTGCGAACCGATGGGTTGGACGCCGCCGTAGCGAGCGAGCCTACACCAATCAGTTAGGTTCAATCAGTCTGATCAAAACGGAAGCTCATACCAAATCATCAGTTCATAATCCCCACTGTAAGTGACATGGTTGATATCCGCAGCTGTGAACAGGTCGTACGCTACGTCTGCGCGGATGTTGGTGTTATCGTAGCTCCACTGCACGGTGGTTGGGATACTGCTGATCTGGCTGACAAGCTTCTTGGTCAGGGCAACTTGCGAGTTGGCGTAGCTTTTGACCTGGTTATCGCCGCCGGACCACGTCCAGGTCGTGTGCCAGGCCACGCCGGAGTTGGAGATGCTATCAACGTAGGTGCATTGGGAGCCGGAGCCGGACCCCTCACCCCAGAGGTTGTTGTTGACTGTATACCGGCCGTTGCTGGAGGTGGCATACTGGCCACAGAGGGTTTGAGCGAGGGCGGAGGAGAAGAGGGCTCCAAAGATTGCGAAGGTCTTCATATTGTTCTGTAGCAAATTCTCTCTTAAGGCTTGGACTGGAAGAGAATTGAAGCAGACAACGACCTGGACGGTCTTCTTTATAGATGCTGAACCGTAGGTGAAGACCCCTTCCCCTGAAGCAGCCATCGTGTCCTCAGGGCTATTGGTGTTTCATGTTGACAACAGCCTAATCATGGCCCTCGCCTATGAAACAGTCTGCAGCCTGATATAGGGAATATAGCTATAAGACCTTCTGTATACAGAAACAATCGCCGTGACAGTGTCCCATTCGAAACAATCTGCCGGCAAATGCCGTATCCGAACTTGTAATTGCACCCTGGGGACAGGCACCTAGGCCCGACAAGCCGACGGTTATGAAACTGAAGAAGCCAAATCGTCCCATGGCTAATTCGCTAGTAGTAATATCTCCGTTAAATGCTTTCTTAGGTATAGACGAAGCGGAATAGACTGGCCTAACCCTGAAATGGTAAGTCTGAATAGTGCCGGAGTTTAAGCCAACCAAGAGTTGTCTCCAGCGCCACACGGACCTATCTCGCTTTTACAGGGAGGTATCGGCATCTGGCCGATGTCCTCAAGTGCCTAGCAATGTAACGAGGCGGGGTTAAAGGCCAAGTCCGCACGAAAGAGGAAGTCCTGAAGCTGATCATCATTTGGACTTGCCAGCTGCCTGAATGGGTAAATGGGTTCTTACGCGCGACTCTGAGGAAGATGCCTGATTTTATAAGCAGTCATAAATGCCGAGGAGCTATACCGTCAACGAGCAGGAATATCAAAGGAATCTGCATCCAGCCCTTTGCGACGTATGTCCTTTATGTGGTGCGCAATGTCTGTCATCCCCGTGCACGATGATCTCTGCTCCTTTAATTGCACGCCACAGAACGACAGTACGAGACTCCCTCCTTAAAAGGAGACGGCCAACACTTAAGCAAATTCACGGCCGAGTGAAAACTACAAGTAGATTCGGCTTTGATTTGTCGGCTTCCCCCCCGCAATGCCCAGCTTCCACGACGCGATCATAATGGCGCCCATCCTTTGCGGGGAAGAACAAGAATACTAGCCAACTCTAGTGAGGCCATGCCTTGGATAAGTCCAATAATGATGGCCCGTGCAATATTAATTCCTTGCTAAAGTTTGCGAAGAACCCGCGATGTAACAGTGCCACGAGAGCGATGCGATGTCGGGGTGCATCTTCAAGCCATGCGATGGCTCTACAGCAGTAAATGCGTTCTAGTTAATCAATCTAGACCAGTGAGGGGGTCCATTCCATCTTTCATTCCGATCCGCCCGCTGTGGCCGTGCACTATTGATTCCAATAACAGAAGCATGGCCCATGCGGGGAAGCAAGGGGCCTATGCCCCTGTCGATTCTTTCCCTCTCGCTATTTGATCGGCGCAGGATAAATAGCGACGAATGCCTCCCTGTCCGATTTGTTCCCAGTGATCAGCATCGACGCCCGCCGACATGCAGAACCTCTTCCTTTCTCTCCTGGCGGCTGCTGTGGCCGTCCACGCCTATGGTTCCGGAGGCAGCAACTGGGATCTAGCGTACTCTCGCGCCAAAGATGCTCTGCAGAAGCTCAACCAGACCGAAAAGGTGGGGCTGGTGACTGGGGTCAAATGGATGGGCGGACCCTGCGTGGGCAACACATACAAGCCCGAGTCCATCGACTACCCTTCTTTGTGTTTACAGGACTCGCCGCTGGGTATCCGGTTTGCAAACCCCGTTACGGCCTTCCCGGCGGGTATCAATGCCGGTGCGACCTGGGATCCGCAGCTGCTGTATGCCCGGGGAGCAGCAATGGGTGCTGAGGCGAAGGGACTGGGTGTTAATGTGCAGCTTGGTCCCGTGGCGGGACCTTTGGGCAAGAATCCCAACGGAGGCAGAAATTGGGAGGGTTTCTCGGTTGATCCGTATCTGAGTGGTGTTGCTATGGAGAAGACCATCAGAGGAATGCAGGACTCCGGAGTGCAGGCTTGCGCCAAGGTATGCTCTCCTCTGCAACCTAAAGAGCCTCGTGCTGATGATGAAGTAGCACTGGGTCGGAAATGAGCAGGAGCACAACCGCGAGACGATCAGCTCGAATATCGGCGACCGCGCGATACATGAGCTGTACGTGTGGCCGTTCATGGACGCGGTCAAGGCCGACGTCGCGGCAGTGATGTGCTCGTACAACAAGGTCAATGGCACCTGGGCGTGCGAGAGCGATGAACTCAACAACAAACTGATGAAGGGGGAGCTCGGCTTCCCTGGATACATCATGAGCGACTGGAATGCGCAGCACAGCACCGTCAACAGTGCCGTGTCCGGATTGGACATGACCATGCCGGGGAGTGACTTCAACAGTCCTCCCGGCAGTATCTTCTGGGGACAGAATCTGGAGGCTGCCGTGGCCGACGGGTCCGTCCCGCAATCTCGCCTCGACGACATGGTCACTCGTATTCTGGCTGCGTGGTACCTCGTCGGCCAGGACGAGGGGTATCCTCCCGTGGCCTTTAGTTCATGGAACGGTGGCAAGGCCAATGTCGATGTGACAGCCGACCACGCCAGCGTCGCCCGTGCCGTCGCTCGCGACTCGATCGTTTTGCTCAAGAACAACCAGGGCGTCCTCCCCCTGCGCAAGCCCAAGAGTCTAGCGATCGTCGGCCTCGATGCCATCGTCAACCCTGCCGGACCCAATGCCTGTTCTGACCGCGGCTGCGACAATGGCACGCTCGCAATGGGCTGGGGAAGTGGAACCGCCCAATTTCCTGTAAGTCTGCACCCATCTTCTCAAGCATGACATGCTAACTGGACAGTACCTCGTCGGGCCTCTGGACGCCATCCAGAAACGCGCTGCGGCCGACGGCACCAAGATCGTGTCCAGCACCACCGACGACCCCACCGCGGGAGCGTCCGCGGCCGCCGCGGCCGAAACAGCCATCGTCTTCATCAACTCTGACTCAGGCGAGGGCTACATCACCGTCGAGGGCAACCAGGGCGACCGCAACAACCTGGACCCTTGGCACAACGGCAACGAGCTAGTCAAGGCCGTCGCAGCCGCCAGCAAGAACGTCATTGTCGTCGTCCACAGCGTCGGCCCCATCATCCTCGAGACTATCCTGGCCCAGCCCAGCGTCAAGGCTATCGTCTGGGCCGGACTTCCAGGCCAGGAAAGCGGCAATGCCCTTGTGGATGTGATCTACGGCGCCACGGCTCCTAGCGGAAAGCTCCCCTACACTATCGCCAAGCAGGCAGCCGACTACGGAGCTAGCTGGACCAATGCCCTGACGGACGATTTCACCGAGGGCTTGTACATAGACTACCGCCATTTCGATGCGCAGGGAATCGCCCCGCGGTACGAGTTCGGCTATGGTCTGTCCTACACTACCTTCAAGTACAGCGGTCTCTCGGTGAACGTGTTCACGACTGCTGGTGCGGCTAACGGCCAGGTTGTTCCCGGCGGCCCGGCCGACCTCTTCGAGGTGGTCGGTCAGGTTACCGTGTTCGTGAGAAATAATGGATGGGTGGCTGGCGCCGAGGTGGCCCAGCTCTACGTAGGTCTTCCTGACTCTGCGCCTGCAACGCCTCCTAAGCAGCTGCGTGGCTTCCAGAAGATGATGCTCCAGCCTGGCCAGATGGGGGTAGCGACGTTTGAGCTGACCCGCCGGGATCTGAGCTACTGGGATGTGCAGCAGCAGAAGTGGGTTGTGCCCAGTGGAACGTTCCAGGTGTATGTTGGTAGCTCTAGCAGGGATATCCGTCAGCAGGCTTCTTTTAGGGTCCGTCGCGGATGGTCTTGATCTACTATGGTTATAATGTTTGGAAGATCTATAATCGAGAGCCATAATATCATTCCTGAGTCTAGCTAATCATGAAACTTGCGTCCACCAATTCGTTTGCAATTCCTTTAGACCATGCTCGTAGACGTGCGTAGCTCCCTAGCTAACGAGTGCCGAAGTGCATTAAGGACCAAGCGCAGCGTTTGGCTGCATATGCTGCATTCTAGAACCCCCATTGTGCGTAGTCTCTCTAAAGCTGAGCGCACCTCTCCACCGCAGAAAGACAAATATCACGCATGAAGCTGGGAATACACTCCAGAAGATTATCGTGCAGTATAGGATCCGCCGCCCTTCTCAGGAGTGGCAGGTTATTGGTTGTAAGTTGCACGACAAGATCTCTGAGTCCACGATCATTCTCCGCTGTGGAGCTGTACACTTCAATGACAGCAGAGGTGTACGAGTCTCGAGTAGTGTACCTCAAAAAGGACTCCTTGAAGTACTTCTTCGCCTTGCACTTGAGAGTATCAATCTGGAAATAGTCGCCCTGGGCGTACATCTGCGCATCGAAATATGGCTCCCCGAATCGTGGGTTTACAATGCCCGTCCGTCCCCCGATTTCTGCAAGGGGTTCAATCTCGGCCTCTGACAGTCGCCCCATCTCTAGATATAATGGTGGGTCGTACGTATAGTTGCCCGTGTAGAGGAATTCAAGCGTCTTCTTGACCAGGATTGGATCTTGACCTTCGAGTCTTATCTGTCCGTCACCTTCCTGTCGATATATCGCTTATCAGTATTGTATATAGTTATAGACGGGAGAGAAATACCCTGAAGCGTCCATCACAAGCTACCTCAAAGTACTTGGATTGAGAACAGATGATGTTCCTATGTGCTGGAAAGATTTCATCATCACAGAAGATTGCCAAATCGCTGTATTTTGGGTTGAGGAAGTTGCTACCAGAGAGATCGGTGAGCAGGGGGGAATTCTTGGAGGCGCTGAGAATCTCTCACCTAAGGACAAGCTCTTTCGTTTCTCTGGCGAACTCGTCATCTACACTGTCGAGTATTTTGCGTCTTTTCCTTGCCATGTACGCCTCATACATGGCTGTCATTGGTTGATTTCTAGGATCCGCCATTGGGACGCTTGAGGGGTTTGAAGTCTGGTAGAAGTAGAGGAGAACAGATTATCTTTAGAGACAGGGGACGCGGTTGCTTCTTTTTCTCCAGCCAGGTCAGTGTAATTCACTAGTGTGGGCAGCTATAAAGAGTACTCACTTGGAGTTTGCTCGCGCGGTCTTTATGAGAGAAATGTGACTTTAGAGTGTAGTGGCTGTCAGTGTGGCTATAATTACTCATAATTGATATGATTGGCTCTTTTAGCATTATCACTGCTGTGCTTGGTACTGCTCTGAGACTACAGTCCCCTGTCTAGTGAATATGTACTCTTAACAGTGGCTTGTTAAGAGATGCTTTTATTTGTGCTTGGTTGTGTTGTGCCATTTATCAGGATTTATACCAATGAGGCTGAGACACGCCACCCACAACCGGCTTCTAATCGCCTGGGGTTGCACTTCTGACTGACTTAGTCGATCGACCAGAGATAGACCCGCAGGGAGACGTCCATCCCTGGAACGAAGTCTTTCGCAGACCAGCTCTGACTCGGGAAATGCTTGAGCGAAGTGACAGTCCGAACCCTCTCGAGTGAGAAAAGGGCAAGCTCTCGCTGCAAGAGCCTCGACGCTAGTCTGTCGGAGCGATCTTGTCATCGCATATGAATGAATCCCAAGCTGATGTCTCCAAACAATCGATCTCGGCTTTGGTGTATGAGTGACGGTGATTCTGTCGGCTCAAATAGAAACCACTAGTTTCGAGAAACGCCAGCTCAGATTCATCGAAATGCTCAAGAAAGAGCCGACGAATACATGTTGAATAGAGCTTTGGCATTGACAACGCTCAGCCTTGAAAGGATGGTGCATCGCGGAAAACTGGATGGCCCCCAAAAAGGCTGCCAGGGGAGTGTCTCGGGCACTGCCAACCTCCAAGTTCGTGGAATTCACATAGAATTTCCCTCGATAGGCGACCAATGAGACAAAATCGCGTCATAATACAGACCTGTGAGCTGCTGATGATCAAGCTGAAAACCCCAGGCAGCAGCAACCCGATCATCAGGCATATATAAATCAAAACTTCCTATCTCCCACTTGATGCTGATCGAGCCATCTGTGGTTGAAAACCTGAACCAGACATGTTCTGGGTGATTGAGAGCAAACGTGATGGCCCTCACGCGAGGCATACGCCTTGCGGCGTAACCCAGAGAGATAAATAGCCGATGGAACCGCTCTTGCTTGAAGATGGGTCCCTCGAGGGGTCGCTCCAGTTCTTCTATTTCGTAGCTGGACATGGCTCTCCCATCTGGAGTAAGGTGAACGATCCGCTCACCTGTTTATATTTGGGAAGTTAGTGGTTCAGATGTCTGGCATATTGCACCTACAATGTCCATACAAACATATGGATACTTGAGGAAAGGGTTCTTACCTGAAGGAAGGAAGGGCTGAAATGATAAACTCAAAATTTCCAAATTAGGCCAGTGCAAAGATGTGTTGGCTGGTAGTGAGTGATCTTTCTCATCCAAAGGCCACAGAAAATCCAGGGACAAAGGAACTTCCGATAGTTGTAGCTCACGAAGGGAAAAACTCAGTTCTCGGATTCTGATGGATAGGATATCAACGCTTGAGGATAAAACATTCAAGGCAGGCACGATACCCTGCCAATCCCACTCGAATTCATAGTCATAGTGAAAAACCCTCAAAGAGGGGGAGATATCTTTCAGACCTTCAGCGACAGCTACATGTGAATCAGCGAGGAATCGAGAGCGCAGGCAATATGCCGTGGTGGTATTGCTGAACAGGAAAGCTTCATACCCTGACGCCGTTGTTTCATGTATTCCAGGTGTCCTGGTCTGATCCACAGATCCAATCCTATATATAGTTCTGTGAGTTCCGGACATTGTCGAATAATCTGCATCACGGCCCCTGCCCATATCCCTTTTCGAAGTGATATTTTATCAATGCATGAAACATCGCGTAGCATCGATACACCATTACTATTCAATCGCGCGCGATACACAGTGACAGACTCTGTAAGCCCATCTCTGTGCGATATAACTGCTTCATCACTCTCTGTTATATAAGGCTCCTCACCTATCTCACGTCCTCAAAGTACCAGAACGATAGATAGACGATGGCTCTTACCCCAAGACTCTAGGGTGTCAAATAGATTGATGACTGCTGATTGAAAGGCGGTATCATTTGCCTGTCGAACAGGATTGTTGGTGGTATAACCTTCCTCTTTACGAGTCGTCCAGTCTGGGAGTTCAAAGGGGAGAACAATATAGTACCGCAGCTGACGAATCCAGGCACGTCTTGCAATTCGTGGCCCAGAAGTGAATTCTCGGAATTGTCTGAGGCAAATACTGCGTCCATAACCATCCTCGCTGTACACCTTCAATCCGGAGTAAATGAACAACTCAAAGGCTGGCTGCCAGCGACGACAGACAGTGGTATATGCAACCAGAGAAGAGCCTGCCTGTTGGAGATAGCCTGCAATCTCGCACAGAAGTTCGAATGGGAGTCTGGTTGCCATATCTGTTGGATGAAAGTTGTTTATATCTAGTCGCCAGACGTGTTCCCCACAGGCAAATGTGGAGAGTGGACACTTGCACGCCCAGTCGATGACAAAGCACACAGGGGTCAACAATCGAGGCTTGGCACAGAATTATTGAGAGCCTCGAGTATAGGACCTTAGATTGCAACCAAAGCCTTTTGTGACACAGCCATCATTTCATTACTCCATTGACATACTGCGATATGACATGAAGCAACAAGACAGTATTAAGTGATAGGGCCAACTCTCCTCCTTTAGGCCACCCAATGTAACCCCACACCAATCGAAGAAGCGCGGTGAACAGCACGATGGAAATTATACTGATAGTATATCTGGTTAGTGTGATATTAAGCTACCTGGCTGGTAGGCTCAGGGAAGTATAAGTTTCTCAATCCCAAAGTAGTGACTAGCAGAGAACAACAGAGACGGATCCCAAGGTGACAGCCAATCGTATATTGCCGTCTAGAACTATCCAATACTTAAAATTTCCTTTTTAAGGTAGTTATTAATCCCACTCCCATACATATATATAATGCAAAGCATCCAAATAAGTAAATCACTAACGTCATCATCTAGACCCACCTTGCGCCTGCGCTTGCGCTCTATTCAACATGCGCAAATATTATCTACATCCGGTTAGGCTTAGCTATGTGATTCAGTGATTCAGTATAAACACCTGCATTATCACTCAGAACAGGAATAGCTTAGGGAAGGTGACAGCCTTGCATATCTACGAGGCCACCTTGGCATCTGTGATTATTGGTTCAAGTAACTGATCACCCGACATCCATTTGCATGATACTTCTATCCTTCCTGGATATTTGAACGCTCCTACGCCAATCACTAGGCTCATGTATTCTCACTTCAAGTGTTCATTGGTGCTCTACCAAGCCTCATTGAGATCTCACATAGGAAGGCTACAGGTCGAACCTCGTAGATTCTGATCGAAACTTGTGCCCAATTTGTCTTTGTTGCCTAAAATCAGTGCTGTCACCATTTAAAGTCCACAATGGGCGAAGGTTTGCTGTTCTGTTCTTCTGTCTTGATTCTCAACTGGCACATACTCCTCCGGCGAGTTTTGTGTTTCTTCTTGCCTGAGCCTCTTCATATTCTTAGAAGCTCTATACTTCCCAGGTTATCAAATACATCAACCCGCGAACGTGATCGATAGCCACAATGGCCCGATCTGGGAGACTGCTTGGACCTCACCAAAGGTGTTGTGGGAAAAAAATGTACGGATTCAAATGTAAGGGACAAGTCAACGGAAACAAACACAGGTACTATCGCAAATGTGAGAGGTGCCGAAGGTTGGTGGCAGATGATTTGGAAGGATGGCGACGGGGAAACCCTCTTTGTCGTTGTGGTCACCCCAGTCGTATACAGCATGAGCGGGGGCGATCGTGTTTTACTTATCGGTGTCTTCATGAGATATGTGACTTCAAAAAGGAAGTTTATTGTCGGAGTTATCGTCGGGTTTTTCGTCGCCACTATTGATACTCAGACAAATGCGTCTGAGTACGGTGATAACGAGGCGTGATATTCATGTGGTGGAAAGGGATCTTTACGGTGATCTCTCCGCGAACAATTTTGATTTTGACTTTCCTTTTATTTTTATTTTTATTTTTATTTTTTTTTGTCTTTCCTTTCTCGTTCTGTCTCCATACCAGAGACTCGCACATTCGTTCTAAGATGCTTGAGGTTCTCTATGATTCGCACCGATAACCTAGGCGCATCTCCTGCGCTATGGATATCTTCGCTCCTTTCTTAGATAGTTTCGCAATCCAGACACATCAGACGCTCCCTATATGTCGTTCTTAATATAAATATCTCCAACAAATGTACAGAGTAGAACTTGCTAGCATCTACACTACATAGTTAGGCGAAAGTGTAAGCCCAAGCTTGAGCGCGTTACGGTATGCAGGCGATGTCTAGAGCACCACCTTCGGCTGCACTGGGTGATTGCCCTCTGTACTGAGACACTAAGCGTCAATCGCTCGTATGGTCTTGGCCGCTCTGCTCCTAGGCAGACAGCCCAATGATGATATCCATCTCGAAGTCAAAACTAGGAGGTGCAAGCCGATCTTTGAGTTATTGCGATTGCGTATACCCTGAGGTTGGAGTATAAACTTCAGGGATTCCAGTACATGCGTTTGCATCTGGATAGTCATGCGTGGATCAGCGTTTTCCTCTCTCAAACAGCTTGTGATATGTTCTAAAGCCGATGCAAAGAGGGTGCCTTCCAAGGGCGCCTTCCATCTGTGATATAATTTCTAAATGAAGCTTTCCATAAGCCCATGCATCATTAATCTAGCATACCTCAAATAAGAGAGTGTGAGGTGATATTTCATCTTAATCTCAGGCGCGCGCTAATTATGCATAATCCTACTCATGCCGCTAATATTAATAAGCGCTGCATTCCCATATGCATCAAGAATAGTATCTAAGGACCTTAGATCTACATATGTTATTCCAGCCCTATGTAGACAAGCCAGTGCGGAAGCAATCTGCATAGCCCACCACTTCCAGAGATATTCTATCAAGCAGCACTTATTTAAGACTCTTTGCAAGGAGCCACCACTATAAAACTCTAGCAAGATGCCAGTGACCATATTAATGAAGTCTTGAGATTCTTTGCGCCGTTCACTTTTAGAGAGCCTCGCTTCAGCCTTGATTCACCAAATCTGAGAGAGCCTCCACATCTGAATGTCACTATTACCCACCATCTGGAGCCTCCTGGATGGTAGATCACAGACTGTGAGGGAATGTCAGGCCCGGGATCTCCTTTTGCGAGATAGCTCTCAGCCTCATAGTATGATTTGAATTTGATTGAAGGTCTAGCTGGGATAGACAACGAAGCGGTCGACATTTGGTATGCAGTTGACCACACTTCTCATGGGATTAAGGTGCAGTAGCCCCTATTGAGTCTTATATAACTAGATGATGGATGGACATACATAGCGAGGATGCATTGTCATACTGGTGGAAGCAAGAGAAGACTAAGAATCGACAAGAGTCTTTCAAGAGTCTCTTATTTGTTCCTGTATCCACCTGGTCATTCCATTTTGCTTTGGGAACGCATCGACCAAGAGCAACGCTCGATGCCAGAGCTGTCGTATCTACCTCCATAAATTCAATATAGATCCTACCGCCACATGCCGCTAAGCCGTTAGTTTTTATCAATCTCCGTGTGACGAGTAGATGGCGAGCAATTCGTCCCTTGTTGACGATATTAGTTCATTACCAAAGAACTATGGCTTGCACATCTTGTACTCTGACCTTGGCCCTTTMATACAAGTCAACCCCGATTAATAGATTAAGCATTAACCCTGGTAACTTATATGAATATACCTAGTACTGTCTACCTAGTGTATCAATAAACATTGGTAAAAGCAGTCAACACCGATTGGCATACTTTCCCATTTCAATGTCACTATCCATTTTATCATACCGCACCACAACCCGGGTGGTCTTCCTGATGACACACGCATCCGGGTTCATCCTCTCTTGCCCCTCAGCCGCCGAGACAGTCACGTCCGCTCCGGCCTCATCCAGCACGCTCCACCCCTCGATTTTCTTTGGCGTCACGTCCACCGGCTGCGAGCGATTTCCGTGCGAGGCCGGGCCAGCAGAGCTCTTGTTCAATCTGCTGAAGAGTCTGGGGAAGAAGAAGGAGAGTGGGCGGCGCAGCGCAGGGAGACAGGCGCAGATGATGCCGAGGTTGGATTCGATGACGGTCCACATGGACGAGCCGATGCTGTTCCATGTTGTGTCGAGGTGGTTAGTTGCGACGTTGAGGGTTGTGATGCGCAGGACGGAGGTGATGCACGTGCTACCAGTCAATCAGTTATTCATTCTTAGAGGCATGTAAGGAAAAGACTTACAAAATACCCACAGCGAAGATGCCACATAGGGCGACCCTGGACTTGAGCGGGAGCTGCAGTTTCAGAACGATGGGGATGGGCAGCGCGATCAGTACCAGGTCGGTGAGGATGTTGAAGGCCGCGTTGGCGTACCAGAAGGCCGTCATGTTGATGCAGGTGCCACGGCCGGGGAGGGATTTGTCGAACGCCCATTGGACGGGGGTGCACTGGAAGATGCTGGAAAAGACGGTGCCGATGGTGAAGGAGACGATGATGGCGATCCACACCCAGCAGGTCCTGAGAAACCAGCGATGAACAAACAGTCGGATGTATAGGAGGAGAATGCTGATCTTGGTTAAGCCGAGGTTGACCTTGTAGAAGATCTGGGCCACGAAGTAGAGCTGTCGATGTGAGCTGTGAAAGCAGCTGTCTGCGTTGACAGACACACCTTTAATGTTTTGAGAACCAATTCCTTCGGCATCTCATGCTGATGCTTGCCAAATGCCCATCCGCAAACTATGTCATCAGCTGTGCTGCATCACTGGCAGAGTGCCCGTCGACTTACCGATGATCATCTGTATTGAAACCGTCTCCACAAACGCCTGAGAAAGTCCAGCTTAGTCAACGACCGCACAGATAAAACGCTGCATGTTGCTGATACTCACACAAGAGACCAGGATCGTCCAATCGTCTGCTCCAACGCGGCCGGAAAGAAAACGGCGACCGAGTAGTCTTGCAATCACCACGAGAGGAGTGACGATGGCAAAGACCAGCGATGGATAGGACAGCCGCGCAGAGCTGTCCGCGTGATCCCCATAGTCGCTAAACAAAGGCATGGCCTGCGGACTGACACATATCGCGCATTTTGCCTCAGGGCCGGAGGGCAGGGAACTACCTGCACATAAATGCAGAGGGCTCAGAAGCAGAGACAGGGATCAGCTCAGACATGTCACGAATGATCTCTTCGTGTCGCGGAGAATTGAGATTGAGCTCAGAGACCAGGACTTGCGCAATTTCTGAACAACCTGGCTAATACGATATTGCAGCAGCCAATTAACCGCAGCAATTGTCCACCACCTTGTCGTTCTTCACCCAGGCGGCAGGATGAACAAACTCGGTGGCATGTGCAGCAGCAAAAATTTCCATGTCTCAGCAGCGATTCGTGCGTGATTAATTGAGGTTACAGTTCCTTGAATAACCGGGTTGGCATGGCCTAATGATATTGAGGCAACCCATGTCGGTTTAATAAACTACCCTGCACTGTTCATCCGCTGGTCCAATCCTCCTCTTAGCTTTGAGTGGACAAGCACACTTGTTTTACTGTTTAATTTATCGATACGTGCCGCTCCGTCAACCGAGATGACTACTAACCACTAACCGCCATCGCCGCCGGCCTAGAAAATTTAGTTCTCTCGCTAGTCGTGCACCATCCATGCGATTGCGAGACTCGAGCAAGGGATCGACACCCGGCACGACTGATGTTGAGCCCGTGGGCCGTCAATATGCAGGGATCTGTGCCGTGAGGGGATAAATGTCCGTTTGGACAAGACTATTTTTCCTCTTGGTTTTCTGGCCATGTTACATTATTATCTATTTATCTCAAGTCCTCTAGCAGGGATTATCTCCTTTCTTGCCACATTCCTGTTGAGTAGCAGGCTCCGTGGCTGCCACGCTATGCTGTAACGTTTAAAAGCCTTTTCGACTCTTTTCTCTCCAGTCAACCTCAAGCATTCGCATCCCAATCTCTCAATTCACCGGGAACAGGTTGCTCTGGTCGCCATGGAAAAACAGCCTGATCATGAGATCAGCCAGACGGGCAGTAGCCTGGAAACCGCAGTACCCGAGATCGAGATCAACGAGAAGCGAGAGAAGGCGCTTCTGCGCAAGATCGACCTGCATCTCATGGTGCCGCTCTGGGTCATCTTCGTATTTGGCTTCCTCGATCGAATCAACCTGGGGAATGTGGCGGTGCTGGGGATTCTCAAGGAGTTGAAAATGGACGGCAATGATATGGCGCTTGCCATGCAGATCTTCTTCGTCCCGTATATCATCGCGGATATCCCGAGTAATATTGTTCTTAAGCGGTTTGCGCCGTCCACCTGGATCAGTGCTTTGACTTTTTGCTGGGGTGAGCATTCGCCCTTCCCTTGCCCTTCTCTTGCGCCTGTCTAACAACTCAGGTATAACATGCATGTGTCAGGGCCTCGTGAAGAACAAAGCCGGCCTGGTCGCCTGTCGCTTCTTCCTGGGTCTATGCGAAGCAGGCTTCGTTCCCGGCTGCGCATACCTGATGTCCATGTACTACTGCCGTCATGACTTCCAGAAGCGGTTCTCGCTGCTTTGGGTAGCCGGCTTGGTCGCCGGTGCCTTTGGCGGCTTACTAGCCTACGCTCTCGACCATATGCACGGGCTGGCAGGCTACTCAGGGTGGCGGTGGATCTTCATCATCGAAGGCCTGCTGTCGATTGCCTCGGCGTTGCCCGCCAAATTTCTCATCGCCGACTGGCCCGAGCAAGCTCGCTTCCTCAATGCCGAGGAGAAGGCTCTGCTCAAGGAACGCAACGCGCGGGATCTAGGCGGACACGACGGGGCGAGGATGGATCGCCTGGATGGCGCCGCGTGGTGGCGGATCATGTCCGACTGGAAGATCTACGTCGGTAGCCTGATCTACATCAGCATCACCGTGTCGGGGTACGCAACGGCCCTGTTCATCCCGTCCATTGTAAACTCGCTCGGCTACTCCGGCATCGACAGCCAGATCCACAGTATCCCCGTCTGGGCCGTCGCCGCGGTCGTGACCTTGATCGTCTCGTACCTGACGGACCGGATGCGCCATCGCTACGGCTTCATCATATTCGGTGTCCTCTTCGCCAGCATCGGGTATATCATCCTCCTCTGTCAAGGTCCTCTCCCGCAATTCGGGGGCCTGAACGTGCATGTGCGGTATATGGCCGTCTTCTTCGTGACCACGGGGTGCTATATCGTCCAGCCGGTGGCGATCGTCTGGATGGCGAACAACCTGGGCGGGCACTATAAGCGTGCTATTGGCCTGGCTATTCAAATTGGATTCGGAAATATTGGAGGCATTATTGCAAGTAACATCTTCAACAAGGATGGAGCGCCGCGGTATCTCGTCGGATATGGTGTGTCTCTGGCGATGATGGTGCTCTGCGGGATCATGAGTACGGTGTTTGCTGTTGGGGTCGTGATGGAGAATAAGAAACGGGATGAAGGCAAGAGGGACTATCGGTTGAATTTGGATCCAAGCGTGCTGGAAAACATGGGCGATGATGACCCGCGATTCCGCTTCTGTCTTTGATTAGGCATCGAAAAGATGAGGAATAGCAATTCCAACTACTCAAGATCAAGATTATCATATAGACTGACATTTTTCTGCTAATCTCCGGTTACCGAGTTTGGAAGAGAGTACCAGGATGTTATTAGACACCATTGACGACTTAGCAGAGCAAAAAGAGCTAGGAGCTCACCATATAGATCTAATGTACGGAGAATCACCGAAACTCAGCATAGTGGAAATCAGCTGGCGTGAGACACTTTTGCAACTCGCCATAACTATACAATCCCAGCATCATGCCTGTGAACGGAGCCCCGACAGGAGGTGCTCTGGTCATGACACTATTCGCAACCTCGCCAATCCACTGCGTCGGAGATTCGCCTGTCTCGATGACCTCCTTGAATCCGAAGCGATACTTGTCTCCGCATTCGATCAGGAAGAAGAGGTCGGAGCTTGGGCCCACCTCCCGGTCAACGATCGCGCCTTCTGCCGGTCGAAAGCGTACGATACGTTTTCCTTCAGTGGATAGCCGGATGCCGATCGAGCTGTTGGTGAAGTAGTTCCAGTAGACTACCGTGCCGGCTTCTACGTGGATGGAAGAGGGTAGGAAGGATAGTCGTGTCTCCCAGGTGCAGTGATGGGATGTTTGCTTCCTGAGGAAGAGAGTTGGGCATGCCGATGAGGAGAGATTGTATGGGCCGCCGTGGAGGCGCAGATGGTTAGGTCGCTCCGTCAGAGAATAGTCGATTTTCACCGGTGTGTCTGTCTCGTCAGTGAAGCTTAACTATGGTAGGACTGCGCGTACTTTTTCTATACCACCCCAGCTGTAGCTTGGGATCGGAGAAGTCATCCCTCCACGCCACTGGCGGCTCATATTCATACAGCCCTGGTCCAGACTTGAGAGTAATCTTCTGCCCACCATTAATGATCGGCCAATCGTCCTTCCACTCCATGGGAACAAGGAACGTCTCCCGACCTGCCATCAGGATATTGATCAGCCACCCTCAGCGATAAATGCCAGCAAGTGTGAATGCCACCTACCAAAAACCGACTCCTCCCACCTCCCATCCTTCCATACCGGCCTCACCCCAAGAAATATCGCCCACCAGTTCCCCTCTGCGTCCTCGACGAGATCCGCATGCCCGGTGTTCTGCACCTCGTCGTCCACCCCATTCCGCCAGAGCGGATTACACGGCCCGACCTCCCACGGGCCGAACGGACTGACCTCGCTTCGACAAACCCACTCGCAGTGCCCGCTCTCGGTGCCCCCCTCCGCCGTGAAGAGATAGTAGTACCGTCCCCGCTTGAAGATATGCGAGCCCTCCGCTACCCCTGAGGCCGATTCGCGGATCAGCCTCGGCTCGGAGGTGGAGTTACCCGTCTCGAGGTCGACGGTTGCGATGTGGATTGCGAAATCCTTGAGGGTGGCGTTGGGGGTGCGGACGAGCTTGCGGTATGTCGATGATAGATACACCGTTCCGTCGTCGTCCCAGAAGAGCTATTCCGTTAGTTTACTCTTGAGTTCGTGCTTTGTGGTTCGTCCAGGTTCTGGGCTGGGTAGGCTTACATCCTGGTCAAACCCGACCTGATCGAAATACACGGGATCAGACCACGAATCCGAGTCCCAGATGTTCTCTGTCTTGACGTAGAATCCCCGCGGCCAGACCCGGTCGTCCTCCTGGGGACGGTACCGCTCGAAGCTGGCGGCGATGATGTAGAAGATCCCCTTGTGGTAGCGCAGTGTTGTTGCCCAGATCCCACCGCCGGGTTCGGGGGTGTGGATCTGCAGCTGGCTGGGTTTTGTTAGGGCATGGCCGATCAATGACCAGCGGATTAGATCTGTGCTGTGGTAGATTGGTGCGCCGGGGAAGTACTCGAAGGAGGAGGTGACGAGGAAATAGTCATGGTTGACGCGGATGATGGAGGGGTCCGGGTTGAACCCGCGGAGTATGGGATTGTTGTACATTCTACACTACTATAGTGTTTCTCCTGATTGAGAATTCATCAAATTGATGCAAATGGTAGATATGTAGCTATTGCGGGGGATGTTATATAGCGGAGGTTGATAACTTGACGGTTTCTGATGATTGGTGGAGAAATCCAGTCCAGAATCAGTCCGTCAGGATCACTGCCGGATCGGGGCTAAACGCATTTACCCATATTCACAGACGATTTAACCGCAGATGTAGATAAGATGTGTATTTATACCAGTACTCCCTGTCGATTGATATGCAAAGAGGTTGCCTTCCTCAGACGTGAGGCTTCACTTCAACTCACGATCAGGCTGTGTGCTCATGACCATACGTAGCGCATTGAGCTACAATCTATGGATCTGAGGCAGGCTAGCCGGAAGTCGCAAGAGTTCAAGCATGAGAGCTCAGCAACGTTCTCTGATGCTTCACTTGTCATAATGAGCCGTCGTTGACTGAGTCTGACTGAATTAACAATTGCTTGCTCGGCTCTGCATCCTCGACGCATGAGCAGAGAACGAGGTGCTTTCAATTGTCGCAAGATAGGGGCAACATCCTTAGCTTCGGTATTAGCTGTATGTCCAAGACGAGTGAAAGGGGAAACCGTCGATTTTAGTGATTCTGTTGTATGATGGTTTTGCGGCATGTGATTGTGGATTCCCCGGATGGATCACGATGCCACGAAAAGAGTCAGGTTCGCTTGACCAAAGGGACAGCGACGTCAATGGAGATCATGTGAACCTGACTTCTAGCATGTGCTCATAGAATAGCTCCAAATAGTTAAAATGAAGTACGGCATAATCCGAATACCAGGGCAATGGATCGTGGATACGGACTAGAATAAAATATATGCCGCACAATGCCAAGCTCCTTATTGCCTGAATGATCAGGCATATGTTCGCTGAGGAAGACGCGTCGCAACGCCGAGTCAACTGGCAACACAACATAGAATAAGAGATGATAAATCAAGAAATGAAGCATCTTCATCTCATCTCATCTCATTTCATCACATTGAGGCTCTTGACCAATGATGATCAAACACGATAATAAATGGAATTCAGAGTGCTCCTCGGTATTGCCGATGAGGCTTGAGATCCCTGCATACCGGCGCATGGCTGATCTTGCCCATCCTGGTCATTCGATCTGTCTCGGCGCGTTGATTACCTTCAGTTCCGATGACTTTTCTTCATGACCGAAACAACCTTTTTATTCCCCTTCGAAAGTCACGGTACTTGGCCGGAATACTCCGTACACTCTGGCCCGACTGAAAATCAGGCATTCAGGCCACCAACCTGGCTGAGCCGAGGTTGATTCCCCATCCGGAAACGCCGCCCACAGGCCGAGGTGATTCTCTCCCTTCACTTTCCCCCCAATCCACTTCCCCGTGGAGAAAGCAAAGAAAGTTATAAGGGTCATTGTCCATTTCTTTCATCTATCTACCGCTCCGTTTTGTCCAATCTACACCTTCCCCAGATTCCCCCGTATACTACTCATTCACGATGCCTTCTCCTCCTCCCGACTGGGTCAAGGCGCTCACGCCTGCGAGCCCACAGGGTAGCGACCTGCTCAAGCAGGAGCGTGCCCAGTCCAATGTCGAGGTCGACAAGCTTGCGGAGTTCATACACACCAAAGCCTTCCTGGAGAAGCAGCAGCGCTTCCTTGAGCTTCTCTCGCCCGAGAAGGTCTTCGACAAGTCTCAGATGCACTCCCTGGGTCGTCCCGAGCGGATCCAGCGGGCATTGGCCAAGGGTAAGCGACTGCAGCAGTTGAAGGAGAAATACAACTGGACGACAGAGGATTACCACTTTGCCAGTGAGATGATTGGAGAGCCGACTCCTTATGGTCTCCATGCCAGCATGTTCTTGGTACGTTGACTTCCGCGCGATTACGGCAGGGCTTGCGCTAATGTTTGCGGTGTTGCAGGTAACTCTCCGCGAACAATGCACCCCCGAACAGAAGAAGCTCTTCCTTGAACCCGCCGAGAAGTATCAGATCATCGGTTGCTACGCACAAACAGAGTTGGGACACGGATCGAACGTGCGTGGTCTCGAGACCACCGCTACATGGAACCCCGAGGACAAGACCTTCACCATCCACTCGCCCTCTCTGACGGCATCCAAGTGGTGGATCGGATCCCTCGGACGGACCGCCAACCATGCGGTGGTGATGGCGCAGTTGTTCATTGCTGGCAAGAACTACGGGCCTCACCCCTTCATCGTCCAGATCCGCGATCTCGAGACGCATCAGCCGCTGGAGAATATCTACGTGGGTGACATTGGACCCAAGTTTGGTTACAAGTGAGCATCACCCTTCCATAATTTGGTCCCTGCTGACTTTTAAAGCACCATGGACAATGGTTTCCTCCTCTTCAACAACTTCAAGATCCCTCACATCAACATGCTTGCCCGCTTCTCCCGCGTAGACACGGAGACGAATAAGTATATGCGCCCCGCCTCGCCGGCTCTGGTGTTTGGCACCATGACCTGGGTGCGCTCCAACATCGTCCTGCAGGCCGGTACCGTGCTGGCCCGCGGTGTCACCATCGCCACGCGCTACTGTGCGGTCCGCCGACAGTTCCAGGACCGCGACGCCAAGGCGGACGCCGGCGAGACCCAGGTGCTCAACTACAAGATGGTGCAGATTCGTCTGCTGCCTCTGTTGGCGGCCATGTATGCCTTGCACTTTACCGGCCGGGGCATGATGCGTCTGTATGAGGAGAACCAGAACAAGCGCGCCGCCGCCGAGGCCGAACAAGACAAGCGCGGGGCGGCCCCCGAGGCCCTCCGTGCCGGGTCGGATCTGCTGGCCGACCTGCACGCCACTTCGTGTGGTCTGAAGGCGCTGGCCAGTACCACCGCCGGAGAAGGGCTGGAGATCTGCCGTCGCGCCTGCGGTGGTCACGGATACAGCAGCTACAGCGGCATCGGACCATACTATTCCGACTATCTTCCGAATCTGACCTGGGAGGGTGACAACTACATGCTCACCCAGCAGGTTGCCCGCTACGTAAGTTTCTTTGTGCTTTTTTGTCAGACAATGCTAATGCTAGGTAGCTCCTCAAATCCGCTCGTGCCGTGCTTGCCGGCAAGGGAACCGGCAACGACACCAGCCAGATCCTCCAGGCGTACCTTGCCCGTCGGGACAAGGGTGCCTCGTTCGACATCCTCGAGGCGGACAGCGACATTGTTGCCGCGTTCGCCTGGCGCACAGCACACCTCACCTTTGAGGCTCTTAAGTACCGGGATGTTGAGAAGCGGTCATGGAACAGCTTGTTGGTCGACTTTTGGCGTCTGTCCACGGCCCACTCCCAGTACCTGGTGGTCAAGAACTTCTACGAGGCGGTATCGTCGCCCGACCTGACCGCCAAGCTCGGCCCGGAGACGACCAAGATCATGCACAACCTTTTCCGGCTGTACGCTCTGCACACGCTAGAGCGTGAGGCAGCCGAGTTCTTCTCTTCTGGCGCCGTGACCATCCGCCAGATCACTCTCACCCGGACCAACGCGGTGACGAAGCTGCTGGACGAGATCCGACCTCATGCGGTGCGCCTGGTGGATGCCTGGAAGATCCCTGATTGGCAGCTGGACAGCAGTCTGGGTCGCTATGACGGTGATGTATACCCTGATCTGTTCAACCGGGCCAGCCAGAATCCAGTCAACGATCTGGTGTTTGATCCGTATCCGTGGAACGAGGCGGTGCTGAAGAACGCACCCAAGAGCAAGCTTTAATTTTCTTTCTATATGTATATATTCAGCTGTATATGATAGAGATAGAGCAATAGACGATATGACTCATTTGTCCTCATGCGTCCTCAGTCACGAAGTATAAAGTACAATTTACATGACCCTCCGATGTCGGAGCGCTCGTATACATCCCCGCAACTATAAGATCTCCAACACCCTCAACAGCTACAACCACATCATCACATTCATCTCCATCTATACGACATTTATATCTTCAATTCAAAATGACTACAAAAGAATCAGCAACCTACACCCACGGCCACCATCCGTCGGTCCTCCGCTCCCACACCTGGCGCACGGCCGCCAACTCCGCCGCCTACCTCCTTCCCCACCTCCGCCCAGACATGCGGATCCTAGACGTCGGCTGCGGCCCAGGAACCATAACCGTGGATCTCGCCCGGTTGATTCCCGACGGCCACATTACCGGCCTGGAACTCGCCCCAGCAGTCCTCGAGCAAGCCCGCGCCCTCGCTGCCTCCAACTCCCTAACAAACATCACCTTCCTGTCCGGCGACGGCAACGCCCTCCCCTTTGACGAGGGCTCTTTTGATGTGGTCTTCTGCCACCAGGTCCTCCAGCACGTGCGCGACCCGGTCCATATCCTCCGGGAGATGCGCCGGGTCACGAAAGAAGGCGGGCTTGTTGCAGCCCGGGAATCAGATTATGCAGGCTTCGTGTGGTACCCTGCAACCCCTGGGCTGGACATCTGGCGGGAGACGTACCTGAAGGTGACCAGGGCGAACGGCGGGGAGCCGAATGCGGGGCGGATGGTGCATTCCTGGGCGAGGCAGGCGGGTTTTGCGCGCCAAGAAATAAAGTGTAGTTCGAGTAATTGGTGTTATAGTACCCCCGAGGAAGTGGACTGGTGGAGTGGGCTTTGGGCGGAGCGGACGGTGGCGTCGGAGTTTGGGCGGACGGCGAGGGAGAATGCGGGTGTTGGGGGGGATGAGTTGGAGGAGATTGCGAGGGCGTGGAGGGAGTGGGGGGTTGAGGAGGATGCGTGGTTTTCGGTGCTGTCGGGGGAGGTTATCTGTGTTAAGGGGGAAGCTGGTAGATAGACGGATCGATTGTCTCAAAAACACAGGTAAAAAATGCTAGTGGAGTCGGCTCAGCAGAGCACCATGTATGTGTTAATGGGAACCAAGTACCAGATGTGACTTTAACGCAGCCCAGAACCATGTCGGGTCAGCTATGATGGTAAATACACGGCCAGTCCCTCTGATTCTGATGCCCAAACAAGCCCTGGCACCACACATCTTGCTATACCCGTGAGCCCTCCCCTCATCAGGTCTTCTTTGGGCCGATCTCTTTTCTGCCAAATAAATTTTTTCCGAAAGGCCACACATTGTATGCTGCGTATTGGCTTGTTGCCAGATGGATGCTGAACAAGGTGTGTTCAAACATGCTCAACAGCACGTTCAGCTGGCCCACTGTTCGAATAATTTTTAGATTTAGATTTAGATTTATCTCATTTTAAATTCATTTTATTAATTTTGGACCTGCGTTATTAGTGGTGTCCTTGAATAGTTGGAGGAGGTTATAACCTTCGAAGTCTGGGGCAAAGACAACCCGGTTATTCATCATTTGTTCTATGATACAAGGAAAAGCTGCGATCCAGCCCCGCAGATGCTCTGCGGCCAGGAAGAATACGAGGATAGACGAGTAAAAAGGAGGTGTCACTCAATCCCATGGGCTCGGGATTCTCTATTGATATCGAAAGGTTCAAATCGAGTCAACACATTTGAAAGCAAGCATCATCTAGCGGGTTTGTGGTGATGGTGACGGGTGGTTGGCACATTGGTCCACTTAGTGAAAGGATTGTAAATGTTATATCTCACAATAAGCTTCCAGCGGTTCTCTCCCAGACGAAGGTAGGGAGCCAGATGTCCATGCTTGGGAGCATCACGAGAAATCTATCGCTGTATCCTGATATTGACCAACCACATTGGGAAATTGGGTTAATGCTGTTAGTGCCTCTACTTCAGGGTCGATCACCTCCAAAGGCAAACGGTCCACAAACAATTCTTGCAGATAATGGTCCACCTCCCTCTCAGTGATGCCTTGTGGCCGGCGACGTGCCTCCGCGAACATTTCCCGTAGTTCCTCAAGCTTTGATATATAATAAAGCCCGTCTGGTAACTGCGTTGCAGGTCTCACAAGATCGTCCCATGCTTCTCCCGGCAGATCCAGCGCGGCTCCGTGGAAGAAAAGGACTTTCAACGAATCCAGATTCAGGTCGAAAGCTGCATAGCATATCGCAGTGCCTAATTCCCCTCCCCGCGCATTAACATCCGCCCCTTTCTTGAGTAAGAAATCCCGAGCCCGATGTCGGTACCGTTGAATTGCCTTCTGCAGTGCTGTCTCCCCGCCTGGCTGATGGTCTTCGACGTCCGCCCCTCGGTGGAGTAGAAGAGCTAGGATCTCTACCTCGTCGTGGCTCGCTGCGTCAACCACTGGCCAGTACTGGACCTTCCGACACTGCTCAAACACGTCTGGCATTTCCAACAGAATTTCCACGCACCAACCTTTACCCGCTGAGATGGCTGCCTCTAGCGCACAGCGATAATTGTTGTTACCTAGGTACGGATTAGCACCGGCATTAAGTAGCAGCCGTACAACGGCTTCGTGGCCCTGATTTGAAGCCACGTTGATCGCCGTGCCGTAGGTGCCTCCAATTTCATCGATGTCCGCAATTCCGTTCTCCAATATATAGGATGCTTGATGCACGTATCCGAAACTCGCCGCGTAATACAGTGAGGATGAAACCTCGTACGAAACAAATCTGGATCTGCCGCGCAATTCGTAGACTTGCCTTGGGGAGAATTCCTCGAGTAAATACTGGAAGGAATCGCTTCGAGGGTCGAAGCACTGTCGAAAGAGGTCGCGAAGTTGTGGACTCCAATCATTTCCTTGCCCCACTAATTCTACGTGTTGCGGTCCGTAGAATCTAGCGTAATTGTGCCAGAACCGGTGATTCTCCTTCACGGTGAACAGGTCGCTGGCAGGGATCGCTACCTCGGAGACGTAGAGGTGGTACTTGAGACAGGTTTCAGCTATGAGAGTGTGCGATCGATTCTCGATCATGGCAAAGCCGCACGCCGGACCCTCCAGGATGCGTGCTGAAGTTAGATATTCCTTGATTGAGAAATGGGAGAATCGGATTGTTGCTAAGCCGGGGTCGAAGAGGTTCTGCTGGATGGGGGGCTTGAAAAGGGACATATTCAACAGGGTCGGCTCGGTGGCCGTCCGCCGGGTGACGGTCACGAGGCCGGGAAGCAAGGTGGCTACGTCTAACAGGTTGTAATACCTGTCGTTTGCGTTGAAGCATTCCGTTGCGGGTAGATCCTTGTCAACGATGACTGCCTCGGAGAGCTCGCTTAGGTAGAGGGGGCGGAGGGAGAATGACAGCCACTGTAACGCGCGGAGCGCCTTGACTCTGTGATTAGGGTCGATGCGTAGGAGAGCCCGTTCATACGACTCGTCTAAGCCAACTGGCAGGTCTTTAAGTGCCCTTTCGACGGCGTTGGGTGACTGCGCGGTTTTGAGCGCCTCGAGTTGGAGGCTGACGTATTGGAACCTTCATATCTCCTTTAGCTTCACATAGTGGTGTGGTTGATATGGTGATTATTGTCATACATACATCCCATAAGCGTTCTTGACCAAAGTTCTCCTGATATTATCTGTTGTCTCGGTAGGCCAAGATGGAAAATCCGAAAGGGAGAGCTGTTGATCGATAAAGGTGCTGATGTCCTTGTCTATTTGCTCTTGTTGAGCCTCAAGATCTATCACAGTTATTGCTGGCTCCGCAGGTCGCAGCTTGAGTCCGCGTGCAATATCTCGCTCAAGCCGGCTTGTCAGTAAGATGTGGAGAGAGGTTAACCCCAACTGCGGATACGCTTGAGAAGTTTCAAAACATCGGATCGCTTGTTTCCAGCTAAGGGACATTCATCAAGACCATCTACGACCATGTAGATCTTCTGGAAACCCACTGTAGCGGCTCGCAGGGTGGCCTCTAGCGTGTCGAGGTCGGGCTGCTGATTACGGTCGCGGTAGGTGCCCAGCTCTGACAGCGCTTGGGGAGTGTCAGGTCGCCCCCCACAGAGTTGGCGGATTAGCGAGCGAATCATATTTTCGCTGTCTTGCTTCTGGGGATCACGGAAGGTGAAGTAGAAATACGCCAATGCGCTGTGTGGATCTGGGTCCTTGAGGTGGTCGATCACGATGGAACTGCGAGTTGGTTAGCGGTGGGTGCTTCAAAGGAAAGGGGAATTTGAAGACCTCAGGAATGATTTACCGGCCCCAGCTGGTTGCAAATTAGTTCTGGTACTGCCTACAGAGGAACATTTACTCACCTTTTCCATGCAGCCAGAGGAAAGAATTAGGTGTTCCTTTCCATAGTCTGAACTCCTCGTTCTCCTTCAGCAGCCAGTCGCCGGTGGACTCTGCATGCAAGTTCCGGGCGTGATTGTAGTCCAGGGACGGGTCGACTTCAGAGAGCCATCTCAATAACTCTAATCGATTCTCGTCTCGCTGAGCTTTCGCAATGACCTCTTTTACGCGGATGATTTCCTCATCCACTGCCTGCAGCATTTTCATGTGGTTCTCGTGTTGTTTCTTCTGCAGGTCGTATCGTTCTTCCTCCTTTACCAGCTTCCATTGGTCTTCCATCTGTATAAGATTGGTTTCTTGTTGCTTGATTTGCCCAAGCAAGCCATCCCATTTATCCCATTTTACCATATCCGCAGTAACGCGTCGAAAGGTGTTTCTGGACAGGTATCGAACGGTAGTGGCTTGGAACTTTAGCATTTCTACATAGAGGGCTTTGATAGCCCCCCGGTAGGCTAAATGGGAAGATTTAAAATCTCCCACTTTGGAGCTTTCATCGTTCAACTCGTAACGGTGGCGGTAGAGAGATTCCCTCACAGTACAGCGGCTTAGGATGCTTGCGATCTCGTTCAAACCTTGCACACGAGTGACTTCTTGGGTGGAAGGATTGAGGAATAGCTGAATTGGGTCAGGAAAGGGTACTAATCCAAGAATTCGTACAGCCTTAACTCACAGGAAGCAATAAGCATACTCCGCCCCAAGCTAATGATGCTGTGGGAGATGCCTCAAGAGCTGTGCCCACATAGTCCTTTGCCCCTATAGCTGGTTAGCTTGTGAATGACTGAGTTCCTAGGGGAACCTACACTGAACGATCCCCACGACCGGCTCCACCAGGTCCTTCACCGCGAGTTCGTGGTCCTTAAAGCGCACCTTCCACCTGCCATTATCCACTTCTTGTATCTTCAGATCAATCAGGGCCTCCATCTGCTGAAGTCGAGAACTACTACTTGTTCCATTCGCCGTTGATGGCTGCAGGCTCTCGTAAACCTCATCCTCGTAGTCTTTGACAAGGTCCGGATCCTTTTTACTCAACTCGCTGAACGCCTCGTCCCAGAGCTCAGAGATGGGCTTCAATGCCCCTGTCGCCTCTTTCGCTGTTCCGTCGGATTTAGCGGGCGGCGTGGATTCTCCGACCTTAGGATTTTTAGTCCTGTCTCCCATCGGTGTAATAGACACAGATGTCTCATCGTTCGCTTGTTGCTTCGTATTATAGCTGAATTCCTTTCGATCGGACGTTTCTTCAAGAGGTCTGATCTGAAGTGCTTTTTTACGCGAATCGGAACCACCATTTACGTTTCGCGAAGACCCGAATCCCGCCTTGACCTTTTCTGAAACCTTTCGAAGGAATGACATTGCTTTTTGAGAGTATCTGCCGGAGGGAGGAGGAAAGTGGGAAAAATGCCTTTCTGGCGCGTTATCGAGGTGGCTCCCGCTTTCCCGCCCTTATGGATAATAAAACGTTTGACATTCACTCTCTCAAGTGCAAGTTTTTGTCTATGGTCGAAGTAAGCAGAACGAACATCTTGATCCCGTATGTGAAGGAGAGCTGGAGATTTTGCCAAATGAATTGGGGCAATGACTAAAAATGTGCTCTTGACGTGGCATTGCATGGCGCGTATACTAGCAACCAATAGTATTAGAAGCACTTGAGAAACCCGGCGGCGGGAATAACGAGTCCATCAATTGTCCGGATTCTATATACCTGGGCTAAAGATGCAAATCCTGGTTACTACCCTGACCGTAATATTTATGCTGTCCGGTGGTAAATCAAATAAGATATAGAGGCATGTGGCGCGTAGATAGCCATATAGGGATCTATTCGGAGGTGTTGGATAGCAGAGGGTGCGAAGGGAACACAGCATGCGCATTATTACTGGGAGGTCCCAGTAGGTACCTCGGGGTCAGATGGCCGCGGCTTAACAAGCTAACAAACTCCTTCGGCGGGAGGAGCTGGTATGGGAGAAGGGCCGGCAGTTCTGCCCTGTTAGCGTATCGCTGGTACTCGAAAAACCAATCAAATTCGACATTATCCATCGCTTCGTCCTGTGAGATCCGCTACCCTAAGCCCGGAATATAGGATTGCAACATAGCCGCAGCTGTCAAACGTCCTGTTATGCAGGAGTGTGGGGTGGCTTCGAGTCGGGCAACGGCCTGATAAACTCGTGTCCGGATGGGTTTGACTGCGTGGCCTTCATCACAGACCACGCGGCCGAACCATTGGCCAGATTCGATTTGAATCGCTTAACTTGCTGATTCGGCCGGTGCTAGGATTGCTGTCATCTCCATAGGAACTGATGGATCGCTCACTCCTCCGCGCCTGCGCCAACACCGGAATATCTGATATGAGCCAACTCAGACGCAGCAGTATTATCACCATTGGTCTGTATTTGGCTTCTTCCAGCTGTGCAGGCATGGATCGCCCGTTGATTCTCGTCATCTGGTGCAGCATCGTCGGGCGACATCCAGCTGCTGGGCTCTCGCCTTCGTAGGTCGGATTTCAAGGTGGAGAAGTGGACATTCGACCTTGCTGTTGGTTCCCAGACGGACGTTGCCATGAACTCTGCACCATTGTACCCGCCTAAAGCCCGTGATTCTGCGAAGCAACAGTTTAAAAGGGTAACAGATTTCACCCATGCTATGTTCAAGGTATTGGCGAATCGCCAACCAGCTAAGCCTAGGGCCTTTTGAGCAGCACAGGAAGAAGAAGGCCCAGTCCCTTTGGCGCCGGAACCGGTTCTGTTCCCATGAGTTGTGTTTCCGGCAGTAGCTTAACTGTTTTACGTGCGTCTCAACAATGACCACCAGGACATCATACTTTGTGGGCGATTTCAGTACCCCGCAGCGTTTGGTCGTGAGTAAAAAATCCTGGTCGGATATCATGTGGAGAACCCGGTTGTGTTCCCCCACCTTCCCAATAATGTCTGTCCATGGCCAATAGGTAGTAGTAGATATATCGTGCACTCCCCAGACTTTCTTCACAGGAATTGCGGGGTTTCTCCGTGGTGTAAAGTCTAGATTCATAGTGACTGGTTATTATAATTCAATCCCCGCTATTTGATGCGGGGGAAAAGGCAAAGTCCGGCAGAAATGAGTAATCCCCAAGGGTATGCCCCCTTGATATATGGTAATAATGTGCTTCCGCATTGTCCCACCCGTTGCTCTCCACGTTCGGAGCTCCGCTAGGTACCATGATCACACCACAGTCACAGCCAGATTTGGTGCCAGAAGGCAGCTCGGTGCATCGAAACCTGTATCAGTGCGGAACATGCTCTCAGTCTTACTCGCGGATCGACCATCTGCGCCGCCATGTTCTTTCACGTAGGTCACTGCGGCTTCCAGTTGACTGTGCTGTTGTCGGTTGGTCGGTTTTGCTGACAGTCTATTGCAGACACCCAGGAAAAGCCCCACCAATGCTCTGTGTGTAGTAAGCGCTTTGGCAGAATGTGCTGTTTCCCTCGCCATCGTACCTTATCGCTCCAATTAACGTTAACTTTAGTGATCTGCTCCGACGGCATTCCGCTCTGCATATTACCACAGGGAGCAAGCAGGCCCTCAAGAAGCGTCCCCGCACTGGCAGCTCGAATCCCATCATCCGGGCTTCTCAAGCATGCGGTGCGTGTGCGGAAAACCATCTTAAATGCGACGAAGAAAAACCCTGCGCCCGATGCCGCAGGCGAAATATTGCCTGTGTGGTTCCTTCCAAGTCCACTGAAGGCGTTCAAGTTCGCTTTGCCAATCCGGACAGTCCGGGTGCTGCGGAAGTAAACAGCAACCACAACTCAGAGGAAAGGAGAGGGGAAACGGATACACTACTATCTGAGGGATCCCAGCCACTCATCACTCCTCCAATGGATATTCCAGCCTCACAGGAGCCGGACCATTCGCAGTCGATCGACTTGGATGGAAACAGCCATATGCCACCGGATTACGTTCCATCAGGGCTCAGGGATGAGTTCACTAGTGTATTGTTTACAGATGCGCCCAGTGGCGTACGGACACCCCGGGGGTCGATCACCTTTGGCCTGCCGACCGATCTCGACTTCAGCATGGTTGATCTCGGCTTCCTCGAATCATACAATAGCCACGTCCCGTTTGAGTTTGACGAGCAAGCACCGAGTCTGTCTCTGTCTGGTTCGCCCTACGAGACCCGCGAAACACCGATACAGAGCAATCCCCGAGGCGCACGGTCTATGCAGCGACTGCGATGGCGCTTCGTTCCTGCTCCTCAAGATCATGGCTATTGCGAGCACGAAAACCTGTTACTGCCCAATGAAGCGACCGGCGCATCCACCCTGACCCCCCAGAGTCTGGAAGACATAAACAGCCAATCGACAACGGACCATAGTCTCGATCTTCACTCCCGTGATAAGATCCTGGGCATCGTTCTCAGCCAGATGAAACAGCCTATCTCGGCGGTTCTGTCATCCTTTCCATCGGTGCAGCTTCTCGACAGCCTGATCAGATATTACCTGACCGCCCCATTCTCTACCGCAAGCTCTTGGATCCATCGGGCCACTTTTCGACCCCGACAGGTGTGTCCAGAGCTGCTTCTCGCCATGGCAGCAGCTGGAGCCGTCTTGACACCAGATCCCTCGCTACGCAAACTAGGATTTGCCATGCAGGAAGTCGTCCGGTTGCAGCTGCCTTCGGTGTTCGAGGGGAACAACACTACCATCCGTGACCTTCACCTACATCAAGCATACTTGCTATACCTAGAAATTGGTCTGTGGAGTGGCAATAGCCGAAAAATCGAGATCTCGGAGGCCTTCCGCCAACCTCTGGTGACTATGGTTCGTCGCGGCGGCAATTTTCACCACTCAGCCTATCCGCCCCTGCCGGCGCGGTTGGAAGAGTCTGGTCAGAGCTTGGAAGAGACATGGCGTGCCTGGGTGTACAAAGAAGCATACAAGAGGCTTGTGTACCGCTTGTTTCGACTAGAAGCTCAAGTCTCCATGGCTCTCTTTACCGGCCCTTTGATTACTTACGCTGAAATGGGTCCTCCTCTACCTGCCCCTTCGTACCTCTGGGAAGCGAGTTCCGCGTCTCACTGGAAGGAAACCTATCATTCATCTTGTCTGCCCTCTACAGGTCGAATTCGCACCCTCAACGAGTGTGTGGCGAATTTAGATCTTCTGGAAACCAGTCGTCAGGTTGCGGACATCCGTCTTACCTGCGGCGCCGTCATGCACTGTATATGGGGCCTCGTATGGGAGTACCGCCAGCTGAGCTCTCTTCTGAACGGACACAGCCGCTACTGGGATAATGATTTGCTCATGGCCTCTCGGCATGGACAGCTTAGCAGGATACTCGAATGTTTTCGAATGGGATACCGCGACGAAGTCCCAGTGCAGCTGCACTTTATCGTCATGCACATGTACATGTCACTGGAGGAGGTCGAGACATTGGCTACCTCGGACGATGCCAGCCGCGCCTGGGATCAACCTGCTCTTAGTGACTGGTTCAAGAGCGAACATTCCCGACACGCCATATGGCATGCGGGCCAGGTCGTTCGAGGTATCAAAGCTCTTCCGTTGCAAGCTCTACGAGATTTCATGGCGATTGCGCTATACCATGCCAGTCTAACTTTGTGGGCCTACGGCGTGGTATTCTACCATAACATGGATAATCATGGTCAGCAGCTGGCTGGTCCAGCACTGCAGCACAAGATCTGGCTAGATGGACTAGAGAGTGAGGATATACAGCGTTTCATCACTCTGCAACGCGGAATACCAGTGCTGCAGGGCCTTGGTCATACAGAAGAGACAGTCTTTGTCGGTGATCCCCAGGCAGTGCTGGAGACGATGATCAAAGTCATGCGGCAGAATCACCACCATGAAACTTTCACACAGGCTCCGCCACTGGTGGATAACTTGGTCCATCTTCTTGAGAAGTTGCGAGATGCCAGCAAATAAAATGTGGCCTCGGCCAGAACTATCTGGCGGTAGAGGGATATGGCATGATGAATATATGAATGTATGAATCAATGACACGGAGCAGATGTATCTTGTACAAAAGTTTATTACTTTCTAACCTGCTATGTGAATTCAATTCATGAATAGGGCTCAAAGCGAAAAGCCTGCGTCTATTACTGCATTTACCCCCGTCATGGATTTTGAAGTAGCAAATACTTTGACTTGTTCGGCAACGTCCTATCATGTCCATGAGCCAATAGCGCTATCACTGTGTATTAGGGACATACCTCCGGAGTTGCAAATCGTTTCAGCAAGTTCTTTTCTTTCACAGCGTTGAGCTTCTCCTCTGGGAATTGAAGACCCCAGTCCTAGTCCGGTCTGTTAGATACTGCTCTAAGGTCTAGTCCAACGAGTCACTCACTGTCAGCAAAACCCCTGGTGAGACCGAGTTGACTCGGATCCTCGGGGCTGCAATGACGGCCAAACTCTTGACGAGATGGATAAGAGCCGCCTTGGTCACGGCATATGGCTAGTATCGTCAGACCACCATTTGCGGGACTCGTTAATCCCTGAATTTAAGGGATACATACCAATGAACTCCCACTAGGCTTCAACCCCGCAACACTCGCTGTAGCAATGAATACCCCCTCACTCCGCTCTAAATGCTCTTGACAAGCCCGGAAAAGCTGGAAATGGCTCTTGACATTCATCGAGAAGCATGTATCCCAGTCCGACTCGTTATCTGCTTCCTCTAGATTCATAAAATCTGTCATTCGCGTCCAACCGACGTTGGAAACTACCAGGTCTAACCGGCCCATTGCCTGGATGGTTTGCTGAACGAGCTGCTGAATGCCGTTTCGGTCGGCCAGGTTCGCCTGGATTGCCGCATAGCGAGCGACATTTGCCCCAGGAACCTTGATCTGATTCGAAGCTCTCATCTCTTGGAGTAATCGTTCCGCCGGAGCAGGATCGGAACTGTAATTGATAACGACGTTCATGCCCTCCTCGGCCAGGCATCGTGCAATTGCTGCGCCGACGCCTCTGGAGGCGCCGGTAATCAAAGCGACCTTTGGTGAAGTCATAGTAGTGCAAGTTTGGCGGTTCTTAGTGAAGGCTGAGATTAAGGCTCGACGAGTTGGATGAGGACTGAGACAATAACTCAAATTCCTTTTTGGGCTTAGAAATGACCCGAGGGTGCTCTCACTCTCACGGTACTCTCGGCGAGACCTCTGCATTTCTCCAGGTTCGCAGTCAAAGCCGGACTCTCAGTCTCGGAGTTGTGGCCGACGCGGGCTCAGGTGGAGCCGACGGGAGCTGATGGCACTGCATAACAACACTACAGCTATATGTACTCTAACATGGACGGCGGAATTAATGAAATACACAAATTCTAACCTATAATCTTTGCTCTACCATAAACGGGACTCAACGGCACAATGGCAAGACGTCACCTCAAGAGTTGCGCAGATAGCGCGTCCAACTCGACAGCGCCCCAAGTCGACGTTAGCACCATTGTCAAGGGCGTGATCGACGACATTCGCACCAATGGAGACACAGCAGTGCGCAAGTACTCGGAGAAGTTTGACAAATGGTCGCCTGCCTCGTTCAAACTCTCCCGAGAAGATATTGAGGCTTCCATTGCGGCCTGCTCTGCACAAACAATCGAGGATATTAAGCAGGTCCAGAGGAATGTGCGGGCGTTTGCACAAGCGCAACGTGACTCGATCAAAGATTTTGAGTACGAAATCCAGCCAGTAAGTCTGACTGACTATCGGTGCCTTCTCAAGCTGTACTGACAAACGCAGGGCGTGTTCCTTGGACTGAAAAATCTGCCTATCCAGACAGTTGGAGCGTAGGCACTTCCGAAAAGATACCAAAACGTGCAATCTAGACTGACAATAACAGCTACATCCCAGGCGGGCGATACCCCCTCCTTGCCTCCGCCCATATGACCATTCTCACAGCCAAAGTAGCTGGCGTCCCAAAGGTCATTGGCTGTACTCCTCCTATCGCAGGCAAGATCCCTCACGCCACCATCGCAGCCATGCATCTCGCAGGTGCAGACGAAATCTACCTGCTTGGAGGAGTGCAAGCCATTGCAGCCATGGCACTGGGCACCGAGACCATGGCCAAGGTGGATTTCATCGCGGGGCCAGGCAACGCCTTTGTCGCCGAGGCGAAGAGGCAGTTGTTTGGCGAAATTGGGATTGATCTTTTCGCGGGACCGACGGAGATTCTTATTGTGGCTGATGAGACGGCCGATCCCTTTACGGTGGCAACGGACATTCTCTCGCAGGCTGAGCATGGGCCTGATTCGCCCGCGGTGATCATCACCACGTCCGAGGCCGTTGGTCGAGAATCGATGCGGCTTATTACCGAGCTATTGAAGAACCTGTCGACCGCTGAACTAGCGGGAACCTCGTGGGAACGGTTCGGCGAGGTGATCGTTGTGGACTCGCTTGATGAAGCTTGGACACTGGCGGATGAATATGCCAGCGAGCATGTCCAGATCCTCACCAAAGAGCCACGCGAAGCCCTCAGGAAAATGAATGCCTACGGTGCTTTATTCCTTGGAGAAAAGACTTGTGTCTCCTACGGCGATAAGGTATGCCCTTGAGTAAAGTAGGACATATTCCATGCTGATCAAGTTAGGTCATTGGCACCAACCACGTCCTCCCCACCAAGAAAGCTGCGAGATATACGGGAGGTCTGTGGGTGGGAAAGTATCTTCGCACCGTGACATATCAAGAAGTCACCAGCCGTCAGGCAAGCGGAGAATTGGGACGGCTGTGTGGAAGAGCAGCACGCGCTGAGAACTTTGAGGGTCATGCACGGTCTGGCGATCTTCGGGCTAACAACTATCTCGGTGATCAGTTTGAATGGATTGAAAGGGACAGGTAGAGTATAGTAGAGTATTCTATGTCCAAACTGAATTGTCTATTTCACATTCCGAGTCAATGCTTGGTGAAGCTTCTTCACGAGAATACTATCCGTAAACCTGCCGGCCTATGATCTCGAATACAAAATTAAAGTGGACTCTGCAAGTCAATGTACTTGGTAGACAGATTGAGATACTACTATTTTTAGAAGTATCTTTTCAACATATCTTTGAACAGCCATGATGTGGCCGTATAGATCCAGGTGGCAGCTTCTTGTTCAATATCCCGCAGATCCCACACTATCGTGCCTCCCAAACGAATCCAACCAGTTGTTTTATTGATTGTGCCGAAATTTTAGAAGACCACATTCTCTCTGGACCACCAGACGATGGTAATGCATACGTGGTGAGTTCGGGTGGACGACAGCCCCCTCCACCTCACCCGATGGTCCCGAAGTATGTGTTTGCCGACAAGAGACGCGAGAGGAAGCCGAAAGGCTTACCCCCACCTGATATTGTTTTTTAGTTATTTGAATAAAACTGATCATGACTCGTACAAAAGGTCCTCCCTTGCAGTAATCATTGCGGTGCGCTGCCTATTACCCGTCGTGTTTCTTCTTCTTCTTACAGTCAATATCTCACACAATGGCAGCTACTAACGGAACAGTCGCGACAGACCAGACCACCAGCCCATCTCCTTTGAAGGTATTAGTAGTAGGAGGTGGAATCGGTGGGTTTACTGCTGCTATTGCTCTTCGTCGGCAAGGCCATGATGTCCAGGTGGGTTATCCGATCCGCCTATGACAATAAAAGACGGCTAACCATTGCAGATCTTCGAGCAATCTCGACTGGCTATCGAGACCGGCGCAGCACTTCATCTTGCCCCGAATGCCAATGGAATCCTGAAGCGACTGGGTATTGATGCGCAGCAGTTTGGCGCGAACTTGATGGAGAGGGTAAGTTTCATACTATTGATCGAAATTTCGCATACTAAATCTAATCCTTTAGCTTGTTGAATATACCTCTCAGGGCCAAATTGAACGAGCTATCGATCTTACCGAGCAAAACAAAAGATGGCAGCATGTGAGTACCACCGCTAAGTAGACTTGAGGGCATCAATTTAACCGCTTTCAGCAATGGCTCCTAGCTCATCGCATTGATTTGCATAGCCAACTTAAAAGGGCAGCCATGAGCGCTGATGCGGGCCGCGAGGCTATCCCATTTCGAACCGCCAGTCGGGTAGTACAGGTCGACCCAGCAACAGCCACCATTACACTTGAAGACGGGACCCAGTTCMAGGGCGATCTGGTGGTTGGAGCCGACGGAGTCCACTCCATCACTCGCAGCGCAATTCCAGGCGGAAATGTCAAGGCTTCCTGCTGCGGCAAAAGCGCTTTTCGATTCCTCGTATCCAAGCAAGCAGCGCTGCAAGATCCCGAAACTGCCGCTCTAGTCGAGCGTCCGGGAGAGCTATCCATCTGGTACGGCGCTGATCGGCGGATTGTACTCTATCCCACATCGCACAACACAGTGTTGAATTTCGTATTGATTCACCCGGAAGAGGAGTCGGCAGAAGAGGCAGACGAGAGCTGGGGCCAGTCCGGCAATCTACAGAAGATGCTCCAGATCTTCTCTTCGTTTGATCCTGCAGTGCTAAAGCTACTGAGCATGGCGGATCCGCAGAGTGTTCGGGTTTGGAAGCTGCTAGATATGGAGGAGATTCCCMGTTGGTATGAGGGGCGTTTGGCTCTGCTGGGCGACGCCGCCCATCCCTTCCTCCCACATCAAGGGCAGGGGGCGGCGGTTGCAATAGAAGACGCTGCTTCTCTGGCTGTAGTGCTGCCTCTGGGAACGACCGTCGAGGAAGTACCAGAGCGTCTTCAGTTGTATGATGAGATTCGCCATGAACGCGCTAGCCTCATACAACAATACTCTCGGTTGGCCGGCCGTGACCGTGTCGATGGACAGGAAACCCCTGACAGTAAGTGTTCCACCTTTCATTTGTCGAAAATAGCACACTAACTGCCTTAGTGTACGGCTTTACCAACTACAATTTTGGCCACGACGAGTGGGATAACTCGACGCAGAGACTCCGCGAGTGGACATGGAAACGCATCCCCAATCCCTACTGGCGCATGCCCATCGCTTTTGGTCCTATGCCCGGTCCGCGCCAGAACCACTTGGGCGTCCCCCGCGATGGCACCAAATCCACCTTCACTACTGCCTCGATCAAGTTCAAGACCTCACGTACCGTACTACAGAACCTCTTTCCCCCGGGCCGCCGTGGCTGGCGATTCAGCGCTCCTGATACTGTGGCATATGCCTCCTTCTCGCAGACTACCCTGAACAAGATGGAGTGGTTGGGTGGCTCAGGATATTCTCACATCGGCTTGTATGTCCATGGTGTCGAGTACGTCAAGAAGGACGGCACCGTCATTCAAGGCTCCTACCTGCCCATCCTCTTTGAGTCACTGACCGACCCAATCGTGTCGGGAAGAGAAGAGCTGGGCGCTCCCAAGTTATATACGTCGGTGGACATCTACCGCCGGGCAAAATCGTATCGGATCCGTACAGGGTGGCAGGGCGCTCTCTGGGGCCATTTCCTACTTGAAGATCTTGTCGAAGTTGACCCAGCGTCGACCCCCGGAGGATTCAGTGGAGAAGCTGATGCTGGGATCCTGGTATACAAATATCTCCCACAGACCGGTCGATTGAACAAGAACAAAGCAGCTGAAGAGTACGCGGCCTTTGATCCCTTCTCGGAGGCTGTGCCCACCCCCAATCCACGCAAGGTATGGACCTCCTCCAAGGCCAGTTTCCAAATTGACCCGCTGGACTGGGAACAACTGCCTACACTACATCATGTCATTTCTCGACTCGCAGAGCTGCCGGTATATGAGATCGTAAGCGCCAGGGTGGTGGAGGGAGACGGAGTGCCCGACGTTTCGGGAATGAGGCCAATTGAATAGATATCTATGCAGCGTTCTTTTACTACCTTCATTGTAGCTGATAGGAAGAATATTAATTGCCTTCATGATCTCAGCGTTGAACTCGACCTTAGATATCACAACATATTGTGTCTCGACAGACTGTGTTGGGAATGGATCACTGCACTGGCTATTGTCGAACGAGTTCACATCCTGTCATAGCTGGTTTCTTTCACCTGAATGACCACTGCTCTTCTAGAATGTTGAGATAAAATGGAGTATCCATTATACTTCTTCACTGGCGATCATACTAGAATTCAATTGGTTATTACTAGGCGCACTGGCCCAAGCAGTTAATATGATACGTTGCAGGCCGCGCGTCCCTCAATATCGATCTCATTATAGCTTCGCTTTCCTCCTATTCGGGACCGCCATCTCAATCTAACTTGAGAAACGACAAGACGCTACGGCTCCACTTACCCCGGATTCCTTGCATGTATTCATTTTTCCCAACGAGGAATATTGTGGATGATGCAGATCCTGCGATGAATTCGTCTGCCTGGCCGCGTCCAGGATATGGCAGAGAAACATATAAATTGGACTCGTGTACATACAGATAAAACGCCAGCAACTCGGACTACAACACCTCGAGAAACCTGTTCGCCTCGCAAGCTGTCCTGACAAAATGGCCATTCAGTCTCTTCTTTTGTTTGCTTTCAGCTCTGTTGTGCTGGGCTCGGTTTCCATCGTTGATCCTAGCGACTACGCCTATCTGCCCGGAGATGTCAAAGACAATGCTATCATGGCCGACTACACCACTGATAACGGAGGCCCCATGACTTTGAGCTATAACATCACCGGTCCTTACTACTATGCTGACAAGGATGTGGAACTGGACCACAAGACCTTGACAGTTAATGCTAATGATACGAGTGTGCTTGTTGCCACGAATGGTGCTCATGTTAATCTGTCTCATGTGGAGGTTATCAAGGAGGGATACTGCACCTGGCTCAACCAGGCGAGTTTCTTTGGCGTCAACGCGGCCATCAACATTGCAAATTCATCCACTGCATACATCGAGAACAGCAACATTACCGTGCACAATGGTGCGGCCAATGTTTATGCCTACGGCACGGGGACAACCGTACATGTGAGCAACACGGATCTCTACAGCTCTGGGCCTGTCTCTCACGGTCTCTACGCGGCCGGAAATGGCACCATCTACGCGTCGAACGTGCGCCACTACTCTGGCGGCAATCGCTGCTCCTCCTTTTCTGGCGACACGCCAGCCGGCTACATCTATGTCAGCGACTCGGTTGCTCACACGGCGGGTATTGGCAGTGCCATCTTCTACGCCCTCGGTGAGATCCACGCTACCGACGTCGTTGGCCGGGCTGAGCAGGCACCTACGCTCTTCAGCGACGGAGGGCAGAAGGCGGTCTTGAAAAACGTCGACCTGACTGCTGGCTTATTGGCAGGAACCGTCATGTTTTCATCAATGCAGAGGCTCAGCGGGGCCTCGATCTCTTTTGAAAATTCTCGGCTCACAACTCTGAAGAAGGACATGGCTGCCCTGTGGTTTGGCAACGTCATTGCCACAGCCACTCTCGTAGCCACGGAGCTGAACCCAGCCTCAGGTATCCTCGTCATCGCCAATTCCTCCCAGGTGACTCAGGCATTCCGGTACTTTGCCGGCTCGGAGGAGAACTCCTCCATTCAGCCTGCTGAGGTTACTGTCTCTGTGGCAGAGTCCGCCCTAGAGGGTGACATCGTCGCATATAATGGCAGCTCAATCTCTTGGAGCCTCACGGACCACTCCAGTTGGACCGGTTCTGCCTACACTGCGGGTAAAGGAACCGCCACTTTTGCCGTGTCGCTTGATGAGACCTCCACCTGGACTCTGACTCGGGATGTCACTGTGCAGAACTTTACTAATGCCGATGCAAACAACAAGAACATCCGTTCCAAGGGCTACAACATCTACTACAATGCGTCCGCCACTTCCAACGCGTGGCTCAAGTCCAAGACCGTCAGCCTGCCTGGAGGTGGACATCTCAAGCCTCGCTCTGACTAGTAATTGCTATGCGGGTGCGACTGCTTGTCTTGCGAAGGAGATGTTGGTGAATAAGATACTTGCAATTCGTGGCTAGTTAAGAACTAGATAATATCAGCCTCTGTCATACTAGTCATACCTTGATAGTCAGCTTTAGCCTCAACCGATACATCATCACAGAAGTACTATTTGCTACTAACTTAGAAGCAAATCAACCTCTTCGCACTCTTCGATTCTCCTTTCCTCCAATAAGTCCAAGAATGATTGGTCAGTAGAGAGACAGACCGTTCCAGCCGTCTCTCATGCAGTATTGTGGATAACTCTCCTCACCTACTCATCCTCCTCTCATGAATCACCTCATATTACTGGTCGGTTGTATATCTCCCCTGACACTATTTCTCACCAATTCTGAAACTAATGCACTCTCCATAAGCGGTCCGTCCTAGCTTGTATTGGACCACTCAGATCATCTCTTTCGGTGTGCCACGGAAAACTTCTCTGATTTGTCCAAGCGGGATTCCGATGTCTCCCCCACTTCCCCGGACCCCACCCCCGGATTGTCCCCCTCCCCGACGTTATGCAGACTAAACCTTGTTCGCACAAAAGCTGGTGCAAGCCAACACTGTTTGCTCACGTTCGCCTCTCCCGCGTTGAGGGGGCCCGACAACCATCGCCAGCCCGGTGAAAATGGCTTAGGAGGGTGCACGTCTCTTCATTGTTTAGTTCCGTTCTCTGAAGATCCCTGGACTGATATTAATCCCCCAACCTCCAGGTTCTTCCCTTGTCAGCTATCCTCCTTCCTGTTTGTATCACTATTTACTATGGCAGATACTAGCCTCAAGACGATGGAGACGATTGAGCATGTCGAGGACAGTCAGTCTCGCGGCCCCTTTCATCTACGCAACCTCGGCCATGTTCGTCTGCGCCATGAGCACACCAACGAGATTATCTTGACTCCGGCTCCGTCACTGGACCCCAATGATCCCCTTCGCTGGTCGACATCCTACAAGATCTATATCGCCATTCTCGTCTCCCTAGCCATGGTCATGTGTAATTTCATGGCTGCCGGTCCTACAGTCGCAATGGTTGCAGTTGCGACGGACTTCAAAGAAGGGGGAAACACAACGATGAGTGACTGGATCAGTCGGGCCGCGTACTTTTTTAACAACAGCGCCCTGATGCAGGGCGTCTCGTGTCTCTTCTGGGTGCCTCTGCTTAACAAATACGGCCGGCGGCCAGTCTACATCTCCGCTTTCATTCTCTACTTCTTCATGATCCTTGGAGCCGGTTTGGCAAAGACGTATGCAGGCGAGCTCACGACCCGGACCATCCTAGGTATTGGGGCGGGTGCTGGCGAGTGCCTGGCGCCTGTTACTATTGCCGATGTGTTCTATCTTCACCAGCGAGGTTATGGCATGGCGTGAGTTTTCTTATCCGATGGATTCAGCGCTCAGAGAAGCTGACGGCCCGTTTAACCAGCATATACAACGCCGCCTTGAGTGCAGGAGTCGCCTTCGGTATCATCATCTCGGGACTGGTCACGATCAAGCACGACTGGCGGACCATCTACTGGGTGGGGTGCGCTCTCGTCGGAGCTCTGATCGTTGTGGTCGTCTTCTTTTTCCCAGAGACTGCCTACCGGCGTGTTGGAAACCCCTTGGTGGAACGCACCGTCGAGATCCAAAAACTGTCGGACAGCAACAACCTGGAAGTGGCCTCGGTCCCTCCCATCCCTCCCAAGATGAGCTACCTGCGTAGTCTGCGCTTCTGGTCTGGCGAGACATATACCGACGAGTCCTTCTGGCGGATGTTCGTGCGTCCCTTTGGGCTGATCCTCATCCCACCCATCTTCTGGGCTACCATCGTCATGTCGGTGACGATCGGGTTCCTGGTGGCTGTTGTCTCCAATTTCGCCTCAGCGTTCAGTACAACCTACGGCTTTGAGGCCTGGCAGTCCGGTTTATGTTTCATCGCTGGCATGTTAGGTTGTTTCCTGGGTACTTTCGCCGGTGGTCCGTTTTCCGACTGGGTGGCGGATTACTTTACCAAGCGCAATGGAGGGATCCGTGAGCCTGAGATGCGATTGCCCGCAATTATCCCAAGTGTGATCGCCGCGCCTCTTGCCCTGGTGCTATATGGATGTGGTATCGCCAATGGCTGGCACTGGATGGTACCCACCGTTGGCTTGGGCTTGTGTATGTTTTATCCTGTCATTTCTTTTGTTTAAATCATCCAGCTGACATTCGTCATGTAGTGTCTTTCGCCATCACCCAGGGCACGAATGTCTCCTTCGTCTACTGTATTGACTCCTTCCGTCCAGTCGCCGGTGAAGTGACGGTCACCCAGCTTGCTTTCAAGTGTGAGTTTTCTTGACCTCCATTGCGGTCATTTTCTCCGCTAACAGCTGCAGCTTGCTTTGGATTCCTGCTTTCCTTCTATACCAATCCGTGGGTCAAAGAGTCCGGCTATACTGCTGCCTATGGCGCTATGGCGGGCATTTCAGGCGGCTGTCTACTCTTCTTCATCCCACTGTTTTTCTGGGGCAAGTCTATCCGACAGGCCTCTATGAAGTGGTCCTTTGTTCAGTTTGTATTCTGGAAGGATGATCGTGAGGTGGGAGAGTAGTTGGACAGGGGCAACTGAGATTGCGATATTCAGTTTGTGCAACTTTATTGTTTTGAAGCCAATGGGAAATTGATTATTGGATAACTATTTTAAGCGGCGACTTCTATCGTTCAATGAGCTCCCATCACGGAATCACTGCTTCTGGGGATGTCTGTATCTGAAGATGTAACAGCTACAAACACTGTTTCAAGACTAAGTCCTATTTATTAGATCTATCCATCCTGCTACATAACGAATGAATGAAGTAGAGATCTACTGCATTAATCCAGGCCCGTCTTTGATCGTGTGGGACAATTTATTCAATGTTATGTAAAGCGCATCATGATATCTACCGAGTCTGATACTATTCAGGGCATACATATATGAGTAGAGCTGTCCTTCAGAGTTTTGACTAATAATATAGCGTGCTTGGCTTCAGTATCCACTGCAGTCGCGACTCTTGAATCCAGACCTTCTCTGTGGGTCTCCAAATGGCTGATTTGCTTGACCAAATCATCAGCGCATTACGCACTCAATGGAGATTCGCAACTATCCCCCTTAGGGTTCAGGAGTGTGCCGTGCCGATCTCCTTTCCCAAGCAGGTCAACCATCTCTTGTTACAGTGTATCAGAAACAACTGATTATCTTGACTTGGTGGATTTATTCTGAGTTTGCCTTACACGTTGAGTGCCAAGTTAATGGGATACTGGACACTAATGTTGGTCCGATTATCGGACTTCATCAGAACTCCCCATACATTACGGTGGATTTTGGACCAGAAACCCCTCAAGTTATGGCATGATTACGCACAGATTCCGGTAGTTGATTTTAAGAGTTCAGAGCCCCCTTTCCTACTCTGCCAGAACGATCATAATGCCGCTACTTTGCCCCCCACATTTCGGCTCCACACGATATTGCAGTGTGCGGGGTCGGATGGCCGGGGGGTAAAGCCGGGGGGGATACGCAAAACACAGTAGAAGAGGATCTTTATAAGCACTTTCAACTATACACCTCAAATATAGTCTAGATAAACACAAATCGTGTCTTTATTTTCAGTCATCACACTTCACAGAACAATGCGTATTATCTGGCGCGCCTCGGCCGATCCGGCCGTCTACGAAGAAGCCCGCGTGGGTCGCGTCTTCAACCACCGTCGCCCGCAACGATATCCCCTGGCAGTCGTCAAGGCTACTTGTGTAGACGACATCGTGCGGGCAGTCAAGTTGGCCAAGGAGAAGAATTGCCGCGTCGCTGTGCGCTCCGGGGGCCATTCATGGGCTGCTTGGAGTGTGCGTGATGAGTCCATTCTGATCGATTTGGGCGATTACAAGCACCTGGAAGTGGATGCGGAGAAGCGCATGGCGCGAGCATCACCCAGTACTACGGGGAAGGAGATCAATGGAAAGCTGATCAAGGAGTACGGGTTGATGTTCCCCGGGGGTCATTGTCCAGATGTTGGACTGGGGGGCTTTCTCCTGCAAGGAGGTATGGGATGGAACTGCCGGGTATGACTAGAAATCGTCCGAGTATCATGGTTAAACTGACTTTATGAAGGGCTGGGGTTGGGCGTGCGAGAGAGTCAAGGCCGTCGATGTGGTGACGGCAGAGGGGGAACTGCTGCACTGCAACGAGAATCAAAACGAGGATCTCTACTGGGCAGCTCGAGGTGCCGGTCCGGGTAAGCTCTTAACCCCACATCCTCAATCCATCATGCTAATTCTCGACCTATCCTTTTTGGCAGGCTTCCCAGGTGTGATCACACAATTCCACCTTGAGCTCGTCCCGTATCCCAAACGCGGGTTTCGGTCGTCTGGGTACGTCTACCCCATCAGCAAATATCATGAAGCCTTCAGCTGGATAGTCGCCATCACTCCGGATTTCGATCGCGACACCGAAATCGCCGTCGTGAGTATGTATCCTGAGGACAGCAATGAGATCTGCCTCTTCGTTCTCCTCGTGACTCTAAAACACACTCCGGAAGAGGCAGAAGCAGCCCTCAGTCCAGCCCAGCAGTCACGCCCAGCTGGCACAATCGAGGAATGGTTCTGCCGAGAGGACAGCCTGGAGAACCAATACCTGAACCAAGGCAAGGCAAACCCAGAAGGCCACCGCTACTGCGCCGAGAATGCCTACCTGCACAACGACGCAGACGTCCCCAGAGTCCTCGAGGAGGCGTTCACCACCTTGCCCCATCGCAAGGCTTTTTCCCTGTGGTACGCGATGAACCCTTGTAGCCGCCGCGACCTGCCGAGTATGGCACTCAGCATGCAATCGGATCACTACTTTGCGCTGTATACGGTGTGGGAAGACGAGAAGGACGATGCACGGTGCCAGGCGTGGGTGAAGAACGTGATGAAGCAAGTCCAGCGGCATTCGGTTGGGGCGTATCTAGGGGATTCAGATTTCCAGGAACGACAGACCAGATACTGGTCCGAGAGCAACGGGCGTCGACTGATGGATATCCGCCGGAAGTGGGATCCTACCGGCAGGATCTGCGGATATTTAGATAGGGGAGATGTCTCGAGGACTAGGGGGTTGGATAATGTTCATGAGTGGGAGACGGTGCCTTCGCAGCTATAGCACGTTTCCGTTGTTCAGATGCATTTATAGATGTATACTTTATCATACCTAAGATATCATACAGTAGATTCATGCAGCCAGTCATTTTAGTTCAGGACTACTAATCTTCCAATCCTTGAACTAAAGAAATATACAATGTTAGACATTCGATTTCAGCGAGTTACCCACACTGCGAATCTTTGTCTCAAGGTCCTTCACAGGCCGAACTGTTTTATTCTCTTTTGCGGAACAACTTAGGTTGATGTTTCTTTCATTTGGCCGATTGTCCGCCACTAAGAGAGGTTATCGGGCAGGTGGGGGAGATGTCGGGATGTCAGCTTCTGCCGTGCGGGGGCGTGGAGGGTAATCTAGTAAGGACACTCGCTAGTGCGCGTCATTATTCATAGTGCTGAAATAATCCTAGTGATATTTATGGAGTAGTCGGTTGATACATATCAATTGAGCTCAGTACCTCTCTCAGTCTCCTCTTCAAATCGATCAGCACACCCTTGCCCAGCACAATGGAGACGTCGCTACGAGACAAAGTAGCTATAGTAAGCGGTTCCTCCTCTGGCATTGGAGCGGCTATTGTGCGCGAGCTGGCCTCTCGCGGTGCCAATACAGTGGTCAACTATCCCTTCCCCAGTCTCAAAGCTGAAGCAGACACGTTGGTAGCCTCTCTTCCCTCGCCTGCAATTGCCGTAGAGGCAGACATGTCCCGCGCAGACGCGCCTCAGAAGCTAGTTGACGCCGCCGTCTCCCAATGGGGTCGGATTGATATTGTCGTCAACTCCGTTGCGCTGGCAGTCAACAAGCCCTTCGAAGAGCAGACGCTGGAGGACTGGGATTTGCTGGTGAACATCAACGGACGGGGAACGTTTCTCCTGACGCAGGCGAGCCTAAAACATCTGACCAAGGGTTCCGGTCGGATCGTCAACATTGCAAGTATTTCGGCGCGTGGGCCTCCGCCGAACCAGACAATCTACGCGGGGACCAAGGGGATGGTCGACTCCTTTACCAAGTGCTGGTTAGTTGTGTTACCATTCTTATGTGATACCTACCTGAAAGAATACTGAGCATACTCCGCAGGGCCAAAGAACTCCCTCCCAAGTATGGCTGTACCGTCAATGCCGTCAGTCCCGGTCCAACAATGACCGAGGGTTTCGCTGCTGCCGGCCAGGAGCAGATGAAGATCCTTCAACCAATCATTGATCAGACTCCTGTTGGGCCTCGGATGGCTCAGCCAGATGAGATTGCCTACGCTGTGGCCTTTTTATGTGAGGAACGTGCGCGATGGATTAATGGTGCACATCTGATTGCATCTGGGGGCTTGTTCATTGATTAGAGCATTGGAAATTATTCGTGCTTGGCGTTAATCAATTTCTCATATCCACATTCTTGAAGGAGTTTGGATGTACTCCGTACATGGATTTGACGCCATGCTGGCATAGCGGACGGTTGATAAGCACGGGGAATTGTGATTGGCTGGCACTGTGGTCTGAAGATCTGACACTTCGACAATCGCTAGGAAATGGACACAATGCGGAATAAGTACGGCCGAGGGGACACGCTGACTAATAGTAGATTCGGTGTTGAAGATAGCGGTATGTGAAGGTCAACCACTAGCACACGCCCTGCGCTGTAGAATACGCCCTGCGCTGTAGCATACGCCCTGCGCTGTAGAAAACGCCCTGCACTGTAAACACACACCCTGACTAAAGATTAGACCACTCTGCTTAGATAGATACCCTCTTGAAGCTCTCTTTGGTCGAGCAACAACAGCTACGGTCTCTGATAGTCCACAGCCCAAGTCCCTCAATATATAAGAGCCCCTGCTTCTCATGAAGGTGAGACCAAAGAACGACTTGCTCTCTACAGACTTTGATTACTCAACGTTCCCCTGTATTTTCATCGTACTGACTGCCACAATGGAGGACTGCTACTGGAGCTCACAAAGTTCTAGCCCTTTATTGCTACCGTCCATTCACACATCCTTTGATAAGGATAACGATATGCCATTGCAACTGATCAAGGAAATGGTAAGGCTCGTCAATTCCTAATCGTCAACTTGAAGCTCACACTTTGTTAAGGATCATCCTGGAATCCATCATGGGTTCAACATGACCTACATGTTCCCTGGCGTCTCCATTCCTTCTCTAGTAACAACTGAAGGGGATTCCGACTCACAGGCGGAAGGCCACCACACGGTTGCGCATCGCCTCAGCTTAAACCATGGACCCGAAGTTTATCGAACGGTCAAGCTAAGCTCAAGATCCGCCAGACCTTCGCCGGTCACGCCTACGGAGTCGAATTTGGAACCACAGACAGACAGCTACAGCTTCATGCTACACCAGTCTACACCCACTGGCGGAAATCATCAATTCCTCAGTGTAGGTAACTCTGCTACCTGAATACAACTGCAAGGAATCTCGCGGCTAATTGCTCTTTATAGGTAAAACGGCGTATGCAGAACCGTGCGGCCCAGCGCCGATTTCGCCAACGCAAAGAAGACCAGCAGAAGAGCCTCAAGCAGAAGACCGTTGATCTCGAAGAAAAGTACCAAGAGTTGTCGGACCGATTGCACGAAAAGTCAGAAGAAGTGTGTCGGCTCCTTCGAGAAAAGAATGCGCTGAAATGCGAGATACAAGATCTGCGCAAGCGATGGCAGATGGTGGGACTGCTCCTGCAACACCCCAAAGGGCCGCAGTCTCTCTCCTCGCTCTTTGCAGCGGATCCGCCGTCTCTTTCTGGCTCTTCACAGACGGAACCCGCCGCCGCGGACGAATCGTTACGCCGATTGGACGCGTTTCTGCTGATGCCAAATGACAAAGCCGCACTGCCCTAGGGGCTCCGCTCATATATTCTCGCCCAAGATCGCCAAGGTCCACCGCATCACAATGCTGGCTCATTGAACTTGATTATCCAAGTCCGATGCACCTACTTCTATCCCACAAAAGACGTCGAAGCCGTGCTCGCCAACTTGATAATGAGCCCACGCTCACAGTCCCGACGGATAGTATCACCACGTACCGCAACGAGCTCCAGCCGATGTTGTCAATTTCACCAACGTTCGTACTCGATAGTACGAATGGCGATGAATACAGTTGCCGATGCCACCACAGGAAGGGTTGTGATGGAGCAGCGATACACCCAGTAAGGCTGGCCATGACTCCACATGAAACGGGGAGTAGTAATTTCTCTCATGTTGGGTTGGGTGGGCTCTTACAATGGCTGTTGTCCGGAGAAAGCCGATCAGATAGATGCGAATATATCCTGTGGATCGAGGTCTAAATAGAAGGGGTGTGGATGGACGAGATTTCATACGTTCTCGATGTCGCTTGAAAGAATAAGCCGATCACAGTTCTCAAGGTGCAAATAGTTGCTGAGCCGCGCACTCATGCTCAGGTCTATGTTCTAGCCCGGCCTCGCGTTTGATCATTTCTAGCCACGCTGGATCATCGGCGTATGTCTGATCCAAGCGATCGTTATTCCCATAAGCTATGAGCCGGGCCATATCTTGCAGTTCCAAATCTGAAGGGTAAATGTTGGCGGCCAGCTGGTTTCGAATGTAGGCAACGAGATCTCGCTGAAGATTGGAGTACTTGCTTAGAGCATTGGGAATACTTCCGTCTAGGAGAGATTCGTTATTCCCCGGAACGTCTGTTATTCGCCAAGGATCCATGGTGTTTCGCTCATAGCCTAAAAGATACGGAGGCATGGCGTTCTGTACCTGCTTCTGGATATCGGGATCGAATCCCCAGTCCCCTTTCCACTGAATTATATCAGCGCCAGATTTAAAATGCTCCGCGACGTGCTCTACTCTTTCATCCCATGCTGAGAAGGTTCTGCCGCAGAAGCCACATCGTGAAGTAATCTCATTCTGCGTTGCCCGCCATTGCTCCATCGATGGCAGCCAACCGACATTATGTGTTAGTTTTAGGTGTTGCTTAAGATGGTCTTTTCGGAAAAATATCCTCTCATCGAACGGTCTCATGTGACAGGCGAGAAGATTATGGCTTGCAAAATGTTCGGGACTTGTCTCTGGGGAATGGCAAAAGGCACAAACATGGATGTTGTCTAGTTCAACCACCCCGCCGTGGGGTGAGCAGACCCATCGGTCGACCGGCAGATGTAGAGCCTTCTCATGTCTCTGCCAGTCGTACTTTGTCAGGAACGAGTCGGCACAAAATGTGCACTGATATGCGCGTCGTTCCTTGTCCCTCTGTTTCCTGAGTGAGCGGACAAGGTTTCGACGTCGACGGGATCGTTTACCAGGGATTGGAGTAGGTGGCCTCTGGTATCGGGGCTGACTTCTGTTGAAGTTTAATTCTGAACCCGACGACTGACTGCGTTCCAAGCTGCTGACAGATGGTGCCATCGGGATAAACGAAGAAGCACTCGAGCTATTGCTCGAGCAGCCGTATGGGGCTAGCGATCGAGTGGCGGTATTGTTAGAGATGTACGGCTGCTCTTCCAGGGCACGCATAATGTCTGCAGTCGCAGCAGCTTCGGTTTCTGGTGGCGAGTTTTTCCACCTCTCCAGAGGTGATAAAAGCGAGTTGCCATTGCCACGGCCTTCCCGCTGAGTTAACTTGCTCCTGCTTTTGGATCGTCGCGCGTTGTTGAACCAGTTTGAGATCTGAGTCACACTTAGGCCAGTTTGCCGTGCCAGGTCATCCTTCTCTCTCTCAGACGGATAAGGATCGTCATGGTGCTCTTGAAACCAGGATTTCAGTATTCTCACCGCATCAGGACGTAGTCGATTACGAGGCGTACGTTTCGGGGCCTCGCTAGCATTGGTATTCTCTGATGCCCGATCCGGTAGCTTATTTGTGTTGTTGGTCTCCTCGAGGAATTCTGAATTTATGAAAGACAACCAGGAGGAGCAGCTGTCACTTAGCTCGGCTGCACTGTAGGTGTCCCCCCTTTGTTCGAGCAGCTGAGCTGTTAATAGGGAGGATGACAGATGAATTGCCTGATCATCCGGTTGGCGAATATTGTCTATTTGGTATGGATGGAAATTCCCAGGTTGGATCCAGGACAGATTCAGATTCGAATATTGGTACGTTATGATGCCTGTGTCTGGAGGTGGTGATGATAGGTCACCTTGACCGCTCTCAAGGTGGGAGTCGCGCACGTTTTCCATCTAGCACCGCTGGAAGCTGAGTATCCGGAATTAAGGTAGGATGATCATGAAAGAGAGACACAAGGAACCTTATGGCCCTTGATCCCCTCTTGACTGGACTAGACACTGCAGAGGGACGCAGCTCCACGTGGTTTGAAAAACGTGCGGAATACCCGGACTGTATTTCCAAACACCCAGGGTCCACTATCTCCTCGACGGTAACGATACATCGAGGCTTGAACCATGCAAGAGGGGGAAATAACAGCGCTAGAGGGCATTGATTCGACGAGAATAAAAGTTCGTAATGCTGAGAGATTGCCACCATCTGCAGAAATTAGCCGAGCGGAGCATCCTATCAGCAGGATCTCGACTAATCAGCTCCACGACTCTCCATAGTTCCAGGATAGACTGCCACTCTGCATGTGATTGGAACCTCGTTATAGTGAGTCCGGGCCTGGTTAACTGGTTCTCGGTGGGCAGTTGAGCTAACCCGGGTTTCAGACGTGGCTAGCCGGTACACTCGGTCTACTGGCCTAAGCCGCATGAAGAAGGTTGATAAGGATCCTGGTGAATAATAAGAAAAGAGAATGCGACATCGACTCATCTGCGTAGATTACACGTGGCGCCTTGATAGAGACAGTAAATAGCAACCCGAGTCATAGAAACTATAATTAGCTGGAATGTTTTGAGCTAAGTAGGTCTAACACCGTGCTGCAGGAGCCGCTAATCCCCTATTGATACTGTCTGCGGTAGGATTCCGTTATTCTCAGCACGACATCCTAAAACTTTTTGGTTGTCTAATCTTTTTAAAATTAAAGGTATTACCAATCTAGCGCCCCCGATTATGTCACAACTATCTTTCAATCAAACTTTACCAAACGTTGCTGTAGTCATTGGAGGCTTAAATGGTATCAGAGCTGCAGTTGTTGCAGGTCTCACCCGACTGTGATTATTGTGGATCTTCTATCATCGTTTGAAAGAAATCAAAGCGAGTATTGGCAAGAAACTAGTTGGCTTTGGAATATTTACATGGCATCGACCTGTACAGTATTTGTCTGTTGTGTCTTTTGTCAACGTGGAATCCCTGACAACAGATCCAACGCCTTGGCCGACCATGCATTATATCGTTCGAAGGTCCAAGCCATCAACAAGGTGTGATACATCCGTTGACATCCGCAGCTGTAGTAGTCCTTGAGTCCGATGTGTTGGATGGGGATTTGACTGATAAGGGTCGTTGCTCCCATGTCAAACGCATCGCTGTTGTCAGGTTTGTGATCATCGGCTCCGTTTCATCGATATCCGTGTTGGCGACTTTGTTGACAAGACATTCGGGGTGATTCTGGACACGGCTAGGGTCATGCCTGTGAGAACCGTATAATCATGACGTCCGATATGAATGGTATGTCAGAGAGAACCATCAAGCCATCGGTCTTGCGTACAGTCTCCCGACAAACTACGAATTCAAGGTCGTGGTTCGTGGTCATTACCCTGAGTTGGCTTCGGATGAGACGAATCTCGTTCATCTTTGTCTCACCACTGTAGAGGCAGTAGACCAGTCCCCTTATGTTTGGGAGGACGTAAGGCTGTTTTGTTACGCCTCGACGACTATGGGAAGTAGAGGTGAACAAGAGGCTAGTCTACTTTTCTCATCATACGTTCGTCAATCCAGGACTTTCCGGACCTAGATCCCTGCAGGAAGAGGCGCCAGTGTCCGTAGAATGCAAGATGGAACAAAGATTGGCAAAGAATCGTTGATGGGTGGTGCGATTCTGCCTGTGGGTGTGGCAAAGTGCAGCGCGTATTGTGCGACGTTCAACGTTCGGACTTCGTGGTTTGATGTAAGGTTAACTAGCTGCACCTCGTTCTCCGGTGATGGTGCTTCTTGCAGAAGAGAGGAGATGGAGATGAAATAGAACGCTGTGATGGTGTAACGGGCTGCTGAGTGGGTTGCTCCACGGTAATGAGAAGGAGAGAAGAGAAGGTGGGGGGGGGGGGGGGGGGGGGGGGGCGAGATATTTGATGATGCGTATGCCCGGACATCTCAGATGTGATGAAAGCCTTGGAATCTCCTGGAGCGAACGGGTCCATTCGTCAACTCGTGTCCGGGGGGATGGTGCAGACGCCGTCGGCCAGTCGTTCAGTCGATCGGGCCTTTTCAACTGCTCGGTACAGCGGAGCGTCCAGTTCAGTAGTTATTGGCGTCCTGCCTGGTGATGCCACAAATGATCGAATATTGAATATAGTCGTCCAATCGCTAGGTAGGTATGGATGATTGATGAAAGATGAGCATTCGTGACTTGTGTCTGTCAGAAACCCTGCCCTTCATATGAATATATACATAAACTCATCTGCTGACCTTCTTCCGTAAGGCTAGATTTTACTTCGACCAAGCCAGGCGTTGTGCATGGGCTTTGGTGTTCTTCAGCCTCGCCATATGACTCTAAAGTGTACAGTTCGACACCTCCTCTAACCGTGTTGCTATTTATAACTCGCCGCCAGTTGAATATGATTGTCGCTTAACTTGTCCTTGGCCACCGACAAGCCAGATATTCATATGCTCCCAGAGTCGAGGCATAGATTCACTCCACCCGGTCTCAATGACGCGAGATTGCAATGGTAGATTGGCTGGGCGAACCAACAAACCTGGCTCCTTTCTGGATCTCGAATATGAGTCAGTGGTGAATAAAGTAGCTAGTAACATTGTTAAAATAGTCAATCATACAGTGGATAGAATCTCAACTTACTTGAACCAACCGGCATTTTTAAGAATTCATTCTCAGCAGCAGTTTGTAAGGCCAGCACGGTTCCACCGGAATTTCCGAATAAGGGCCCAGTTTTGATGGCAATCGTGAATTGGGGTATCAAATAGAGAATGCAATGGATCATCTTCGAGGATAGCTGTCGAGGTGTCTGTCCCTCAGGCGCTAGCATGCATCTGGTTCCTTTGGCCAGTTATTCCAGTAGTCAGGGGCGGCACGTGCAATAAATTCATGAAGGCACATCCACCATAGCCTTGAACAAGCCCAGGAGAGCCTCATGAGCAAATCTGGGTATCTTGATTGTTAGGCGTTTGGTCAGAAAGCTCTACGCAAATTTGGCGTCCGTTTCTGTCGGATGCAAAGAATTCGAAGTGCTTTGCATAACGCCTGAAACTGCACGACTTCATGCCTCGTGTGTAGGCTGTCCTAAAGGGTGGCCGCAAATTTGCATACCTATTGAACTTCAGAAGAGTGGTACGCTTTGATGGCGAATAAGTTCAAAGGAGAGGCTTAAATATAACACCGCGTATAGGCAAGAGAATATCTAATATGACAAGAAGAGACGGTTGTATGATTGAGAAGGTAGCAGTGGGCGTTGGGGGTATTTATCCCTGACTGAGGCCAGTGGATACCCATCATGAAAGAATCTTTCAATTCATTGAGCAAGGATAGTTGTCTTTGGCTACCATCAAAATTATTCACAGACTCATTGAGCCATTGTCTAAGACCCCTATGGACATTGTCTATAATCATTCACTCAGCCAACCCCTCAGTTATCATCGCTCTCCTCCGCCTTCTCCAAGGTCTGTTCCTTCGTCAGACGCGGGTTGCGGATACAGAGCGCGAAGACGATCAGGGGCACGGTCAGACAGATACCCGTGATACACAGCAGTCTCTGCGCATGCTTGTAGGCCAACACGACGGCGTCCCGGTCAGGGGTGCCGACGGGGTTTGCTTTGGCGAAGGTGAATGGGTCGGCGTAGACTTGTCCGGCCAGTGTCGCATTGCCAAGCCGGTTCTCCAGCTCGCCGGGTAGGACCTGGGTCCAGATGGCCCCGGAGATGGTGTTTCCGATGGCGCTGCCGACGTTGTACGAGGCGAGAAAAATGCCGGTGATGACGGCAAGGTCTGCAGTGGTTAGTTTTGTGGATTCTTTCCTGGGGATGCTAGACTTACGCTGGTGTTTGGAGGCGGCTTGAATGCTGGCCTGAGCTGGGTAAGGGAACAGACCACCGGCTGGACAAGTCAGTGACAGTTTCTTAGATGGATGAGAGCTCACTTACCGACACCAAGAAGGATCTGTCCACCGATGATCCCTGCATGATTGGAGCCGTCTGCGCCTCCCCGGAATCGGATGAGGATACCAAAGGCTGCCATGAAGAGAAAGGTACCCGCGACAATGAACGGCTTGAGGCGTCTCACATAAATGACGATCGCTCCAAGAGTAGTCCCCGTTATCACAGAGACAAAGCTACGCATGTTAGTGAGGCCAAATACTGACTGAAAGGTAAACAGACCTGTAGAGCGAGGTAATGCGCGTGGCACTCAATGTACTCTCGCCAAAGCTCACAACGAGGACGGTGTAGAGGTAATCGGCTTGCAGGGTCCAGGCTAGTCTACGTTAGCAACGGCTTGCGATGTGGATTAGTATATATATACCGGTGTTGAGCATGATAGCAATTCCCAGCGCACCCCAAACCGCTCGATCTTTCAGCAACTAGACCTAGTCAGCGGCTGCCTTACCCAAATCGGAGAGGCTCTACCTTGAAAKGGACCATCGGATGCGGACACCACCGCTCCCACATTATGAAGGCTGGGATGCAGAGCACTCCAATGACAAGAGGGGCAATAACTTTGGCCGTCTTCCACTGGGTCTGGATACCTCCGGCAATGGTGAACGGAATGAGGATCAGAGCCAGGAAGGCAATCAAGAGCAGAATGCCAAGCATATCCAAGTACCAGAAGAGGTCGATGACAAATTGACCGAATCCCTGGTCCAGGAGCGAGAACCTGTAGGCATCAGGGTTGGACCGCCTAGCCTTGAAGTGGCCCATGAAGAGAACAACGAGCAAGGGGATCGTGCAGACGGGGTAGATTATGGCGAACATCCCGATCCCCCATTTCCAGGAGGTGACTTCCAGGACGGCGGACGTGACGTTGCCGCTGATCCAGGTATTAATCTGCCATGGTGAGCTTTTTCTCACTGCAATGGGGACGGGTATCGTACAATGAACGGCAATGCAGGAATATATGAGAAGAGCA